GGATGAATTTCGCGAGGGGGCTTCCGGGGGAATTCGCACGGTGTCCGGGGGGGGAACTTGAATAGGGGAATGCCGGGGGGGATCGCGCCGCGCGCCGGGGGGGGAGGAAACTTTGGTGGGGGGATGCCGGGGGGGATCGCGCCGCGCCCTCGACGGGTTGGGGGGCTGGGATTCGCGCTGCGCCCGGGGAGGGGAAAACTAGGGGAATGCCGGGGGGGACCGCGCCGCGCCCACAACGCGTTGGGGGGGCTGGGGTTCGCGCCGCGCTAAGGGGGGGCTATTTAATTTCGCGACGCGGCTTCCGGGGGGGGATCGAGCCGCGCCCATGACGGGGTGGGGGGCGGGGATGCGCGCTGCGCCCAGGGGATGTATTTCGCGAGGGGGGCTGTCGGGGGGATTCGCGCCGCGCCCGGGGGTCGGGCGGGGTATGGGAGGTGGGCTGGTAGGAGAATGGCCACGGGCTGCGCAAAATCCGCGCCGCGCCCGAAGTGGGGGGCCCAGGGGGCGGGGGCAGGGAGGAATCTCTGCCCCGAACTTTTTCCGTTGTCGGGACGGTTTGCAGATGGTGCGCAGCCTGCCCTCAACTTTGTATACTTCCTTTGCGCCCGGGGACCTACATTCATTACTGCCGTCTCCGTTTCATGTGCTTGGCCGCCGCGGCTTCTATTCTCCTGGCGCTTCGCCGTGTGTAGTTACCCACATGTTAATTGTTCTGCAAGAAAGCTAAAGTCTCAAACCGCAAGCAGAGCTGGAGGTAAGACCTCCACGAGAGATTCATTCTTCAGGCAGGCCAAGGAGTAGCACCATTTCCGCGTGCAAGGCTTCACTTTTAGACGAAGCGTCGTCGCCTCAGTCGAGCGCCCCCCTATTACTAGATAATGAGGCTCCTGTTGAGCGGCCTGAGTGAATCCTATCAATCTCGTCTTCAGAGCTTATATTCGTAAGTCCGATCATGATCATCCTCTCGTAGATGGAGACCTATAATTCAAAGGCAAGAGATAAATGGGGGCTGTCTGCGAATATTATGTTGCGGAGCTTCATCACCCAGCCAGCGGGCGCCAGTCCTTCCGGTCAGCTGGCGCCAACCCATTTCCAACGGGGGGCTGTGCGCCTGGTCCTCCCTCCGGTGTCGCCTCGGGAGCAGGATTGTTTGGAACGCGGAAGGGCGACGGGACTGCCGGCACTCGCCCTGCGACAGGCAACTCGAGTGGCGGACTATACCTTCTGCCAACGCTTCCGCGCAGCCATATACGTCCGGCACACAAGGCGGGCCGCGATACCGAAGCCGCCACGCGATTTTTTCTGCGGGCCCTAAGCGGCCCCCGCCCCGTTTCCCTCCCGGGCCCCTCCAGGCCTGCGACCTTGGCCGCGCGCCCCCTCCTTCGAAGGGCCAACCACCGGCCGGCCCGCGACGGATTTTGCAAAGCACGGCAGCCGCGCGCGCGCCGCCGGGCGGTGGGCGACGGCCGGGGCCATTGGTATACCTGCGGCGCCCACTGTAGCGCCGCGCGTTTGTGTTCCCATTGGCCCGCGCGCATCCATTTTGGGCGCGGGCACGGCCAGGGCGCCGTTTCAGAGCGCTGCTTTCGCGCGCCGCCACTCTGGGCAGCCACTTCTTCGCCAGGGCGACGCCGAGTTGCGTGTTGGTCGCATGGCCTTCCACCGCGATTGCCGGTGAAGAAAATAAGCTCGCGCGCGCCTTTCCAGTCATCACGCGGTGTGTCATTTAGATGTTGCTGCCCACAGAATCTGTTCTGCACCTGCAGGAGAGAGCGTTCCAGTAAAGGAGGTCTTCGTGGTAGATTGAGCCAAGAAACGTGGCTGCATTTGCTCGCAGGCCGGGCCGAGTGAAAAATCTGCGTCCTGCCAGAGGCTTGTCAAGAATTTATATGCTTGGCTACGCTCCTGGCTGCGCAGTGACTCTAGATACATTCTAGATGTCATACAATACGGCCACTTCTGTAGCTTCTTTCGCGGGTCTGAGAGACGCAACGCGGCCGTGCGCGCTTCTCTGCAGCGCGCAAGGACAGTGGTCGCCCTCTGTGCGAAGTGCCGGACGCGACTGCGAGTTGCTTGGGCGGCCCTTTTACTGGGCATGGCGCCTCAGATGCGCGATACGTCAATACGTGCAGCCGACGCTTTGTCTTCCAGCGCGGTCGCCGGTGCCGCATTGCTGCTTCGCGCGACTTTTCAGTCACAACGGAATGCAGGCGGCCAGATGCTGCCGCCCAGAGAGACTTCTGTGTGAGAGAACGCAATCTAGCCGAGTGCGTGTCCGCACTAGATTCAGTGCGGAACAAACGAGGTTGCATTTCGGGGAATAGTAGAAAAGTCTGGAAGGTTGTGGTTGGTGGTTTGTCAAAAATTCCCACGAGCGACGCTGTGCAGTACATGCAACATTGTCTACACCATTATTTTTTCTACTTTCAACAGTACTCAGTCAGCGCACGAACCCCGCTGCGGCCCGGCTGACAACGACATGTAAGGCCCTACGCTGCAGCCGGCACCAGCATGCCCGTGACCGTCTCGGGGGAAGTGGGCGGCAGCCTCCAAAGCGAGCTGCAGGAGATATTCGAGCACCTGGCGTCCTCCCTCCCCTATTCTGAGTAAAAACGGGCCCACCCCAGAGTTGTCATGCAAAATCTGCATGCCAAAAAATAGAAATTTTCTCATGCAGACCCCATGAGAAGCATTGTCTAATCATGTTTTGGAGTTTGTGATACTAGAATGAGCATGATGTGCGGGATCTGTGATGCTGCTGCACTAAGAAAAAAGGACTACACTATTGGGGCAAACTTGTCATGCGAAACAACCACAGCTGGTTGACTTGTCTAGCAGATTTCCCATCTTGATGACCCTGGTGTGGGGACAGTTTTCCCCACGATACCCCCGATGACTTCCACACCACGACCGCCCAACAGGCGCTGGCCGCAGCCAAGGGGGACGAGGACGAAGCGGGTTCGGTGGAGGAGCACCGGCGACGGCTGGTCGAGAAGGAGATTTTTCTGCAGCTCGGCAAAAAACTGGTCGTCAACTCGGGTTACAGCTGCTACGACCTCGTGGGCCCGCTGTTTCAGGTGGAGCTGCACCAGGAATTTCAACGCGAAGTCGCCATCACGACCAGCAACATCGAGCAAAACGCCCCCGTGGAGGAGGAAAACACGGAGGAAGGGGAAGAAACTGCCGGCGCGGCGGAGAACGCAGACGTAGATGCCGCGGCGGGAGAGCAGGAGGTGGCCGTGGCCGGGACGGAACAAACGTCCACCCAGATCTGCATGCGGACCAAGATGCAGAGCATTTTCCAAGAGCCGAAATACGCAGCCATGATGCGAAATGACGACCTCCGACCCTTCTACTGCAGTGGCGCCAAGCAGTCGAAACGACAACAGTACGTCTGAGAATTTCGGGTTGATGAGGTTTGTCTCTCGCCTGCGAAATTCACTTCGATGAACTTGTGTTTTCCGCATCACAATTTCTCATTCACTGTGGTTATAGAGAAATATCTTCAACTGATGATGTTCCAGGCGCCAAAGGGAAGAATACGCGGGCGTCGGTTTGAAGCGACTGACGGGGAACATGGCAAGTATCAAGAAGGAGTTCTACCGGCTGTTCTCGCACTTTGCGATTGAGTCAAAAGCGATCCATTATCCTGAGTAAAAACGTCCCCACCCCATAGTTGTCATGCAGATTTGCGACCACAGGAAGATTTGTAATGCGCATCCCCATGTGAAGCATTTTCAATCGTGTTTTGGAATTTGTAATGCTGGAAACAGGATGAGACAATGGATTTCTGATGCGGCTTCCCTTGCCAACCAGCACTACACTGCAGAGGGAAAGTTGTCATGCACAGCTCCCAAAACTTGGAGATTTGTGTCCCTAGATTCCCAACTTGACTATGGGGTGGGGATGTTTTTGCACAGGATATCCATCCAGAGCTGTTCATGTTTCAGGACGAGTCGGAATTGGACGCGAAAACGGTACTTGTTAATTTTGGGGTTTTTATTTGTCATGCTGGGTCGGAAAGAGAGTTTTTTTGTCATGCTGGATGGGAAAGTAAGAGGGATTGAATTTGATTTTGAATCGTTTCAAAATTTATTCCAGATACAACCCATCAACCAAGTTTTGACGCAAACGATGCTGCGGTATGAAAGTGCACAACTCCCCCTCCCCCTCATTTGGATGGCATCCGCAGCAACACAAGTCCTGGCAGCACACATGCAGCTTTTGCATGACAAATTTACGACTGATTGTAGTGCTGTTTCGGCTTCGGGAATCTGTCATGCATAGTAGTGGCACAAGGCAGAAGGTGGAGTTGGTGTTATGCATGAGAAATGAGAACGAGGGGGAGTTGTGCACTGTCATATGCGGTTCCGCGGTGACGTGACGCGCGTGAACGACCCGGCGAGCGGTGTGCTGGTGTATGAGGATGAGTTTGCCCTGTACTCCGCGCTGGACATTCTTGTGACCAAAACCCCGGCCCTGCGCAAAGCGGACTGCTACCTCGTGCGGATCGACGACCCCAACAGCAAAATCGTAACCAGTTCGAGGCACCGCGGGCACGGGGGCAGCGTGGACGGCGGATCCTCCACTTTCGGCGGTACCACGACAACGAACTCCCTATCCCTGGCGCACAACCCGATGCACCAAACGTCAACGGAAAATCTCGCACAGCAGCGCAGCCCCGGGGGACGGGAGGAGGAGAGTTCCATGCTGTTCGACGCGTCGAAGCAAGAGACCATGGGAACAAGCAAAACGCTGGCGGGGGGGAACTCCTACGGTACGCTGGCGAAGATGCAGAAGCAGAAGGGGCTGATAAGGAACCCCGTGCACAAAACCGCGCCCGGGCTGGGGTTGACGCAGGAACCACAACCGACGAGGAGTCAGCTGGACTCGACGTACCAAAATATGGACCCCGCAGAGCTGGACTCACCCGGAGACGAAGGCTTTGAAGTAGCGGGGTTGGGAGGTAATAAATAAGAGTGGATTTTTGTATTGCATACCATGTGAAAGTGAAAGGAGAATATAGAACTCGTGGTGCAAAACGACAAACTGCAACTAGAACTTTGCGTGTCCTGGTCATGCATGGCCATATTCCAAACTACAGGCGACTCCCCGACAAATCTCAACCGGCTTTACGAGCCCGCAGCGCATTTTTCCTTTCCCGCCAGCGGCACCAACACCGCTTCCGGCGCGTCTTCTGCCAGCGCCAGCAACTCAGCAGCCGGCGGGCAGGGCGGCAAGCAGGACATTGTGCAGCCGGTGTCGGTGTACCTCTGTCTCTCCGCGCACGTGTGCAAAATCACGTTGTACACGGAGCAAGCCTACCTTCTGTACCAGAAGCAGGAGCAGAAGAAAAAATTTGAAGATTTGATGATCCTCGCCGGAACGATGAACGACGAAGTGCTCGTTTCGCAGGCGTTGGAAGTGATCCACAACGTGTTATGCACTGCAAATATGTCTGAGTCTGGAACATGGAAACTTGTCATGCCAGATCTGGATCATGCAAAAATCTGTGTTGCAGGATTACCAAAAGCTGGCCACTTTTGACCAAGTTGACAGGGGATTTCTCATGCAGAATAGGCAACATGACAGAGGTCTGATAGTATCTGTCCTGCAAGGTTCTGCATTCCAGACCTCATGCGTCATGTACCACATGCATCACAAGTTTGCATTTTTCCAGACCCAGACATTTTTGAAATAGATACGTGTGGCCGCACGACAAATCCTCCGCCAGCGGGAGCAGTCTGTCGCCAACATATGAGCTGCAAAAGTATCGTACTAGTATAGATTGCATTACAAATTTCCTGTGCGTGAGAAATGCAAATAAAATCTGTAATGCGGATTTATCTTGACAGAGAAATTTGTAATGCGTGGGTGCAATTACGACGAGTAGTACGATACTTTTGCAATGCATACAACAGTGGTGCACCAAATTGCCGCGAACGGGAACGCAAGCTTACTGTCCAAGATGTTCAAGCAGTACCCGCAGTTCATGAGGTAGTACGAGGAGATGGTGATCATGAAATTTGTGATCATGCTCCATGTACATCTGTGTTTGATCCACTTCTAGTTGTCATGCGAGATGCCGTACAAAACCTGAAACAACATTCAACAGCGCGATGCTCGTGACCCCGGACAACGGCGGCGCGCTCCCACTGATGGTGGCGGTGTACCAACAGCAACTGAAAACAGCGGTGCTCCTGCTCCGTGCCTTGGTAGAACTAGTGAAGCACCACGCGAAGGAGAAGATGGACTACGCGCAGATGCTGCGGGAGGATCCGGAGGCAACCGTAACGCCCGCGCAGTTGCCGCCGGTTCTGGAAACGCTCGTCGCGTTCTACCTGAAAGCGCAGCAGATCGCCAACCCGCTAGCAGGTGTGTCCGCGTCGAAACGCGCATCGCCAAAAGCGGCGAGGAACAGCGCAAATCAATCCGGAACGAGTACTTCTCTGAACACCAGCTCCATGAACAGTGTGCAGGAAGACGGCAGTATCCTCGATCCCTGTGCAGTTTTACCAGAATTTTGGTACTGCAGCGATTTTGTTTTGGACAAGTTGGCGCAGGGCACGTACCCATTGGTACCGCTGGAAGAGGACGAGCAGATACACGCGACAAGGTTGAGCCAATTGCAGGAATTGTGGACGCTCTTTGGGGCGCTGGGATTCGGTATTGTTTGATAGATGAACTGTAAGTATGATTTATTTGATTTGTCATGCAATTTGTAGTGCAAGATCAAGAAGGATTTGATCTTTATTTGGTATTTGTATTGCACACACTCACACTCCGGCGCACCACGCGACCAAAGGTACCGCCAACAACGACCGCGTTACCCGCGCCGTGCAGCTCGAGCTGCTGCAGCTCGCCACCTATCAAATGCAAATATGTCTGGGTCGGAGAGGTTGCAAGACTTGTCATGCAGGTTTTCCATGACGCGCGAGGTCTGTCATCCACGACCTAGCATGACAGATTCTGTGCGACCTCTATCATGCCTGTCCTGCATGAGAAACTGCCTCTCGGTTAGGTCAGAAGTGGAAAGCTTTTGGCACTCATGCAACACAGATTTTTGCATGATTCGGATTTAGCATGACAAGTTGCAATCTTCCAGACCCAGACATTTTTGCAACCCATACCACCTTCCTCGCGCTGATCAAAGCCAGAGACAGTTCGAAACGGACGGTATTGATGCTGGCGTGCAGGATGAAAAACCCGGTGCACGAGGGAATGGTAAAGTTCATCCTGGAAAAAGTACCCGACTGCGAGCTGAACGCACTGGACCAGTGGAACAAGTCCGCGGTCGACTACGTGATGGAATCCAGCAGCACAAGTTCGGCGAAACTGTTGTTAGACTACGGTGCGAAAGACGCGATGGGCCAGGATGTGCTGCTCAGAGCAACATTGGACAACAACGCGCACGTGATTCAGTTTCTCTTGAGCTACGTGCAGACCACCGGGGCGGCCGGAGGTAGTAATACTGGATCGATGTGATCTGTGTAGCGTGATTGTTTGGTTGAAGGTTTCGTTCATTGAATAAAACTGAATCTCAATTCTGTCCGTACGCATAAGTATATTATCGAAGCATACTTAAAATGGAAAGAATCAACCATCTCCCAGATTCGGACGCCGCTGGTTGGAGCGCGGGCAACGCGTTGTGGCTCCTTCGCCGTGGCGCACAAGCGACGGGCACGTTTTGCACCTGTTTCATCCCGGCGAATTGTCAGGAGCTGCGGGTTCGCTACCCGTTGGTGTTCGGCAGAACCTTCCCGAGAATCAAGTCCCTCGTCCGAGACAGCAACGCGGGCAAGGTGTTAGAGGACTACCGGAATCTCAACGAAAGGTTAGAACAGGAGCAGAAGGAGCGGGAAGGGAAAAACATAGGGCTCATCCCCGTGCCGAAGAACCCGAAGGGGGAGTCTCTCGGTGCATTAACCGGTCTGGACGGGTTGGACATCTTCGTTATCAATTGCAAAAATGTCTGGGTCTGGAAAAATGCAACTTGTAATGCTGTCTGCGGGTTCTAAAAATTAAAATATCTGTGTTGCATGAGTAGCAAGAGGACTCAATTCTTGGCACGCGAAGAGGGCATTTGTCATGCGTAGTTAGCATCAAGAAGCTCTCAAAAAATCTGTGATGCTAGCACCAGCATCACAGACCTGACGGGTCATGCAAAATGTGCATGACAGGCCCCGACTCTTCCAGACCCAGACAATTTTGCATTTGATATTCGTCGGCCGGGTGCAGTGCTGGATCTGCAAGAAAACGCACACCGGGTCGGAATCCTGGGTGGGGCCGGTCGCGTTGCAGCTGAAGTTCGAGGCGAAGAACGACGAGAAGGGCGACGACCTGCTCGCGCAGGCGGACGCCGCGAGGACGGGGACAAGGCCCGCCAGTCGGGGGAACAGTCCGCAGAAAGGGAACAAGCCGGGCACCGCAGAGTCGAACTCACCAAGTCCGAGGAGAAGTACGTCCTTATTTTGTGCTACAAATTATATGCTTTTCCTGCTTTTGCATCCATTTTCGTATGACAAATGTTTCCTCGGACCACCCACCCCTCCGGGCTTTAGTTGCACAGTTTGTTTTTAAGCATGACAAATGTTTCCACTGATACAGTTTTCATCATCCGCATGGCAAAATGAAATGAAAACGATCACATGAAAAGGTAAATCCCCCGGAGCAGCAGACGATGGTAGTGACGCTGCACCCACGTTACGGCTTTTCATGCACCACGCCTGCTGTGTCGGCTTGGAAAACTACCTCAACGAGGAAGCTGCCAGAAGGGAGGCACAGATACCGAAGGTACTTTATGTACTTAAGGCTGTTTTTTTATCAGGAGATAATGTGCAGGACCACAAACACAGTGTTTTTCTCGCACTTCTGCCGGACTCGTGATGTGTATAGAAGCTGCAACCACAAGTTCTAAAAAAAAATTCATCACAGCGTTCCCAAGGCGGTATCCCGAAAGCCCGCGCGCGGCAGCTGCTCAAGGACGCAAAGTCATTTGAGCACGAGTTTCGGGAGGTACCAGCGACGGCAACACGGACGTGGAAAACCTCCCGTGGGTTCGAGAACGTCGGGTTAAAGCCGCCGAGCTACGCCGGGGCATCGGACAACCTTGGGTCGCTCAAGAAGGGGGAGTACACGATCCGGTGAGCTGCTGTGCTGGGAAGGGATGGGAAGGCAAGGTACTGTTTTTTTCTGCAATAAATGATTCGAAATCTTCACAATTGCTGATATTACAACTGTTGCAAGAACCGATACAACATCACAACCCAATTATTTCTTTCAATCAGATACGAATTCCAATTCGTTCACAACATCTAACGATTTGTCAAGAAACCAAAAGAAAACAATAGCAACCCTTTTTCGTCGTTGAGAAAGTTTCAGTTAAAGTTGATTTTCCAATAGCAGCACCAAATAAAAGGCTCAGTGAGTGGTCTCGGTTATAAAAGCAAGAATAGGCGAACTTCGTTTCACAAATGACCAAAAAAATAAATCCGTTTCTCTAGGACCAGTGTAACACAAAGGTGTTGATGTATGAAAAGTGAAGTTTGTTGCACTAGGAAATGACCATCAAGTTACGGTATTCACGCCGCGCCAAGAACGACGACAAGCTAGAACTGGAGCAGGCACCGACGGCCTGCGTGCCATGTGTGACCGCCGTAATTTGTTTTTCGGATGTAAGTACTTAGTTTACTACTGTCTGAGGGTCGTGCAGCGTTGATGCCCCCCTCTTGCCGGCCGCCCTCACTCATTTGCCCTTTATTCGCAGCTTCCTTCCTTCAAGATCTGCAGATTTTTTTGCCGATGCCGATCCTGTGTATTTCTTTCCGATCTTTCGTTCGCTTAGTGTCAGAAGATCCTAAAAGTTGCAGTAGATCTCTTTGTTGCCTTTTTCCCCAGCACACGCGGTCCGAAAGATCTTGATTCGCTGTGAACTACGCTTTAGTAAAGAACTACAGACCGCTTGTATGAATATCAAGTATGCGTCGATTTTTGTTGGCGCCGCGATATAATTTTTTGCACGACTTGCTTCTTAGCACACACAATCACAAACACAAAAAGCAAGCTGCGTGTATTGTCAGGCTAGGACGATAATGTCGATGCAGCTGATCGTGCAGTGAGACGAACTCCCGGGAGGTCGTAGACGTTCACAGCACTCACCATGGCGGCTGCAGCTTCATCTCTCCTCGCTGTACATCCCTTATGCCAGTACACAACTCCCCCTCCCCCCCATCTGTGTAACATGAGCGGCAATACAAGCAGCACCCAGACTGCCGGTTTTGCATGACAAATTGGCACTGGATTATAGTGCTATTTGGGCTACCAGAACTTGTCATGCAAATAGTGCCAAGGGGCACAGCCCGGATTAGGGATTTTGCATTACAAATGAGGGGGAGGGGGAGTTGTGGTTGTGCACTCTCATATCCCTCAACATCCAGCGTCTTCTCGGGTTCCCGGCGCGTCGCTTCGGATTTCCTGACCGCCGCGCAAAATGCGAGCGCACTCTCCTGGTACCGGGAGTGGTCCCCGCACGCGTTTTTCAAGACGAAACCCACCAACGCGGATGTAAAGCGGTACTGCGACTTGTGGGTCGGCAGCCTGCTGTCTACTTCCGCGGCACCTTCTGGAGCAAGTGGACATACGGGAGGACGAGGCGGGGACGAGGAGGACCACACTATTGGTTCCACCCCTGGTGGTTCTACTTCACGGCTTAATTCTGCTCTCGGAGGTGGAGTACCTGCGTTACCCACGACCAGTGCAATTGCACTTCCGCGGAATTATCAGAAGCCGGGAAGTAGATCTCCACTACAGGCTCCACCTTCGATCGACGGCACGAAGGCGCCCCAACTGCTCCACGCCGGCGAGGAGCTCGGCTGCTACTACCACCTGTCCCGCCTCATTCTCACCGCGACTCACGCTCCTGCGGCCGGGGTTCTCCTCCAGCGGGTGACGGAGGAGAAATTTGTGGAGAGGCAATGCGAGAATGACAGTGGGGGGAAGGACATCTACCAACTGATCCGGATCTACGAAAACTGCTCCACGGCGATTATTGCGGCGAAAGCGAAAGAAAAGGGCGGTGGTCATCTTCCCGGAAGGAGTGGAGCTGGTAATGCTCCCTGTGCATCATCAACCAGCAGCGGAGGTTCTTCTTCTTCCCCAAGTAGAACATCGACTACAACTTGGGCATCCGAAATCGTCGTTGCGATCCAACGTTTTCTTCTACCCCGCGTAAGCGTATCGCAGTTCTCTGCGCAAAGTCTGGCGCTGGTGCTGCAGCATCTGAGTAAGCTCTGCGAAGTCCACGACTTGCAGAATGTGGACATTTTTCAACATCTGATGTTGAAGGGAGACAGTTCTACTTCAGGAGGAAAAATAACTCGGGCGTCCGCGTCGTCGTCTCCACCGTACTATCGTGGTAAAAATGATATTGTTCACCGCGCCGTCAACTCGTCTGACGTAGTAGAAGATTTCAGCAACAATTTCCATTTTATGCGACAGTGGTGCACGGCCGCCAGCTCCTGCCTGGACTCCTTCGCCACACGAGAGCTTGCGCACGGTGGATTCGCGTTCGCGAGGGTTTTGCAAACGACCATCGATGAGAAGCAACAGCGACGGAAAAAAACGCTGCTTTTCCAGGTGGATCTGGACCAGCATTCCCGGAAATTTGCAAAAAAGTGGTGCTCGGAGCTGCTGTTGCGATGCAGATCGGATAATTGGATGACGACGACAGCGTCAGATACTAGTAGTTCTAGTTGCACTTCTGTCTCGCATATGAACCATTCCGACCTGAACTCCCAAGCGGTCGCTGTGAGCTTGCAGACTTTGGGTCTGTTTGCCAGCTATCAGGTCTTCGTTCCGCAATCCGAAAGTAGTAGTACACGACCAGGGGGTAGTACTCGCACTGACTCGCACGACGTCGGCGATGAGCAGAATCTTCGCGTCGCCCCTAGCACATCCGCAGCGGTGAAGGAGCTCTCTTTGCTCCTGGCTGAGAAATTTTTCCTCGCCAATTCCGATACCAAGGAAGACCCGCTTGGCCCGACGCATTTCATCGGCGCTCTGCACGCGCTGAGCCGGCTGTCTTTCGCGGAGTTTCTGTCGCCGGAAAAGAGCGGCGAATTCGCGTTAAGGTGGATTGCTGCGTACTTGGGCCGGGAGAGCGAGAAGTTCTCTTTGCAAAATTTGTCGAACGCGGGATATGGGATAGGGAGATTGCTGTCGACGAGCAGGTTTGGAGGAATACCATCACATGATGTGCAAGAAACACGACGATCTGGATCATCAGCGACAAGTGGCAAAAATCTACTGAGTGTCGCAAATCACCCGCTTCAGCAGCAGCCGATCCTGCAGCCCGAGTTCCTGATTCGTGAGTTTCTAGCCAAGTGGCAAAGAGAGGTGGCAGAGAAGAATCTGAACCCGCTAAACATCCGGGACCTGACCAACATGATGGCAGGTGTTGGGAAGTGCGCGGAGATTCTGCACACGTTCACCTCGATGGGAGCAAACAAGGAGGGCGGCTGTCCTAGTGGCGCGGCGTCCGATGATTGCCCTCTCGAGGGCGTTGAGGATATTTTGGAGGACGACCACGCACCTGCGCAAATGAAAGAAGTCGATGCGCGTGAGTCACAGCAGTCCTGTTCACGACTGCTGCGCAAGACGATGAAGCTGTCCGGCCGTGGAGTGCTACGCCCACCGACGACGACAAAGCCGAAGCCGCTGCTCGACCCAGACTTCCTAAAAAACTGGCGAACAACCGCTACGGAGAAAATATCTAGTTTCACCCCGCAAGCCCTGGCGCACAGTCTCAGCGGGTTGGCGAGCAGTGTGTGCGAGGACGTTTCTTCTACAGAAGATGATTATGACGGAGCTAAAGCTACTACTTCTGGAGGTACTAGAAGTTGTTCTGCGATTGGTGAAGAAGCTGCTGGTGTACTATCATCGTCATCATCGTCATCATCGCCCAACAACAAGGACATTGTTGCAGAAATCCAAACTTACCTTTCCGATTGGCACTCGCAGCTTTTGAAAACCAAACATACCTTCAACGACCAAGCGGTAAATGTGAGCCTCGTAGCAATACTGAAATTCCTGCAAGGAGCTTCATCTACAACGCATCAACAGTCTTCTGATGTCGATATTCATCCTCCACCACCCTCTCAGGTGTTGCATGAAGCGGTTTGGACTCACGCGTACCGGCCTTTGGAAGCGGTGGTCACGGAGAAGCTGACATCGCAAGATCCGAAAGTGCTGACCGACCGCGGGCTGCTGCAGATTCTGCACAACGTCAGCAAAGTTCAGGAGCGGAGGACGCAGCTTGGGCTCTTGGCGAAATGTTCTAGTGCCGATGCATTGCCATTTTTCGAGGCCTGGGAGGGCTGCGCCGCGGCGTACATCGGACGCAAGACATCAGATACAGACAGTGCGCACTCAAGTTGTGGAAGAAATTCGCGGAGCCGGAGCAGCGGCATGTCGCCCGAATGGCTGGGGTCCGTGATGCGTCCGTATGTCCGACTGCTAGACCAGATTCCGCCGGAGGAATTGCGGGTTTCGTCAAGAAAAGTGTTCCACAACGGACCTTTTCTCCCCGCCTGGAGTCACGCGTGGAAGCAGACGCAAAACACAGAAAATATTAAACCAGCATCTACTTCCAGTGCCAGGTATAGAAGTAGTACAACGGCAAATGCACTATCCCCCCGTGCTATGCTCTGCGCAGTGTGGAGCGTCGCGCGGCTGCTTGGGCATCCGAGCTTGATACAGCGGGTGCAATCGGTGTCGGACTTCGTTTCGGAGCTGTATGGGGAGGAGATGAAAAACGAAGCCTCTAGCTCTACCGCAGCGGCTGCGGACTCGGAGATGAACTACCACGACCTGTGTGAATCGAACACACGACGATCATCCCCGGAACTACAAGCGCGCGCGGACAACCCGCAGTCGTCGCGAGAAGATCACCATGATGAGCTCTCGTCCACTTCACAACAAGCTCACGACCACCTCCCTGCGGCTCCGGCTCCCGCACAGCACGACAACTCTGCCATCCCTGCCTTTTGGTCTGCCGACGATCTCGTCGCCGACTTTTTGCCCGCGTGGGTCTCGTTTCTGGAGGAGTACAGAAAACAGCAGAAAACGATCCCGACAAAGTACCTCGTGGCGCTGCTTTTTTCCTTAAAAAGACTTGCGGTTTTTCAAACGAATAAAGCACGGAGGACTAGTTTGTTTTTTGCCACAGGAGAACGTCGAATAGAAAAACAGTTTCCATCACCTCTCACCTCCGAAGCCTTCCTCCAATCGAACCTCCTCAACCTCGTCCGTTTTTCCCAGCTACGAAGCGGCAATCTCGCCGTGCTGGTCCAAAGCGTGGCCGAGCTGGAGTGCTCGTTGGGGGGGAACGCCGCGTTTTGGTCCAGGGTGATCGAGCGGGCCTTGCAGCTGAAGTTTAATTCCTTAGAGATCGGAACGGTGGTTTTGGCCTTTGCACGCACGCTCGACCGCTGCGAGTGTGACTTCGGTTCTTGACGAAATAATAGAAGCTGCGGGTGGACCACGACGACCACGCTCTTGTTCATCTGGTTTCTACGGCCGCTCCGGCCGGTTGATGTAGCAGGCAGCAGCGAAGATGATGGAGGGGCTGTCGTGCTTGCGCGGTAGTACTTCCGATGGCGGCTCACGCCCGTTTGCGAAAATAAGCACCGCAGTGCTGTGTGTGGTGTTCGCCTCAACGAGTTACACACGGCAAGTGGCGCGCGGCACGAGACGAGAGAACATTTCAAAAGCAGAGACTACTTCTTGAGAGGAACTTCACTGAGGGCACAGCGGGCTCTACACATGGCACGTTTTATTGAACAATGTTCCACCACGAACTACAGCAACTGCTAAGCTTAATAGGACCACAGCCAATCAATGCAATAAACAAAAGATTCCGGCGCCCGCTTTGCCAACTGTACCTCCCCGGCTCTCCTGCGCCGGGGAAAATGCAGCGTCGGCGGAAATGGAATCTCTATCGCGCGTTGTTCCAAGTAGACCACGCAGTGCAATGCAACCAGGAAAAATAAAACTACCGATTTAGAAGGCAGTGCATAGGCCACACGACCACAGGGAACACCTCCTTCTTCACCACCACCTCTGCCACCTAAAAAGCCCCGTCGCACCAGCTGCCATATGGGTCGCGCGGCCCGTGAATCCGAGGTCCGCAGGAGGACGGGCGGCGGGCCGGCGACCACAATTCAGATCGGGAAGAAGAAGCAACCGGAGCCCGAGGAGGAAAAGCCCGAAGAATCTTCGTCAGAGGATAGTTCCCAGTACGATGACCTCCCCGGCTTCATTTCCGCCGGCATGCGGCAAAGGAGTAAGCCGCAGCTGGATCCGGACGAAGAGAAGCGAAAAGAGGAAGAGAGCGCCGCCTACATGCAGAAGATGATGGACATGAGCAAGGACATGATCGCGCAGCGGGACGCGGAAGACTCGAAGAAGATCCAGGAATCCAGCAAGGCGTTGAGCGGCGCCGCGCGGCAGCGGGAGACGGAGATGCAGACGTTTTTGCAGGAAAAAACTGACGACGTCGATTTGCAGCACCGACAGAAAGTCTTGGAGTCCCTGACGGCGGAGGCGCACGTGGACAAGAAAGTGGTAGAATTCGACAGCGAATCGGATCAGGAGATGGTGGACGCGGCGGAGATCGTCAAGGAAGCGCAGCGCAAGATGGGGATCGAAGTGTCCGAAGTGCGGGTATGCAGTGCAAAAGCATCGCACTAGTAGGAATAGCATGACAAATATTTCCAAGAAGAAAAATAGAATTTGTATTGCTGATTCACCTAAGATAGGAGATTTGTCATGCATCACAGCAATTGCTACGAGTGCAATTATACTTTTGCAATGCATAGTGGGAAACGGTGGACATTTTACGGGACAAGCTGATGGTGAAGAACACGTTTTGGGGCCGGTTGATGTATCCTGTGCAAAAGTATCGTGCTCGTACTACTTGCGTTTATGCATTACAAATCTTTTTCTTTAGGCAAATCCGCATTACAAATTTGATTTGTAATGCTAAGGCAATTTGTAATGCAATTTATATTAGTACGATGCTTTTGCTTTTGCAATTCATATGATGTTCCAAAAAGCGATGGAGGAGAAGAGGCGGAAGCACCCTGATTTCGTCCACCCCTTCCCCAAAACCTACGAACGGGTGAACGACTTGAAGTTCGAGGGCTGCGTCGCCTTTTTCATGGTCTTCAACGGCGTGACCCTGGCGCTGGGGGCGGAGCGACACCCGGACGTATCAAATGCAAATATGTCTGGGTCTGGAAACTTGTAATGCTGCGTTGGGAATAGTGAATGCCCTGTGAAGATGCACAGCCAAGCATGAGAAATATCTGCGCTTCTTCCTGGTGCGTTTTTCGCATGACAAACTGCGTTTTTGCATGACAGGCAAAAGGATCTCTTCTTGGACACGCATCACAAACTTTTTGGTCATGCCAGACAAGCATGACAAATCTCGCTATCTTCCAGACCCAGACATTTTTGCATTTGTTAGGACGGGTACCCGGTGTATTTGACCGTTTTGGTATCCAAAGGAAAAAACCGCCCTTCCCATATCAAAACGAAATTTCTGATGCTGGAATTGTGTACACAAATCCGAGCTGTCTTGCTGGAAAGCACTGCAGGCCCATACTAAGTGTGAGGAGAGAGGTTTTGGCCTAGGCACTTAGCATGAAAAACGTCCGCGCCGTAGGCCCAACAGCATGACAGGCCGCCTGCGCAATGCCGCGGAGCCTGCGGAGTTGCCTTCTTGCAAGACAGACGCCATTTGTGGCCACAAATCAGCATCACAAAGATTATACTCTTGCAGCATGGGGAGGGGGGATGTTTCCTTTTGATATTTGGAGCACATTTTCACCTTCGTCTTCGTGGTCGAGGCGACGATGCGGTATCTGGCGTTCGGGTGGCCGTGGCTGTTGGAATTCTACAACGCCGCGGATGTGTTTCTCATCTTCTTCACCGGCGTCCTTGTGATGTGGATCCTGGAGCCGATGGGCATTGAGTCCGAGTTCATGCGCAACTTTTCCATCCTTCGGTTACTCCGCTTACTGAAACTGATGCGGACGGTATCCAAGAAAAAAACTTTGTTCGTGTAACTTTCGTTGGCTGACAGCATCACAAATTTGCTCTACATAATAGAGAAAGCCTGTCATGCGTGGCTTGTGAGGGAAAACACACACGAAAAGAGGACTTCGTGACTGTCTGGCATGACAGGCGTAACTCTGTTGCATGTTCTGCATCACAGAGTTAAGTACACTTACGCAGTTTTTTTCTCGCGATAGACGGTCCGCGCGGTGCCGGAATTCGAGCTCGTCTGGCGGTTGATTCGCGTGGGCGTAAAGTCCGGGAAGCTGCTCATGTGGGCGATCTATGCATTGCAAATATGTCTGGGTCTGGAAAAATGGAGCTTGTATTGCGTGTCGAGGATTCCAGAAAAATCTGTATTCCATAAAAGCAACAAAAGCGCCGTGATGAAAAAACGCAGTTTGTATTATGCGAACTAAGGATGAGAAAGGGTCCAAAAGAAATTTGTTATGCTGCACTGCTCTTGCAGGCGTGGTCACTCACGGCCATTCAGCATCACAAATTTCCAGACCCAGACACTTTTGCACTTGATACGATCATCGACACGACCTTCATCATGTTCCTCTTCGGGATTTTCTTCACCGTATCCACTGCAAAAGTATCGTATTCGTATTGCAATCATGCATTACAAATCTTTTTCTCAATGTAAATCCGCATTATTTTATTTCTCATCATGCTGAGGAAATTTGGAATGCATTCATACGAGTGCGATGCATACTTTTGCAGTTCATATACCGTCTTGGTCGGAAAGGCGGACGCGTTTGTGCACGACGACACCATCTTATCCAAGAAAAAAATTGTGTAAGTGTAAATCTGTGATGCAGAACATGCAACAGAGTTACGCCTGTCATGCCAGACAGCCATGCAGTCCTCTTTTCATGTTTGTTTTCCCTTACAAACCGCGCCTGACAGGTTTTCTCTGTCATGTAGAGCAAATTTGTGATGCTGTCAGCCACAGAAAGTTACACTAACACAGTTTTTTCCTTGGATACATCCTGGATCTCTTCGGCGACGTCCCCCGGTCCGCCTTCACCGCGTTTCAGGTCGGCACCCGGAACCACTGGACGGACATCGTGCGGCACGCGCGGGACCGGTCCTCCTGGGCCTGGCCGTTGTCCATGCTCTGCATCACGAGCCTGAACCTGGTCATGTTTAATTTAGTGACGGCCTCGATGATTATGTCGGTGTTTGACGAAACCAGTTCCGACAAGGAGATCAGAAGGAAAGCGGCCGAAGCGAAGAAGGCCATGCACTGGAAGATTCTGGTGAACATCTTCAAAGCGATGGACGAGGACGATTCCGGCGAGGTTTCGGCCCAGGAACTGGACCTATGCATAGGAAAAATCGATCTGGGTCTGGAACAGTGCAAGTTGTGATGCTAAGACTGGAGAAGACAAAAATCTGTGTTGCATAGACGGCAAAAGATAAGTACCCACTTCTTAGAACCACGCAGAGGGCGGGATTTCTCATGCGGAATAGGGATTAAGGCGCTCTTGCGCAAGCTGGGATGCTTGTGGGCGCATGACGGGCCAACTTTGTGTTCCACGAGATGCGACGACAAACTTTGCTTTCGTCCCGACCCAGACAGATTTGCACTTGATATGGCCATGCCATGAACAACAATCCAGCGCTGCAAAGAAGGTTGAACGACATCAACTTGCATCGGGTACTATACACTTTTCGTATTTTTTCAGTGGAGTTCTTGTAATATTTCATGGTTTGTATGCAGAGTCACTGTTTTCCGCTTGAGATGCTGCTGATCTTTGAAAAGTCATTTCAGTTTTTTTCGACGCAAAATATAGATTCTGAAAACAAAACCACTTCCCAGGCCGCCATGGGAGATCTGTGGAGCATCCTCGACGTGAACGGCGACGGGGTGCTCGACATGGAAGAGTTTCTCGAGGGTATGCGGCAGATGGAGGGTCCCGCGAAGTCCTACGACCTGATCAAGATGAATGTGAAGTGTTCCGGGCTGCAAAAACGGATTCATAAACTGGGTCACTGGTTCATGGCCACCATCCCGGAAGCCAAGCGACTCGCCATGCTGGTCGACAACACGCACGGCAACATGATGTCGCTGTTCGGGCTGTTGCGGCCGCTCGAACGGGACGTGTTGCGGATCGTCCGCCACATGGCGGAGGAAAACGAGCTGAAGACTGACGAGTTTGGCATGCCCACCATCGACGATATCAGCTTCGGGGAAAAGATAACGATCGAGATGCCAGCGGGCTGAGGAAAAAGCCGCGTTGCGTTGGGAGCACGTGCAACAGGTCCTCGTGGAGGCACGATGCTTGTCGCTGTTTCATGGTTTCAGGTTTCCAGATGAAATAACCGACAGTCGTATTGACGCCCAATGTACATACAGCTACAGTGGAGGTTCCAAGAACAAAATTAGTGATTAGAGAAGTTGATGCAAAAAAGATTCGAATATTTCTGGCTGCCCATCAGTATCAGTACCGCAACAAAAACAGCGTGTCTTGTGATTGGTCCAGCTTTCTCGTCGGCGAGCTGGAGAGAACAACTAGCTCGTAGGAGCGGAGTGTGGGTGAATCCTTACCTTGTGTCGAAAAGAAGCTTAAGGAAAGGAGAGTCCCGAGCAAGCGTGATGAAAATCTTCAAACTAAGCCGTGGTGAAAATCAAACCTAGGTTGCAGCTCGGTGACATTAAGTATTGATTCTTCATTTCTCTTCAGTATCTGTTAGAAAAAGTCAAAGCTTGTGCGACCATGACGCGGCCGTTCGTCCGCCACGTCAGCTGCGGGGGCGGGATATTAAGATGGCTCTACTACATCATTCTCTCCGGGATCGAGTTCGGCTTTCTGAAACCTCTCTCCGCACTGCTGGACCTCCAAAAAGACCAGGACGAGATGGCGGGAATCTTTCTCGAAGAAAATACCCGGATTACTAGCAGGCAAGAATCGCCGTCAGGTGCAAGCACTAGCACGTCGGGTAGTAGTAGTAGTACCAGCGCCAGTTCCAATCAGCAATCCCGGTTGGAAGCCATGCATTTGGACATCGGCTCTGCGATTCGGAATTTGGAGCGACAGGTAAACCAGGCCGGAATCGACATGGCGACCGTGCAAGAGGGGTTGAGTATTTCGGAGAACCAGTTGCTGCAAGAAATGCTGATCGACGACGTGGAGCAAATTCACGGGATTCGGCAAGAGACGAAGCGGAGATTCAGGAGTTTTTTCCTGGACCATCCGGTGGGATTACTACCCGAGAATAAAGCAGTGGAGGTGACCAGTAGTGGTAGTGCGACTACGAAAGAAGGAGATGTTGTAGCAGGAGAAGAAGGTCGTGGTGGTCTTTCTTCTACTTCTAGTGGCAGTGTTGAAACAAGCAGTACGAAGGCGGTGAATGAAGAACACGAAGACGAATTTGACAAGGAGCTGGCTGCGGAGAGAAAGGAGAAGGAGGAAAAGAAAGACGAAAAAGAGAAGACGGTAGAGGAGAAGGAAACGGCGGAAGAGGCACCGGTAAAGGAAGGGAAGCCGGCGGAGGAAGAGGCCAAGCCGGCGGAGGAAGAGAGCAAGCCGGCGGACGAAGAGGCCAAGCCGAAAGAGGAAGAAGCCAAGCCGGCGGACGAAGAGGCCAAGCCGAAAGAGGAAGAAGCCAAGCCGGCGGAGGAAGAGGCCAAGCCGGAAGAGGAAGGGGGCAAGCCGGCGGAGGAGGAGGCCAAGCCGGCGGACGAAGAGGCCAAGCCGAAAGAGGAAGAGGCCAAGCCGGCGGAGGGAGAAGCCAAGCCAACGGAGGAAGAGGCAAAACCAACGGAGGAAGAAGCCAAGCCGGCGGAGGAAGAGGCCAAGCCGGCGGAGGAAGAGAACAAGCCGAAGGGGGAAGAAGCCAAGCCGGCGGAGGAAGAGGCCAAGCCGAAAGAGGAAGAGGCCAAGCCGAAAGAGGAAGAGGGCAAGCCGAAAGAGGAAGAGGCCAAGCCGAAAGAGGAAGAGGCAAAACCAGAAGAAGAGGCCAGGCCGGCGGATGAAACCAAGCCGGAGGCGGACCAAGCTGAGTCCACCAGTGCGCCTTCGCCGGCGAAGGGCGACGCGGGTGACGCGGACAACAAAAGTGCATCAGAAGAGAACGGGAAGGAAGGTACGGATACCTCAAAAGCTGCGGCAGAAAAGAATGATGCAGGGGCGAAGGAGAAGGGCGCGAGTTGAGAGGAGAAGAAAGGAAGGTGAAGGCAAGACGAAGAAGACCGGGGGCGGGGGTGGAGCGGGCGAACCAGCCAAGAATCCGTGCCGGGAGCAGCTGGGCGACACCGAAAGGGAAGTAGACGTGAGGTACTTACAACGACCAACCTGTTCAGTACAGCATCAACCAACGGACCACGGTGTGACGGAGGGTGGGGCAGAAGCAGAGAAGCAGCGTCCGGGGGAAAGGCATCTACGACCGAGAACACGAAAGCTGACAAAGCCGTGGAAGCGGAGACGAAGAGAGATGCAGGGCTTTAGAGTGGCGTCAGACAAGAATTCTAGTAAACGCTGGTTGAGCAGTGGATTGTCGCAACGCGCACGCTTAGCGAAGAGAACAAGCTCAAGAGAAGTGCATCTTTTTAAATCGCGGATAACAGATTGGGCGCGCATTTAGTTTTGCAGAAGACTAAAAATGCAGCTTGCTTCAAAGAACCACGGCGACGCGAAAAGTAAATTCAAAACTCGGTAAAATTATCCGATCTTTTTGTTGGAGGAAGGTGCGATCATGAGGGATGTCTCCGATCTATATTTCGTGACGAGTGCACAGGTTCAAAACACGATCTAAATCTTGAAATAATCCGGCAACGAAAAGACGAAACAAAAATGATCTGATCCACCGGCTGGCTACTTAGGCGACATGGATGGGATCTTCTCGAAGGTGGATATGAATAAAACTTGAGCTTGCGTTCCATTAAGAAAACGATCCTGCACGAACCGCTCGACCCAATTTGCGTGGTCCCCTTACCTCAGTTAAAACTAAATACCGAACGTTTTTCGGAGTAAAAAGTAAACTAAACCCTGAAGCCTCGCTTCTGCCTCTAAAGAAACTTTTGTTCATCTTCCCACCTTTTTATCCAAGCCTTATCGAAAATGGCGGCTGCAGCTCCCAACAAGCGCGTCCGCAATGGTCCGGTCCCGGTGACCGTGTTGACCGGGTTCCTCGGGTCCGGTAAGACCACCTTGATGAACCACATTCTGAACGACCAGAACCACGGCATGAAGTTCGCGATCATCGAGAATGAGTTCGGTGAAGTGGGCGTCGACGAGAAGATTTTGCACCAGACCGAGGCGGTCGACGAGGAGGTCATCGAGGTGATGAACGGCTGCATCTGCTGCACGGTGCGCGGCGATTTGGTCGAGGCGCTGAAGAAATTGTACAAGATATCCTGAGTAAAAACGTACCCACACCGGAGTCAGGATGGGGATTTTGCAACACAAGCCTAGGAGTTTTAGGAGTCACGCATGACAAGTTGCAGTCCGTAAGGTAGTGCAAGTTAGCAAGGAAAGCCGCATCACAAATCGACCTTCTGATCCTGTTTACAGCATTACAAGTTCCCAAACACGATTGAAAATGCCTGTCATGGGGTTGCGCATCACAAATGTTCCTGTCATGGAAAATCTGCATGACAACTCAGGGGTGGGTACGTTTTTACTCAGGATACAAGAAGGTCGAGAAGTTTGACGGGGTCATCATCGAGACCACCGGGTTGGCCGACCCGGCCCCGGTCGCCCAGACCTTCTTCTATGCAATGCAAAAGTATCGTACTAGTATAAATTGCATTACAAATTCCCCCAGCATTACAAATTGACTTTGTGATGCTGATTTACCTTGAGGAAGAGATTTGTAATGCATAAATGCAATTGCTACGAGTACGATTCTTTTGCACAGGATATCTTCGTCGACGAGACCATCTCCATGCTGTACAAGCTCGACTCCATCGTCACGGTGGTCGACTCCCAGCACATTCTGCAGCACCTGGACGAGGAGAAGCCGGAGGGTGTGGAGAACGAGTCGGTCGAGCAGGTCGCGTTCGCGGATGTCATCCTGCTGAACAAGACCGACTTGGTCGAAAAGGAGGAGGACTTGGCCAACTTGGAAAAGCGCATCAAGTCCATCAACTCCCAGGTATCCACTTATTTTGTACGTGGTTTTATTTTATTCCCATGCTGTATTCAAAATTTTACTAGAACTGCTGCTGTTTAGTTTTATGCATGCCCGCATATAATTAGTTGTACTAGGACAGTTTATGTGTGCATGTTTTTCGTGCTTCTCCTCTTCCTGAATGTGCTATATGATCATGCTAGACAAACGTCAAACCACTACAACCTCTCTCAGGCCCCGATCCACCGCTGCCAGCACTCCAAGGTCGAGCCGCAGAAGCTGTTGAATGTGGGCGCTTTTGACCTGATATCAAATGTAAAAATGTCTGGGTCTGGAAACTTGTGAGGCTGTGTGGCGTATCATGAGGAGGCGACAATTGCTGGCTCAGCATGACAAGTTTCTGAGCTTCTAGGTGTTGCCTATTCTGCATGACAAACTACGTTTCTGCATGGCAGAAAAGTGGGGCTCTTTGGTAATGTGCATGACAGATTTAAGATTCATGCCAAACAAGCATGACAAACTTGCATTCTTCCAGACCCAGACATTTTTACTTTTGATACCTGAAGCGTGTCTTGGAAATGGACCCGGAATTTTTGAACACCGACGGCGAACACGCCCACGACTCCGCCGTGTCCTCCCACAGCGTCAGGTATAATAGAGAATTCGGTTGTTTGTCATATGCTGGAATTTCAAGACAATGACAATATGCATTCGGAATCCTACCTACGCGAACCTGGTTTGTTCGCGATTTAGACAATCAGTCATATTATTAGTACTTCTTCCCCATCTTCCCTCGATGTGACGTTATTCTATTCATCGTCCTTCGAGGTCTCCAACGGGAACATAAGAAACTGTGGTACTCGCAACGTGCGCGGCTGTCTATTTAATCAGGCGTAGCATCTTTTCTGTGCCATACAGTTAACACGACTCATAGAAACTTTGATCTAGCACCAGAAGACACAACTTCCAAGAAATGTATTTTCTAGAATCAGATCAGGATCAGTTCTTCACACCACGCCCGCTTAATGTTGCGCTAAGTTTCATCAGAACTTTGAGAAAGTGACTATGCTGTCGCCGGTATGACATGACAATAGTATAGTACCATTGAATCTCCAAAATCCTAAAACCTGAAATGCAAATGCAACAAACTTCCGATTGTAAGCCTGTTTGGGGTTATAGCTCGAGCTGCTAAAGCAGCATGAGAGAATCAGTCTTCTTTGCCTAAACAGCATTAGAAACTGGGTTCGAGCTGGAACCCATTTTACGCATGACAAATCATTTCGATTTTGTCCAGGTTCGAGGGCGACTTGAACGCGAACCGCCTGCAGCGAGGAAATGCTATACATTTGCAAAAGTGCTAACTTGCTCAGTGAATTTGTGGAAATCTCCCAGCACAGGGCGCGAAGTTGGAAGTAGTACGTGGTGGCTTGGTGGGTCATCCCATCCCAAGTTGCATCAAAAGGGGATCTCCATAAACAAACTAACTAGGTCTCTCGCGCAGTCGGAGGCTGCGGGTATGCGCCAGGGAGGTATGGCGCAGGGGGGCGCCCGGCAATGCAAGCATCGAAAACGCCTACGCCATAATCCCGGCAAAACCACAGCCCACCGGTATGGTGCGGCGGGCTTTGTTCTAGGCTAGATTTCTTTCTTTCAAGGCAGGCGGAAGCCTAAGCAACCAGCCTGCGCTTTCGTCCCCACTGAAAATCAGGCCGGCGACATCAAAAGGAAAGGCTCCCTCCCCATATGCATCAAGACGCAACTTCTGCCGGTGGGGGGATCTCCATAAACAAACTAACTAGTACTAGGTCTCTCGCGCAGTCGGAGGCTAGTACGGGTATGCGCCAGGGAGGTATGGCGCAGGGGGGCGCCCGGCATAGCAAGCATCGAAAACGCCTACGCCATAATCCGGGCAAAACCACATCCCAAGTTGCAGCCATCCCATCCCGCGACAAATGGCGAGTTAGTCGTCCGTGCGGCCGGACGGACGACTAACTCGCCGATGCTAGTTAGTTGAGTCAATTGTTACCCCGCTCCAATAAACTTCAGGTTCGAGGGCGACTTGAACGCCAACCGCCTGCAGCGCTGGTTGGACAAGTTGATCACGGAGAAGTCCAACGACCTCTTCCGGTACAAGGGCGTGCTGTCCGTGAAGAACATGCGCAAGAAGTTCGTCTTCCAGGGCGTGCACATGCTGATGGCAGCCGGGTTCTCGGAGGACTTGCAGTGGAAGGACGACGAAAAGCGTGAGTGCCGCCTGGTCTTCATCGGCCGCTTGTCCCCGGAGGACAAGAAGTTTTTGACCGAAAAGGTCCAGGACTGCAAGGCCGAGGACAACCTGCGCTTCAAAATCGGCGACAAGGTGCAGGCCAAGACGGGTATAATTCTGGAATTTCGATCTGCCACGTGCTGCTTTTGTGATTTTCGTTTTGTTTTCGGTTATGCACACCTTGTTTGGCGAGGTTCAGTTTTTATTTGATTCGCATTCAACGTGCGACGGATATTATGTGTTGCTGTGAAGAGTACCAGAAGTTCAATCCCTACAAATATGAAACTTTTTCAGGTGCCCAGAAATGGGAAGTCGGGACTGTTATCAAGACCTGGGACCAGGGTAACCCGTACCGTATCGAGATTGACGGCAGCGGCAAGAACGTGTGGGGTCCGGAGGACCGCGACATCTGCGTGCGCGCTGCTGAGGCGTAAGTAAGCCGGGCAGTTTTATTTCCGGTGGAAGTTCATGTCAGGACATCTTTCACGTCGTCGTGAATCGTCTTTGCAGCCCCTGCGGGCATGTTCACGACGATCTCTGTTGGTTTTTTAAAGCAGCGCTTGCGCTACTGGAAAATTCATTGGCTGTTGTGACACACGGCGAGGGCACTTTGCTGACTGCGGTGATGCTGCATTTTGGCAGAGCCAGCTGTAGAAAGCTCGGTTCGGTCGTGTGACATCCGAGTCAGTGACATTGTCTGACTCGCGGCGTTTTGTATGCTCTACGAAAAAAAATTGTTCGAGAATAAAGTAAATTTTCAAGAAAAGTGGTTTGAAATCTCTTCTTACGGAAAGGATGCACTGAAGTAGACAGAATTGAGAACATCGACAGCTATTGGTAATAATGAACAGGAAAGCACAATTGTAAACAGCTTTTTAATCATCACCTGTAACGAACAAACGTTACAAAATCGAGTGGCTTTTTTATCATCTGATCTTCCAAAAAATTCCCGAATACTTACTTATTTTATTGCCATTTTCCGCGATGCCGCAGCGGGGCACGCTAGAAGAAGCTACCGCTTCTTTTAAGAATCTAAGGAGAGACGTCGCACGGTGAAGGTAAGTACACGCACCATCCTTGCTTCCAAGAAGCAGGCGGGATCCGCAACTGCCGACTGTGCAGGATGACGGTTTGTTGCTCAGGCCACGTTGGAAACCGAGGCTACGGCGACATGTCATACGATTTTTTTAGTGAAGGGACTTTCATTCTGGTGCACCCTCTGTGGACACATTGCTCGTCACACCGAAGAAAACCCGACCCAACAGTCGACAAAAACGTAAAAGCAAACTTTCACAAATTCCGAATTGGTAATCCATACAAGAGTGGCTATTTTGAATCTATAAATCATAATTTCTTTCCTCGATAAAGGGAAAAACATCGTGGTCCAACAGCGACGAACCGCTGTTGCGGGTCGTTGTGCTTCAATTCTTGAGACCAGCAAGCTGCTGGTTACCTACGACAATGTTCTGCGTCGTGTCTGTACTTGTCTATCGGGACAAAAAGCGGTCGCTAAACAGTTGATCATCTTCGTCACTTGGGGATATTATTCGTCTCAAGAGAGAAGGTAATGTTCTTGGACTTCATATAGCGTCTCTGGGCGGGGCCTCGTAGCGGTCACCTTCGTTCTCGTTTCTCGCCTTCTGCCGTGGACACGCGCTGTAACCGAAAATTTTCTGATTCTGATTCTGATTCTTGAAAAGAGTTGCGATTTCTCGCGAGAGAATTGTGCTGCTCTTTTTATTCTGTCATACCAGAGAGAAAGCGCTTGGGGGAAAAAGAAAGCCACAGCGTAAATTCCTGGCTGCACAAAATTGTAGCATCCTGTTCCGCAGGTATTTTTTTTCGAACTGGTCTCTTTGTAGTTGCACGCATTGGACGAGGTAGGAAGCAAGAGAAGCGGTCCAAGAAGCAATGGCAACAATAGAACAGCACTGACTGCCATATAGTACAACGGATGTAATAATTTCAAACAAGCCGAAAACCTAGACAAAAACCATGCCGGAAGACGCGGAGGGCCTCGGGAATTACAAGGGCGTTATGCTCTGCAACCGCCCTGGCGCAGAACAGGTTGCCGAATCCAGTTCAAAACCCTTTGTTCCCGTCGGCCATCACGAGCCCGTCGGCGTCCCACCCCCGTACAACAAGGGCGCAACCATCGTAGACAGGCAGTGGGCGAGTTCGCCGAGAGCAGCCAAGCCGAAAAACAAGATATACGAGAACCATAAAGATTGGTTGAAAAGTTTAGAGAAGCGTGGAAAAGAGGTGGAGGAGGAAAGGATAAGTAACGAGCTTAGTGCGGAAGAAAAAAAAGTGCGGTTGAAGGTAACTAAGCACTTCGTAATGATTTGTGTTGCAGGATACACCATGGAGTAGCTTTTATCAAGGGAACGCTTGTTGAAACGGGTTGTCAATGTCATGTGTCAGCGCATGTACGGTATTACAATGAATATAACATCAAGAACCAGTGCAAAAAAAAAATCCCATGTCGTCAACATGAATGTTACTATCACCCAGGCCCTCGCGGATAAGTACCGAACCGACGTGCGAGCCATGATGAACCAAGCAACCGACGAGAAAAAGAAGAGTGCAAAGAAGAGGTCAATACCACTGTGGGTGAAGGAGCGATGGGACAAGCGAATCTGTATAGCAAAAATTAAAATTGCTCTGTGATAGTGATTTACGCATGACAGAGTTCTTCCTGTGCTTTCTTCTTCAAGATAAGTAATCTTCTACTAGCGTAAAAATGCGTAAATGAATCAAATGATCGTGATCCTCCACAACAGTTGAGGAAGCAGTGAACCTGACCCGCACCACGCAGCAAACGGAGGGGGATTCGAAGGACGAACCTGGAAATAAAGTTCCTCCAATAGAACCGGCTGAAGACCCGGAGGAGCTACTCGACTTTGCGTCCTCGCTGGATTTTGAGCAGTTTGTGGACGATTTGGAATTTCGGGAAGCGTTGTCCGTCCTGCGCGACCGGGCGAAAAAGCTGGAGCGGGAGGAGAAATTGTTCCAAATGAACGTGTATGCACTGCAAATCTGTCTGGGTCTGAAAAGAAGGGGACTTGTGATGCAAATGTTCCATCATAGAACAAAAACCTGTCTTGCATGAGCAGCAAAATGTACCAAGGTTTTTGTCACCGGGAGACGGAAACGGAATTTCTTATGCAGGATAGGCATGGGTGGACTGGGCAAGCCTCCGCGAAAGCTGTGATGTGAGGGCATGCATGACAGGCATCGCGGGTCATGTACAACTTGCGTGAGAAACTCCCTCAATCCTCCAGACTCAGACATAGTTGCAGTGCATAACGTGGCCGAAATGTTGGCAGAGGAGGGCTACACGGGGGATCGCGCGCCAAACCTGTTTTTCTCCGAGGAGCCCAACGCGGTGCTGAGCAAGGAAGACCGGGTATCCTCAGCAACAACGTGCCCACCCCATAGTCAAGATGGGGAATCTGCTACATACATCAATAAGCTTTGCCTGTTGCGCATGACAGCCTCGCAATCAGATCTCGCATTAATCATGCTGATACGAGCATCACAGATTATCTCAAAACAACACTAGAAAATTCGTCTTATGGGTCTACTTCGCATGAGAAGGATTGTCATCATGCAGGTTTGCATTACAACTCTAGGGTGGGGGCGATTTTTCACAGGATGCCGGAGGTTGATGAAGATTTTGGCGAAAAAGGAGAAGTTATCCTCAGCAAAAACGTCTCCACCCCATAGTCAAGTTGAAAAATCTGCAATGCAAGTCTCCAAGTTTTAGGAGTTGCGCATGACAAGTTTCCATCTGCAGCGTAGTGCTGGTTAGCAAGGGAGGCCGCGTGAGAAGGTCGCTTTCTCTTCCTGTTCACAGCATTACAAATGCCAACACTGGATTGGAAATGCCTGTCATGGAGATGGGCATTACAAATCTTCCTGTCATGGCGGATTTGTATGGCAATTGTAGGGTGGGGACGTTTTTACACAGGATAGAAGTACCGGGCCCGCATGCCCGCCGGGCTGGTGGAGAAGTACTGGGGCGAGGTAGTGCCGGATGAGGAGCAGGTATGCATTGCAAATTACTTTCTCTGGGTCTACTGGACATACTGTTGCTGGTAGTTGAATCGCAGAGGAGGAGCTGCTTGTCCGGCGCAACACCAGCATGGGAAAATGTGCGATTCTTATTGCAGACTCACTCGTAACCGTAAGCCGCATGACTAGCTGATTTAGTATTTCACGGCATGACAAAAACATTGGCCAATCGCATTCCAGGCATCATAAATCCTTGTTGTCCTTCTGCTTCAACTCTTGCATCACAAATCCAGACCCAGATCGATAATTGCAACGCATAGGACGAGGATGAGGTAGAAACGGCCACCGACGTCTCACAGCTTGTGGACGATGTGATGCCCAAACTCAAAGCCATCCACTCCAAGGCCAGCGCAACCAAGGCGGTCACCACCGCGGTTGAGGGCAAGGAGTGAGAAGCTGAAAAAGTGCACCAGGACGACGAGGAGCTGCGATGCACGGGACCTGCGAGACGAGCTGGCTCAAGCTGTGCAGCTGATGAAGTGTGTGCACAACTATCTTGCTTAGCAAGAACCGTTTTAGTATCCTCGTTTTGAATCAATTCATCAAATCCAAACGTCTATTTCCTCAACATCGTAATTGATGTAGTGCGGAAAAATAACTAATACACAAAAAACCGTTTTCATCATCAAAGCTATTTGCGATCAGGTCTGAATCTGGTTCAGATCTTGCGAGTACAAGACCCGTTTTCATCAAGTTTATTCACCGATCACACACGACGACAATGTTGTTTATCTAACTAAAAATCTGAACGGAGTCTATGGCGAAATGAATGTTGTAAATGCAATTAGATGGTGGAGAACAAGACGTGCTGCTGTACAAAAAGTGTTTCAATGGCCACCGCAAATGAACGCGAAACCAAATAAAGTACTAGATCGTGCTGCCAAAATCAAGCGGAGCAGAATCAAGCTGTGCTGGGAGCGGCAAAGCCCGACGGGGGGCACAACACTCGAGGAGTTTTCAATTTGTGATCACCCGTCGGTCTTAATGTGATTTGAATGTCAGATTAGCACCTATGAAATGAAATGAGACTACACCTTCTGAGTCGAGCCGATCCTTCGGAATCAAGACATTTCAGCGAGGACAAGAAGGAGGTCATTGTCATGAGCGTGGAAATTTGAATTTCAGATCTGGCGCGGCTCTTCCCGTGATAGCAAAATGTTGATCCCCTTCGGTGGTTCGTTCGCGAGTTTTCTGTTGCAATAGAATCTTTACCGATCATAAATCGTGAGAAATTCATTTTTCCGACTTCTACCGCTGACACCTAGCAGCAGGTTCTTATTATTCCTTTTCTATTGGATTTGGCATTGCCTTTGGGCGAAAGTAAGATTCTTATATAATGCAAGAGCAAGAAGACGCGCCGTTTTTCTTCTGAGTGTGGGCCTCAGTAAAAAACTTCAAGTGAGTATAAAACTTCCCCCCGCATATTGACTTTTTTCTTTCGAAGCTACGGTTCGTAAATTGCTCCGCTTTATTTTTTCCAACTCATCGGGATATCAGTACCTTCCTCAATTTCTATTTCTTGAATTCGAGAAGTAGTAAAATTCAAGTATTAGTATTAGTTCTTCGTGTTGCAAGTTGGTCACTCCTTCTGTCAACAAAAACTATTATCACACATCACCCCACAGAACGAGAAGTATGCTGCTGTTCTTGCGAACGAGCACAGCCGGCTGGCTTGCCTGCTGTTTGCTTCGCTGTCCGTTCTCTGCCGCTGCCAGGGTTCTTTCCGGCGAAACAACATCTGCATCAAGTACAAGTGGGAGCACCTCGGAAACCGCGCCCGCGCGTGCTGGGAAGGACAGTGCTGGTGCTCGTGTTTTGCGCAGTGTCAATATCGTGTCGAACATCCTTTCGTATGCAGATGGTGTGGTATCACGGGACCAGCTGCTGTTGCGGGACCGAGCACAAAAAAGGCTCAAGGATTATAGACAGCGAGGAGGATTCCCACTACGCCTGCTGGCCCAATTTCTGAAAGGCGTGCTGAATATTTATAAAGGGCCCCAGCCGATGCCGAGTGGCGGCAAGAAGTTGGCGCACCGGAAGAAGTTGGCGCAGCACCGGGAGAAGTTGTCGCACCGGAAGAAGTTGGCGCAGTTGAACCGCAATACACGTGCCATCATCCGCCCGCCCAAAGCGCTGGACGCAGAGTAGACGTATGCTTGCCGCCGTTGGGGCAAGCACGCGCCAACGGAGGCCTTACTGAAAAATACCTGGGTGACTGAAGATTCTGAAGGTTTGGATGGTATGGTTCTCTATCCGGAGGAGTACTTCGTGAAAGGCAAAGGGCCAGCGAACGAGGGGCATCAGCACTGGGAGTTTACGGGAGATTTGAGCCATCTCGGAGACTCGATCCACAGAGACGCCTTTCCCCTGATTTTCGCGGCGGAGAATGAGCTGAGAGAGTCCTCGACTACCCGGGTCGGGTTCCGAGGCTTATCGGAAAAGGAGCTAGCGGCTGCTTATCTGCGGCATCAAACCCCCCTTCCCAGTGACCATGTAGTTCCTGCTTCGCTGCTGACGGAGGAGCCGTACTTTGAGGCGCGCGGGCTGAATTATTATCCCTCGGAATATCCACGACGGATACCGCCTCATGATACGGTTGATGAAGACCTTGTGTTGAAGTTCTCCGCTACACCCTTCAGCAGCGCCGCTCTGAAGCGCCTTCTGGATCCGCAGAAAAATCGTTCCCGGGGGCGATACTACTTCCCGAAAAATTGGCTCATTGCAGAGGGAGAAGGGGTGTTCACCTTCATCCGTTGCGGAGAGCCTTCAGACTACATCAAAAAGAGGGACTACTTCGACACTCCTGGTTGCGAAGCGACCGTCTGCTTGCCCGCGGGAGCGGAAGAAGAACTTGTCGCGGCGCGCCCGCCAAACACAGACGAGGATTAAGCGCCGTAGTTAAAAACTACCTGCGAGGAGTACCTTATCAACGTATTTTAAGGTCTAGATTTATTAAGATGGTGCTCGTGCTGGCGGCCGCTGGTGTGCACCTAGGTTTGTTGTTCAGAGCTATTTATACGAGTCTTGTGGGAATACTAACTAACTAACTTATTTATGTGCTTTCGTCGTGTATGAAGATTTAGGTCCTTATGAACACGAAGAAGACCTCCACCTCCACCTCCTGGAATGTGATTGTCAGCAAAGTGCCCAATTGCTGTAGCGTCTTTCATACGCCTTCTGAAGTCAATGGGAACTACTACACCGCTGAAAGGGAGCAGCACGATGAACTAGACTGCTGAAAGGGCAGGGAGATGACGGAAAATAAAAACTTCTTCAACTACGCCTACACCTTGAAGGTCTGTGCTACAAAGATCATCGTCTAGTTTTTGCTCCTCGTGCTGCTGTTCGTTGCTCAACCTAATCTCGATGAACAACGACAAACAAGCCTGGCTTTAAATTACAGATCGAAGCGATCTATGCGGAATCTAAATTTCACTGAGGAGATCATCGTCGTGAGCATGGAAAGTTCAGATCGATATCGCGGTTCTCGCCGTAAAGAAAAGATCTTTGACAAAGCAGCAAAAATGTCGATCCTTTCGCTCCAATGGGTCGGTCGTGAATTTTCTCTTGCAATATGTAGAATTTCTACCGATCATACTGAGATATTCACTCCGACTAGCGATCACACACACAGCAGCAGGTTTTTTTCTTTATCAACTCGAGAAAGTATTCTGTAAGATAATTGTATAAAGCAAAAGCATCGTAATTGTTTTCCTTCAGTCCGGGCCTGATTAAAATACTTCAAGTGAGTATAAAACTTCGCGCATAGTTAGTAACTTTTTTCGTTCGAAGTTGTAGTTTGTATACCTGCTCCTGTTCATCTTTGCTACACTGCTCACCGGGATATCAGTATCTTCGTCAATTTCTATTTCTTGAATTCGAGAAGTAGTAGTAAAATTCAATTATTAGTTTCTCGTGTTCAGCACGTGCTTACTCATTGCTTCAAAAAATATTTTATCACACACCTCCAGATCATCGAGAAGTATGTTGCTGTTGCGAACGAGCATCAAAGCCGGCTTGCTTGCCTGCTGTTTCCTGCTTCGTTGTCCGTTCTCCGCCGCTGCGGGGGTAGGTTTTTCCGGCGGAAAAGCGTCTGCATCAAGTAGAAGTGGTAGCACTAGCACTAGCCCGCGCGCGCGTGCTACGGACGAGGGCACTTCTAGCAGTACTGCTGTTTTTGACGACGCTAACATCGCGTCGAACATCCTTTCTTTTCCGGTCGGAGAAGCGGAAGATCCTTCGCGGGAGCAGTTGCGGGCCCGAGCACAAAAAAGGCTCGACGATTTTCGACGCGTGGCTGCGAAAAATCTGAGCCAGCAAGAAGTCTCACAGAGCGGCGGTGTACTGCAGCAGTTGGCCCAGTTTTTGGTTGGCGCGCTGAACGAAAAGTCCTCGCCGGGCGGCCGGAAGAAGGTGGCGTGGCTGAACAAGGACACTTCGCGCCTCGTTCCCGCGTCCACCGGCGCCGCCGGGAAACAAGCGCTGGACGCAGACCAGACGCATGTTGCTTGCCGCCCTTGGGGGAGTCACAATACAGATGAGATTTTCCTCCTCGAGACACCGTGGCCGTCCGACGGCCCCCAGAAGTTGTTCACCGATAAACGGACGGTTCTAAATGGGATGGTTCTCGATTCGGCGGAATACAAAAAAAAGCTACCGGAAATGCAACACTGGGTCTTCGAGTTATCCTGAGTAGAAACGCCTCCACGAGGTGCGTGGACCACCCCATAGTTAAGATGGGAACTTGGCAACACAATAAATCCAGAAGCTCTTCGAGTCACCACGCATGACAAGCTTCTCTCTGTAGTGTAGAAGTGCAGGATAGCTGCGAGGAGGACAGCCGCGGCGTTGCAAATGCATCTGCTTCGTCTCCTGTTTACAGCATTACAAATTTTTACAAAAGAAGAGGACAACGAGAAATGCCTCTCATGGGGATCATGCGCATCCCAAGCGTTGCTCCGTATGCAAATGTGCATCACATCAACTATGGGTTGGGGACGTTTATTTTCCTTAGGATACACAGGCGATGTAGACCAACTCGAAGCGTCGTCATCTTCGGGGTTCCACAAAGACAGGTTTCCGCTGATTTTTGCCTCGGTCGAGACGGAGATGCCGGAGGAGTTTCGACGCAGCGCGGATCTCCCGGAGGAGTTTCGGCGCAGAGCGGAGGCGTTTCGGCGCAGAGCGGCTGGGTATGTATATCCGTTCTTCGAGGCGCGCGGGCTAGGGTATTATGTTCACGGCGCCCGCGAAGGCGAACGCGAAGATCTGGTGCTGAAGTTTTCCGCGTCCCCCCTCAGCTTGGATTCGTTGCAGAGTCTTGCTACCCCGGAACGAAGTTTTTTTCTTGGTCGGTGGAGCTACCCGCGCAATTGGCTCCTTGCGGAAGGAGACGGGGTTTTTACCTTTATCCGCTGTGCAAGTCCTGCAATTCCGCGTCGGGATTCTCGAATTCCATTTCCTACTTCTCGACCCAACGGTTCCACTTCCGAGGAACGCACCTTTTCATACTTTTCATATCTTTACTCTAGCAGTCCTGGGTGCGAGGCGACTGTCTGCTCGCCCGCCTAAGGGGGGGAAAAATTGCTCCTCGGGGCTGCACGTCCGTCAGCTGGGGACGAGGATGAAGTAATATCGGAAGTAACAAAGTAATATACTTCGAGGACCACGTCGCACCTTGGCAAAGTATTCTAAGTATGTAGACTTTAAATTCAAGGTCGCAATTTGTTCTTCATCGAGGTAGTTCTTAATACACAACAAAACAGCTGCACTATACGGCTTGCAACTGTCGATCTTATTTTTTACGCGGCTTGTTTGTCGCGATAGGCCTTGTCCGTCGTATCATATTCGTAAATCGTCAACGTGGATGAAGCCGAAACATATTACATGCCGTGAAATCATTATTGCGAGAGCGGAAATACAGAAGACAACTAAGAACTACCGGAAAAATGGTCCATATGGGCGGCAGGACCTGGCGCAAGGTGAAACTAAGTAAAGTAGGTATGTGGATGAAATCAGCATTTTCAATGGCTTGCTTTTGTCAGGCACTGGGACTAAGACTATCAGTAATGTCGGGGGGAGGCTGGCAGGTACTACAATGTCATTGAAGCTGGTTCAATGACAATGAAGCTGGCAAGAGGTACATCAAGCATTTATTAGTGGACACGTTTTGGTTTATCTTTATTTGCTTTCGTCGTGTATGATTTAAGTTCCGTATGAACACGAAGAAGACCTCCACCACCTCGCGGAGTGTGATTCTTTACAGACCAAGTAGAGGAGGTGTCCGTCAGCTAAGTGCCCAATTGCTATAGCGTCTTTCATGATACGCCTTCTGAAGTAAATGGGATTTTGACCAAGATGGACACCGTTGCAAGGGCGAGGACATGAAAGAAAATAAAAACATCTTCAGCGTCTACACCTTGAAGGTCTGTGCTACAAAGATCATCGTGTAGTTTTTACTCCCCGGCGTGCTGCTGTTCGTTGCTCAACCTAAGTAATCTCGATGAACGACGACGGCAAACAAGCCTGGCTTTAAATTACAGATCGAAGCGATCTATACGGAATCTAGTGAATCAATTTCGCCGAGGACAAGATCTCCGTCGTGAGCATGGAAAGTTCATATCGATATCGCGGCGCAAACTTGCCGTAAAGATCTTTGTTGGTAAAGCCGCAAAAATGTCGATCCTCTCCAACGGATCGGTCAGGAATTTTGGCGATCAAATTATTTTCATCGATGATCATGAGATGATGAGAAATTCATTCCGACTAGCGAACACACGGAGCAGCAGCCGGTTTCGCTTCTTTGTCCTTGGTTACAGTATTCATTTGAGAGATTGTATATTATGCAAGAGCCCATGCTTTTCTACTTCTGAATCAGGCTTTGAGTACAAAACTTCAAGTGAGTACTTTAGAATTCACAATAAAAATTTGCGCATACTCATACTTTTTTGTTTTTCCGTTCGAAGCTGCTGTAGTTTGTGAGCTGCTCTCGTCTGCTAACGCATCGGGATATCAGTATCTTCGTCAATTTTGAATTCCTGAATTCGAGTAGTGGCTTTCTTGAATTTTTCCACTCGTAGCGCAAGTGCTTACTGCATCAAAAAAAATTCACACACCTCCAGAAAGTATGTTGCGTTTGCGAACGAGTAAAGCCGGCTTGCTTGCCTGTGGGTTCCTGCATGGCTGTCCTTTCTCTGTCGCCGCGGGGAGTTCTTCTGGCGGAGCCTCCAGTAGAAGTTCGAGCGCAGGCAGCGCATCATCGTCGTATGTTGACTTTCTTCCGGACGATAGCATTCTGCGCTCGGCGGCGGCTCTTTCTGATGACCATCCGACCAAGGTGGCGTCTTTGCGCGAGATTGTTGGCAACGAGGTTTGTGATGAGGCAATTAAAAGCGCGCTACGGCTTACACGTGGGAACGAAGAAGATGCGGCGCATATGCGAGTGCACGACTCCACGACCCTCCCCTCATTTACAGAGCATGAACAGCAATACAAGCGTCGACAAGATGAATGCGGAGGGTCTGCAGGACAAATTCACACAGATTTGTAGTGCTGTGTGGAGGGCCGGCGTTGAAAGAACCTGTCTGTCATGCAGAAAGTATGCCAAGAACAAAAGCAAAGATAAAGACGGGACGCGAAAAGAAAATTTTGCGTGACTAATTATTTGGGGAAGTAGGGGAGTCCTCGTGCACTCTCATAGCGCAGATTCTGCTACTCGCAGGCGACCAGGGCGGGGACGATGACGGAACCGAAAGTAGTGGGACAGATGAAGAAAGAACGGACCACGGTGCTACTACACCTCCAGGCAGCTCTGCTGCTCTTCCCACATCCAGAGCGAGGTCCTCGACCTCGCGCGGGCGGCGCTCGCCGCGGAGCCGGTCCGGCAGTGCGGTTTCGCGAATTTTTCAGTCACCAACGTCCCGTCGTACCAAAGAAGTCTCGGGGGCTCCTGCCAAGGACAGGGAAGACGCAAGAGGACGCGGCCAGGGGGACGTAGCGGAGCTAGCGGCGAAGCTCGGAGCGCTCGAAGTGAGCGAAGTTGTAGACCCCGTAGAGCAGAACATCGTAGAAACGACCATGGGCGGCGCAGGTAAAAGTGGGAGCTGCACGTCCGGGCCCGCGTCCGCTTGTAGTTCCCGTACTTCTCGAGAAATTTGGGGCCGCGGTAAAATCGTCGCCAATATCGTCCCTTTCGCCGCCGGAGTAGCGGATCTGCCGCGGGAGCAGCTGCGGGCCCGAGCACAAAAAAGGCTCGACGATTATGTGGGCACGATTCCGAGCAAGCACGTGAGACTGAGACAGGAAAATGGGGTATTGCGCCAGCTGGGCCGCGATTTTTTGGCTGGCGTGCTGCAGGAAGGGCTGGCGCGGGAAGAGAGCCGGCGGACGGTGGCGCAGCTGAACAGGGTCAGTAAACGCACCGCGGTCCCCCGACCGTTGGGTACGGAAAACAAGGCTCTACTGAATGCACAGCAGACCTATTCCTGCCGCCCTTGGGGGAGTCGTCCCGAAAGTGAACCGGTTCTCCTGCGGTCGCCGGGCCAGACGTCTCACACCATGGTGTTGCACGAAAAAGAGTATTTCAAAAAGTTACCGGAGATGCAAGAATGGACCTTTATCCTGAGTGAAAACGTCCCGCCCACGATTCATAGACGTCAAGATAATTACATGGCAGTTTATTACACAAGCCAAGAACTACATGTTTTGACTGTTTTGCGTGAAAACCTTGCCTCTCTGGTTGTGTAGAAGTCTCAGTCAGCTGGAGCAGTTGCGTCACAAATCGACCCTGAATGAGGTTGACAATAGCTTGCCGGATAGTTAAAAAAAAAAGTTAGCATCAGAAAATGCTTCCTGTTCTCATGGAGTTTGCTGCGCATGAGACACAATGTGGACCTGTTGCAGATTCACACGACAAAGAACATGGGGCGGTGCAAAAATTCCTTCAGCATGACAAATATGGGGTGGGGGCGTTTTTGCGCGTGATCACCATCACGGGAGATTTAAGCCGTCTCGAAGGCTGGTCTACCTCCCGTTTTCGCTTGCCGTACCATATTGAAAAGTGCCCGCGCGACCCCAAATGTCGAAGTGCTTGTATTGCAAAATTTTTCAATGCTGGAAACATATCCGACCTTGCATGTATCAGCATGACAGGTTTTCAAGCCAGAGGAGCGGAAGTCTGTGTGGCACAGCGCCAGGTAGTATGTAAGCAGTAATCGTCTTATTGAAGTCGTATAAATGGCTTTAGGAGATTCTAAAGCAAAGCGCGTCGCGTTCCGTTTATCATCCCCCTGGCATTTGTTTTCCATAGCATTGCAAAAAGTTTCCCTGGGGACGATGAAAATTTGCAATTCAAACTGTTCGGTCACGTCTGGTGGTGGGGCGGTATTTTTCATTTTGATGCGCCTCTGCTTTTCTATGCGGAAGAAACAATGTTGGAACACTCGATTGGCAACCCGGTCGGGTTTCGCGGATGGCAGAAAGGAGCAATCCTTTCCCGTAGTTCCCAGCCGGGCCCGGCTCCGGAGGAACCATTTTTCGAGGCGCGCGGTATCCTGAGTAAAAACGTACCCACACCAGAGTCAGGATGGGGATTTTGCAACACAAACCTAGGAGTTTTGTGAGTCACGCATGACAAGTTGCGCTCTGCAGTGTAGTGCAGGTTAGCAAGTGCAGCCGCATCACAGATTCCTCCGCTCATCCTGTTCACAGCATCACAAATTCCAAAACACGCTTGGAAATGACTCTCATGGGCATGCGCATTACAAGTCTTCCTGTCTTTGCAAATCTGCATTACAACTCTGGTGTGGGTACGTTTTTACTCAGGATACGCGGATTGAGATATTCTCGACACGAACGCGGAATGCATGATCTGGTGCTGAAGTTTTCCGCAATCCTATCAAAAGGAAAAATCCCCCCTCCCCATATCGAAAACGAAATTTGTGATGCTGTATTTGAGTACACAAATCGACTTGTAATGCTAGAAGGCCAAGAGACGCAGCTGTGGCCTCGTTTGAAGGCAATTTGTCATGCTGTTCCCCACTTCCAGCTGCCCCCTGTCATGCTGAAGATGCAAGGCTTTCCCACGCCAACCAGCACTACAGTCCGCATCTTTTCCCTTCTAGCATGACAAAGCTGATTTGTGGCCACAAATCTGCATCACAAATCTCTAGTGTGAGTATGGGGTGGGTGGATTTTTCACTTTCATAAATCCCCGTAAGCAGGGACACGCTGGAGGAGCTGTTAGATTTCAAGAGAGGTATTACACAGCGCTCGCTATGAAATGTAAAAATGTCTGGGTCTGGAAGAATGCAACTTGTCATGCTAAATCTGAAGCATGCAAAAATCTGTGTTGCGTGTTTACCAAAAGCTGTCCACTTTTGACCTAATCGAGAGGCAGTTTCTCATGCAGGATAGGCATGAGAAAGGTCTCGCAGAATCTGTCATGCTATGTCCCACATACCAGACGAGACCTCGTGGGTCATGGAAAACCTGCATGACAAAATCTGGCAATCGTCTAGACCCAGACATTTTTACAGTTGATAATCGCAGTTTCCGACCAATTGGCTCCTTGCGGAGGGAGACGGGGTTTTCACGTTCATCCGCTGCAGGGAAAACCCGGGAGGCGCCATGGCAGGGGCTCGCTTATCAAATGTAAAAATGTCTGGGTCTGGAAGAATGCAAGATTTGTCATGCAGCTTTTCCATGACCCATGCGGTCTGGAATGCAGGACCTAGCATGACAGATTCTGTGCGATCTCTCTCATGCCTATCCTGCATGAGAAACTCCCTCCCGATTTGGTCAAATAAACTGGACGACTTTTGGTAATCATGCAACACAGATTTTTGCATGCTTCAGATTTAGCATGACAAGTTGCATTCTTCCAGACCCAGACACTTTTACATTTGATATCCCTTTGCGGATTCTGATTTCCGCAAATACGGCGACCCCACGAACAAGTATTATCACAGTGTGGGCTGCGAAGCGGCCGTCTGCAGCTTGCCCATGCCCGCTTAAATGACGAAGGATAAGAAATCACTTCTCTTCACAGGAGACCGGGGAGGAAGCATTTGTTCAACCTAAGTTTTTTACTATCGAGCTCCTTGCACTTAATAAGCACTGCAAATCTATAAATTATTTCTATTTATTGAGTACTACTGCTTTCGTCGTGTATAATTAATTTGAGCAAAAGGAGTAACTTTGAATCTTATAGTGATGACAAGGTTAAAAAAACAAAAACAAAACGATCAAAGAATCGCAATCTACATCTTTCGCACGACATTTTTTCACGAGGTTCGTTACAACTGTAGTCAGATGTGTTTTTTTTCAACAGAGTTAGTGCATTTTTATAGTTTTGAAGCGAGTACGCTACCAGCAGCTAGTTATTTTTGTCAAGATTCTTTTCGCTGAGGTATTTTTATTGAAATAGCGCTAAAGGAAAAAGGTGACGGTGAGTAATCGCGTTTCCACCACAAACAAATAAACAAAAACAAGAACATGACTATGAAGATCTCGAACCCTGGTATTATAATTGAAGCATTTATTCCATTTGAAATAACGCCTGCTGAAATGAATTCAGGCAACAGGCGCAGCAGCACATTGGGGATGAAGACCGTGGAACATTTACCGCCGGCAGCAACACGCACAGTAGCACTATCACCAGTCCAGTTACTGCGTTGCATCGAACGAGAAAAATATTAGACCACGTTGGGATCATAATATTATAAGTGCCGCAAATGCGATGACGCAAACAGCTGCTGAGTTACTGCAAGCCGGTAAATAGGGAAGTGAAGAAAACGAAGACGTTGAAGCGCGAGAAGTAGAAGCGCGAAGGAAAACAAAATCGCTTTCCCACCAGGTGAAAAGAGTGTCAACGTAGCACGCCTTTATTTCGCCTGAATTAAATAAAGAGAGTGAAATGAAAGTAAAATACCCCATCTAGGGTGTTGAGTAAGTCATTCACTCACGAGTCAAAAAGAAACACTTCTACCGTCGAAGAAGCATCAAAGTGCAGAATTTTTGTTTACCAGCGTAGATAAGTACTGCGCCACATTTTGGGAACAATCACACCAGGAATGAACGCCGCTGTAAAAAGGGGACGGGGACAGTGAGCCTGCCTTTCACTACATTGTGAAGTTCGCTACGATCATCGTCGTTTTTTGATTGGTCATGTAAGAAATTACTACGGTTAATGAATTAATTTCAGGAGTACACGAAGTTCTTGCGCCGGGATCTCATTTTTATTTTTTGTAGAGCTGGAGTACTTGTCTTCCGCAGTCGCATTTCGGTAAGTCAAGGTCTTGTACAGTCGTGAAGTCGAGCGAGGTGGAATTGGTTTAGCACACATTCGAAATGATCCTTCGGAGTAAAAACGGGCATGAAGATCTCTGCGAGGAACATCAAACGTTTTAATTGCTCGTGGAAAAAGGGACAAAGGCGTTCCTCGCTTCTCCAAAGATGGTTCATCTTTCTGCGCGTCGCGCAGTTTCTGGTGCGCAGCACCTTCGGCGCAATGAGCGGGGCCGGGCGAGAAGAGGATCATCGGGGGGTGGAGGGGGCACGACAGCATGGTGTGAAGAAAACAAAACCGTTGTTCCGCACTCCGACCCCCTGTCTCCGCACCGGATCCGGCGACCTAGAGTACGGCATTAACCCGTTGGAAAGCGCGCTTGATGGGTCGAGAGTGTTCAAACACCACGAAATTTTCTGCCACTTTCCCCCCTTCGTCGCGCCAGCGAACCGCACTATTCTGTACGAGTTCAGCGGCCTCAAGGTCCCCGTCCGCTTCGACTGCGCGAACCAGCGGCAGTGGCACGTCTGGGGCACGTTCGATTTGGGCGTGAAGGCGTATAGAACCTCTGATGGGGTGTTGCTCACGGAGCAGCAAGCGCGGAGCCGGCACTTTGAGAACTTCCGGGACGTGCCCGGGTTGACCAACATGTTTGCTTCCGGGGACAGCACTACAAGCAGTCTCACGTTCGCCGAGATGTTCCCCCCCTACACCTACTACGCGCAGAGCATGGACCGGCGGTACCAGTGTCACGTGCACGCGGCCATGCTCCAGGCGTTCATGCCAGTCTACCAAGTGCCGCTGCCGGTGATGGACGAGGAGTACGACGAGCATGTGCAGGTGTACCAAAGCGTCTGGGAATACTGGAAGTCGCATGCGGACGGGATCATAAGAACGACCAAGGTGTGGAACTACAAGAACGGGAGGTTTAGACGTGGGAAAGATGTTGAATCAAAATCTCTTCAAAATCCTAAACCTGTACCTGCTTCTTCAGCCTCCACTGCGGCCGCGAAGCCAGTCCCCCACCGTCCCTTCGTCTTCGTCGAGGCTGGCGGGCGCTGGGGCACGTGGGGGTTCCGCGCGTTGCAGGCCTTGCGGCAATTTGCGCTGACTCAGGACGATCAGGCCCCCGCCGGTGGCGGTGGCTGGACCACAGACGAGAGAACAAGAAGCGAAGCAGTTGTTCCTGCAAATAAAATTCCATACCACATAACGGATAAAAACGCGTTTCTTCATTTCTTCGAGATGAACCCGATTTTCTGCGACGGGATCCGGGAGATGGCGAGAGTGAACCACTTCCCACTGTCCACCCACAGGCTCCGCATCTACTGCCGCCCCTTCAATCTGGAGTTGTTTGGCTCGATTCTGGCGGATCGGCGGCATACGCCGGTCATCGACGTTCTGGACATGGATATTCAGGGCGGGGAGTCCATCCTCTCGGATGTGGACAAAACGTACCCCCTGTTGTGGGACCTGATGTGCACAAAGGTGAAAAAAGTCATCATCGGGACGCACAACAAATTCACACACGAGGCAATCGTCGAAACCTTCCTCGGGCGGAAGCGGAAAAGTTATGAAGTGGGTGCACCAGCAGCTCCTGTGTGGGAGTTGGTCGCCGAGATGCCGCACCGCCACGCCGTGCAAGCAAACATATGGATTGCAAAAATGTCTGGGTCTGGAAGATTAGAACTTGTCATGCTAAAACCAAATCATGGAAAAATCTGTGTTGCATGACTGCCAAAAGCTGTCCTCTTTCGACCAAGTTGGGAGGGGGTTTCTCATGCAGGATAGGCATGACAGAGACCTCACAGACTCTGTCATGCTAGGTCCTGCATTCCAAACCTCGTGGGGCATGGAAGATATGCATGAGAAGTTTGCATTCTTCCAGACCCAGCCATATCTGCATTTGATAAAACAGCACGTTCAGCAACTGGAACTTCACGATGGTGGCAAAAGCGATGGTACCAAAATGAAAAATCCCCCCTCCCCATATCGAAAGGGAAGTCTGTGATGCTGTATTTGCGTACACAAATCAGCTTTGTCTTGCAGTAGAGCACCCCAGGCAGATACAAAGCCCGGAAAGGGGTGGCTTGAGGTAGGCACTTAGCATGGCAGACGTCTGCCCCATTGGCGCATCAGCATTACAAATCTCCTGCGAAATGCGGCGGAAGCTCTGGCTTTGCTCTCTTGCAAGACAAACTCGATTTGTGACCACAAACCAGCAGCGCAAATTTTCGAAAGTACGCCTTTTCGATATGGGGAGGGGGGATTTTTCCTTACGATAGATGGCGAGGGAACGACGTCGTAATACGGGCAGTTATATCGCTGGTGGTGAAACAGAAACAAGTCGTGAGGATGAGGAACAATTTGGCATGATCGCGAATCAGGATGGAGAACTAGTTTTCAGGAACTTAAACCTCATCGGGAAGTGAGACGAGCACGAGAAATAAAACGAAAGGTGCAATAAAGCATGGGACTGCCACTGTGCGGGCAAAGAATTCATCATCTGCAGAACAGGTCTAAGCTTCTACTTCGCAAGGAACTCCGGCTAATATTCCGCTCATGGATGATCTGATTCTTCTCACAAGACTGACACAGTTCTTCAACGAACAATGTCATCTACCTATGCGAACTTTGTAGTTGTGTTTTTCTTTTTCCGAGATACATAGAGAGTTCGGGTCGTTTGCCTCTATATTTTTCCAGGAGCAGCCGGACGTTGGTTGAAATGCTACTGTATATTTACCCTTCAGAAGTTTATTATATATAAATATGTTTTGATGAAGAGCCAAAACCATCATGAAGGCGCACGAAGGACATGTCGTACTACTACGCGGCCCACGCAATCGAGTAGTAAGAGGACGACCTACGGGTGGAAAAATGGCAAGGCACTCTATTCCCGTTCGCCTTGTCACCTTGTTTTCCTTCTTTTCTTTGTACCTCCAGAACGTTCGCGCTCTGAAGTTGTGGAGCTGGATCACCGACGGGTGGCTGCCCCGAGTAGTGTGAGCAAAAACGTCCCCACCCCATAGTTGTCATGCTAATCTACACGCTTAAAATCTGTCTCATGCGGAGCCCCACGAGAAGCATTTTCTAGCCGCTTTTTGGACTTTGTGATGCTCGAATCAGCATGAGCTGCTAGACCTGTGATGCTGCTCCGCTGGCTAAACAGGACTGCGCTACGTGGCCAAACTTGTCATGCCCAACAGCCAAAGCTTGTTGATTTGTCTAGCAGATTTGCCATCTTGACTACGGGGTGGGGACGTTTTTGCATAGGATACCGAGCGGAATTTGTTCTAACGCGAGACTTGTTCGACCCGGTGCGAGACCGCGTGGCCCTCTACCCTCGCGCGTCGCGGGACCTGCAGCTGCGAAACGCATTGACTGCGGGGGTGGCAGCTGCTGCGCAGGATGACCTTGTTCACGTGCAGCCCCTGGGACGGGCGACCTCCGAGGAGGCACCGAGTCCGACGGGAACTGCGATCAATTATGCGGGAACTTCTTCACAAGAAGTACTAGCACCAACTGGTGGAGCAGCTGCTGCTAGAAGGGCTGCTGCTGCTACTGCTGCTCAAGAGGCGGGTGCTGCTAGTGGAGGTGGTCGTCGTACTGCAGGAGAACACCGAACAAGCGAAACAACTGAGGGGCGCAGCAGTGACGAGAATTCTGGAAGTATTAACACGAATCATGCAGAAGCCAGTGCGCCGTCGATGGCCGCCAGCGGGATGATAGTACAACAGGAACAACTACAAGCACAGCCACAGCACGAGTCCGACAATAACGATAACCGCAATGACAAGTCGCTCATTCCGCACTGGTTTGATTTCCTGCGTTGCCTCCCCGTGTTCGGGCCCATTTTTCACTCGGGCATGAATCCCGACGACTTTTCGGATTTCGTGGTGGATCCGAGCTGGGACGTAGCCAGGAAAAAACACTCATCCCCATCCATTTTTTGCATGACAAACACTGCAACGTATGCACGTTTTGCATGACAAATTGGATGGGGCTGGGTGTTTTTTCCTGGATAGAATGTGCAACACGGGCATTATTCCAGGTGGTTTCCCTGCTTTAACACGGTAGAGGACCCGGACGAGGGATCCGGGCCCCTGTGCACCGAGCTGACCAACCTGCGCGAGCTTCAGAAAAACTGTCTCTGTTGCTCCGCGACGCTGCTCACCTGCGGTACGGGCGGCATGCTCGGCACCTTCCCCGACCCGCGCATGATCGGCGTAATTTGGGCGGCCCACGTGGGCGGCTGCGCGGCCTGTCACCTCATGGTGATCAGTGCGCAGAAGCTGCACGAAAAGTTTCAGCCCGCCGAAGAGAACGACGACGCGGAAACCCGGCCTTGCTGTCTCGGAGTCTGCCGCCTGCGGCAGCGCCGCCGGCAGCAGGTTCTTGCTGGGGAAGAGGGAGCAGAGGGAGATCTAGAGGCGGATCAGGCCGTTGCTGAGCGTGGTGGCCTTGGACGAGTACAGCTGCATGCGTGCCGCCGCTGCAGTTCCTTCCTCCGTTCCCACCTGCCGCAAGTCGCCGGTCTGAGTAAGGAATTCAAGCGCCTTCCCCGAAGTAGAGCAGAGCTTATCAACCGGCGGTTGCCCGAGGGCATCTACCTGCCGGAGGCCGACGACAGCACATTCACCTCACCCCGTCAAGCAGGCGCGCCGGGCACAAGACCTCTCGTTGCTGGGTTGTGGTGCCTGCAGCTCAGCCCTGCTGACGCCCGCGGTGTGTTCCGCGGCACGGAGGGGGGCGAGGCAGATCCCAATGTTCCGTGCCCTGTTTGTGCGGAGATGATGGAGCTCCACGGACGAAGATCTCATGAACAGCAATACCGGCCCGGTAAAAATGTTGCTGGGGCTTCATCATCTGCGGTGGACACGAGGAGCCGTGGCGGGGAAGGCTCCTCTAGTACTGCAGGTTCAACATCCACTTCTTCATTTCCTTCCCGTTCCAGTATCGGAATTTTGCAGTGCCCGGGTGAACACGCGATCTGCCGCGGCTGCGCGGAGAATCTCTCCGTCCGCCACATGTGGGAATGCCCCACCTGCCGTGGCTTTGTGGGGGCGCGAACGACGGTGTGTAGCTCTTTCTCTCGCAGCTGTTCAGTTGACGAAAGACAAGAGCAGCTTCGTGCAAGAGCTGGTCGTGCCGCTGGTGCTGCCTTCAGCGGCCCGCTCGAGAGGGTGGACGCTGCCGACCCAAGCGAGACGACAGAAGCAGCAGGAAGTGCTGGAGGTACTAGTGCCACGTCGGTGGCGAATGGACGACGCCCATCTTCGAGGGCCTCGAGGCACTTTGTAGGTTGGGTGCTAGCCGCAGCGCCGGCAGCGGACTCAGCTGCGGCATCGCAGGAGGCGGATCTGTTTTCTCCTCCTTCATATTGTTCCGGGGCAGCAGGAGCTTTTCAACACGTTCTCGGAGAAGCGAAGCCGGTGCAACAAACCATGACTTTATGAAAGAAAAACAGTCTGTTTCTTTTGACTTCTCCATCAAAAGTCTGTTCAAACGAAAACTGAAGCGATTTATATATGATCCCGCGCATGATTCCCAGATGGTGGTGCAGTTGATCGATGCACTTTGCGTAGTTTCAAGCCCATCGCCATATGTAAATAGTATAACAATCGGGTAAATAGTAGCTGGAGAAAAGTACTGACTATCTCCTTTTTGTATCTGATCTGCAATGTTGATTTCTCTGTGTGATTCCAATTTGATTTTCGATTTTCGGTTTGTTTACTTGAACGTCAAAAATGTCCTTTCATCTGTGTCGTGGGTGGAAGAATTATATAAGGGGGCATTTTGTCGTGGCTTTCGGTTTCGTCGGGATCATCTAACTAACTAACTATCTGCAAAGGGCACCTATTCGTCCTGGTGGTCCATAATGTCGTTCTTAAACGAATGGGTCAGCACTCAACAGCTGCAGCTCTCTGATGGACGTACTCGTCTTCACGACCGTGTTATTCCGCGAAGCAACAATTCTGTAAATGCATTCCACAGCTTCATCTCTGCAGACCACTTTATCGCGTGGTTTTCTTCTGCGTTTTTTTCAATCGTGAAAAAATAATAACTCTGTTCTTTTACGCACAAGCTTATACCGTTTTATTTACCACAAAATGTCGGCAAACTTGACGCAGACGGTTCTGACTCTGAATAAGGAGTTCGACAAGGCTCAGGACAACCTGCACTCGATTGCTATGGAAGTGTCAGAATCGAAATTGACAAAATCGAAAAATTTGTGATGCACAAAATCGATGTCAGTTGGAGCCTCAGTCTCCAAGTGGCGCATGACAAATTTCGGGAGCACCCAAATCCAGTTTGTCATGCAGTTTGGGCGAAGAAGACTCCTCCTGTCATGCTACCCTGGCAGCACATTTTATAACCCTAAACAGGCTCACAATCGGTCTCATTTGCCTGCTCCCCAATACAGGCCTTCAGTGCCCTACATTTTACGCATCACAGATCATTTCGATTTTCTTTGTTGATTTCGATCCTGACAGTTCCATAATTGCCCAGCTCTGCAGCCAAGCGGAAGAGCGGATCCGCAAGTCGCAGTCGCTGCAAAATGACTTTGCACGGTACAGGATATTGGTCTGGTGTTTGTCAACTACATACGAGATGAGTACACATGCATGGCAGTATTTGATGTCATGCAAGTAACTAAAGCTATAGCTCTGTCAAAAATTCTCTCAGGCAATTCCACCGGCTCTCTGAGCAGACGCGGCAGATCATCACCGCTGCAGAGTCGCTGCAAGACACGGATCCGACACTGAAGTGAAAATTTGGTGGTAGCTTGGTTGATCAGGATGACAAATTTGGCTCTGGTGATGTACAAAGAGGTTTTTCTTCAGGGATACTTACTTGTATGATGTGATCGCTCTATCGCAACTTAAATTTCGACGTTGTCACACTGTACGGCTGGCAATTAGCAGTAGTTCAGGACTGGGAGAATGAAAGAGAAAATATAAGAATTGGACCGCAGATTCAGATACTAGTACCCGCTAGTTACTTTGCAGATGAAATAAAATCGTTGTACTTGATCGTGCTAGAGGGCGTTCACCACCAGCGTTTCTTTGTTCATCGTTTGTCGTGTTCGTCTTCGTTCTACCGTCGTTCAAAGAAGTCGCTCGCAATCGGTATCGCATTTTTTTTTCGTTCTTAGACGACGTGGTGTGTTTATCGAGGAAAACAAAATCGTACAGTCGTGCAGGGCCATCAAAATCCCAAGAAAAGTGAGTGCGGTAGTACTTCTCTAGCAAGAAAGTGGTATCAGATTTCAGACGAGTCGGTTGCATCTTTTCCACGACATAGGAAATGACGGCTTCGTATTATCATACCTGGTTTTTTCCCAACTCGAATCATTGAACAGGACCTCATTCAGGACTAGACATTCGTAGCTTAAGTACGTAGAGTAGACCTCCGTTTTTATTCTCAGTCAGAACAGTCGTCTACGTCTTCCTCTTCTTCAGGGTGTTGCTTGATTATTTTTACTGGGTGTTGCTACTCCCTTTGCTGATAGACCTCATCGTACGGGTATGTGACTAGGCGTATGTATTTGTATTCTAAAGAGGAATCGAATGCAGATAATGCGCTTCTAGGATAGGCACGTCACACAACTGTACGTCGACCCCGGTTGGGGGTTTTGCGTCACCTGCTGTGCGGCAACCGCGGTTTCAGTTTCTGGTGTCCTCGTCTGCGGCAATCATGCACGCGACAAAAACGCGCGTAGCCGTAGGTCATCGAGTGTAGTAACTCGGCAAGGAAGTAGTAGTGCTGAAGAAGAAGCAGCCAACGCACCACAAAATGGCGTGCTGTGGTTGTTTCCGCGGGGGAGCTGCAAAAAAATCCCAGCAAGAAGTCGAGGAAGAGAACCAGTGGAAAGAACAACTTTTCTACGAACTGCAGCAGTCCACTGAAAACGCCCGGGAATCGCAAAAACAGCTGCAGCAAGTGGCGAACGAGGTGCAAGCGCTGAGCCAGCGGGTCAGCAGTGGAGGTGGTTCTCAAGGAGCAGGGGAGAATCATGGTGGCGTTGACGATTTATTTTCCGGCAGACCGACGGGTCATGGTGATGGTGGACAACTCTCGTCGTCGTCCGCACCAGGTGGTACCACAACTCGACTCGCAGCAGATTCTGTCGCTGAGGCGAGACTGGAGGACATGCTTGGCGAGCTGTTGAAGAGATTGTCGTCCTCGAAGGGCCGGAGCCGTGTTTCTGATGGGGACAGAGCTACGAAAAGATCCAAAGCGGGCACCACGACGAGCGGGCCCTCTAAAGAGGATGTAGTGGGGAACAAGCAAGATGGGAATGATGACGCGGTAGAGATAATAGACGAAACGTCCCTGAGCAAGGCAAGCAGCAGTTCTACTTCCAGCTCCGCGACAGATGACAAGAAGGGCCTCAAACAAGCCGGTAGTCTTCAAAATGCTGGTGACAACATTAAGAAGGAAAAGAAGATAAAAACGGTACAACAGAGAGTCAAGGCGCTCTTCTCGGCGGCCGGGAGATTGAAGAAAGGAACACAGGACAAACGAAAGTCGGCGGTTCAAGCTGAGATTGAAAGGGGAAAAGTGAAAGAGAACGTGGGGAAGTTTGAGGACAAAATCGTGGGAGCTGCTGCGAAGAAGAAAGGAGATGGAAAAGTGGGTACTAGTACTACTGTGGTTCCAACTGCTAGTACAATAACCCCAAGAACACAAGTAGAGAAAGCAGAAGAAGCAGACGATGACGTCGAAGCAAGTGGAGGAGCTCTTGCAGAATTAGCGGAAGTAGACACCAAAACCGCCGTGCCAGTAGGGCCCAAAGGCAAGGTCAGAGAACACATCGGGCTATTTCAGGACAAAATCGCAGAACAGCAATTAAGCCCAAGAGGAGATCCAATCGAGAAAAGGTCCTCTCCTCGCAAGAATATCAAACCCAAGCCATTCCTTTCTCGCCAATCTGCTACCATCGTCGACGTGCAGTCGAAAAACCTCAGCCATGCGCCGTTGGTCGACGAGCTCCAGCGACTGCTGAAGCGAAGGCAGGAGAAGATGACGCGAGAGAAACTTCGGCTCTCTTCAGTCGATATCAAAGGGGACGAGGCGGTTAGCACTACTATCGAGGTGAAAAGCCGCGACTACGGGACCAGACACAGCAGTCAAAGGCACAGCAGTGCAGTCGTTTGCGACGTCAGCTTCGGGCAGGGTCAGTTCGACATTGAGCCAGATCAGGAGATGTACCGACGGATTATAGCTGCTGGTGGTGCAGCACACGGGACAAGCAAGCACGTTCCGATTCACCTGCATCTACCGCATTCTTCGCATAAGCAAGTGGAGAAGAAAAGCGTGGAGCAGGAGCCGGTTGAAGACGTGACATTATCAAGCGACGAGAAGCTGCCATCTGTGAGAAAAACAGCAAGCGCGGTCGTCGCTAGCGGTGTTGTGCCGGAAACGGTTGCGGGTGCACAAAAAGAAGTTGTGAAACAGATGCGGAACACGTTGGAAAGAGGAAGTCCTCGTGCAGGAGGAGCTCCAGGCGCAGCGATCATATCTTCTACCCCGCAGGAGGATAGTATCAGTCCCAGGTCACCGGACACTCACTTACCCGTTTCGGCAAGGCAAGCACCACACGAAAAGCCTGCTGCAACATTATCGCCCAGAGTGGTGGTTCGGAATAAAAAGGATGGGTTTTTATCTCCGCGCGACTTCGTTGACGCGAAAGTTATCACGACCGCAAGGACCTCTACCTCACCTAGATCCGCCACCTCCGCCGAAACGCCGAAAACCAACATAGAAACGACGGAATCGTCCCCGGCCGAGTCGTCCACGGATTCGGATGTTGTGCTTGACTTGACGACTGGCATGGGCCAGATTGACGCAGTACAGCAGGAGCATTTCTACGACGTCGATGATGACGATTTGAATTGCGACATTGACGCCACAAAGTCCAGACCGAAGTTTTTACCCGAACTCGGAGATAAACTGCGTGCTTCTTCGGTTGTTTCTATAGAGAGCCCGCGGGTCAGCATGGTGTTGGGGGAAGTGGTTTTGCCCGGCGGAAGAGCAGAAGATGATCCGCCTGCGGCGGAGGTTTTCGAAGGTACGCCGCGGACCATGTCGTTGGATCTAGATTTGTTTACGACCAAATCCGATATCATTCAGGCGGCGAGAAAGAACCAAACGCTCGCGACCGCGGGGAGGTATGGTGGTATCAAACCACCAGTGAGTGCGTTATCGTCTCCTAAGCGACCAGGTGGCTTGACGTCAACAACGCCCAGAACAACTGGTGCAGCAGCTCCGGGTCGTGGCGTTGTTGCTGGCATCAAGCTGCGCTTGACGAAACAGCCCAAGGTGGCTGCGGGGATGAAACAGCCCAACACAGGTGTGGAGGTTTTTTCCGTGTCGGAGCAGGAACGTCGGCTACAGGCAGTTCCGAAAAGTGGCAAGTCCGTCCGAGAAATGGCAGCTTCGCTTGCGGATCGGATGAGAATGTCGGACGAAGTTAATAGCGTGTCGTCGACGGGATCGACACATCAACCAAAGACCACCGCGACCCAAATAAAACCAGCGGGTTCGAAAGCGAAGCCTTTTATCAGTCCAAAGCGTCCTTCAGCTGTTAGTACACGAAAGCCTTCTACGGCGAAAGTCACAGCTGCACCAGTGAAACCGCCACCGGTAGTCCAGGCGATAGACGCAGATAAAGAACAAGCAGATGAAATTCTGTCTTTACAGGCACCGGAATCCTCAATCGATACACAATCAGAACTCGCTGGACCTCCGGCAGATAATTACAGTGCGTCCGTCTTTGCCAAAAGGCCGAAACACCAAGCTCCGGCTCCTGAAAAGGCAATACGAGAAGAAGTGGACAAGGACAACAAGTCCGGCTCTACTTCCTCAGGAAGCGAAACTATAGCCATGGCCCAACTGGCAGAGAAGCTTACGAAAGAAGATGAAAACAGATTTGACGTGGATTTTCACGTTGAGCACGACGTGGCCACGTTGAGCACGACACGCTTGCCTCTGGCAGCCGGCCGAGCCGGTCAAGACGCTGACAACGCCTCCTCTGCCTCGTCCGTCGGAGAAAAATTGCGAAAATTGCTGCATCAGGGTGCGGAAGATCTTCCGGAAGGCGGGACTACCGAGGAGGACATCGGTTCAGACGCGGAGGTGCAGAGCGTGCAGGTGGACCTGGATCCGGATTATGACCAGCACGAAGAAGCACTAGCGCCAAGAGGGAAGCAGGCGATGGAAACTACACGACGTAGCAGTACTACTGGTAGAAGTAGAAGAAGCGAACAAGAAAATAAGCGAGGGAAGAAATCTACACGAGAAGGTACTTCTAGCGGCCCCGCACCAGCACAGCCGCCCAATCATGAAATGGTTCTCCAAATGAATCTGGACGCCTTCGCCTTGCGCAGCAGTATGGCGACCACGCATGTTGGTATTACCACCGACGACGCTACTTCTGAGGGAAATGGTATGGAAACGCCACCGGAAAGCGCTAGAGGTGAGGTGGACTTTTTCTCCCCGCGGGCAGGAGACGGGGGCTTCCTGTTCGGGCCAGATCTGCTTTCGGACATCGTGGATCGGAAAACATTGGAACAGATCGAGCACGGGCATAGACCTCGTACTCGGAACTGAGTTCTTCGGGATGTTGGTGCTCATTTTGATAGTAGCAGTAAGCTGAAATTTTTTAGGACAATTGGTGTCTGCTTTACTTCAATATAGGACAATCTGAAGACTTAGACTGCGCGACAGACTGTGAGTCTTGTTTGGCGCAAAAAACAACGCGGCAAAGCACGAGAAGTGACGTCATCGTGTTCTTTAGTCTCATTACATTTTCGGTATAAGTCTTTGTATGTTGCAACAGGAAAGCAACGCCGCGCTCCTTGTTCTGGTCACCACGAGGATCGTCAGTAGAATGCACCACTGGTTAGAAGTATTTCTACCGCAAAAGAAAAGGCTCATGCTGATGACAGACGATCATGCACCAGGTCTAGATTTTGATGTTGTGACGCTCGAACCAAGGATCCTTCACTTGCAGCATTTGCAAGCTTTTTTTTTTCTAGGATGCAAGTAGTTGGAAATCTTCATGAGCAGCGATGAACAACACATCATTTTTCGGCAACAAAAAGTACTAAGTAGAACACACCAGCATAGGCGTGCTGGGAGTATTTTCCTCGCCAGAGTAAACTTTTTTTGTCCACCGACTAGAACCCCTCCTGGCAGTGGGACTCCAAAAAAACCTTTTTGTGATTCGTATAACCCATAATTTGGCCGATTGACATTGAAGCAGCTGATCTGAAACTAGCTACCTTTCCTACAAAATGGTCGTGACCCGTTCCCCCCTCCACCCCCGAACGCTCGCGAAGGCGCTGACTGTCCTCGCACTCACGACTACTCAGCACCTGGTAGATGCGAAGAAGAAGGGGAACAAGAAGAAAAATGCGAAACCCAGCTACTCAGAAGATAACATACCACCCGGCGGCGCGAACTACGACGACATTCTTGGCGGTGGGGGAAAGGGAGGACTTGGGGGCCTCGGCGGACTCGGCGGAGACGACGGGTATGGGGATTTGTTCAAGCCAGAAACCAACTGCCCAGTTTTCACGTGCCCAAAAGGACAGAAGCCGGTGCAGAAGGGTGGGAGTAAAAAGAAGGACTTCCCGGTGGTTTACGGTTGCGACGCGAGTTCCTTTGACATGATGATGATGCTGGATCCGAGTAATCTAAACGGCGCGAAAAAGGGGGGAACCAGGGAAAAATTGTGGAAGGTATAATAAAGTAGAGCTGCTGCAAATTGTTAGTGCAATTGGAGGTTGCGATCATGCATGATTGACAAAACACAACTCATACTATGCCTGATGCTTTTTCCGCATCGCGATCTCATACACTACGAAAAATTATCAGTGTTGTGTCGGGCGGGACATCGGACAGCAAACTTGCGTATCAAATGCAAAAATGTCTGGGTCTGGAAGAATGCAAGTTTGTCATGCTTGTCTGGCATGACTCGAGAATCTGTGTTGCATAGCCACGAAGAGGCCCTCTTACCTGTCATGCAAAAACGCAGTTTGCCATGCGGAATACGTAAGACATGGCAGCCAAAAAATTCGTCATGCGTAGCTGCGTATTGCAGTGCGTTTATCATTCACTTTCAGCATTACAAGTTTCCAGACCGAGACATATTTGCAATCCATATTGCGGCAGAACGAAGAAAGAGATAGAGGACGACTTTGGCACATGTACAAACAAGAAATGCAAGGGAGATAAGAACTGCAAAATGAACGCACAATTCGGTTCCATGATGTCCGGGGGAATCAGTGGCGACAAATGCGACGAGTATAGGGATATTTAAACAACTACGTGAATTTAAATTTTTTTCTATTTTGTCATGCGGTGCATGCACGAGCACGAATCTTCTGAGCAGTGTGTCAATCAATCTGTGTAGCTGCATCATGTTTAATACATATACAACATTATCATCCAGGTACAACAAATCCCAAGCAGCGAACTGCGAGTGCGTTCCGGAGGATGACACGCAAGACTCCTTCAAAAAAGCTTTGAAGGGTTTCTACGGGATTTTTGCAAAAGAGAAACTGCCGAAGGACGGCGGCGAAATCGACGACCAGTGGATGTCCGAAACGGTGTACAAAAGCTTCAAGAAGGGACAAGAGCCGAAGATCTGGTAATTTTTGATTAAAAACTTGACAAAATTGACACGAATGGAAACGAAGTAGTACCACAGCATGACAAAGAATAAGAAAAACACTTCTTTTGGGTGGAAAAATTTCTGCATTTGACAAAAAACTCCTTAAAAACAGGAACGCTCTGTTCACAAAATACTCCTCCAATCTCCGGCACGAGGACAAGCCGAAGCCAAAATACGACTACCCGCCCCCCATGGACGAGGACCTGCCGGATATGAAAACCTCCAGTAGTTCTGCGGATGCGAAGAAAAACACAGAAAAACCGGCAAAAACCTCCAGCACATATGAACTGCAAAAGTATCGTACTCGTAGAAATGCATGACAAATTCCCTCAGCGTGAGAAATATAATTTGTCATGCGGATTTAGCTTGAGACGAAAATTTGTAATGCATGATTGCGATTACTACGAGTGCGATACTTTTGCACAGGATAGCACAACCACCACCACGATGCCCGGGGATGACGACTTTGGGGCGACGCTTGGGGGGGACGAAGAACTAGTCGAAGATGTGGAGTTGTAAAACCGCGCGGGAGAGGTTTACGTATCAAGAAATCGCACTGGGACGAGTTATAAAGCGATCTTCTTCTCTTTGAGGGTGATGAGCTCGAAAAATCCTATAACGACTTTACACTTACATCTAAAAGATGAGCGAAGTAGAACTTACATCAACATAGATACGGGACAAAAGCTACTACATCTAGTGACACACAGATACAATTACCGAAGATCTCTTTCGTTTTGAGATCTGCGACGCGAGCGGTAATTTTGTTTTTGACCGGTTATAATCTCGACACAGACCTGCTTTGACATCAAAAATGCGACATCAATTATAAGCCTGTGGGCATTTTTCCTCGGCGCATAAGATGGAGAAAGTGTCAGACTTGTTCCCAGCTACGGACAAAAAGTATTTTCCTAGGAAAGACTACCGAGGCCGCCCCCATTGATGTTCCAAGAATGCTGTATGTTTACTTTCTAGCAAGCGAGTTGTCTGTAGCTGCACTGAGTCGCTTTCATCGCGTTCTAGCGTCTGCTTCGTACAACTGAAAGTCACACCAACGATCAGCATTTTTCTTGAGTGGAGGCAGCGAACGAAAGAATATGCTTATTTCTCTGTTTTCTTCTTGTGATAGCATTTTGTACCGTAGGTCCTATTTTAGGTATGCCCTTACTACACGACCAGGTCGGTTATATCTAGCCGAACAAAATCAAAGATGGAGCCCTCCAGAAACACCCCCTCCTCCACCTCCTCCTCCGCCGCCGCGCCACCGCCTCCGGAGCCAAAATGGGTCGTATCAAGTGCAAAAATGTCTGGGTCTGGAAGATTTCTAGATTTGCCATGCATATTTTCCATGAGCAATGATGTCTGTAATACATGCCGCAGCATCACAAATTTTTAGAGGGCTTTGTGATACCTCTACCGCATGAGAAATGCCGTCTCCGCGTAGGACAAACCCGACCCCTATCCTTGCTGGTCATGCAATACAAATTTTTTTTAGAATCCACAGACAGCATCACAAGTTGTGACCTTCCAGACCCAGACATTTTTGCAGTTGATAGGTCGCGAAGATGAGCAATTTTGCGATCCAATACAACCTCACCTGTGCCTCTGCCGCACTCGCTGTGATAAGAGATGCAAACGCTAATATCAATCCGAGCGAGACTCCACCGCCCGGGGCGATTCCCGCAGAGCCCGCCTGGGCGTCCCAATTCCTTCTCGCCGCTGTCTTCGCCGGGACGCTGGTCGGGATGCTCACGATGGGCTACCTAGGCGACAAACTCGGAATCCAGACGGCTATGATCTTGACCCAGGGCATCACCGTGCTCGCCGCCTTTTGCAACGTCTTTGTTGCGCCGTTGTGGCTCGGGAATGGGGGCGGGGAAGGACCGGTGGTGGAAAGGAGCGGAACACCAGCAACATCAAGTTTTGACCCGGTACTACAAACGCATCCTCAAGCCGGCGCGGAGGGATTCTATTCCGGTTTCGTTTTCGCGAGGTTCTTCCTAGGCGTCGGTGTTGGCGGGATGTACCCACTCTCCGCTGCGAGTTCCGTTGCTTCGATGAGCACAACTACCGCCTCAAATAACGAAATAAACCCTCCTGATGAACCGCGCACCAACTACCCCTCCGCGATTGCGAAGCAGGCCGGGAAAGCGTTTCTGTGGCAGACGCCGGGCGTGATTGCGCCGTACCTGGTGACGTTGCTGGTCTGCGATAGCGCGATCGACAGCAGCGGGGGTGCAGCGATTAGTACTTCGAAGAACTGTATCAAAGAAAAAAAGTTCGTCACGATCACTCATGCGCATTCTTGCAATACAAAATTGTTTGTCATGCGTAAAAATGCATCACAGCCAAACTTTATTAGGGATCTCCCTAGTGTTTCTGCAATACAAGGAAAGTTTGTGATGCTGAGAAAACTTCTAATGCAAAACCTGCAAGTTAGTGACTGTGACAAACTTTTTTCTCTCCATAAACTGGTCTGTTCTGTCCCAGTTCCAGACTATTGTCGGACTGGGGATGGTGCCCTGCTGTCTGGTGCTCGGGAGGCACTGCTACGCGGTTTGGGCCGTCGGTGGGAGAAGAGGGAATACTGCAACAGGGAGCGTGAGGACGGTGGGTACTGCAACTGCTGGTGCAGCGCAGCAAGTGCAACCACGACCAGCGGGCCTCGAGATAGCACGCGATGTGGAGCTCGGGCATTCAAACTTATGGAAGTGAAGAAAAAGTAGTATGTTGACAGGGTTTTTGTCATGCTGAAGCTGAGTGAACTGTTGTGTCGAGGAAAATAGAGGAGCGAAAACGCCAGATACACTGAGGAACAAAAATAATCATGACGCATTATAAATATATCCTGTTACAACGCTACACGTTCACTAGCATATGGCACGCTTTCAGCATCTTCAGCAGCTGCAAACGCGCGAGGACGTGATCAGCAGCGCCAACAAGGAGCAGTGTACAATCCGAATCTGCGGGAGGAGCTGTTGTCCACAAGTGCAGCGGGGGCCCATGCACACCAGTCGCAGTCGGGTAGTAGATCGGTTCTTCAGTCACCTTCAGGCAGTTCCTCGTCCAGCAGCATGGACAAAAGGCTTCTCCTTCTCCTGATCGGCAGCGGCGGCACCTGGTTTCTGTTCGACGTTAGCTTTTTATGAGAGTGCACAACCTGCCCCCTCATTTGTATGGCATGAAAAGCAATACAAACAGCACCATACGTGGAGCCTGTGCATGACAAACTCATGTGCCGAATGTAGTACTGTTTGGGCTCCCAGAATCTGTCATGCAAACAGTACCACAGGGATGCACTTGAATTTGGGATTTTGCATGACAAACGAGGGGGAGGGAGAGTTGTGCACTGTTATACTTTTACGGCACATCCGTCTTCGCTCCGTTCATCATCGTATGAAAGTGCACAACCCCGCCCCCTCCCCCTCATTTGTATTGCATGAACAGCAATACAAGCGTCAGCAAGAATACAGGTTTTGCATGACAAATTTGCACTGGATTGTGGTGCTCTTTGGGCTTCCAGGATTTGTCATGCAAACAGTGCTACAAGGCAGCAGCTGGATTTGGAATTTTGCATGACAAATGAGGGGGAGGGGGAGTTGTGCACTGTCATACATCGAAAAGATTCTCCCACAGGCATCCCTTCAAGCGGTCTGCTGGCAAACGGTGTTGTCGAATCTGGTCGGCGTGGTTGGTTCCCTCCTCTCGGTCGCGCACGTAAGCAGTACCAGCTGCCGACAGGGACTGAGGCTCGGGTTTGTGCTTTTAGCGACGGCTTTTTTTCTCTTCTCCGTCGTTGAGCATTTCAAGATCGAGCTGCCGCCACTTGTTTCTGGGGATCCGAAGAAAACGGAGGGGTTACTGGCGCTGATCCTCTATTACGTGCTGCTTGTTTGCTGCAACTTCGGCCCGAACGTCGCAACCTACGTCTTGCCCATGGTGTGCTTCCCGAAAGAGTCGCGCGTGACGTACCACGGCCGGTCAGCCGCGTGCGGGAAAGCGGGGGCCTTTCTGGGGACGCTGGTCTACCCGTTGTGTTTGCCGGTCGTGGGTGTGCCGGGGATCATGGGGATTCAAGCGGTTGTGAGCTTCCTGGGGTACGTTATTGCGGAACTGTTTGTGGGCGAAGGGGAGGGAGGTGGTGAACAGACCGGGAGTGGTGCTCCTGCGCGAGATGTAGCACTTGTATCACGAGACAGCCGTGGTGGACAACAGCGGGCGCAGCTTCCGCTTTCTACGACGGCGCATAGTGCGACGGCTGCTGGCTCGGCAGCCGCGGGATCAATTTCTTCTACTCCCGCCTCCAGCACCGGTGTGCAGCATCTCGGTTCTGACTCAGGTGTTAGCCTGACCGCGAGTCTCATGGCGGACGGGAAGGATCAGCCACTGTCGACAACTGGGAGTGTCATCAGCCCGGACGATGACAGCACGTCGCTGGCGTCGTTTGCGAGCGGGTCGAACTCGCGGTGAATCGGCGGTGATGGTGCAGCTTGCGTGTTGCGGCGAGTCTCGGGTAGTACACTAGCTACAACGCCCAAATTGTGACGATACAGTACAAAATTATGATTTTTTGGTAGTTTTTGGTCTTACATGAACTTTCACACGAGATCGCCTCTTGTCCTATATTATAAGAAGGCTGATTAGAAAGAAACACAACTGTAGTTGAAAGCTACATAACACGCTGCAGAAAGTACTCGAACCAGCATGAACGCGGAAAGCGACAGTCATATTCTTGTGTCGATACGCACTGTGGTGCGCGGCAGGGGCAGCGCAATCTAGGACTACAAGTTTGAGTGGAAACTGTTGTAGCCGACATGTGTGTGCAGCTATTTCGTTTTCGAAAATGCTGAAAGAAATACAATCGGTGCAAAAGCCTGGGGTGCTGTTCGTGATACAGCGAATGCAAGTTCGGTTTGTACTTGTAACTGCTCCTATTCCGTGTTTTTTTCGCTTCTGCTTGCCAAAACAGAAATTGCAATCGGTCGAAACCCGAACTCAAAATTGTGCTGTAATTATTTCGGGCATTACGTGTCGCAACAGCTGCTGTGCCGCATTCGTCAATTTCGGTCAAAAAGTCATCATCGGTCCTAGGCACGACGTGTCGTGGATTACTAACTTATGTCTACCACTTTTTTCGTGAACAAAATTTTACGTCAGATCCTCATGTTCCCAAGCCATACCCCGATTATGTTTTCATTACGTTGATGCCCATTTCGTCTTTTTCTACCCCATATCCACTGCAGAACCCGACTCTATTATGTTTTTCTGCATTAACGTTTCAAACAGCTTTTTTTTTCGTACGAATGCGTGCAACTAAACCTCTCGGTTGCACAATGACCTGCATGACGGGGCGGCCTCGCTAGGGTCTGATAGCGAGCGAGCCCCGATAGGCTATTTCTTGCGATCAAGAAAAAGAACCACATCAACCATGACGGGAGACGAACGCGGGAGCGGGTCCCGCCAGAGGAAGAGAATGTGCGGGTTCTGCAATGTTTTTACGACCCTGGTCGTTTCCCTCCACCTCCTCCTCGCCCCCACCTCACCAGTCTCTGCCCGGTCCTGCCCCGGTCGCACCTACACGGTGAACGACTACATTGAGGCGGACTGTGTCACCTACGAGGGCCAACTCCGGTTCGAGGGGATCTGGGGCTTGAAGGAGATCAACATGCCGCGGCTAAAGCGCGTCCGCGGGGGGCTGTTCATCGAAGACAACCCGGATCTGGAGTCCATCTACATGCCACTTTTGGAGCGAGTGGACCACCGGTTGGAACGGTCCATCATCATCCGGAACAACGGGCTGGGATACATATTGACCACGACGCCCCCGCCGCAAGTCTACAAGACGACCACCGCGGCGCCCAGTACCACTTCAACCACCAGTACGTCGACAACGACGACGAGTCTGACGCTCTTCCCCATGTTCCGGTCCCTCGGGCAGGTGTTCGGCGGCAAAAACGCGGAGAAACATGCGAGGATGTTGAGCGAGGAACAGAAAACTTCACCAGCAAGAACCAGTACGGGAAGTGAAAGAGAGACAAGTGAACAACAAGCGGGGCATGCGCATGAAGATATTGATCCAACGCACTACCCAGATGAAAAGAACAATAAACCTGCAGACGGTGCTGGTCTTCAGCCTGGTCGTGAACAACAAGCTTCTTCCTCTCCTCGTGCTCTCACAACTACACAGATGGGTTTCACCACGGCGGAAAATCCGCTCGGGCAGTATACCTACAGCACCCGGCGGTGGATCACGCGGTCGAACCCGATCGCGAACAGCATGAATTTTCCCCGAGTCACGTACATCAGCAACAACATCGAGATCACGAACAACATGAAGCTCCAGTACTTGTTAATGGCGTATGGGAATTCCTTAAACCCGCTAGCAAACTACTTCAACACGCCACGAACCGGTCCGCCGATCGACTGGCCGAGAGTCGGGGAGCGAGACGGAGACGGGAACTTGTTGACAACCGAAACGGCGGTTGTCGCCGGCCCCGGGCAAGTTCTGCTCGCGACGGCGGGGCCACCAACCCTTTCCGGTCCGAGTTTGGTGGTGTTTGAGTCGAATTCCGATGATGGGAGCACAACGTTACCCCCGACAACGACCACGACCACCACCACAACGTTGGAGTTCGCTTTTATCGGGGTCACCGCGCAGGACCGGACGTCGATTATTTTGCACAGCAATCCCGATTTAGTCTTCATGAACATTGGCGGGAATGTCCGGGGGGAGGTGCATATTCGGGAAAACCCGGCGCTCCGCTCCATGTCGATGGACATGATGAACTCCATCCGGATGACGGTGTTCATTCACGACAATCCGGTACTGAACGGCATCAATTTCCCGGCTTTGACCGAAGTTTTGTCGACCGGGCTGCACTATCAAATGCAAAAATGTCTGGGTCTGGAAACTTGTGATGCTGGGTGGCGTATCATGAGGAGGCCACAAGTGCTCGCTCAGCATGACAAGTTTCTGAGCTTCTAGATGTTGCCTATTCTGCATGACAAACTGCGTTTCTACATGACAGAAAAATGGCGCTCTTGGGTAACGTGCATGACAGATTTGAGAGTCATGCCAGACAAGCATGACAAACATGCACTCTTCCAGACCCAGACATTTTTACACTTGATATGCACTCTTTGGTCTTGCGGGATAACGGAATTGCCTGTACCTACTCCGGCTTCATGCGGTTCCCGTCGTTGCAACGGATTTCCGGGATGGTGACGATCACGGGGAACCGGTGGTTTGGGGTCATCGAATTCCCCTCCCTGGTCGAAACGGGGCCCGTCCCGTCGGACGGATACAGGCGGTTAGAGGATGGACATCAAAAAGCAGCGGTGGGGTCCGCAACTGAAACCATCAGTGAGCGGAGACAAGAACAGCACACGACGCCACCCAAGAGCAAAAACAAATCTTCGACCTCCAAGGTTGTAACTACTACCCGTGGTAGCAAAAATGTTGACCGACATAACCATCCCAACTCCCTCGACAATCGTCGTGGCGGGCAGAAGGTGCCGGATTTGCTTTCTCCACCGGATTGGCGGTCCGGTTTGATGTCAGAGGGGGAAAAGGAGCAGCGCAGACTGATGTTTTCCGAAAGAGAAGAGCTGGAGCTGGAAAAACACGCTGCACTAGAACGCGAAAAGTGGGACGCAGAAATTGAAATAGCGGAAAATAATGAGAAACAGTTATTTGGTGGTCGTGTCAGGCAACTCACCACCGGCACGCCCTACACCACCGGGAAAGTGTCCGTCAATTCCGTCACTATCACGGATAACCAGCGGTTGTACTACGTGAAATACTCCGGGATTCTCTACGGCAGCATGCAGGTCTCCGCCCAGTCGGACTTGGTGAACATCGATTCGCCGGATCTGCGCGAAATCCGGGGCATGCTGTGGATCGAGAACAACGCGCAACTCGCGAGGGTTTCTCTAGCGAATTTGCAAACGCTCGGCGACACCTTCGACTACAGCTTGAAATTTGTCAGTAACGGGCAAGGCGCGCAGGAGCGGACCGGGTTTTTTCAAGCACATGTTTTACGGTCGACAACCCGTGGGATTGTGTTCGCGGAGAACCAAAACTTTGCGAGATTGCAATTTCCGCAAATGCAATCGACGGGGGAGACTTTGGGCTCATCCGTTTTCGTTCAGAACAACAAGGACCTTTCCCTATTGGATTTCAACGGCGAGATGGAGGGCAACGTGGTGATTCATAACAACCCAGATGTCGAATCCATCCGGTTGGAGGGTCTTGCGAAGGTCAAGAACGACGGGAATCTGTACTTCACGGACAACCAAGCGCTTCACACGGCGAATTTGGTGCAGTTAGTGGAATTGACCGGTGATTTAGTCCTGGGTCGGAACGGCTTGCTCGCCCGCGCGCACGGATCGGTCACCGCGCCGTTGTTGAAATTAGTCGGAGGAAGGATTCGGATAGAACAAAATTTCAATTTGGGCAATTTAGTTTTTCCGCAATTAGATTCCATCGGGCAAGCGGAGGGGGAATCTGTGGGGGTTTTTCAGAACGTGAATTTCCAGTGCTGGAACATTCTCTTCAACGCGTTGAGATTCGTTGGCGGTTACATTCAGTACAAGGACAATTTCATGCTGGACCAGATGGAGTTTGATTCCATGGGGAACTTATCAAGTGCAAAAATGTCTGGGTCTGGAAAGATCCGAACTTGTGATGCGACTTCCACTACACGCGCAAATCTCTCATGCATAGGCAGCAAGCGGTGCCCATTTCCTGTCACCAAAAAGATGGCTTTGTCATGCGGATTAAGCATTGCGGAACGTTCTCAAAATCTGTGATGCTAGGGCTTCCATGACAGACCTTCTGTGTCATGCAGAAACAGCATGACAAAAATCTGCATTCTTCCAGACCCAGACATTTTTACATTTGATAGAACTGCGGCCCGGCGCAGGCGGAGCTCGGGTCCTACTGCCCCTCCGCAAGATTCATTTGCGCGGCGCGGCATATCCTGAGTAAAAACGTACCCACACCAGAGTTGTAATGCAAATCTGCATGCTTAAAATGTTTGTCATGCGGAGCCCCATGAGAAGCATTTTCTAAGGGTGTTTTGAAATTTGTCATGCTCCAATCAGCATGAGAGACTAGATCTGTAATGCTGCTGAACTAGCTCAAACAGCACTGCACTACGCGTCCAAATTTGTCATGCGAAACAAGTAAAGTTGGCCGATTTGTCTAGCAGATTTTCCATCTTGACTCTGGTGTGGGTACGTTTTTACTCAGGATACGGCAGGTGCGGTACCCGCCGTACGATCTCGGGATTCCGGAGTTGAAGTTTTTGTCCCCTTTGGAGGTAACTCTGGAAGCGGACTTGACCGACCGGTTACTATACGGCGTGCCACTGTTGAACGACGACATGGCGCGGGTGTACGCGAAGTACTGCAAAGTGGACCCGATCCAGGTGAAAATTCTCTCCTACGCGATCACGAATCCAGCGTTAGTGCCAGGGAGTATCTCCGGTGCGGCGCAAACAACGGTCGCGCCAGGATCTAGTACGACACCGTCGAACGGAACTTCTTCTCTGCGGGAACTGCAACCCTACGACTACCCCAGCAACTACCCTGCAGTAGCTCTAAATGGTGACCAACGCAGCTCGCAGCTCAAAGGCCGCCAACTCGGTCAGGTCGCACGGTTGCTGGGCGTCCGGGTGGAAGTGATCACAACTAGTTCGATCGAACTCCAACGGGTCTACAACCGGATCGCCAGTTTCAGTCCGGCGACGTTTGCGGATATGACCGCGGATTTAGTGATTGAGCTCGCGACCCACATGAACACGCTACAAATCATCTCGGTGGGGCGAATCAACATCACCAGTACATTCGGCCTCGAAGGAATCACCCAGCCGCCGATCCCAGAGGGGACGTACTTGGACACATCCGATATGGTGGATTTGACCAAAGCACGGGAACGACCTGTCGACCCGGCGGACGCGGGCGCAACGGCCGAGAAGGAGACGGACTACACGTGGTTCATTGTAATTGGGTGTGTGGTTGCGTTCGGTTTGTTGGTTTTTCGGCTTTTCGTCTTCTTAACCATGCAGTCCGCTTTACAGGCGAATTTGTTGGAGCAGGAAAGGGAAAGAATCGAGAGGGAAGAACGGGAGAAATACGAGGAAGAATACTACGCCCAGAAGGAGATGGAAGCGAAAGCGAAGGACCACATGCTCGTGCTGGGGTCGCAGTTGGTGATGAACAACGACGAAAAACGGGAAGACTTGGAGTTCGGCGCGACAATGGGTAGTTCCGCCGCGGAAATGCAGATGCTGAGCCAGATGACAAGCAGTCCTTCGGCTTCGCATAGTAAGCACAAGATCGCGCCGATGGCAATTACCGACGGCTCGGCCGGTATGGAAGCGTCAGGTTTGAAATCGACAAAGTTGAAATAATTTGCCATGCATAAAATGCAACTCATAAAGTGCCTGTCTTGCAGAGTAGGCAAGCGAGGCAGACTGTAAGCCTGTGAAGGTGTAGAAATAGAGCTGCTAAACTAGCATGACAAAAGGCGTCTTCCTTACCCAAACAGCATTACAAACTGGATTTAGGCACCACCAAAATTTGTCATGCGTCACTTGGAAACTGGGTTCCCACTGGCATCCATTTTATGCATGACAAATCATTTCAACTTTGGCGATTTCGATCCTGACACATCCATAGCCGGTTTTGATGGGAGTCCGACTGCGGCATCCGGGACGTTGGCGATTATGGACCGGTCGTTTATGCAGTCGACACAATCAAAAATGCCCCAGATCTTCCGTTACGACGACGGATCCCGAGTCGCCCCAGTGGATTATGGCGACGGGATTGTCGTCGCGCCGGGCGTGCAGCCGTCGAAGCGGTACATTGGCGGGAAGGTGAAAATTACGCACAAGAAAAAAACGACGCGGGGGAATCCGGAAGCGTACACGAATTTCCTGCGGGATAGGATTCACAACGCGGACGAAACAAATGTGTATGAAGTGTGATGAAACTACTACAACTGCGCTCGCTTTTGGTTTTGTCGTGGTTGAGTCACTGCTTGTTATTCCGTTCATCTAATACTACACTATTGCTTATCATAAACTCTAACTCATCTGAAAAAGAACTTTTCGTTGATAAAAATGCCTACCGAAACGAAGTAGCAATTGATTGATACCCTTAAGTTACCATCTAATATCCAAAACAATTCGAAACTCTGCATCGGCTTTGAAATACATAACCTGTAGCTATTTGAGAAGGACTTGAGAACACACTTCTGTTGAGACAAAATGTACATAGAATGACTTGGAGTTGTTGGAGCTAATTGTCCGCAATGCACTGGCATTTGTCATTTCGTTGGTGCACCGCGATCCCGGTCGCTTGATTTGTCGCGCAGGCGGTTGATGATGCATGTTTGTTCGAAAACGGTGGGTCACGAGCGCATGATGAAAAAAATTCGTAAGCTTTTTGTCCCCAACATCCCTGGTGCCCTTGTGCTTGTTGTCGTCCAAAAAAATCTAGGCGCAGGTTAGGTGAAGTCGTATTGTCGTTTTCAGCATCATCAATTAAAGAAATCGTAAATCGAAAACAATGGCTCGTGTCTTCGCAATCGTGTCCAGTAGTGCTGGGTCGCTATCGCAATCGTTTCTCGGCAGAATCTTCGAAGGAGCGTGAACCAACTGTCGTCTCAGGTACTTGATTCCAAAATTTTTTTCTTGGACCACTTAGACTTTCCGCTCCGCTGCATGTAGCTTATGTAGTTTCGTTTTCGTGTGAGCCAAAAAATGTACCTGTAAAATAAAATGCAATAGAGCCACCTTGTATCAAGCCTTTGAACTTGATTCCAAAACAAGATGGATCCCCCCAAAAACGATTTTGTCTCTACAGAAACCACGCGCATTGCCGACGAGGTGTTTGCTTCCGTCGACGCAGAGCTCGAGGCGATTACGGCGCAATTGCGAAAGTGGGGCACAACTTCCAAGAAATCTGTTTCAAAATCGCCCGCGGTTGGGACGCCGACGAGTACTGCGGGTACGAGTAGGCAGCAATTACGACGGGATATCAGTGCAACGAAGGTAGAATTGGAACAAAGAGAACAAGCTGCGGCGGAGGTGAAAAGTACAGAAAACGCTGGGACGAAAGGAAGTCCAGAGCTACAACCAGGAGGAACAGCTGGATCCTCGTCCCCACCGTTTCTGTTTTACAGCGATCCGACGCAGGTGCTGCTGAATACAAAAGGAGCTCCGGTGCTAGACGACGGGCTATTTGCTTCGCAGGCGGAGTGGTATGGCAATATGAATGTTTTTTTTTCTCATGCGGAAACAACTGAGATGTCATTGTGAGAATCAGAGACATTCACTTGCAATGCAAAATTTGAATTCCTAAAACTTTTATATGGCCTTCAATGCAAAAAGAAAAACAACTATGCAGGAAAACAAAGCAAGACTTGCGTCTCCATCCCAAAACCAAAAACCGTATCCAATTTCCCCCACGGGACGGGAGAACGCCGGCTCTGATTGAGCACGAGATCGAAAAGGACCTGAAGACCTGGCCCAAGGACTGGGTGAAGGAAGTGCCGAAGAAACGGAAATTCGTTTTGAAAAGATCTTCCTCCGAGCAACTGTTGCTGTCAGCTGCATCCGGCACTGCTTCTCGGATTGAAGCATCAACGCAACACCAGAGTCGTGGTCTCGAATCTGCCACGGCGAAAAGGCAGTATAGAAAGACCAGTACTGGAAAATCAAGAACGCAAAAATCCGCAACAGGGTTAACGCGTTTCCACGAGGTCGTGCAAGACTGGGCGAAAACGCTACGCAGCCCGGTGCAACCCAGTACGGTGAAAGGAGTCACGCGGAGCAGGAGTGTGGGCGCATTAGGTAGTCGGGGGAAAACACCGGTGAGCTGTGTGGACGACGACGGGGACCTGCAGGAGAGAAGTGTGCAGGTGCAGGTAAAGAATGAAGCGGCAATAAAGCCTGAAACCACTTCCGCAGTGAGGGAACAAAAAGAAGACCACAACTCTTCCAGTGAAGACGAGAATGATGCTGCGGATCATGAAAATAAACGGGAAGTAAAAAATAACCCACGTAGTTTGCTCTACTACACCGAGGAGAATACCACTACGAACGGAAACGACGGGGCCGACGACCAAGAAACTGCCCAACCACCACAAGACCAGCTCGCACAGCAACTCCAAAACCTCCAAACCTCCCGACCCTCCCTCAGCCCCCTATTCCGTCAAGACAGCGTCGCGGAGCTCGTTTTTCAAGACCAGGAGTCCACCAAACCGGACAAGAAGCTCTTCAAAGACGACCCCACGCACAACCCGCACCACACCGCGACGGAGCGCGGCGATCCGAAACTGCACTTCGCGACCACGTCGGAAATCGCGTACCGACAAGTCAGGTCCAGTCAGGAGTTCCAGGATCTGTTCCTAGATTTGACCCAATCCTGGCCGGAAAAGTCGCCGCAGTCGAGGACGAGGGAAGCGCGAACGGAGCGGATTTTGAAACGACAGAGCGAGAAACGACCGCTGAAGGCGTGTTTGTACGATTCTGGGGAGACCAGCTACACGGGAAAGTACCCGTATCGTGGCGGAGAGGGGTCGGATTGGCAAGTGCGGGAGTACAACGAGGCGTTGCTGGCGCAGAAGCGGCCGAGGGAGTTAAAGTTAAACAACCCTGCGGTCGGCGTTGTGGACGACGAGTGTCGGGCCAGTCGGTTTCAGGGAAAATTGTACGGGGTGAGGAGAAACAGTGGGGTGACGAGCAGGTATAGGTTTATGTGCACCATGACAGATCTGATGCTACCTAGAATGCGGTTTTGAGCATGACAGAGTCGCTCCCAAAATTTATCTACATAATGGCGATTCTTATCAGGAGCCGTTCCCGGTCCCGGTCTCGCTCCAACAGTCCCGCGAAACAGAAGTCGCAGAAACGGGTCGGCAGTTGGGAACGAGCCAGGCAGCAGGGGGGACAGCGAGAACGACTAGCATCCCCGTTGAAGAGCGTGCACTTTTACCCAGAAGACGCAGGATCGAGTTTGTACGAGGAAAGCGTAACGGATTCGCAGGTCTTCTTCGACGGTGGGATCATACGACCTGCGGACGCAGCGGAAGTGGACAGACCCTCGACCAAAAAAATGCCGAATCGCGCAGGAGGCACCACGTACAGGCCTGGCAGTTCCGCCAGTGGTGGCCCTGCAGCGGATCATCGCGACCAGCAGTTCATTCCCAGGAGCAGTCAACACCAGAACAAAGCAAGTAGTTCGAGCTCCAGTAGTACCGCAGCTGCCGCTCCGTTCCAAGTCCCGCCCGGCAAAGTTCTCGTGGATCAGTCGGTCTTGAAAACGATCAAGCAGGAAGTTGCGGGCCTGCAAAAGTCTTATCAAATGTAAAAATGTCTGGGTCTGGAAGAATGCAAGAGTTGTGATGCAGGTTTTCCATGACCGATGAGGTCTGGAATGCGAGACCCAGCATGACAGATTCCTTGAGGTCTCTATCATGCCTGTCCTGCATGAGAAACTCCCTCTCAACTTGGTCAAAAGCGGACAGCTTTTGGTACTCACGCAACACAGATTTTTGCATCATTCAGATTTAGCATGACAAGTTCTAATCTTCCAGACCCAGACATTTTTACATTTGATAAGTCTCTCTCTGACACGAAAGCGCAGATTCCGCAGCTGCAGAAACTGCTGCAGGACGAGCAAGCGAAAGTTGCTTCCCTGCAGCGACGGAAGCAGACGTCGACTGATTTGCAACGGTTGGAGAAGGTTTTGGCGGATCGGGAACAGAAGATCCGAGAATTGGAGATCGCATCGTTACCGGTGCCGATGGGCCCGGAACTGCAGGAGCTCTGCTCTGAACTGACGAAAGCGAGGGAACAGAACCAGGGGCTGAGGGAACAGGAGGCGGATTGGCAGAACCGGGTGCGGGAATTGAGCGGGGTGATAGACGAGCAGAGGGAGAGGTTGTCGAAATACGACGACTTGCAGAGGAAGTGGACCCAGGCGGCGAGGCTGGATGAACAGAAAATGCGGGAATTGTACGGGAGGATAGAAGAGTACTTTTTATGGTTTTTGCTTGTGTAGTCTTTTTAGAAGCTGCATGATGTTGCTCATGTTGATGGCAATCAAACGCGGTGAATTATCACAGTGCCGCATCAGAAACAAATCCCTGTCACAGGCTCGAGGCGATAGTCGCTGGCGATGTGCCCCGTCCGCAAGATTTTTCCACCACCGCTAATCCGGGATTCGAGCCACTTTCCAGCCGTGTGGGACAGCATCCATAAGCCTTTAAACTGCAACGTGATGACGTAGCTGACAGAATCTAGTATGCCGATTGAAGTTCCTTGAAAGTTATAAAGCCGTACGCCGAAATAACGTATTAAGCCGAATCGCAAAAATGAAATTTGTTTACTGTTTACCGCACTCATTTGGATTTAGGACCAGAGTATGCCGAATTGTACGTACGTGTTTGTCTAGCCTTCTGTATCACTTTGGAAAAATGAAAAGCTTAGCTGCAGGCGGGATTTGCGCAAAACTACAACTGGTTTTTGTTCGCTCAGCTCGCACTTACGGACTTCTTGTGGAAAACACCTCTATCGGTAAATTTGCTCTCGGGTCTTGTATGAAAAAGCTGTTCGTGAAGATGGGGAAGCTTCTACACAAACCTCTGGGACGAGATAACTTCATTTCCAGGACCCCATTTTAGTACAGTTTTAGAAAAACTATGCGCACCACGCAACGTCTGCTACACCCAAGAACATTCTCGCGATTTCATGATAATGAACGTACTCAAGAACTACTAAAAGAACCCGCCACAACATTTTTCCACTCATCGCGCTACTTCCTCAACCCACAAAAGAACCACACTCGCTTCCCGAGACTAGGCCAAGACATAAAGTGTTTTTTTCCTCTGCATGAGCAGAAACTGAATTCTTTTTCCACAACAAGTTTAGCAGATTTAGCAAGAAACAACAAGAACCGTTCGCTTTACCAGCAAATAATCATGAAGCGCGCCGCGTCCTCCTCTTCCGCCGCTGGCGCCAAGCGCCAGAAGCAGGGCCCAACCGGGAGTGTCAAGCAGTCCTGCGCGGGGGTTACCCGCGGCTTCGCAGATGCTCTCAGAACGGGGAGTGAAAAGTACCCGGAGCACGGTGCCGACCCCCCAACGAAAGCAACGGTTTCTTCAACGAAGAAGCCTCTCCCGACCAGGAATGCGACGACAAAAGAACTCACGTTTGTTGATTTCCCGGAATTCAAGCCGAATCTGACGCCGGGGGAAGTCGTCTTAATGGGTTCCTTCGGCGGCACGTATTTTCGCGACATCCACTCTGCCGTCACGATATGCATTGCAAACGTATCGTACTCGTATAAATGCATTACAAATTTCCTCAGCATGAGAAATAAAATTTGTAATGCGGATTTACCTTAAAGAAAAATATTTGTAATGCAAGACTTGCATTTATACGAGTGCGATACTTTTGCACAGGATACACGAAGCAGGCGCACAAGGGAAAACAAGTCGCGGCGGAGTTTCCGCTGGAAAGTTGGGGCTGGAAAAGCGGAAAGGCGATTTCCTTGCCATCCGGTGTTATGCATTGCAAATATGTCTGGGTCTGGAAACTTGTAATGCTAAAAGTGAATGAGAGTTCCACTGCAATATGAAGGCAAGCATGACAAATTTTTGGGCTCCCGTGTGTTGCGTGTTCCGCATAGCAAATTGCGTTTTTGCTGGACAGGTAAGAGGACCACTTCGTGCCCATGCATCACAGATTCTTGAGTCATGTCAGACATGCAACCAAAGGAGAGCAGGATACAAGGGCGGAGCCGGGCGAGGACCGGGATGCGATGGGAGTGCGCGGATCTTATCAAAAAGGTACGGCCTAAGGCCTCGGGAACGCCGAATATAACCGCGCTCTTCTTCGTGAAACGCCCACCGCTTTTTGCGCGATGGATAAGAAAAAAAATCAAAAGAAAATCAAGAAAAATCAAAAGAAAAAAAATCAAAAAGAAAAAAATCAAAAGAAATCAAAGAAATAAAAAGAAAAAGAAAGAAAGAAAAACTGCAAATCCATGCGCAGAGAGTTCAGAAAAAAAAAAAAAAAAAAAAGACATGCATGACAAATGTAGCAATCTTCCAGACCCAGACATATTTGCGTTTGATAGGTGTAAACGTCTCGCCCGGGGTGAGTGTGAAACAAACGAAATTTGACGCGGAGTTGATGCTGCACTCGGATACCTACAGGACGACTGTTAACAAGTAACTACTTGATGTTCTTGATTTGGTGGTTACGATTTTTTGTCATGCGGTTTTTGAAACATATGTCGTTCCTGTGATGCGCGCAAATCAATGCACACGACGGGCGGGAAAAAAAAATCAATCACAGGTTCGGCGTCAAGTGCGGTGGCTCTCTCTACATGTGGGAAGGGCACGGGTGGATTAACGAGATCGACCCCTATGGCTGGTTTCACTGGTATTGCCGGTTTTACCAGGGGAGGAGAAGTACCGACGACGCGAGGCAGGTCCAACGGTGGTTGAACTCCGCGGGGCCGAAGGGACGCTTCAAAAATCAGTTGATGAATAAGTGCCAAGCGGAGGGTATGAATTGCAAAAATGTCTGGGTCTGGAAGATTGCAACTTGTCATGGTAAATCTGAAGCATGCAAAAATCTGTGTTGCGTGAGTACCAGAAGCTGTCCACTTTTGATCAAGTTGAGAGGCAGTTTCTAATGCAGGATAGGCATGATAGTGATCTCACGGAATCTGTCGTGCTAGGTCCTCCAATACAGATCATATGGGTCATGGAAAACCTGCACGACAAGGCGAGCAAAGTTCCAGACCCAGACACTTTTGCATTTGATAGCCGGGAAATCAAAAACCGACCCGAGCGTGTCGCCCGTGATCAGGCAGACTCTGCAGCACTGGGCGCTGGAGATCAAGTAGTAGGGAAGTAGATTTTGAAAGAGTATTGTAGAAGATGTGTAAAGCAGGAGCAGCTGGTAAGGACTTTCTCAAGCCCTTTGGAAGCTAAATGTAATGAACTATCAAAAGCGAATAGAAGAACAACTGTGTGCAGATTTCAAAAATTTCAACACCAAGTATGAAAACGCTAAGTACTGTACGATAACGATTACTTCGACGCATACAGCACAGTGCCTTTGTCGTGCGAAAAACCGAACGAACCTCTCTGAAATTTGGGCCAGAGTTTTGCGAACTGTTCCTCGTGTCGTTTCTTTTCGTCTACTCCTGCTAACGCGTGTAGGTACGTAGCTGCGAGGTTTTATTCTTGAATTGGATGATCATTGATACTCGCTTCATCTGAAAAAAAAACGGTCTCGAGTTGCGGAGAGCGGTTCACACGTATCCCTTCTTTTAAAAGGACCCACCATTGCTTTTGTTTCTTGAAAACAAAAGAAAGCAATGGTGGGCTCCTTATCCTTGATTCCAAGATGCGTTTTGCTTCTGCTTTCAACTGGACCTCCTGCGCTGCAAATGCAATGCTCAACCCTGGCGGCACGGGTGCATAGAGCCAAACGTGGTCGTCGCTCCGGGAAAGCAAAGACCCGCGTCCTCGTTCCCAGAAAATCAGGTACTACCTCAGCCGCTGCTGCCAAGACGAAAACCGGCAAAAGGAGATCGAAATCGCACTCCCAACATGTCGTGACCAAGCAGGAAAGGCTCGCCATCCGGAAGGAGCTGCAGAGGTTGCTCGAGGAAAATCGGGAAGACGAGGGGGACGAGGACGAGTCTTCTGCCGAGGACCAGGACGGGGAAGAGACAGACACTGAGCCTGCAGACGCGACCGAGGAAGCTACAACCAGCGAAGGAGGAGAGGAACAAACCACTTCAGGAGTTGCAGAGGGAAATGAAGAACCACCAGAACAGACCCTAGAACAGGAGCAAGCCGCGGAGCAGCAGGAAGTTGCAAAAGAGCAGGCGCAGGCGTCGCAGGAAGATGCTGCGGAGGCAGCGGAGGCACAGCAGGAACAGGCGGCGGAAATGGCGGAGGAACAAGAGCAGGATGAGCTGGACACAGGGTCTACGTCGTCATCAAACGCTCTTTCTGGTAGCCGCGGTGGTGGCGCAGCGAGCGGTCCAGCAGCCCCGGTTATTTCTCCGACCCCGATGGTGGTGCCAGCACCAGATAGTTCTCCTGCGGGGCGAACAACTGCAAGTGCACCGGCACCAATGGACGGTCCAGAAGTTGTTTCCTCGAGCACTCCGAGCGCCAGCAGTGCACCGCCACCTGGATCCGTGATTGTTCCCACAGAAACCGCTTCCGCACCAGAGCAAGTAGTACCCGAAGTAGACCCGACCGGCATCAGCGAGGCGGACGCAGCGGACGATTTGGTAGCGTCAGCAGCTGGATCTACTTCTTCTGGATCGACGGGTTCAGGTTCTTCGACGGCTGCAGAGAAACCAGTCCTCCCGGAAAAGAACCTCCAAACCTGGCGGTTTCTCCGCGAGTCGGCTGCGAAAGTCGGGGCCATCGCGCAACAGCTGTTAAGCGTGCAAGCGCGGGTGGACGGCGCGCGGAAATTCGTGGAGCAGGACAGATTGCAGTGGGAAGCCGCGGAGAAGGACCTGGAAATGCGGAACGCGGATTTGAAAGCCTCGTTGGCGCAGTTGCGAAAACAGGCGAGGGAAAACCAAATCGCAAGGGACGACTGGTCTGTGAAAAAGGAGAAGATTCAAACTGGTATAGGATTTTTCAATGATAGATTTCCACCTTTGTCAGCGATTGTATAGTATGTATGCATGACACGTTCAAACAGGTTTGGAATTTGGGCAATACAAAGTTACTCCATGAATTATGATTATCACAGTCCGCACCCGCATTCTCGGTGTGGAAGAGGACATGCAACGCAACGCGGAGCAGTTTTTGGAGAAAAAAGCGGATTTGGCGGACGAAATTTCTAGTTTGAAGGATCGGGTTGCCGAGTACCGACAGCAAGAGGCCGAGGAGGAACAGCAGGAGGAGGAAGGCAGTTCGTCTGCTGAAGAAGAGAAGGAAGCTGCGTCGTCGGGTGAAGATGAGTCTGACAGCCTGTCCATGGTGGCCACTACTAAGAGAACAGCAAGTGTAGCGCCGCGAATCATGCCGAAGAAGATGGGAGCCGATGGCAGTAGCACCAAACCGACGAAGCAAGCACCACCACGGCAGAAGACAACAAAGAGGAAAACCTTTTTGCACCAGCAAAGCAAGGCTAAGTCCGGCTCGCGGAAAACTACGGCTAAAAACAGCAAGAGCGCAGCGAGCGGTGTGAAGAAGGAGCACCAGAAGCGGAAGAAACAATCGAAGGAGCACGGCAAAAGCAAGAAAAAATCGGTGGAGGAGACTGCTGACGCAATGGTCCGAGAGATACGGGAAATGCAACAGCAGCTGCAGAAGCTTAAGGCGATGAACAAAGCAGGTACGACGACTACTACGGCGAAGAGAACAAGGACTGCTGCTACTTCTGCGGCAAATCAAAGTACTAGCAAGGAAGAATCCAACGCACGGAGAGCCACGTCTGCGCTGCAACTGCAGCAAAGAGCAACCGCACCCTCATGCCCGAAGGCGGAGGAGCTGAAGGAGCAGTTGAAGGAATGTCTGAGTTAGAGGAAAAATTGACAAGAAGACCATTTTACCCAATTTTTTCCATATCAAACGCAACAGCCGTCAATTTACTTTTTGTTTTTTCTGCACCAAAGGACAGGATCCATGTGCCGCCGTGAGAATCACCTTGAAAATCGACCGTATGGTGAAGGTCTCCTTCGTGAAAACGCACTAGCTACACTGAAAACTACCATGCTGACGTGCTGTCCACAGATCTGGAAAATTGCTTAGTCCAAGTTTCGCCGTTATCGTTATGCACATGGTGGTCTCTATTTCGTTTTGTCTAGAATTGTTTTCATCGGTGCCTCGTCTGCGGTAGAATTTGTTGAATTTTTCAATCGTGGAAGGGATAAATCGTCAACGTTTCTGATACCTGTCGTAATGCTGTGGTAATCGTCGTGAAGCCAGGAATCCGTCATGTCGTCGGGAAAAAGCAGAAGAAATCATTTTCTACACGATTCCGTAAAACAATGACAAAGCAGCAATTTCTTCATTTCTTTGCTCTAAAACCACCGGGTGCCAGATTTTCCGTTTTTTTTCTTTCACAGGGGATAGAATTTTACCAAGAAGAAGCACATCTTCAAAAAATCATGGCACGCAGCACGAGGCGTAGCAGCGGCGGTGGCCTAGTCACCCGGCGTCCAAATGGAACGACGCTTTTCGTGCTGCTTCAAACGCTTGCGCAATATGACCTTTTCTTCCTCTTGGAAGACTCTACGACTCCTTTCACCGCCGCGGCGAAAAAGTTCTACTGTGTGGGCTCCAGCTGCTATGGGCCGGAAGCATCTGGTCCGATCGATGAAGAGGGCTTTTCGAATTTGTTCACCGCGGACCGGGCAAGGAAGCCGAAGCATAAGAGGGCAAAGAACTACCGTGCATCACCCGTTGAATTGTCGGCTCGGCAGCGGAAAGCAGAAAGAGTTAGCAATGCCGATGTTGACCTCCCGGCTGGTTTGCTGAACACGACGAGGACTCCTACCGGATCCTTCGAAGATACTGAGGAGGCGTCTACTTTCGCCCAGACCGAGATGGAGATGAGCCTGGACCTCGGACTAGAAAAACTCGACTTCCAACTCGATCTCCAGCAAGAGGGGTGGCTCATGGACAAAATTCACACTCTTGGCAGCGGGGCGAAAAAGCACTACGAAGACGCGAAGAGTTGGGTGAGCCAGCAGGCTGGGAAGGGGAAAAAGGCAACGGAGAAATACTTGCAGAAGTACCTGCAGGGGGCGGTGAACATCACAAACGCGATGACATCGAGTTGGAACGGGTTCAAAACCTTTCTGCAGATCATTGCCGACGCAGACTGCCGGACGAAGCTGAGCACGCAGTTCGCCAGCATGTTCGTCCTGAGTTTTTCCAACACGAAAAGGTACCCGCACTTCAGCAAGGTGAGGGACGCGGGGAAAACGGCGCTGAAGAAGCTGAACAAATTGTTGAGTAAGTCCGGGTGGGGGTTGCGGAAGATCCAGGAAATTTTCACAACCGTGCTTTTCGACCCGCTGAAGCTAATCGCCGGTGTGATGCAGGACATCGGCCGGTTGGCATTGGATTTCGGCAGCACGGCGATAAAGAACGTGCAAACGCTGATTGAGGCGTACCGGAAGGACGGAAACAAGGCGTGTATTCAGACGGACGAAGAAGAGACCGTCGGTGAGGATGCCGAGGACGAGAAAAATGCGGCTGACAAGTCATCCAAAAGCGGGTTTTTGGAACAGGGGAAGAAGAAAAATTTTGAACTTGAACATGTGCAGAGAAGTTCTGCAGCGAACACTGGAGTAGGGGCAGGTCGCGTAGCGGTGCATAGCAGGTCTTACACCCCGACCGGAGACCTTTTTGGTTTCACGCCGTACCCAAATGTGACGCGGTTTTATGGTGCCGGTAAAACGCCCAACCCATTTCTCGAAGTTATTGGAACATCAAATAGTGCTGCGGCGCAGGAAACCTCTACAAGCGCCGTCTCTACTTCCGCGTTCCTGAATCTGCAGTCTGATGACGAAGCGGATGCTGAAGAGGCTCGTGCAGAAGCCAAAAAAGCAAGGGTGAAGGCGAAAAGAGCGGAAAAAACAGCTGATGATGCGGATCGAACAGCAGAAAAAGCCGAACAGAAAGTGACGAGAAGAAGGCAAAAAGACCAGGCGCATGAGGCACGTGAGAAACTGGATCGGGAACGCAGCGAGGCGCTACTGGATAATCCAGACGAGGCAAGAAGACTCGCGGAGGCAAAAGACAACGAACTGACCCCAGAACAGCGGAAGCAAGCTCAAGAGCAATTCCCAGAAAAGAAGGTCTACACGATGACGGATGCGGGTGACGACCCGGCGGACACGTTTCGGAAATGCAAGAAGTGCATGCTGGCGGTCAGCTTGGTCCTGGATCTCCTTCCCCGGGAGCTCCACGCCACCGTCGGGGCGATGGTGCCGATGGCCATGCACATGCTGTACCGGGTTTCCGGCGCGACCGTCGGGGCGGCGCTGAACTCATTTCTCAAAGTCGGCCACGGAATGTCGCCACCGACACTGACCGCGGCCTGGGCCTTGCGGTTTTTGAATACGTCCAAGAGCAGCACCATGCATATGATGTTCGGGGGCCTGCGGCGGGCGACGGGAATCGAATTGCTGGAGGAAAGGGAGCAGAAGGACATATCGGACGTGACAACGGCTTTGACCTCCGACAAGGGGTTTAAGAAAGTTCTCGTCCACGCCGGGGTTCAGATGCTGGAGCAGTCGCCGGTGTGCGCAAACGCAGCTGGCGAGGTTGATGCTGGGGAAAAGACTAAATCCTCAAAGGCGGACAAAGGATCGTCCTCTTTTGCCACGTTGGCCGAAGGACAACAGGAGCGTCGCGTTCAGGTGGAAAAGCACAAGCAGGCGGATTCTCCGGACGGTGATGCAGAGGACGCTGAAGACGAAAATGCGAAAGGTACGCACGATGATGACGCTCTTGCCCTCGAGAATGACGAGGACGACGACAGCGACGGCGATGATGAAGCTGCTGCAGATGATGATGCGAAAGTCAAAGACGCCGAAGACCCAGAACAAGAAGAGCAGGAGCGTGACGACGGTGCGGAGGAAAAAACATCTGAGAAACCAACGACCTCAAATCAAGACCACGACGGATCTCTTACCCAATACGAGGATGACAAGGGCAACGTGCAATTACAAGGCTATTCGAGCTGCAAAGCCGCGGAGCTGTTCGGGAAAACGATCACCGAGCAGTACGTGAAGGGGAAAAATAAGGACTTGAGTGCGAATGAGATTTTGTCTAACGTCATGCCGGTTTTCAACACGCAGGTCTTGGACGTTGTGGAGGGCGGGAAGGAGAAAGAAAACCAAAAAGTCGACAAGGCGTTGGAGGATTTGGAGAAGGAGGTTGAAAAGGCCGAGAATTTTGTCGGCGGGAAGGGGAAGGCGAGAACGACGAAGAGTCGAGGTGATGAAGAACAACATCACCGGAAGAAGAAGGGAGGTGCTGTTGCGGGGAAAACGAAGCAAAGTAAGAAGAAGTCGGGATCCGGATCGTCGGAAAAAGCAGAAGCCGAGGAAGGAGCGGGTAGGAGAAGGAGAAGGAGGTCTTCGAAGAAGAAGGAGAAAAGCCTGAAAACCACGCCGGCCACTTCCAGTGACGACCAGGGAAAGGAGGTGCGGCGGAAGGAAAAAGAAAGGAAAAGAGAAGGTTCCGAGTCGTCCTTGCTTCAGAGGAAAGCGAGTGCGGACGAAGGGCGGAATGACGAAGAGCGGAATGACGAAGACCGGAGCGAAGCAGGCAACCCAGACGGGCGGGACGGCGGTGCGGGCGAAGAGGGAAATGACGAAAACCCGAGCGAACAGAGGAACCCGGACGACAGGAGGCAAGAGCGCGGCGCGGACGACAGGGTGCAAGGGCGGCGCGGACGGCAGGAGAGAGGACACAGGAGGCAGGATGATGAACAGGGGGACCCGGACGATCACGAGGGCAGCGATGAAAGAGGAGACAATGGCACGGGCGGAGAGCATCATCAGGAAGACCATGATGGGGAGGAAAGAAGTCCGCCAGCGACGGTCGAATGCGCTCCATGAAAAACACGCTCTCACTTTTCAGTACCGGTGATTCTTGCGTAGAGGTTTTGTGTCATGTTTAGTTTGTACGTAAGGCGAAACGAATGCGGGCTCGCGGCTTGAGGGTATCCACTTAGAAGTGGAAGGAAGCAGGCGCATACATAATTGCCATACTTAACATAAGATCAGAAGCGTGACGGGTCGTGTTTTTCCTCGCATACTGCTTGTAGTCAAGCGGAAGAACAACTCGAAAAAGGTAGTAAGAAGAACTGTAAAAAGTTGGAAGGGAGCATCGAAAGCGAGGAGCAGATCAACAAAGAGAAACTTCAAGATGCAGAAAAGAAGCTTAAAGATCTGACAGAACAGATTGAAAAGGGCTTAGAAATCGCAAATCGTGCGGCCGCCTCAGTCTCTGTCGCGGGCTTCCGTTCGTTGCCTTCGTAGGTGCGATGATGTTTCTTTCGTATAGAGAGAATCGGGCTACCATCCATAACGGCAGGTCCAACGTATGATTTATATAAAAGTTTTTGCATGTGCAACAGGAACAGCCTGGTTGCAGTGCCTGAGTCAGAGGCGGTCCGAGTTTTCAAATTTCATAGGAAGAGGCAGGAAAAAACGGTGAAAAGAAACAGAGAAACCTAGTTAAGGCTCACAAGGCTGCCAAGAAAGCTCTTAAGAAAGAAGTGGCCGCCAGAAAGAAATTGCAAAAGAGTATCAAATTGCAAATAAGCTTCCCACTCAAAAAACCCCAGGGCAGCACGACGTACAGTCGTGTCGCCATCCCTTTCTCAGTGTCACCCTTGTGTGACGAATGGTTTGAGTCCTGAATAAGGTCGAGCACTTTGCCGCCCCAGTATTTGCATTATAGCATTGCACTTTTAGCGAATTGGAATAAGTAAATGTGAAACTGCAGCAAGTACCGGCGGAAGGACCATTTGTGGCTGCACGCGCCTTTTCGCTTTGGTGCCATCCTCTGCAAAATGCGTTTTGGTGCTGCAGCCGTCTGTGTCTCTACTGAGGCGCAGCAAAATATAATGTTCATGTTTACTTTTGTACCGTGGGAAGCTTTTGCTAGGATACGAAAATATCACCAACTTCAGGAGAAATTGGAGCAAGCTCTCGGACAGCAGGCAGACGAGAAAAGCGACCTAAAAGAAAAGATAGAGAAGCTGACGAAGAAAAACGAGCAGCTCCAGCAGACACAGAAGGCGTTGGGTGCGGTTGCAGACGGCAGAGCGGAAGAGCTGGCGAAGAAAAAAAAAGAAGCCGCGGAAGCCGCGAAAGCCGCTGCGGCAGAAGAGGAAGCTGGTCAAGGACAAGAGGAAGCAACCGAGGAAGGTGTGCAAGACTCCTCCGGCGCGGCAGAATCGGCCACCAGCGATTCACCCGATGCTGAAGATGATACAACAGCGGAAACCAGTGACCCAGATGAAGCACCAGAGGACCACCAGGCCGGGGCAGACGGTGGCGCGACTGGTGGAGATGAAGAAGCGGCTGGCGGAGGAGCAGGTTCAGACCACACCCACACGGGCGGCTCTGGTGGAGGTGGTGATGGCGCCGGTGGCGGCTCTGGTGGAGGTGGTGATAGCGGCGGCGACGAAGACGGCGAGGACGAGGAGCACGAGGACTAAGTTTTTTGAACGCCGAACAGTTCTTTTTCGAGCGAATTGTACTGAAAATATATTTAAGTAATAATTTGGAATCGCATCAATTACCAGTGCTACTAGAAACTGTTTTGTGGAATTCTTTACGAGCTCATTTTTTGCAACACGTACACATTTTTCATCTTTTTTTTTCGGTTTCGACATGCAAGATTTTCATTTTTAGTCATGTTTTTGCCGAAAGAACACTTTCACATGTTTTTACGATGTCACGTTGATCATGATCTAGACGATGATTGGGATAATTTGCCTTTACCCTCTGGGGTTTTTCGAAGAACTGTATAAAGTTTTTGAACCTACTGTACCTGAAGCTGAACACGGGATAAAGACATCAAACCTCATTTTCCACACGACGACGCGCGCCCAGTCTGCCAATGTCCGTCGCTGCGGTACCACACGAGTGTTTGATGGTTTGACTGCACCTTGCGAGAGAACGTTCTTCGAGAAATTTTCGGCAAACAGAACACACGATCAAGAAACCGACCTATCGATCATCAGATCTCAATGACTACTTTAAAACTTAGTTGTTTTCCATCTTCACATCAAAGCCAAGTGCCTCACACACCAATTTCACTCTCCCCAACCACCACCTCCATGTCCAAGCCGACCCGCGAGGTGATCGTCCGTGTGGAGCCGAAGAGCTTTTTCGCGAACGAGCGGACCTTACTGGATTGGTGCGCGATCTCCACCGTCCTTGGTTCCGTCAGTGTCACTTTAATGTGCCACGTGTCGCGGAACTACCAGATTGCCGGCCGCTGTTTGATGTGTCTTGTGTTGCTCTTTCTCGGCTTTTCCCTCTACGATTACCGCTACCGGACCTGGGTGTTGCTGGAAAAGGCGCAGGACTGGCACTTCATCAAGCAGTATAAACCATTATTACTCGTCGCGCTGCTCTCCGCGTTACTCGTTGCGTCCGTGTGCGTAAACGACGCCGCCGATGTTCACCCGTAGGCTGGTTGGATCTACTACCGCAAGAACGCTTCTTGCATCGTCAGGGAGAAGAAGTGTCGCGACATCAGCGAAAACTCCTGCACCGTTGTTCTTCCTCCGTCGCCACCCGAAGAAACTTATCTTTTCTGGAATCACCACCTTCCTTGCCGTCCAAGAATACGCCCGGGCGCGCGCCCGAGCGGAGGCGCGGGAGCGGTTCTACGATGCGTGTAACGAATTCAAGGACAAGAAGCAGGATTTGCGGCGAAAGAGCAGGAGGGATTTGGATCAAATCGCCCCGACGACACGTTTAGGGAAAATAGCCTACGCGTTTTTGGAATGGGCAAGGCAGGTTTTTCGCGGCTTGCAGTTGTTCATCGTTTTCCTCCCCGCACTTCTAACCGCGGTGCCGTGCTTGGTTCTGGCGCCATTATTCGACATTGACAACCTCGATAGAGTAGAGCAACCCCTTTCCACCAAAGCCGAGGAGGTTTGGCTGGATGTCCTCACGAATTGTATCCAGCAGTCCGGCGCGATCTTGATCAAGGTGGCGCAGTACATTTCCCACCGCAGGGACCTGGTCGGGGATACGATCGCCGACAAATTCTACTATTTGAGGGAAAACGTGCCGGCGCACAGCTACGCGGAAACGAGAAAGATTGTGAAGGAGGATTTTGGTATCGATTTGGATGCGGTTCCTGGCGGTGGTTCGGATGAGGAGGGTCAACAGAAAACACCGTCGACGCCAACGAACCATAATATCCATCTCACCGAGTTCGACAAAACCCCCGTCGCCAGCGGCAGCATTGCGCAGGTGTACCGAGGGAGACTTGCGGATGACAATACCAATGAGGTCGCGATCAAGGTCCGGCATCCGAATGTGGAGAAGCAGGTGGACACGGACTTGAAACTGGTGCATTCTGTTTGTTCTTTTCTGTCAAGTATCAAATGTACAAATGTCTGGGTCTGGAAGAATGCAACTTGTGATGCTGCGTTTGGATTCCAGAAAAATCTGTATTGCATGAGTACCAAAAGGAATGTAATTTTTGCTACGCGGTGAGGGCATTTGTCATGCGGAATAAGCATCAAGAAGCTCTCAAAAAATCTGTGATGCTAGGGCATGCATCACAGACATCATGGCTCATGCAGAACGTGCGTGACAAGTGTCAGAATCTTCCAGACCCAGACATTTTTCCAGTTGATATCAAGGTTTTCTTACTTCGAGTGGATGGAACTCCCGGTGACCATGGACGAATTTCGGAAGGTGTTACTGGATCAAACGGATTTGCGAATCGAAGCGAAAAATCTGAAAGTCTTCCGGGACCATTTCGGGATCACGAAACAAGTAGACAGTCGTGGGGGAACAGATGATGAGACGAAGGAACTAGTTTCCGCAGCTACAATTGTCCCCGACGTGGAGCAGTTCGTCACGTTCCCGGAGCCGATCGCGGCGACGGAACGGGTGTTGATCGAAACTTTCGTCGATGATGCGAAGCCGATCTCGTATTTCATCGAGAATCCCTCGTCGTTGAATGAAGAAATCGCGAGGCTGGGGATGCAGACGATCAACCGCATGATCTGGCTGCACAACTTCGTGCACGCAGATTGTCATTCGGGGAATTTGTTTTTCCGAATAAAAGACCGGAGGAAGGAGCTGCAGAAACAGCGGAATGTGCTGCTGAGAACCGCCAGTCAGAAGTACAATGCGGACAGAGCAGCGGGATCGGAAGATAGGGCAGCAGGTGGACAACATACTGCAGTGCCCGGGATGCGGCCAGCGCCAGGTGGCCAGAATGCAGAGATGAGCCCAGGCAGCTCAACTGGAACTGCGAGCACTTCTCCCACCTCGACGTACTTCCAACTTTTCACCAGCCTCGCTTCCAACGCGGCGGAAGCAATTTCCCTCGAGTTGACGGATTTGGCCCAGTCCGCGGTGGAAAAAGCGTTTCTGTTCTACGATGAAAATTTCGTAAAGGATGTTCCTCCCTCGGACCAAATTTTATCCGCCGCCAGTCGCCTGCAGTCGAAAATGAAAACGCAATCTTCTAGTAGCACTTCCAAACACCACCAGCTCCCCATCGTCGAGCCTCCGGAAAAGCGTTCCCTCCGGTTTTTTCGCAAGAAAGAGCACCGGCATTTGGACTATGCAGTGCAAAAGTAACGTAGTAGTATGAATTGCATTACAAATTTTGGCAAGAAGAAAAGTGGGATTTGTAATGCTGTTTTACCGTAGGAGGAAGGTTTGTCATGCATATCTGCAATTACTTTTACTACGAGTACGATGCTTTTGCACAGCATATGGACATCCAGATGGTGATTTTCGACGTGGGCATGGTCACCGTCCTTTCCGAGAAGGACAGAAGGAAGTTCATGAAACTGGTCAAGTCAATCATCACCCGGGACAGCAACGGCTGCGCGGAGATGCTCCGCGGGCTGTGCTCGTACCGGGAACAGACCAGCGCGAAAATGCGGGAGTGCACGAAGGACATGCTGGTGTTTTTCGACGAATTAAACAAGCTCCCACTGCACAAAGTGAACGTCGGGGCGGCGTTGCGGGAAACTCTGAACATCATCGCGACACATAGACTGCAGGTGGAGGGCCATTTTGCGACGTTGCTGTCCAGTTTGATCATTCTGGAGGGGATGGCGAAAGACTTGGATCCGCAGATTAACATCATGGCAAGCACCGTGCCGTTCTTGATGAACCGAGCGGTTGAAACGTTCATGGAGGATGGATGATAAGTATCTATTTTTCAGAGCTGCTGCCAGGAGTAAGCTTCCCAGTGATGAATGCTGCTGATGCAACGTAACATTCAACCTACTTCAGCATGATCGATGGCTTCTGGCCCGATGTGTTCATGCTGGAACGATTGAAGAAAATTTTTTCTGATAGATAGATGGAGTAGATTACAAAACATTGGAGTGGAAAAACGTGTCGCTATTCAGCAACCACTTCGTCTACACTCGGTGTGATCATGTTGTCCACGACTTTCGGACTCGGTCGTCTTGAATACAGGAAGCATATGTGCATCGGTGTGGTTGTTGCAAGTTTACAGCTATCGGTGGAGAATTTGCACTTTCGTGGTTACATAATTACTTACTTCTTTCGGTCCATCGGCACCATTGCCACTTAATACTTTGAGCATCCTTCTTGATTCGGTCATGCGTCTGCGTGGTGATAATTCGTAGAAGGCATAATTTCAATAGCGTTGACGCTTTTCTGTCATCTTTCGATTTTCGTTCAGTGAAGTTGAAGCAACTCGATCGGTGACGAAATAACTTGGCAATGCAACACAGGACCCTGGTCCTGGTGAAGCAACCGGGCCCATCTTCAGTGGATTTGGGAACCCGGTAAAAAACTACCGGGACTTAACCCGGCCAGTCACAATTTTCAGTTTGCATCTTTACCCACATAAATTTTATTTCAAGTTCCAAACGATACACTTCTTGTTCTAGCGTACTTTTTCTCATCATCCTGCACCCTGAAGACAATACGCCTACACTATGGTACGCGGAGCTCCTGCGAAAGGTGCTGTGAGGGGCAAGGGCAGAGGGGCCGAACCGGTTTCCGATTTGGTGGAAGACGAGCCGCCACTCGCGATTCGCCCGGCCATAAAACCGAAAGCTGGGGGGAAGATGAGGGGGAAGATGAGGGAGACGCCGCGGGACCGGGAAGACAAGAGGAAGTCGCAGCAAGTCGTGGTGGAAGAAGAGGACGAGGAAGATGTATGACGATTACAACGACCACGCTCCACCGCGACGCCCGCACCGCCCTCCGCGTCCGTCCGTGCTGGACCAGATTCTTGGCCTCTGCTGCAAACGCCCTTCGGGACGAGGGCGGAAGGGTCGTGGCAAGGGAAAGAAGGGGAAGGGGCGCGGGAAGGGGCGGGGGGCGGTGGCGGATCCGGAAGATGATTTTTTTGTCGAAGATGATATCACCAGTATGGAGGAAGAACTCCCAGCACCGGCGAAGCAGATTGTATGCTCCCGGCAAATATTTAATATTAAAGGGGTGTCGGAATCGTATGCTCCTCGTTGTATAGAATTTTTGCAAGATATGTGTGTTACTTGTATGACATGAGACTTCTATTTCTTGACGTTCGCTGTCGCTGCCTGAACTAGCATGAGGACAAAAAATTGCAGTTTTTTCTACCGATGAAAAATATGCCTACTTCGCTTAAATGCGATTTGTACTTCACTTTTTCTGAAAAAGAAAAACTTTATCCCACACTCCTTTTGCACGGTCGATAAGGGCAAAAAGGCAAAGGGAAGATGATCAAAGGCAAGGACAAAGGCAAGGGGAAGAAAGGCAAGCCCTTTGTTGTTGAGGAAACCGACGAGGAGGCGCTGACCAACGAGGAGAGCGCAACGGACGCCGAGGAAGACTCGGCAGAGGAGAGCGAACGGGATCCCACCCCTACCTACCAGTTTATCAAATGCAAAAATGTCTGGGTCTGGAACAAAGCAACTTGTCATGCTAAAGTTGAATCATGTAAAAATCTGTGTTGCATGATTACGAAAAAATAATGCCCACTTTTGACCAAAGTGAGAGGGAGTTTGTCATGCAGGACAGATCGATGATAGAGATGTCACAGAATCTGTCATGCTAGGTCCTGCATTCCAACCCGCATGCATCATCGAAAACCTGCATGACAAACCTTGGAGTCTTCCAGACCCAGACATACTTATTTGCATTTGATACAGTTCACCATGCGGCAAATCGTTCTTGGCGCGGTACTATCCTGTGCAAAAGCATCGTACTCGTAGTAATCGCAAGCATGCATTACAAGTCTCCATCCCAAGGCAAAGCAGCATGACGAATTTCATATATCATGCTGAGCTAATTTGTATTGCAATTGCTACTAGTACGATACTTTTGCAGTTCATATGTACTGGCGGCTCTGATCGGCGGCGCTTTCGCCGCCATCATCACTGCCGTGGCGATGGACAGCTATCAAATGCAAATATGTCTCAGTCTGGAAACTTGTGATGCTGAGTGGTGCATGACTGAAATACTTCCCCATGCAGCTACGCATGACAAGTTACCCGCACTACACTTTCTCAGGCGGAGTCTGCATGAGAAACTGCACTTTTGTACTTATGACAACAGAGGGTATCTTTTTGCTAGTCGTGGTGCAACACAGATTTTACAGGAGTGCAGGGCTAGCATTACAAGTTCCATGCTTCCAGACCCAGACATATTTGCACTGGATAACAGCGGCGACGAAACAAGTTCTGCCTCATCTTCCACGTCTTCGGGTACCGCGCCGACCCCCTCGCCGACCCCGGCAACAACCAGTCCGACGCCCTCGCCGACCCCGGCTACGACCAGTCCGACGCCCTCGCCGACCCCGGCTACGACCAACCCGACGCCCTCGCCGACCCCCGTCTCGCCGACACCCGCCTCACCGACCCCGGCGCCCGCGCCGACGCCGTCCGGCACTTGCCAGGCGACTTTCACGCAGCCTGCGCCGCCCGCGAATCCTGACAGTACTACTTACATACTGCTTTTTCAAGAACTTGTCAGCTGGTACTCTATGATTGAATCAAAACTATGCGCAAAAATGTTGACATCGTGTGAAGAGCCTGACTGTCAATCTGAAACTGATGGTAGAAAATGAGAGCATGAGCAAATAAGGTAAGTACACAAATCTGATCTTCTCAGTGACGCCACCTGTGATCGATGCGGACCTCGAGTGTGACGCGAGCGAGTACGCGAACATTGCCAATGCGCCGGCCGAGTGCGCCGCGTACACGACCCGGCCGACGGGCGGCAACTTATCCAGGAAAAAACACCTCCCATCCCCATCCATTTTTTGCATGACAAGTAGTGGATTTTATGCATGTTTTGCATGACAAATTGGGTTGGGATGGGTGTTTTTTCCTGGATGCGACTCCGTGAACCCCTATGAACTGATCCCCCTGGCCTGCCACGCGCCCAACTGGGACATTGTGAACAACGTGCAGCTATGAACTGCAAAAGCATCGTACTAGTAGTAATCGCATTACAAATTTGCTCTCATGCTGAGTTACCTTGAAAAAAAGATTTGTCATGCATAAATGCGAGGATTACTACGAGTACGATACTTTTGCACAGAATAGCAGCCGGCCATCGAGCTGGTGCAGAACTCCCCTGACTTTTTGTCCAAGTACGTGACGTATGGATTGCAAAAGTGTCTGGGTCTGGAAGATTGCAACTTGTGATGCTGCATTTGGATTCTACAAAAATCTGTATTGCATGAACAGCAAAAGAGGCCCAGCTTTTGCGACGGCGAGAGGACATTTCTCATGCGGTATAGGCATCAGGAAGCCATCTCCATCACAAAATCTGTGATGCTGGGGCATGCGTCACAGACATCAGGAGTCATGCGAAATGTGCATGACAAGCCTTGCATCCTTCCAGACCCAGACATTTTTACACTTGATATGACACAGCACACCATGACCACGAAGGAGGCCATCGTGGGGCAGCTGCAGCGCGCGCAGCAGACCGCGGCCGCGAAGTGGGTCAGCGACATGGCCACCATCAAGGGCGGCGACATGCCGCAGGGGACCATCTCGAAGTGCAGCACCCGAACCTTAAACGGCGTGCTGCAGGCGGCGCGGAAGAAGGGGTACAAAGCGCTGACCGTGATCTGGTACAACCTTCCCAACCGGGACTGCAACGCCGACGCGAGTAACGGCGAGATCTGCTGCGACGGCACGACCAACGGCTTCACGACGAAGTGCGCGCAGGAGGCGATCGGCGGCAGCTCCTACGACGACGGGCAGTGCGAACAGGGGCTCCAGGTGTACGAAAACCAGTACGCGCTGCCTTTGTTTAACGTGTTGAAGTCCTACAACGACATCCGCTTAACGCTTGTTCTCGAGGTCGACTCCCTCCCGAATTTCATCACCAACGAGGGCAAGAAGAAGTGCACGGCCGAGACCAAAAACGCCTACATAACGGGAATCGGACTCACGCTGGACCTGCTCGCCCAGCTGCCCCACGTGACCACCTACATGGACGCCGGGCACGGGCACTGGCTGGGGTTCGTGGCGACCTCGTGGCCGAAGTACGTCGAGCAGGTCAAGACCTGGATGACGCCGAGCGGGAAGTTATGCTGAGTAAAAATGTCCCCACCCCATACTTGTCATGCAGATTTGCAGTTACAGGAAGATTTGTAATGCGCATCCCCAAAGGGGTACGTCGTCTCTTCCGTGAGAACAAAAACGTAAGGCGTAAAATGGGTCGGGTCCTGGATCGTTCTGTATGTTGGGCTGTCGCGCTCGGCTAGCTGGCCGGGCTGTGCTGATCAGGTGTGGTGGGTAGCTCCCGACTGGTTGGTACTTTTCAGCGGGCGACTTGCCGTGGTAGCGCTCGGCTTTTGTATGATGAGGTCGCCGAAAGTGCTTCCTCGCCCACCCCCCGGGGAGGGGATTCTTGACCTGTGGCGCTGGGAGCGGGTGTCCACTACATGATGATGATGCGCATCCCCATGAGGCATGAGCAGAGGCATTTCCCATCGTGTTTTGGACTTTGTAATGCTGTAAACAGGATGACTAGATGGATTTGTGTTGCGGCTGTACATGCTAAACTGCACTACACTACAGAGAGGAACTTGTCATGCTTGACTCCCAAAACTTGTCGATTTGTGTTGCGAGATCCCCATCTTGACTATGGGGTGGGGACGTCGACGTTTTTACTCACGATACAAGTCCTTCATCAGCCAGATGCGCGGGTTCGCGATCAACACGAGCAACTATGACAGTGCACAACTCCCCCTCCTCCTCATTTGTCATGCAGAAACCCAAATCCACTTGCTACCTTGTGGCACCGCGTGCATGACAAATTCGTGAAATCCAAACATTAGTACACTCGGCGCATGAACTTGTCATGCACAGGTCCACTTGTACTGATGTTTGCAATGCTGTTGATGCCATACAAATGAGGGGGAGGGGGAGTTGTGCACTTTCATAGCAACTACCAACCGGTGGACACTTCCACCTACGGGCAGATGCTGGCCGCGAACGTGTTGAAGGCGAAGGAGCCGTGGCGGTGCACCGACAACGCGTGGTTTTCGAAGATGTTGTGGGACGAGTTCCAAAAACCGGTCATTGTGGACGTCGGGCGCAGCGGGAACTCGTGCTACGGCGACCCGTTATGAACGGCAAACATGTCGGGGTCTGGAAGGATGCAACCTGTGATGCTACCTCTGGATTCTACGTAAAATCTGTCTTGCATGAACAGCAAAAAAGGTCCAGCTTTTTGCAACGCGGACAGGGCATTTCTTATGCGGTATGGGCATCAGAAAGTCCTCGCAGAGTCTGTGATGCTACGGCATGCATCACAGAAATCATGAGGCATGCAAAATCTGCATGACAAACTCCTGCATTCTTCCAGACCCTGACATATTTGCATTTCATACCCGTCGGGTACGGACGACTTCAAGGCGTTCGAGAACTGGTGCAACGCAGCGCGCGCGGCGCTGGGGCCGCCGCCGCGGGCGCTGCCGTATCGCGAGGAAAAATCCATCCTCCCCATATCATCAACATGGAAGTTTGTGATGCTGATTTGTGGTCACAAATCGCCTTTGTCTTGCCTATAGGGCAATGGGAGCCATGTGGCGCATTCCAGAGCCAGTCTGTCATGCGCTTTCGACTACTGCAAACCTGTTTGCCATGCCTATCTGCTAGCCTGTTGCATATCCAAACAGGCTTAGATGAAAATGCCGCCATGCACTTCCTGCAAAAGAAATGTGATTTGTGTACGCACTTCCAGCATGAGAAATTTCGTTTTGATGTGGGGAGGGGGTATTTTTCACTGTAATACGCCGTGCACGGTCACCTTCGACCGCCCGGACGACATGTACGTCAGCGACGACGTGCTACGGATTGCAAATATGTCTGGGTCTGGAAAAATGTTGGAGCTTGTAATGCTAGTTTTCCATACCTAGAAAATCTATATTGCATACCCAACAAAACTAGTCACAGCCTCTTTTGTACATGCAAAAACGCAATTTCTCATGCGGATTGCCTATGAGAAAGCGTTCTGGAAAGTTGTCATGCTGGGTTGATGTATTCGGAATTGTTTCCATCATCCACATTTTAGCATCACAAATTTCCACACCCAGAAATAGAAATATTTGCATTTGATACGTGCCGTCCATGAGCAACTTGCCGGCGGGGGCGATTGACGCGTGGGTGTGGCTGAAGACGCCGGGGGAGGTGGACGGGTGCAGTCACGCCGTGATCTATCCAGGAAAAAAAGTGTGTAAGTGTAACTTTCTTTGACGAACAGCATCACAAATTTGCTCTACATGACAGAGAAAACCTGTCATGCATGGTTTATAAGGGAAAACACACATGAAAATAGGACTTCATGGCTGTCTGGCATGACAGGTGTAACTCTGTTGCATCTTCTGCAACACAAATTTACACTTACACAGTTTTTTTCTTGCATATGATCCCGGCGAGCTCCTGGTGGATGACGGCGGAGGCCTCCGTCTTTCGCGACTTGGTCGGCGGCACGGGGTTATGAACTGTAAAAGTGTCTGGGTCTGGAAGAATCCAACTTGTCATGCTGATTTTGGATTGTAAAAAAATCTGTATTGCATGAGCAGCAAAGAGAGCCCAAGTTTTGCTACACGGAAAGATGAGCATTTGTCATGCGGTATAGGCATCAGGTAGCCCTCACAAAATCTGTGATGCTAGGGCATGCATCACAGACATCAAAAGTCATGCAAAACGTGCATGACAAAGAACCTGGCAATCTTCCAGACCCAGACATTTTTACATTTGATAGGGGTGGGACCCCACGGCGAAGTTCTGCAACGCGAACGTCGACCACATGTGCGAGATGGCGGTTATGGGATTCTCAATTGTTACATTCTCAACTGTTACATGAATTTGTCATGCAAAAGCACCATCATCATCCTCACGCTCACGATCAAGCTGCTCCGCATGACAAATTTGCGAAGGGCTGAGCCGTGCCGAAATCTGCGCCAGCCTTGTAATGCAAAAGGCGCAATCTTCCTCCTTTCACTTTTGCCAGTCTTGCATTACAAATTCATGTAACAGTTGAGAGTGTAACGTTTGAGAACTTCATAGCTGTGGGCGACGTGCAGGGCCTGTGGGCCGGGAGCGGCACCCCCATCGAGATCCCGGACGCGGGCCGGTTTTCGCCCCACAACATCATCACCCTGGCGACCAACGCTGCGATTCTGGGCATCGGGGACTCGTCCGCCCAGTACACGGGTTGCTTGAAAGCTACGGACGCGGGGCAGTTCGAAGTCGTCACGTCCAGGTAAAAACTAAAACGCAGTGACCGATGTCGGACATTTTTGTTTTTCTGCATTTGTAGTATCTGCACGACGTTCTTCGACGTCTCAGGTTGTACCAAGTTCTCACATTCCGTGTCACTTTTCCGTTCTTCTAAACAAATTGTTTCGTTTTTATCAACATGGAAGTATACCAACCGCCCAGCATTCTTTTGTTGCGGCTACACTTACAGTTTGCAGTGCAAGAGATGTGAGTGAGCTGCACTTGTAGCTGTACCACATGCTGTTTTGAAGCTCCACCGATTTTATTTTGCAGGACAAGGCTTTCTTAATTCTAAAAATTCTGGTTCACCCATTCCACTTGCTACGACGAACTACGAACTAACCAACACCCGCAAGGAACTACGTAAGGGGTCTTCACACGACGAAAGGCTTTTTACGAAGTACGAACTAAGTGAGGGGCAGCATCAGCAACAGCATCTTGTCTCCTGTGCTTTCATGTGTTCGGGTCACGAAAAAAATCTGTTTGTGCCGATCGCAATATAAAAATCGGTTGTTGATGTTGCAGAGAATGTTGAGTCACATCAGTGCTTTCTACTTTCTGACCGTTATCATAAGATTCAGAAACGGTCCGGAAAGTAGAATCCAACACGTAAGTACACACGAAGTTTTAGCTGTGACAAAGCCTGAATGGGAATCAATGAATCATTCCAAGATAAGTAAGAAAACAGAGCAGCCTCGTAGTTCAAGATCACCATAACAAGTTCAAAGCTCTCTGTGCTTTTCCCAAAAATGTTTCCCACTGCCGGTTTCGCTTTGCAGCGCGACGAACAGGTTTTTGAAAGCAATGCGACCGTCGACAACAATAAAACCGATAGCGGTTTTGCTGGTTTTAAGTACACTAGCTCTACCGCATCTCAGCCGCAGCAGCCACCACAACAGCAGCAGCAGCAAATTGCACTCGCCACGACCACAGAGGAGCCGGTGTCCTTGCAGCTCGGTTTGGAGAAATTCAAGGATGCGCAGTATTTGAGTCTGTCATCAGGTGGCCGGGGAGAGAAAACCAAAAGCAGTTCTACTTTTGCTTCTTCTAGTACTCTCCGCCACACGTCGTGGTCTTCAAGTGGACAACCCCGCAGCCGGGACAAAATCGAACAGGAGGTGAGACAGTTCGAAAAAGTGATTGATCAGGCGGTTCTGGAATGTAGTTCTACTTCTAGCGGAACAACGGATGGTAAAACGAAGATTATTTTCACGGGCGGATTGGAGTCTAAAGAGCAACTGCTCGCGTTGCAACGGCAGGTGAAATTACTACTGAAAGAATTGCAGCAACTGGGTGAGGCACAACGAGCAATCGTGGAAGAGCAGAAGGGCAGTGCAAATGGGAGTCTTGCAGAGAAGCAGCAGAAGAAAGGAACAAGTAGCAGCAGCTCGGCCGCTTTGAAGAACGATAATAATACTGATTTCTCTACTGACCAGAAATACGACGAAGTTGCGCTCCAAAACGCCGTGGAGAGGCTGAATAGGAAGTTAAAGAGCGGCGGTGGAACCAAGAATTATACTAGCCAAAATAAAGATGGGTCGTCTGATAGTACCACTACTAGCAACCTCGCGAAAATTGAAATTTACTGCGACAAGAGGGACAGAACGTCAACCTCGTTGTTGAAAGCTTTGGAAAAGAAGATCGCGAGTTTGGAGGAGAAAATTTTCGGCGTTGTGAATCCGCAAGAGGAAATGGTCTTGGCCGGCGGCGACGAATCACTACACGAGACGTTGACACGTATTGTTTTTCTTCATCGGTAATATTTTGCTTCATCGGTGCAGATGTTAAAAACTAAATTGACATGTCATGTTACAAGAACTTCTAGTGATTTTGTTGGAAAATATTAAAGCTCTATCACCACAAAATCAAAATCAGGCGTGAGCCGAACGTTAAAAGACCTCGACACCGGCCGTCTCGACGCCATTGCCGAGTCTTTGCGCTCTTTGAAAAAGCAGAAAGAGGCCGCGATCGAGGGGGGAGAAAATAACACGGCCGACCCAGCAGGAGAAGTACAAAGGCTATCCGTGATCGACAACACCAACACACGGCAGATGGCGAAAAGGTCCTCGTTGCTCTTTCACCAGCAGGCCGCGCTTACCAGAGCGGCAGAGCAGCAGACGGTGGAAGAGGAACAGTTGGAGGAGCTGTATAGTCTCTGTGAAAATCTGTTCTCCGTGTCCTCGAAAAAGATCCCGCATTTCCTCGCCCGGATTGAGACGTTCAAGGATTTTCGAGAGAATGAAAGTCGCGTGATAGCAGATTTTATGAACTGCAAAAGTATCGTACTCGTATGAATGCATTACAAATTTCCTCAGCATGAGAGAAAAAATTTGTAATGCGGATTTCCCTTAAGATAAAGATTTGTAATGCAAGCCTTGCATTTATAGTTATACGAATACGATACTTTTGCACAGGATAGATTTGGAGCGAGTCGAGGGGCAGCAATTGGACGTGCGGAAGAAGCTGGAAACGTGTAAGCAAGCGCTGGAAGCGCTGCAGGGCGGGTTAGCGGAAAATATTGCGGTGATGCAGAAAAATTTTAGAAAATTAGGCGGTGGGTGAGCGAGGACGTGATCATCTTCGCTTCAAACTGCTTCATTTGACATCAATTTTTTGCTCGAAGTCATTTACCGTGAACGTCAAGTCAGATGTCTTTGTCACGTCGCACTTGGAGAAGCAGTACTGCAGTATTAAGCATGGAGTCGAGGCATCAGACTCAAACTTATCGTGACCACGTCAACGTCTGCTACAGCGCAACTCGAAGTCGGTACTTCCTCGAACAGCAGCTTTGCATGTGTCAAGCGAAATTTAGAAAGCTCCGTCGGTACGTGCAACCTCCAGAAATTTCGTTCGGTCCGTGAAACTCGAATAAAAAGAAAGTCCAAAAAAATTTCGGTGGTCCTTCGTGCAGAGATCTGTATAGATTTTCGTTTCATCGTACAACCTGTTGCCCAACTCGTACTTCGTGCTACGTACGCCTTACCTGCTATTGAGCAGCATTTTGGAGTAGATTAAAAACCGTTTGTCTTCTTGCCTTAATACTTCACAGGACCTCATTTCACATTTTCACCCAATAATTTTTTCGTACATTACATTAGTTCCACATCTTCATGCGATTCGATTTGATCCAGGGGGGCGCTCCCCCCTTCTTTGCAAGACCATTGCTTTACCCTAATCGGTGAGGTTATCTCAACAGACATGACCAAGCTTTTACATTACTCTGCTCTACTATTCTAATTCATTTCTCATTCGTGCCTTAATGCACAGTTTGTTTCCCATTCTGAAGATGACGGATCCTGCAACCACCGCAAGTACCACCGCCGCACCGGCGCAGAATCAAGACACAACCACCACAAATAAGCCACGGATGGACCGCGGTTTCACGACGATGCGGATGAATTCGATCGTGTCTGTCCTTCGCCTGGCCGCGCCAAGATTCGGGTCCTCGCAGGCGAGCACGTACCAGGTGACTCCACCGAATGGAGGTCATCAACATGGAAATAAGAAGACGAAAGTGAGGAAAGGAGGCACACATCACGGGCAGCCGCATGGATCATCCAAGAAGGGACATCAAGAAGAATCCTCAGCCAACCCGATCGCTTGTGCGTACAATCTCGTCGCCAAATTTTTCTCACTCTTTTATCTTCCTTCCGGCGGCCACGCGGAGGTGGTGGATGAGGAAGACGGGATGAATCAACCCTGGTATCAATGCGACGAGCAAAGTCTGGTGTACAAGCAGGCGGACACGTTGGAGTTGAGTTTCAGCCAGGCCAGCTACCCGTCGCTGTTACTCGATTTGCTGCTCGCGATCGCGTTCGGGTTTCTGCTCGGGGGGGTTTGGTCTGGGTATTTGTTTGTATCAACCAGTGTGCACTACATCATCGACGACTTCATTTACGGGTACTTGGACACGAGAAACTCTTTCGTCTACTACCTCCACTGGGTGTTCTTATCGACCCTCTCCACCGGCATCGCAGTGTTCACGACCTACCGGTACTTGCCGCATTGTATCGGCGACGGCGTGACGCAACTCTACGTCTCGCTGGCGATAAAATGCAGCGTCCCGATGCACGTGGTGCTGTACCGGACGTTGCTTTGCCCTCTCTTCATCGCCCTGGGTTCCCCACTAGATCTCGAGTCCCCCTTCCGCCAAGTTTCTGCCGCGTTGGGCTGCGCCGCGGTGCGGTTTCAACGGAAGTTTTTCGGAAAGCCGTTTTCCCGGGACGGGTACCCCGTGTGGGCGATCACGGGCAACGCGAGTTCCGTCGGGTGCGTGCTCGGGTCACCTCTGGCCGGCTGTGTGTTCGCGATCGAGCAGATGCTGAACTTGCGGTCCGTCGCTTCTTATGGAATGCAAATATGTCTGGGTCTGGAAGGATGCGAACTTGTGATGCGCATTTCACAACACACGCAAGTCTCTCATGCAGAGGCAGCAAAAGATGCCCACTTCCTGTCACCAAAATGGGGGATTTGTCATGCGGATTAGGCAATGCGGAAGCTTCTCGAAATCTGTGATGCTAGGGCTTCCATGACAGACATTCTGTGTCATGCAAAAACAGCATGACAAAAATCTGCACTCTTCCAGACCCAGACATTTTTGCATTTGATATTTCTGCGTTTCTGCTGGTCGGGTGCTGCGCGATCTGCGGAAGTTACGCCACCGAGAAGGTGACGGATTATCTGCACCGGGAAGTGCGCGAACATTTCAGTCGGGACTGGAACTACCACACGATCCAAGTCGATGGGGAGTACACGTTAGTGGCGTTATTCCTCGCCCTGGGCATGGGGTTCATGACGGCTTTCGTGGGTGGGTTTTTCACCATCGGAGTGGAGAAACTCCAATCCTTTTTCGCCGAAGCGGAGATTCTGCAGGACCAACCGCTCCGACGGCAGTTGATCGGCTTCCCAGTAGGGTTTCTCACAGGTTTACTCGGCGCGATTTGCTACCACGTCGCCGACGTGCGAAGCGGGTGGATGCCGGGGTATGATACGATGGAGCAGATCGCGACGCGGTACAGTTGCAACGAGCTGAAGGCATTAAGCAACACCGATTTGAACAAAGTCGCCTACAACATCCGAACAACGGGGCAAGCGGTAACTGATGAAGACAACTGTATGGAATTAGCGGATTACGTCACTATTTTCCTCACGAAGTTCCTTGCCTGCATGCTGCTCTGCGCCATCGAAGCGCCCGGCGGGATGCTAATACCGAGTTTGGTGTTGGGGTCGAGCTTCGGGGGCGTGACAAAATCGATTTTGGCGGAGATATTTCCGAGTGATGTGGGGATGTTTCGGATCTGCGGGTTTCTGGGCATGACGGGCATTTTCGCGTCGATCATACGAGCGCCAGTGACCGGGCTGATGCTGATTTACTTTCTCTACGGTTCGGCAAGGGCCGGGTTTGTGGTCACGATTACCAGTCCACTGTTGCTTTGCGGTATAGTTTGTTGGTTTTTTTACTTCATTTTGTACGGAAAAATTTTAGATCGAGCTTGAGTTTCTGATGCAAATAGTTCCATGCGTGGGTGAGTTCCTGGGTGGTGTGTCTTATAGGCAAAACGAAAACAAGTGCAAAAATATGAAATCATTGAAGTCCTCGACGAATTCTACCAAAAAAACAGCCATGACCTCCGCCGTGATCTCCTTTTTCATCCGCCCGGACGAGTGGCATTTCGAGCTGTTGTTGAAAGCCGGCGTGCGGATGGAAACGCTCTGGAAGAAGGGCGCGCACGCGCTCATCGAGGTAAAGCACATTCTCGAGGACAGCTGGCGCTGGAGCTACATTCTGCAAGAATCCAAGCAGTGGGAAATGGAGTTGCAACACGAAGCGCTGCTGAAGTTGTTTGAACTCGTGAAGGACCCGGAAAGAACCCGGGATTTACAAGACCACTTGGTCAACGGCGGCGGCGAGGCGGTGATCGGAAATGCCACAACGTCTGGGAGGGTGCTGTCCAATTCCTTTTTCAACCAAGAAGTGTCGAACGCGCAGTCGAACGGGTCGGCGGCATTAACATTACCCCCACAATCGTCCAACGGGCTGCACCATCATGGATCTTCGTTACTGTCCAACGGAGGCAACAGCAGCTCAGTGAACGGCACATCTACTTCCCCCTTCCGGAGAGGGGCGTCGGGTGAAGAGATGAAGGAAACGATGTCGCACATGATCTCGCAGCTGTCGCCCATCGGCGGGGGATCCAGCGCGCGTCTCCACGATAGCAACTTCTCGGTGACCCCACTCGGGTACGCTTTGGTCTACTGCAACGAGTCGGCGGTTCATTTATTACTGTACAAGAAGGCGGACGCGTGCACTTTGTCCGGCGGGAAATCACCCTTGGAAATCGCAACCTCGAACCTACTCGTCGACAGCACCAGTCGGCTGATCGCGTATGGGGCGCAGGCGGAGTCGTTGATATCATTGCTTACCGTAGCGTCGCATTTGGCGGCTGACGTTTCGTTTTTGGATTCGCAGAGCCGGGTGAAGGCGGTGTTAGAGGAGAAAATGCCGGACAGTTTCGAAGAAACAACTACAACAGCCGAGGAAGAGGATGAAGTAGAGCAGCCCGCGGACCAAGTCATCATGAACATTTTACTCACCAGTTGCAGCCCGGAATTTTTAGAAGAAACTAGACAAACCCTCGACGACCCGAAGAAGCTCGCGGAAGTTTTGGAGGATCCGTCTTACGCGAACGGAAGTTCTTTACTTTCGCCAAAAGGGCAAGGTGCAGCTGCAGCAGGAGCAGCAGCTAACCCAGCTGCTCTATCAGCTTCGAACAATAGCAGCACGGATAACAGTAGTCAAGCAACGCCCTTGGAATTGCGACGGGAGGCGGCGATAAGTCTGCTGAAGACTCTGATTGACGCGATTTTGGTCGCAGTGGAGGAGAAGAAGAACGTTAGACCGGTGAAAATAATAACAGGATTGCGTTCATCTGTGGACGTCGACAGCAGTAATGCTCCTACGCCTGCGATAATAAAGGCGTCGAACTCCGATTTCAATTTCATCAAAAACCCATCCTCACCATTAGCGAAGCGAACGGACAGCAAGGGGAACACGTATGACATCAGACTCTTCACGAAGGCCATCGTGACGAAAGACCGGCAAGCCAACACGAAGTCGATAAAATCCGAATATCAGTGCGAGGACGAGGATGTGCTCGCAACGAGCAGCGTCGATATCGAGAAGATTTTGCAGGCAAACCTACCGGCTGGAAAATCCTTCGATTCCGTCTGGTCGCAATTGGCGGCGGCGAGGGAGGTGGGAGTGGCGGTATTAAAAACAGACGAAAATGGGGTCGAAGTGGTAAACGCAGTAGAGGAGAGCAAGGAGGAACAAGAACAACCTGGTGTAGAGCAAGAAACCTCCCAAGTGCAACAACTACAAGCTACCACGACGGCCGCTGAAGGAGACGGCAAGATTTTTACCCAGCTGGAGAAGCTGCAAAAACAGATGGAGAACGGTCTGTGCGGTTTACGGTACTACCAGTCAATAGTACACGTGGTCGCACCTACTATGGACGATAACACGAGCAACGCCAGAACAAGGGACGGCAGCGACAGCAAGGAAGCGGTTGGAACAACAACTACGAGGATATTAGGTGAAGAAGGGCCACCAGAGGATGCGAATAAAAATCCTGCGGAAGGTGAAGGACGAACAACAGCACCTGACCACACCTCTCAACCCCCCGAGGACCAACTGCTTACAAGACAGCGCAGCGGGAACTCCAACTCTCGCACTGCGTCGAAACAACAAGCGGTACTAGAGAAAAAATTATGTCGCGTCGTGAGATCGGCGAGGCTCGTGATGCGCGGGAGAGCCGTCCGAGACGGCACGAAGATGCTGGTGCAGGAAAGACGCGCGTGGGATCCCCCCGCGGCGGGCTCCAGCGCGCGGAGACCAGGGGCACGGGCCAGATTACCGGAGATATCCATAGTCCATCCCAACATGACGGACGCGGATGTGTTCCATCTACTGCTCCAACGGATCGGCCTCGGCCACTTCTCCGCGGAAAGGCTGCACGAGTGCTTTCCGGGTCCGTGGCGAATGGAATCGATCCGAGAGTTTTACCCGGTGGATGATTCCTTCCCGGGCCTCGGCGGTTTCATCCGCCAATGCGACCAGTGGGTTATAGACATCGGCTACATGCGACAAGCAACGGCGCTGCCAGTGTTGAGAAATCATTTCGCAGAAACCTTGAGCACAGCGAGGGAGTTGTTGCTGGCGCAGAAGGAGAACGCGGCTGCGGCGGCAGCCGCTAGTGGAGCTGCACCAGCTGCGAGCACACCAGCGTCATCAGCAGCTGCCGGCGCTGCAACACCTGCAAGTAGTGCCACTGGGGTTTCCCCAACCGGTATCAAAACAACGACATTCAGCGTCTTCCGCGACCGGGACGACATTTCGAATTTCGCTCTGGGCCTACCGGTGTTGGAACCATTCCTAGCGGATGGATTTGTGTTCCAATGGCGCCACGAACCGACCGGAGCGGCGGCGAGGAAAGGGTCGTGAGTTGTCCCTTCTTTTATGACAATTAATATGCTCACACACTAATTAAGCCAAATTAGAACGAGATCGACTTCCCCATCACCAATTTCCAACCCAACCTTTTTTTTCGAGAAGATCATTTTCAGAAGGAGCGACTCTAGAGTTCGTATTTCAGAACATTGGTAGCCTATGTTACCTCATATTTTCCAACGTATCTTCAGAGTCTCTTACTTCATTTAGATTTAACCCGAACTGTATTTGAGAGGTTTTTATCACAGTTCTGTATTCCCCCGACGGATTGTTGAAATGGATTCGTAACTACAAGTTTCTGCACTGATAGAAAGTTCTCTGGATTTTCATGGAAGGAGGTACGGAGCGGCAGCAGGTGGTTCCTGCACCTGCAGTATCTTCCCTGCTGGACTCTGTATGCTTTGTTCGGGTCATGGATCGGACCGACGGCGTACGCAAGGAGCCTACAATATCGGTTAAACGGTGTAGTTGTCTCTCTGCGATATCAAGCGCAAAAGACGCAACAAAGATTCATTTTCTCATCGGTCGTACCATACGCCAAATGAACTAGTCTCGGTTTTCAACTTCATCGTGCACAACAATGCTGCACTGACGCGTGCAATAAATAGTTATTGACATCGTACAAGAACAACCGCACCAAAAAAGTCGGTCCATGATAAGTATCTCGTCCAGAAAGTGGTATCTATCGTCGTCCCTTGTAGCTGCTTGTAAGACCTTCACCTAACGTATTTGCTTTACCCTATCTACGAACGCCCATTTATTTTCCATTTCAATCAAAAACCCAACAGGTGAAGACCCCCATCGGTTTTCACTCCCAATTTTGGCCCACCTGTTGTATATGTTTCTACTATGAGGAAAACCTCCTTTTATATTTTCAATTGATTTTTCTCCCTGTTGCAACCGAATTCTCTTTTCCCTTCGCACTACTAGTTGTACCCCTTAATATTTTCGCACGGATTCAGAATTAGAATTTGGTTGGACAAGACGACGATGTTTTACCCTCTGGCTCCTACGAAAAACTTGTAAATTTATAATTTCAAGGCAGTTGTTGTCATTGTTACAACGTCTGTCTGTTTCGTCATTTACAAGTAGAATTGGAATTTAGTACAACTTTGTATAAACAGAGAGCAAATTATACAGCTGTACTCCAACCCGCAGCCCCTATCTTTCTCAAAACGCGCAGCCTATGTGGTCGCAGCTCAAACTCGTTAAAATAAAATCTTCCAAGTAGAATTAAGTAAACTCCCCTCTCGTCGTCGTCGTCCTTGCCCATGTCGTTGACCGGGCTAAAGCAGGGGCTCGCCAAGGCGCAGGGTGGCGCACCGGGAGGGCTGGTGCAGAAGGATAGGCAAAGGCTCACCGTCGGTGCCATCGACCCCAAAGATGCGGCCAACGCCAACAACGGGGCGAAAGCAGGCGGGAGGCCGAGCAATAACAGGGGGTTGGTGCAGTTTCTCAAGGCAAACGACACGATAGCCTGTGCCAGTGTGTCGTCGTCACTGTATTGATTTTGATTTTTTTTTTTTTGAAAGAACCAACCTGCACGAGGATTAATTCTTCCACACTACTAATTTGAATGTGATGAAATCAATGCAAGACACGTGGAAGATAGAATTTCAGCTCTTGTGAGAATATTACAATTTTCCATGTTCTTTTGAAGATGAAACTGAACCGAAACAAAAACAAAACAAAGGCGGTCCTCCACCGGCTCTTCCGTTTGTCTTTCTTCCGAGACGGTGCGCCGTCAAAATTCCTTCGACGAGAAGCGGTTGACAAAAGAGGGCGACCTATTCTGAGTAAAAACGCACCCACACCAGAGTTGTAATGCAAATCTGCATGCCAAAAATGTTCCTCATGCGGAGCCCCATGCGAAGCATTTCCCCATCGTGTTTTGGAGTTTGTGATGCGCAAAGCAGCATGATATGCTAGATCCATGATGCTTCTGGAGCTAGCTAAACAGGATTACACTAGCGGGCCAAATTTGTCATGCGAAACAACCAAAGCTGGTCGATTTGTCTAGCAGATTTCCCATGTTGACTCTGGTGTGGGGATGTTTTTACATAGGATACGACCCCACTTTTGACATTGGCAAGCTCGCCGCGATGGGCGTGGCCATCGGGTGCAAGAAGGGAATATCAAATGTAAAAATGTCTGGGTCTGGAAGAATGCAACTTGTGATGCTGCATTTGGATTCCAGAAAAATCTGTATTGCCTGAGTACCAAAAGGAATGTAATTTTTGCTACGCGGAGAAGGCATTTGTCATGCGGAATAGGCATCAAGAATCTCTCAAGAAATCTGTGATGCTAGGGCATGCATCACAGACATCAGGGCTCATGCAGAACGTGCATGACAAGTGTCAGAATCTTCCAGACCCAGACATTTTTACAGTTGATAGGGAAAGAAGCCGGAATCGCCGAATCAGGACTCGTATGCCTTTGTGCACTGTCCAGACGACTTTACGCTTTACACGGTTTTTGACGGTATATTAAGGGTTGACCGTTGATGTTTTAATATTTTGTGATAAAGTACATTCATCTGGAGGTGCTTATGCTTAATTTGCTAAGCTAGCAAAGTTGAAGCATGGAAGTTTTAATCTAGTGATTCATCTCCTTCAGCATGAGAAATACCTACTTCAAGTCGTTGCACCTCATACAGGTCACGGCGTGAACGGGCACGACGTGTCGAATTTCTGCAAGGAGTACATGATAAAACTTTTCATCTCCGACCCCAACCGCGACACGAACACGGAAAAAGCCTTCGCGGACACCTTCAGGAAAGCCCAGCAGATATCAACTGTAAAAATGTCTGGGTCTGGAAGAATGCAACTTGTCATGCTAAACCTGAATGATGCAAAAATCTGTGTTGCTAGAGTGCCAAAAGCTGTCCGCTTTTGACCAAGTTGAGAGGGAGTTTCTCATGCAGGAGAGGCATGATAGAGACCTCAAAGAATCTGTCATGCTGGGTCTCGCATTCCAGACCTTATGGGTCATGGAAAACCTGCATCACAAATCTTGCATTCTTCCAGACCCAGACATTTTTGCACTTGATAGCAGATGCTAGAAAACGAAATGGCCTCGCAAATCGACAGCAGAACTTCGGTATGAACTGCAAAAGTATCGTACTAGTATAAATTGCATTTGGCGCGCGCGCGCGCGCGATTTTGGTTTGTGAGGTACGAAGCGCTGCGCGACTATTGTTTACGGTGGGACGGCTGACGGTCGTAGGTTTTCGGGACGCTGCTTCCGAGCACTGGGCGCGCGAAGACCGAAGCTGTGCGCGTAGCGCTGGTTTTAAACAGAAAGCGGGCGAACGCTAGGGCCGATCGCAGTCGTGGCTGCTCTTTTCTGTAGTGACAGATTTGGGGCCTTTGGTGCCCATCACGGCGCGCGATGAGGTGCTGCAGCACCATCTAAAACGACGGCGCTGCGGCATTGCAGGTACAGATCCGAACCGGGGGTCAGATCCTACCTGACCCCCCGGGTCGACTCAGTACCATAGAGATCAGGAGCGTACCTTTGGGTCAGGAACGCCCCCCCTACTTCTTCCCAGACCCGCATTTTTTTTTGGCGCCGAGCATATCAAATGCCCTGTTTGTTCTAGAATATTCAGGCCCCGGGGCGCTATTGAACTGGTAGGTACATTGTTGAACCGCGGGACCAGTTGAACTGATACACATTACAAATTTCCTCAGCATGAGAAATAAAATTTGTAATGCACATTCGCCTCGGGAACAAGATTTGTCATGCAAGACTTGCATTTATACGAGTGCGATACTTTTACACAGGATATTCGGGGGCCACGGCCACGATGATCTACCGTCCCGCCGGGAAGAGGGAACTCCACGTGGCGTACTGTGGGGATAGCAGGGCATCGGTATACATAGAAGCAATTTATTTGTGTTGCTGTGTCTCGCATGCCAAAGCGATCTCTTGTACGGCTTTCACGCATTACAATCTTTTCGGATGGTATTCCGAGCTCTACCGTGTTTTGCATGACAAACTAGCTTCCAGCACGACAAGAAATTTGGCCCATCGCATTCATGCATTACAGATCTTGTTGTCCTCCGAGTTTCGCATCACAAATCCAAAACAGATCTGCTTCGCTACCGAGTCCACCACCGTCGTTCCGGGCACGTCCCAGAAGCCCAACGGCAGGAAGCAGCTGGGCGTGGAGCTCACCCGGGACCACAAACCGGAGCTTCCCGAGTATCAAGAAGAAACATCCCCCCTCCCCATATCAAAACGGAGATCTGTGATGCAGATTTGCAGTCACAAATCAGCTCTGTCATGCTAGAAGGGAAAAGATGCGGACTGTCGTGCTGGGTGGCGTGGGGAAGCCTTGCATCTTCAGGATGACAGGAAGCAGCTGGAAGTGGGAAACAGCATGACAAATTGCCTGCAAACGAGGCCACAACTGCGGCTCTTGGCCTTCTAGCATTACCAGGCGATTTGTGTACTCAAATACAGCATCACAAATTTCGTTTTCGATATGGGGTGAGGGGATTTTCCCTTTTGATACCGAGGAGAAAAGGAGGATTGAATCCTCCGGCGGCGTCGTGCTCTTCGACGGGTACTACAACCACCGGGTTTTCAAGCGCGGTACGGTGTACCCGGGGTTAAACATGTCCCGGGCGATGGGGGACGTGATTGGGAACCGCGAGGCGGGGATCGTGGAGACGCCGGACTACAAAATCTTCGAGCTGACCTATTACAATGAAAAATGCCCCCTCCCCATATCAAAACGGAAATCTGTGATGCAGATTTGTGGTCACAAATCAGCTTTGTGATGCTAGAAGGCACAAGATGCGCACTGTAGTGCTGCCTAGCGTGGGAGTAAACCTATGCGTCTCCAGCATGACAGGAGACAACTAGACGAGTGCGAAACAGCATGACAGATTACCTGCAATTTAGACCGCAGCTTCGTTTCTTGGCCTTCTAGCAATACAAGTCGACTTGTGTACTCAAATACAGCATCACAAATTCGCGCATCTTCCGTTTCCGATATGGGGTGGGGGCTTTTTTCACTTTGATATGACCGACGAAGTGATCGCCTTTCTCGTGTGCTCCGACGGCGTGTGGGAGTTCATCGACTGCCACGAGGCAGCCACGATTGTGCACAAGCACAAGGACAAAGAGACGGGGAAAATCAACTGCGAGAAGGCGGCCGAGGAGCTGTGCCGAGAAAGCTACCAGAGGTGGATGGACGACACTGGTGGGGAAATTTCGGACGACATCACCGCGATGATTCAAGTTCTATAAGCTACGTTTTTATGCTATGTGTTTCATCGTGGTATAATAAGTAGTTGGAGAAGTAGTAGAAGTAGAAGTAGTACCCCATGTAGTAGTATCCTACATCGCTGATCAGACACAACAAGTCAAGTAGACCTTTTACTTGCACAGGGTTGTAGTTGCACTGTTTTTCATATATCGAGAGCGGATATCATCGAGAATTTTCGAGTTTGTAAGATTTAGCTCGTGAATTCAAATGGAAACACGAACAACAACATCCATTGTGTGTGATTGTGTGGAAAGATCTCAGCACTCTAAGTAGACTAGTAGGTCAGCATAACTGGCACGCATATTAGTTGTATCGGACACGGTACTCAAAATTTTTGCATAATTGCGCGACGCGAATCGGAGCTACACACGCCTTTCTCGACGACACGCAGCATAGTATTCATCTAACGCATTGTGAAGGTCTTTTTCAAACGACTTGTATAGAAGCAGCTTTTAACCACATCCTCTTGCATAAAATTTTATCAGCTCTGAATACGGTCGTGTATTTCAATTTTTCGATGGACATGATTTTCATGGTGTATTTTTCTTCCTCTTTTTCAGGCCAAAGATCTTTCAAACAAGTGGAGGGAGCTCAATCGAAAATGAAGGAGGTTGTAACTATTGCTTTATGTCGTGGTCAAGCTACTGGTGCCATTACCATTACTCGCCAGTGGTCTTCTGTTCGAAGTATCGACATACTGTGTTCGTAGTCAGCATCGAATGATGCAGGTCGAGGTCGAATGATCTTTTCTGAAAACTTAGACTTCTGATCTTTTCTTGGAGACAGAGATGGTTCTGTATGCAAGATTTATACAACTGTTGTGCTCTATTTTCCCGTTGCAAATGCAAAGTAATTACCTACCGTCCGAAAAGCCTATCTCGGTATGAGTCAGTTATTTTCAGGTTTTGTGAAAGCAAAAAAACAAAAAGTTGAAATTCGTTGAGATTTGTTCTGCTGTGTAGGTACTCGGTCATACCTTGGCGGCACTGAGTCTGTGAAGAAAGACAAACCAACGTCGAAGAATTCCACCGACAGAGCTTTCGTTCTTTCCGTTCCAGTCTCATGCATCGTTCAGCCTCGGCATCGGCTCGAACCCGATATGAGTAAATGACTCTTTTTATTTTTATTTCCTTTTCCGATTTTTTCGTTTTCTTTCGTACACAGTCCTTTCCTTTCGTCAGCGCATGACAAGAGGATTTCGTTATCTTGGCCACCTTCGATTTTTTTCAAGCAGCACGTAGCTGAAGCATCAGAATAAAGTAAATCACCAGCATACCCTCTTAATATGAGACTGCCCTTCGACGTGATGATCGTGGTCTGCGCGACCGGTAAACTGCACTGCCTGTCGTTCTGGGAGATCGCAGCAGTTCGTGTCGTGATGGTTAGCACGTTTCTTGTCGTGCAACATTTATTTCATCGTACGTACGGACGCTTGTAAGTAGCAGTAGCTTGTACAACGTGCAAATCAAGTAGTGCTCAGTTCCCTTGGTGTATGTGGTATTTATCGGGCTGAAGCGGAAAGGTGTACACGTTTTTCACTGTTACGACTGCTCCACTTGAATGGTATACGTCCTCGTCAAGAACAGAACCAGATCTGACAAAGGTGGTTGTCGTTGTTCGTACACCACTCAGGTCAAGCGTATAGTCACGCACCACAAGAACTAATCGTGTCAATCTAAAGCTACAAACAAAATTGGAAATAACAATAACGCCAACGCAGTTCCCAGGATTTTAGTTGTGGTTCACAACGACAACGTGCTCACAGCATCTTTTTTTCCTAAGCTGCTACATAGCAAAGCGCACACTTCTGCTCGTGCTCTAGTCCGTCATAATCTTTACGACACAAGAGAAAATGTCCGCACCAGGAGAAGGCACTATCAGCATGGGCAAGACAAGCAAAGCGACGCGGCAGGGAGCAGCCGCGACGGGCGCCCCGCTCGTGACCGGCGCACCGCCCCCCCCCCCCCCCGTCCGCTCGACAGCACGTTTTGCTCCCACCGGGAAAGGCGTGTCGCCGGTGTCGCGCGAGGTGGACGACTACTGTGCGGGGGAAGTCGCCGCCGACTGTCCGCCTGTGGTCGGTCCGCAAGGGGATGTCGAAAGCGGATTTTTGGACAACAGCGACAAGAACCACGACGACGAAGACGATGTTCTTTCTGCCGCCACCGGCAAGGATGATGCTGCAAAGCTACCGGGGGCGGACGCCGCGCGCTCTTCCTTCGTGTCCTACGACACCTTCCCGGCGAAACAGAAGCCGCACAGCAAAAGACTCTCAAAGCCGGCTTTGGCGAAGGTTTCGGCCATTACGGCGGAGCGTGCTTTCTTCGCTGGTGGCTTGGGCTCTCGTGCGTTTCTGTGGACGTCCTGCGCCTTAATGGGTTTGGTCTTGATTCTGATGACCTTCGGCTGGGACACTGCAGGAGCAGGTAAGTATACTTTGCTGCATGAGATTTGTGCCTCAAGCTGATGAACAGCGACTGAGAGTTGTGTCTATACAGGATGCGAAATCGTAGTAGGAGTAGTTCTTCAAAGTCTTTTTATTCCACCTCCCTCGGGAGCGAAAGCGAATGCACGGCCAAAATTCAGCGTATTTATGCAAGGGTGAAGAAGAGCCTGGGCTGCATCAGGAGCTCGCGCATGATCATGCGAACTTGAACTTCAAGGAAATCCTCGCGAAAAAAAAAAGCATGGAATCAATCGGAGATCTTCTTTTTCTTCTTTGTGAGCAGTCGGAGTGTAGAACATCTGGACGAGGATGTCAGCGTATTTTTTGAAAGTGAGGAAGTGTTGAAGTTAAAAACTAACCCCAACAGTTGACGCATGCTTCGGCTTCCTGCTGCCGTCTACGGTCTGGTCCGAGACGCTCTGGACGCGGGGCCGATGGCGTCGCGGACGCATCCCTCCGCTATCCAATGCAAACTTGTCTTGATATGGAAGATGAAAACAAACTGTTGCAGACCCACACACTTGCCATGTAGTTTTTGCACCTGCGAAGACGTCTGGAGTGCACGCGGAGCGAGCATGACAAATTCCGCGCAGGCTTCTCCATGCCTACACCGCATGAGGAGTCGGCCTCTCTCGCTGGGAAACAAATTTTTCTGGGGTCCATATCTTCGAGGCAGCTCAGTAGATTGCTCTTCCTGCTGGTGCTGCCTGAGGTTCTGCCAGAATCAGGCTCATAACAGATTTGCGTCCTCTTTTTCCGGAAACAGACATATTTGCAACTCATGACCGTGAAAGCGAAACAATGGGCAACTGTGGCAGAGAGAACTGCATTCTCGCAAGCGGGAGCAGCAAACGCCACCGAAGCCGCGTCGCCGTCGTCCTTCATTTTTACCGGAAAACAGCAGGTGCGAGATCCATTCCACTCATACGGGTGGGAGAAAGAGGAGCTGCTCTGCAAAAACGTAAAGCGGCAAGCGGAAAGAGAAGAGTGCGAAAAGCCCCTTATGTCAATTTATAACGACCACGACCAGATTGGACGCACGATCCCGATTGGGGCCTGCTGGTGGAACGACTCCAAATTGGGTCCCTTTCAAATGGGAACCCCAGGGTGTCTGTTGGATGCAGACCATCTGCAAGAAGGTGACCAAACCGGCTGGGAGAGCCAGTGTTTGCGTCACAGCTTTTACAACCCGGGCGCAAACGACATCTGCCAAAAGGGAGAGCTGAAGTGGTGCGAGTGGCAGGGAGCGGAGATTAAGTTGCCCCACGACGATCATCAGTCCGAACAACGATCGTGCATCGGCTACGACCGCGGCTGCTGCGTTCCGCGAGGCAGCAAGGCCGCGGGAATCGGGTGGAAGTTCAGCCCCTTCAAAACCACCAGTCGCGAGATCGTGGCAACGATCTTCTACTGACCGTTGTCTTCGTCGAGGAGGAGATGTTTTCGCGAAGTTTTTTCACGAATGTGCAAGCTCACCATCTTTTACAAATTTAATTTTTTTTTTGGAAAAATGAAAACTTCAACTCTGACTGAAACCGCGACGAAGAAACTCGTCCGACTATGTTAGTACTAGGCGTCATCGCTGACAGAACGTAGTAGCAAAAGCCGGGTCATCGCTTACAGAACGTAGTTTCGGGTTGTTTGAATGTTGTACAAGCCACTTTGTTTTCATCAAATCTTTTCGAAGCTAAAAGTAAAATAAACCAGACAAAATTTAATTTCTTGTTCGCTCCTTATCTGACTTACTCATCAAGCAGCAGACGCGACGACATTCAAACGCAACTGCATTTTGTTTTCAACGTTTTTGATTTTGCTTTGCTTTTCTTGTTCAAGTTTTTCAAAGTAAAAAAGCAAATGGAAGTACTTGAAGTTTTTAGCATCTAAGCGGTTCTTCTACTTCTTCTTTGGTTGCACGCCTACGGCACTCTCCGGCTGTCTTCGTACGAACTATTTCCGATTCTGCGCATAGTCGGCCGGTAAGTGCGCCAGGACGTAATACCAGCAAGGCCTACGTTTTTTTTTTTTCATCGAATCAACAAGAAATGCCATTGAAAGAAGAAACGCATTCAGATCAACATTACCAATCACCACTCGTCGTCGGAATACGAATTTCAATTTCCGTCGCATTTTCTGTTTATTGGAAGTTCTTTTACAACACCAGCCGTGCCAATTTTCACCCCGTATTTCTTTCCTGTGGAGGTCCCCGGCGTTGTTCAGAAAACAGCAGCCCTGCTGTAGGCATTTTTAGTGCCGCCCAATCCCCGCACACCCAACACTGGATACGCAAAAGCACCCAGCACTGGATACGCATAAAAATAAAAATATCTGCGCATAAAGTACCCGAAGCCTAGGACTCTGGACGGCCAAAGCCTAATTGACATGCTTATGGTCTTCTTCAATGAAGATGGAGAAGCGAAAAAACGCCTCTGTGTACTTAGTTTTTTTGAAGCCTCCACAGCACGTTTTTTTTTTCAACCTCCCGCCCCCACATTGTAGCCCAATAGGTGAGTGCCGCTATCATAGATCTTTTCTTCGTCCGACTGCGTATCTATAGAGCTTAAGTAAGGTAATATTTAATCTACTTCTACTATGTCTTGGGCTTGGAGCGAACAGGAACAACCAAGCTTCATGATATCTAGACTATATTTGCCAGTCGGACGATGACGATCATTTAGATTGTAGCGGTCTCCTTCTGCGTGCCCAACCCATACCCGGAAGTAGTTTTTTTATATCTCTATTTGTAGTCCCACCCTGAACGAGTAAAGACGCAAAAAAAAAGCGCTATAAAAGCGCCAGGGCGCTCGTTCAAAACTCTTATCCCCCATTTTAGCAGCTTTGTGAAGTCGAGCAGGTAAACAATAAGAAGATAGGCAGAATAGTTCGACAACAATTATCCGCAAAGCAGTTTTTTCGAAATCTTTTTCGACCCCCACACGATGAAAGCCAGAAGCTAGCACTTTCGGGAGACGAGAACTTCCTAAACAGGAAGGGATGGCGTTGCTGCTCAGGAGATAGCACAAAGTGAATGCTTCTAAACGGTTTTCGAATAGTTTTACCCGACCCGTCCCCAAAAAAATCGTCTCGAGAGGTAAAGCCGCCTCGAAAAGGCTTTCCCCCGTGGAGGTCGTGTTGCGTCAGCAGCGAGGGCTCGAGCAATGACCGAGGGTGCCCCCGCGAGCCACGCACGCTCTCTAGGTAGGTGCTTTGGCCACCTTCATGTTTGTTCCGTACAAAGAAATATTGGCGTCTTAATGTGCTTGCGCTGTGCTTGTTGCCTCATTTGTTCTTTCCTCGGGGCCGCATGGTAGTACTTCCTGCCCTTGATGCCCTCTTACTGCAAGACTTTAGCTATTATACTAACATTGAAATTGATGAAGGTCGGGGCTTGCTCAATGTTGATCTTGTCTAAAACTTTTGATCTTTCGTTGGAGACAGAGATGATCCACCTGTCGCAGCAGGAGAGTACAGCACTAAAGATGTTGAGGGACAACTGCAGTTCTACCCGCCTTCCAAGACAGAAGCTCATGGAGGTTTTTGACGGTCGGTTTAAAATCAAGGTCCGTGTGGTCGAAGAGAATGAAGGTTCTTCGCGCGCTCTGCTTTTTGGTTTTGGACGTCCTTGATCATCGTGATTCATATAAATCGTAAAAATCCCTTTTGACCAGTTTCCCAACCCCCCATTGGCTCCGTCGCACTCAAAACTATGACCCGCACCTTTCATTGCTCAAATGATTTTCGTTTTCCTTATTTCGAGTTAATATCTTTCTTCTCGCCAGCTTATCCTGAATTGAAGCTTCCAAATTGAAGAGTAAAAAATGGCAAGCGCGTTCTTAGGTTTGTCGCCCATCAATGCGCCGAAAGTGGACAACTTTTTAAAAGCGTTAACATGATGCTCCTCACGTTTCTGCGGAGCCTGGCGCCCTGTGGCGATGACGATACATGCGCGTCGTTCTCGTTTGGGCGAAGCAAGGCTGGGTCGAAGGAATACAACGATGGCAGCGATGAAAAAGAAGGTGTCGGGGCTGCAGGTGGCACTAATGTCGGCACGACCACCAGCCCCGAAGTCGTGGTTGCTTTCAACCGCCGTCCTACCGCCCCGAGCGAGCGCAATGCCACGCTGCGACAATCAAATGAGATACTCGCCGGGAGATCTATCCAGGAAGTTCTGCGGCGGCGCTGCCTCGAATACATCTACGCACGAGAATATCGTGAGAAAAAAGTGTTTCACTGTAAGGCTTTTGCAGGTTTTGCATCACAAGTTTGTTCTACATGACAGAGAAAATTTGCCATGCCAGGTTCCTAAGGGAAAACACAGCTAAAAATCCACTGTCTTGCATGTGTAGCAAGACAAATACTTCTGTGTTCAATTTTATGCATCACAAGTTTACAGTGAAACAGTTTTTTCTTGCGATAGAAAACTGGACTGGTTCCCACCTGATGTCGCGGAGAAGATGCAGGAGATAATATTGAAAGGAAAAACTCCCCCTCCCCATATCGAAAAGGCATGTTTCCGAAAATTTGTGTTGCTGATTTGAGGTCACAAATCACATTTGTCTTGCAAGAAGACAAGTGCAAAAGCTTCGCCCCTTTTATGGAAGCGATTTGTCATGCTGTTGGGCCTAAAGGGCAGCCGTTTGCCATGCTGAGCAACTAGGCCGATACGCCCCTGCATAGCCTGGGGATCTGGTCGCAATGCCTTCCTGCAATACAAAGCTGATTTGTGTACACAAATCCAGCATCAGAAATTTCGTTTTGATATGGGGAGGGGGGATTTTTCCTCTCGATAGATAAGCATGGTTAGAAGTACAGCAGAGGAAAATCTTAATCTTCAAAATAATGCCGACGCAAAGGAGCTTGGTGTTTCATCTGTTATTTCCCCCGGCGACCCCGATATCGAATGGCTGAAGGTGGCCACGACAAAAACACTGTCCCGGACGAATTCTGGAAATGTGCAATTAGAGGATTCCGAATCGTGGATCGACTCCTTTCACCTCCGTTACGAGATCGACGAAATTGAGTCTCTGGTGATGCAGCTTCTCAAAGGTGTTCGTGTTGAGCCGGAAGATGGTCCGAACGCTTTGTGCGAGGTCTTAAACGAGCTGCAGTGCCTGCCGAGAGTCGCGCCCGGGCTGGTGAAGAAAGACTGCGCGGAATTTGGCAGTTGGATGTCCGCGGATGCGGTCACCGTGAAGCAAAACGGCTTAAGATTGCTGTTGTTCGAATGCTTACCGCTGGCAACTCGTGTACAACAATACGTTCAGTCTTCCGCTTCGAGGACACTACTGGGCCAAGAGCGGGCGGGGATTGAGCGGGAGCTCTGGTACCAGCGGGGACGGAATGAGAGGCTGGTATCGGCAGGGAAAGAGCATGTCCGGCCGGAGCAGCTCGTAGCGCCGATAACTAGTAGACAGGAAGAAGGCGGTAAGAACGCCTTGAAAGATGAGGATGGCCAGAGCTTGAAGGGATCACTTTACCTGGAGAAGTATGCAGAAATGCTCGTTTCGTCTTACTCCTTTTTGACGGATGCCTCGCTCGGGGAGATCTTTGGTGCTCTGAACAAAGTTGTCCAAGAACAAAGTAGCGGCCACCATAATTACCGAGAAGCGCATGTACCTAAGCATCTCGATGCCGCCCTTGCCAGCTACGTTTTGGAAGTCTGGCGCGAGTTTTCTGCTCTCCCCCCAGACCTTCAGGGAGACGGAGTTCATCTCTCGGGCTCGAACCACCTTGGTGCAGTAGTTGTGCAGAACACATACCGCAAAAAGATTCTGGAACGTCATTGGTGGGAGAAGGAAGGCCCGGAGTTGCGGTCAAAGATACTTCATCTTGATAAAGACCAGAAAAACTACCCCTCGCTCACAGAGGCTTTTCGGCGCATTGAGGGTCTGGAAAGGGGTTTAACCATCGAGCAGAGGGCCCAACAGCAGGTGAACAGATTGCTACGGGAACATGGGGACCAAGAACAGAATATGAACTGCAAAAGCATCGTATTCGTATAAATGCATTACAAATTTCTTCAGCACGAGAAATAAAATTTGTAGTAATGCGGATTTGCCTTAAGAAAAAGATTTGCATTTGTAATGCATGACTGCAATTACCACAAGTACGATACTTTTGCACAGGATACAGAAACTGCTCGTCGACCTCTCATCTACTTCAGGACCGGAAATAAACGAGGTTGAGGCGCAGAGGAGGAAAAAAGCCTTTCAGCAGCTGCAACTGCAGTGGCATCCCGACAAGGAGCCAGATCCGGAGAAGAGGAAAATCGCGACCGCCGTGTTTCAATTACTCCAAGACGAAAAGCCACGGTTTCTTGGCGAAATAAACTGTTCATAAGCTGCAAGAAGTGAGTTCATCAAGTACAATGCGTGTTTGTGATATTCACAAAAACATTTGTAAAAGCTTGAAATTCGGGTACAGTAAGTAACACAAGCAACAGCTGCCCGAGCGAGCGACAGCTTCGGCCCTAGCCGCATGAAAAACAGGTAAGTGTTCGTGCGAACTGGCGAGAAATACAAGGTTCTTGCTCTTCATTCTGCAGGTAAGAAAACGATCAAACCTTCGCACAGCATCAGAAACACTACGGCAGTACGGCGCTTTGTTTCTAGGCCCATACAGCCTTCAAGAAAAATATGGGATCTAAGAATCAATAAAAGTGTTGCACTAGTAGTAACTAACTACAAAAACACTACAATCTTGTCCAGCAAGTTGTAGACGGCGAAACCACAAGCATCAATCTCACTGCTTTGCTAAAATGGCGCACCGAAAAACAAAGAGGAGAAAACCTTTACCATGTTCCGTGACAGCCGCCACGATCTCCACTGCAGCTGCATTAGCGCTCCTCGCGAGAGTTGTTCTGTCCGAAAAGCCTTTTGTTCTTTCCTCCCAGAACCAAAACTGGTTTCCCGATCACGACTGCAGAAATTCGGAGAAATGGAACCACTGGCGGGAACAAATCCGCGACCAGCCCACGTGGCTGCGGCCGGAGAACACGAAGGTGCAAGCGGGAATTGTGGACTTCTACTTGAAGCAAAATCCATCTGGACAAGACCAGGCGTACAACAGCGACCCGGCGGACCCAAGTGCTCTCCTCCCCCACGAAGGGAAGATGTATGAGGATTGTTATCTCGGCGCCCTCTACTCCGGCCTGATCGTCATGCTGACCTGCTGGCTGCGACAAGACTCGTGCTACTTTGAGAACGAGCAGAAACTGCAGAGAATGTTCCCGCCTTTAAGAGTCCTGATCGGGACGGAGTGGCCGATATTGGAGACGTTGGCGGAGACAGATTGGTCCGCGAGTCCGAGCGCAAAGGATCTGCAAGTGACCTGCGATTTTCCCACAGAGAAAAAACCGCTCGTGGACTGGACACGGTTCAAGGAAGTATAGAAAATGGTACTTCTTCTTCTAGTTCTATCTTCTTCTGTAGTACCTGCGTCGTGAAGGCTGTTCTTGGTGTTGGCTTCTGGAATTTCAATTTCAGTGCACCGCGTGTGCATGTGGTGCATGAGAAGTGTTGCTGTGTACTAGCAGGGCAGTCATTTTACATCACAAATTCTTTCTAGGTTTTCACGACCTCGCCAAATTCCTGGTTCGACTACGCCGTGAAAATCGCCTACGGGAAAGAGCTGGAACAAAACACCCAAGTAGCCATCGCCGAATGCCCCCTTGGGTTCCTGACCGCGAACATTGTGAAAGCGTTGCTCTGCGCGAACACGGAGTCCGTGTGTTTCCCCGCCCACGCCGGCGCAGTGGATCAGGTGATGGAGAACTTGAGCTTCCACGCCCTGTTCGGGGGTACCTGGCCCATTGGCACTCTGCTGGTGCATTTACGACGGCAGGTAAAAAGGCATGGGTACATGTTATCAAAGGGAAAAATCCCCCCTCCCCATATCGAAACGAAGTTTCTGATGCTGGATTTGCGTACACAAATCAGGTCTGTCTTGCTGGAGAGGACTGCAGGCATATGCCAAGCCTGGGCCGAGAGGTTTTGACGTAGGGGACTAGCATGACAGACGTCGGCCCTGTAAGCCCAACAGCATCACAAACCGCCGGCATAATGCGGCGGACTCTCTGGCTTTGCCTTCTTGCAAGACAGACAGGATTTGCGACCTCAAATCTGCATCACAAATTTTTAGACGGATGCGTTTTCAATATGGGGAGGGGGGATTTTTCCTTTCAATACATGTTGGGGTTTTCCGAGAAAGAACTGGCGGATCAGTTCTACAACGATGAACATGTAGAAGTGGACAATACTAAAGTTCGTGATGACACAGACACCAGCGTCGGCGATTTGGGTCCATCTTCATCTTCTGGCAGGATACATGCAGTCACCACGCTTTTTGGCGCTGCATCTACTAGTTCGAGATCAAGCAGAACAGCTGCACGACTACCAACAGAAAATTGGTGGTGCAGGAGGAGTGGTGGGGAAGCAGATTTGATGTTTTCTGCAGCGCCAGAATTTCAAGGTTTTGAATTCCGGATCTCCGCCTTTTCCCCAACCATGCAGAACTTTTTAACCTTGGTCGCGAAACGCAAGCTCTGCGCCGTGACCTGGGACATACGAGATAGCATCGTTTTGACCACGATGGTGTACGGGAAAAAATTCCACAAGTACATCACCCCCTTCCTCCAGCGCGTCGACGCGGTGGGAGTGAAATTCTTCGTCCTGTGGTGCTTAGACGAAGAAGCGCTGTTGCAATGCGAAAGGACGACAGCTGCATTGACGCCTTCAACATCTTCGTCCACGCGGATGGAGGCAAGCCCTGGCGAGTGGTTTGAGCAGAGCAACATGTGGGAGCTGTACGGGGTGAAAAAGCCAGACGGAGAAGGCGGGACGACCAGGGGCAGCTCGGAGAGGAACTACTACGAGGACCCTAGCAACAGAAAAATTTTCTGCGTCCGCGGATTCACCAAAGGAATTCTGAACAAGTTTTCCCTGCCGTTGGTCTTGCTGAATTATAAGCTGCACGTTTTGTGGGTGGATTTCGACACGTTTCTGTTCCGAAATCCAGTGGAGGAGGTGGTAAAGCAGATCGGTGAAATGGCGTTGCGGGAGGATATTCTTGAAGAAGCAGAAGAGGTGGAGCAGCAGGGCACCAGTACTGGTGGGTCTGGAAGAACAGGAGCACCTGCGAGTTTGCCCGATCAACCGGATAAACTACACGAACTGTCACACGAGCCCCCAGGAGCGGCTGAGCGTGCCGCCATTTTCGAAAATTTTCCCTTCGACTTCATCACAGAAGATGAAAAGGACCACGAAGCGTATTGGAAGAAACTACATCGCAATGGTGGAATAATAAATACCGACATGGAACAACAACAAGGTCAAGCGCCGTCTGATGCAAAAATTGATATAGCACAAAAATCCGAAAGCGAAACCCCAGCAACTCCCGACCTTCTTCTCTCCGGCAGTTTCTCCACCGAGTGCATCAACTCTGGTGTCATTTTCTTCCGCTCGCGACCGAACGTCCGCCGGTGGCTTCTTGAGGTTCTAAAATGGATGTACGATCACCCCTACGAACACGATCAGAAGTGTGTTTCCGCGTTTCTCGGTGCGGGGGAGCGGGTCGCGTTCCCGCACGAAATGCCACAGGTGTTGTTTGAAGACGATAATTTAATATTTCGAGCGGCGTCGAGGACGAGTGCGAGTGGAGGTGGACTACGACGAGATGGCACGACAGCTGCTGGTGGTCGTGCGACCTCCAAAAATGACGCCGGCACGAGGACACAGCATGAAGTCGTTCGTCTTGTCACCTTTGACTACCTCGACCCCGAGACGAAGTTCGTGACCAGCAAGAACGTCCCGGATGGGGGCTGGACCGGGGACCCGGACAAGCTCGTTGTGTTTCATTTCTTGCACGGGGAAAGCGACCAGAGTTTGGGGGGGCACGGGTTCACGCAGGACCATTTCGAGTACTTCGATTACATGCAGGGCTTTTACGGCGCTGGGGCGGTTCTCCTTGATGTAGTTCCACATGAAAATTATACTCGAGAAGGAGAGCAGGTGGATAATCATAATGACGTCGTTCCTTTGCAAATGAACGCTCTGTACAGTCAACCCGACATGTGGAAAGAGTCTGCTGCCATCGCGGACTCTTTAGCAAGGTCGCGGGTGGATGGGGGCAGACCGGCGAAGGAACTGAGGAAGAAGTGCAATGAGACCGTGCCTATGAACTACTAGCGGAATGATGTTGAATTCATGTTGGATCTGCGGTGCGTCCTCTTAGTCGCACCGCCTTCAACTCGACGAAAGCAGGTGCGCAGAAAGAAACATCAAAAACCATTGCTGGAACCGCACTGCTTGCAAAAGACGCACAGTAGAACGATACTGCGAAGTTTCTGTTGTTCCATGAAGCGATAGTACTTGCATTGGTAGAGAACCGAAGATCATAATTGTTCTTAACGCGTCGCGATCCTGGTCTACTTCGCACTATGTGATAGAAAGGTTTTGTTGAAAAATTTCACGCGTTTTGACGTTAAAGGATCCTCGACTGGTGAGCATGCTCGGATTTTCGTGGAGTTTTCAAGAATTCCATATTTGGACTTTAGCGTACTACTCGTAGGTCACTGTCTTCCGCATACTTAGTGAAGGAACTCCTGCTGCCTATTTTCGTGTTCCAAGATAGAAAAATCTCCTGGTACGAATAAGCGTGAGATCATTTTTCTGAACCCATCTTCGCCAGACAACGAACACGTCTCAACATCATGTCCGTTCTTCACGACGAAATGAACCCACCAGCGCCAACCGCTGCTGCTAACGACGCCGATGGGAAGAAGAACAAGTTTTCCGCCCAAGATAAAACCTCCGGGAATTATGGGCAGCAGCTGCACGAGGACAACTTCGATAGTGCGAAAGTGGTGAAGCGGTTAAATATGAGAACCACGATTGTGTACGTGTCGAAAAAACCGAAGTACCTTGGTGGGGTCGCGTACCATCTGAAAGAAGAGGACTGGGACTACAACCAGCACGGTGTCTGGACGGATTTCGGCCACGGCGTGACCAGTTTCCCGAAGAAGGACAAGCCGGACCACACGATCAGCGTTTTTGATTTGCTGCAAGCGATTGAAGAAGCCTGCAAGAAATGCGAAGACAGCTTGGAGCAAGTGACCCAGCTCCACGACCAACCGGCGCTGCTGCAAACCGACCCGGAATTTTCCATCGAGGATATGCATTGCAAAAGTATCGTACTAGTAGAAATTAATAGCATTACAAATTTTTCCAGAAGGAAAAATGGAACTTGTAATGCTGAATAAGCTAAGGAACCAGATTTGTCATGCATGACTGCAATTACTACGAGTACGATGCTTTTGCACAGGATAGAGGAGGTTCGGAAACGAAAACGGGAGATTCAGGACGTCTGCCTGTACGCGTTTGACCGGTTGAGGTATGGACGGTTGTTGGTGGAGACGCTGGAGTTTATCTTGAAAAAGCACGCGGACCAGAAAGAGGAGTTTGAAACGTTGCAGGAAAAGGGGGAGGAGTGCGGGAGAGTGATTAGCGGGTACAAAATGGAGATATTGGAATTGGATAAAGCGCTGAAGGAGGTACAGGTGGCGCAATACGACGAAATACTGCAGATTCATGGTATCTATTTGTGTATTTCTATTCATACATAAGGTCATGCTTTGTTGTTTGTTGTTCTGTCTTTTCAGTGACCGGATAGAAATTTCATCTCGATGACGAGAAAACAGGATGCATTGATTTTTTATACCTGCATATAAATAGTTGACAAAATAAAGACAAAAACAACTCTGGATCATATCAGAACGGAAATCCGACTGGCTGTGCCCCGTCTGTGCCTACCGCAACTACCAAAGGAACAAAGTTTGCCGCGAGTGCATGAAGCACGGGCGGACAGTGTATAATAACTGCACCGCCCCGGGGCCGCAGGAGGACGAGAATCTTCAAGAGAAGAGAGCTGCGGGTGCACATTATCGGGATGAACAATTACCGACGATTCACGAAGAAGAAGAGGAACATGATCTTTGTGAGCAGAAGGACGTGGACGTCGCGCAGAAGGACGAGCTCCACATGGAATCGCAGCAAGAGGTTCTACTTCTAGATGCGGTCGTCCAGGACAATTTACACGAAGATGATGAACATAATTCGAAGCAACCAGACGAGGAGCAGAAGTCCAACATCAAGGCGGCAATATTAAAGCAACAAGAAGAAGATGAATTCGACGTCGCAGGGACGAGCCGCGAGAAAAAAGTCCCGAATTATTGTTCTACGACGGGGGCAAGTAGTACAAGCCCCGCCTGGGTACTACGACAACTACAGGCTCCTCACTCGGGACGAGACAACTCCTCGTCGTCCACTGCTACCCCGGCTGAGACGGCCAAGAAGGAGAATGATCCGGTGGAGATGAACAGAAAACCGTTCGGCATGAAGAGGCTGGGTGGTTTACTCCCGTTCCTCAGCAAGGCTGCGTCGATCCAAGCAGCACCAGTAAAGACAGATGACCTCGTCCAATGTGGCACTGTTTCTCTTTCCAGAAATGCAGGAGGAGGAAGCACCAGCAGCCGTAGTAGTAGAGCACCGCTGGATCATAGGAATGATACTGAAAATGAAGCAGTCTCCAAGCACCCGGATAAAAGTTTTTCAAAGCCTGGGTTCATTCGCATCGACGGGCGGTGGTACCCGGATTTTTATACGGGTTCAAGGGATGAACAGCCGAGAAATACTACGGAGAACAACAAGGTCGAGAATAATTACCGGAAAAGCGGAAGCTCAAGCTCTTCCTTAAAAGTGTAAGTGTTTCACTTGTTCTACCTAACTACAAAAACGCTACAATCTTGTCCAGCAAGTTGTAGACGGCGAAACCACAAGCAGCAATCTCACTGCTTTGCTAAAATGGCGCACCGAAAAACAAAGAGGAGAAAACCTTTACCATGTTCCGTGACAGCCGCCACGACCTTGTTCACTGCAGCTGCATTAGCGCTCCTCGCGAGAGTGGTTCTGTCCGAAAAGCCTTTTGTTCTTTCCTCTCAGAACCAAAACTGGTTTCCCGATCACGATTGCAGAAATTCGGAGAAATGGAACCACTGGCGGGAACAAATCCGCGACCAGCCCACCTGGCTGCGGCCGGAGAACACGAAGGTGCAAGCGGGAATTGTGGACTTCTACTTGAAGCAAAATCCATCTGGACAAGACCAAGCGTACCACTACAACGACCCGGCGGACCCAAGTGCTCTGCTCCCCCACGAAGAGAAGATGTATGAGGATTGTTACCTCGGCGCCCTCTACTCCGGCCTTATCGTCATGCTGACCTGCTGGCTGCGACAAGACTCGTGCTACTTTGAGAACGAGCAGAAACTGCAGAGAATGTTCCCGCCCTTGAGAGTCCTGATCGGGACGGAGTGGCCAATATTGGAGACGTTGGCGGAGACAGATTGGTCCGCGAGTCCGAGCGCAAAGGATCTGCAAGTGACCTGCGATTTTCCAACAGAGAAAAAACCGCTAGTGGACTGGACACGGTTCAAGGAAGTATAGAAAATGGTACTTCTTCTTCTAGTTCTATCTTCTTCTGTAGTACCTGCGTCGTGAAGGCTGTTCTTGGTCGTGTTGGCTTCTGGAATTTCAATTTCAGTGCACCGCGTGTGCATGTGGTGCATGAGAAATGTTGCTGTGTAGCAGGGCAGTCATTTTACATCACAAATTCTTTCTAGGTTTTCACGACCTCGCCAAATTCCTGGTTTGATTACGCCGTGAAAATCGCGTACGGCAGAGAGCTGGAGCAAAACACCCAAGTAGCCATCGCCGAATGCCCCCTTGGGTTCCTGACCGCGAACATTGTGAAAGCGTTGCTTTGTGCGAACACGGAGTCCGTGTGTTTCCCCGCCCACGCCGGCGCGAATTATCGAGAATAATCACCGGAAAAGCGGAAGCTCTTCCTCCTCCTCTTTTCGGACGAACACGCGAGCACCACCCGCGGGTGCCGTTAGAGTACTAGAGACTGTGGAAGACGCACGAGTGGATTTGGAACAAGCAAGTGGAGCGGTGCCGAGGAACGAAAGGCGTACTGAAATTATAGGGAAGAAGCAAAAGACAAAGGTGGTGCAGGTGCAACCACGACCTGGAATGCGTATTAAAATTTGGTTTCGATATAGCAAGGGGTTTTGTTCGAGCGCTGTACTCTGCATCGAGCATCAGCATGTATGCACAAAGACAAACACGGCTTGATGTGGCAAGGATGTTGCACCCACTGAAAATAAACTTTCCAACATCTTCAGGTAATGGGCGCATTCTGTCACCAGCACCAGATGAAGTTATGAAGCGAGACTCTTCATCACCCTTTCAATATCCAGGAGGACTGGGTGGATCCCCGATGAAAAAACGCAAATTGAGTCCGGTAGTAGCCGAGCTACCAGGAACGCGGGAGGAGCAGAAGGATAGAAGTGGAAATAAAATCTCGCCCGAAAAACCATTCTGTGGCGACAAGAATAAGCTAGGGGTTGAACAACAAGGGTTGGAACAAAAGGACTACTGCATCGAAGTTAATAGTGATAGCAACATCTTCAAAACCTCGAAAGTATTTCCCATGCCTGCTGCAGCCGAGGTAAAAAAACAGGAGCAGGAGATGCAACAAGCACCTATTTCTTCTTCTGTTATTACAACCACAAAGATGGCCCAGGATGAGAAACCAGTAGTTAAAAATAAAGTTAAAAAACAGCAACCGAACAAGAATAAAAGCAGAAGCCACGACCCTTGCTCCTTCGCTCCTTCTCGCGAGCAGCTGATCGGAATTCGGGTGGAGAGGTTGCTTGATTTAAACGACTCGGAGACGAAGGAGGAGTGCCAAAAGTTGAAAATCGACATTCTGAAAAGTGACCGAAAGGAGGCTTTGATTGTGAAGTTGCTGAAGAAGGATTCTTCTAAAAGCGACAAGGCAACTGCCGTGAAATGCCTTTTGCAAAACGCCGCCGAGTCGGCGCAGGAACTGCAGAGCTTGTGGGAACAGATGGGGGAGCTGGAACTGGAGAATAAGAACGAGACTTCAACTTCTTCTAGCGACATCAAGGAAAAACACCAAAGACGGTCGGATCTGGATCGGGACATTGTCTTTCAGATGCAAAGGCACAGGGACGCGAAAACGGTAGCGGACATGCTGCGGGATTTGTCATAAGAGATGCGGAAGTAGCGGAAGAATGTTAACACGAGGTTCGACATGACACAAGAAGAGAAAAGAAAGCTCTCGGGGGCATCCAAGATGACGACAAGGAACTTACAGATAAAGGGAATGTCCGCTCTCACGGGAATAAAGTTAATTGTGAAAAACTTGTGTAAAAACGCGCGCTAGTATGCTCTGGTTTTGTAATAGTAAGTACTTACTTACTTTTCCAGCGACGGATGCGGCTTTTGTGCGAGTTCCCATGCGCACAAAAAGGATGCAGCTCTGATGCGGGCCACAGGGTAAAAATTGTTCGCTGTCGGAGGAGGTGTTCTTGGTAAATTCTAGAGAAACATACGACGTTTGTCTACAACATCTACTAGGAAGTGTAAGTGTTGACCCGAACAATGGTATCAAGTATATGGAGGAACGAGTTTACTCGAAAAGATATAGACGAAAGTGTTATGCTTTGCGAATCGCAAAAGTCGTATAGTTTTCTGTCTGTGTCTGTGCAGGCATCGTACAATTTTCGTCTGCGTTGTACAGCAGAATTTCGCCTTTCTCTTTCCAGTCGTGTACAAGATTTTTTTGTGTGGCAATTATACGCTTCGTCCAAAAAACATCATCAACGAGCTTCAATCCGACGCCACAGAGCTGCAACATCTTCGAGCCCAAAGCCGTCCAAAATTATGGCCACCACAAACGTACAAGGCCCCCCCAAAGGTGCCCCCGCTGGTGCCCCCAGTGAACAATCTACGACCACCTCTGTCGAGCTCTTCGTGAGGGTTTGTGAAAAAAAAGAGGTCCAAGACTGGTACTACCCCGACGACGAACGGTCCGCCGAGTGGAACGAGGAGCACGAAAAGATCGAGAAACAGATCAAAAAGCAGTTCGAAAGGCTCGGGTGCGAGATCACACAGTACAAACGGGAGTTGAATCACGCCGGGAATGAGTTCGCGACCGTGTCCTTCGAAAAAGAGGAAGACCAGGAATTTTTCCTCATGGCCTGCAAGCGCGAGCATTTTCGGAGCAAACTCTCGCCCAACCCGTATCCTGTGCAAAATAAGTATCGTACTCATATAAATGCAAGTCTTGCATTACAAATCTTGTTCTCAAGGCAAATCCGCATTACAAATTTCATTTCTCATGCTGAGAAAATTTGTAATGCATTTATACGAGTACGATAACGATACTCATACTTTTGCAATGCATAACCCGGACTACACGTCGATCTGCGTTTTCGGAAAACACCACCACATCACCGAGGCGGTGCGGACCTTGCGGGTGGCGAAGGAGAAAGCGATGTCTGCGGTTTGGTTTCTCCAGGAAGAAACGACCCTTCATAACCAACCGTCCGACGCTGTCATTGTGGAGGAGGAAAGGGGGGACGCGGAATACCGGCAGCGGGTCTTGCGCGCGGCCATAGATCACGCGAGGAAAAAGGTGGACGAGGCTGTTGAGAACAACGGGAAGGACTTTATTCCGCAACCGGTGGCGGACCACCTCGCAAAGGAGATTAAGGTTGCGCAAGCGACTTACCAACAGAATCGGTTGTTGATTATCGATCTGGAAAAAGTAGTAGCTCCGGCAGAGGTGGAGGAAAAAGCCGAGGGAGGAGCGGCTCCAGGTACTGTATTTGCATTATGCTTTTTACTCATCAAGCCATTTTTATTTTTTGTCATGCTGAACCTGAAGATAAAAAAATAATTCTAGTGCTCCACCTTTCGATGTATAGAAGTACGCGACGCACCGTGAGGACTAGTCGTCGACATTGGAAATAACTGAACTTGACAGGTGCCACCGAAGAATCAGATGAGGTTGGGCCGGGACGAGCAACAGCCGCGGCAGTCGAGTCTCCACAGCAGCTTGCACCGGGAAAGAGCGCGGATCTACTTAGCACTCCTGACGAGCAGCCAGCTCTGGTTGGCCCGACCCAGGACGAGGCGCACAGCCGTGCAAATGATCCGGGAGACTGGGGAAGAAGTTGCTTTGCTGCTAGAGAAGAAGTACGGGACTGTATTTCATCCGAAGCTGTGGAGGTTTTTTCCAAGTCCAAAACGACCCGCCGAGAAGATGAAGAGAAACGGGAAGTAGAGCAGCAGCACCAGGAAGTTGTAAAGCGATCGACAAGAAAGCGACGACGGAGCGGCCTACTTTGTGGTCCGCCCGATGCACCAGAGGATGATCTTCACCCGGCGGCGAAACGGACTCAGCACGAGCGTATTTGTTCACGGGAGGATGGGACGAGGAGTGGAAGGCGAAGTGGTGCGCCACGATCAGGTACTACTCAGTAATTTCCTAGCTGTTTTAGTTAGACAGGCGAGTGAGACACCAGCAGTACTTAAGCATGAGATCATCATCTTTCATGCATGGTAAAAATTGCGGAAGCAACTGAGTTGAGTAGAATCTACTGCTTTCCTCTGACTGAAGTTGAAGACAATCAAAAGTTTACCACACCAGAAGATGAACCATTCGCAGAAGCAGTGAGGACGACAGACGGCGCGACCGAAAAACTAGAAACGGCGACAAGCAGCTCGGCGTCCCTCTCCCTTGAGTCCCAAATCGATGAGATCCTTGATCTGGAGGCGAGAACCGAGCTGAAAGAACAGCACCACTTGCTCGATGACTGCCGTGAAAGCCGGGGCTGCAGCAGGAAAGAACTCACTGCGAAAGCCGTCGGGCTGAAGCTCTTCCGAAAGTTTCATTCGCACGACGGCGGGAATAAAATCCAGAACGTCCGGCTTTATCTGTGCAAGAAGGCCAGTCTCGCGTGGGCTCGCGCGAACAGGATATGCGAGCTGTTGGGGAGACATTATGGGGAAGATGTAGATGATGAAGAAGAAGTAGACGAACGTAACAGGAGGAGCTGTAGTAAGGGTTATTTTGAAGAGCAAGAGAGAGAGTACAAAGAAGTGAAGCTGATGGCAGATTTGGTTCGAGAAGTTTACACACAGCTTCTGGACGTGGAGCGCACTTCTTGGAAAGAAGGGTCAACATCAGCAGCTACCAGATACTAGCTTTGAGTGAGTGGAAAACTACAGGCTGCACTTGCAGCTCCGTACAACAACTGCCGAAGACTTATACACTTTCTTGTGTCTTCTATACAACTTATTGTCTTCTTGATACCAGAGAAGCATCGTCCGTTAAGAAAATAGAAGCAGCATCAACTGCGCTGTGAGGTAATTAGGATGGGAATAAACCTGCTCCGGTGCGTTCTTTTGTGTGCCAACAGTTTTTTTTTTTTCGTTTCCCGAGAATGAATGAAGGCACTAGGACTCCGCTAAGCTAATGTCAATGCGCTGCAAGAAGGAGAGAACGACGGTGGCAACGAGAGAAAATGAAAGAAGTTTTGGAACTGCCAATAAATACCATTACTTACTAGAAGTATATCACCGAGCGCCAAGGCCAAGTAGATACGGGTGGGTCGTGTGTCCTGGTCGGGTTTTCTAGTTCCGATTTCCTTAGTCCGTCCGAGGAGATGCAAACACAAGTAAATCTTCCGAGTGAGTGTGGTATCTTCCTCCGCGACACAGCAATAGAAAAGTGAGGCAGCATCACTTCTGAGGCCAATGAGATAAATGCAAGTTTGCACCATGTACGCGGGAGCACGAGAAGCCACCTAAACAGGCAGCGCTGCTGCTCCGTCAATCTTCTCATTAAAGACGAGCCTTAACATGAACAACACAATATTAGAACAGCAGTGTTTTTTCTTTCTGACGGGAACAAGGGAACTGATAGTAGGAATGCGACTGGCGCGACGTTGTCCCTGTCTAGCTGCCCTTGGTAGTGCCACAAGAATGGTGGTGCGGGTCTTGTGAGTTATGGTTATCGAACATACAACCTACTACCAAGCACGAGGCGATGCTTTTCTTACTCTTAGTTGCACCTCCGGCTCAGTCCTCCAGGATCTATCTGCTACTTGCGCATTTATCTTCAAACGATACTAAAAAGGTGAAAAAGCACAAGCAGTGCTGATGTTGTTCTAGCTCTAGAGCACTGAGACGGTAATTTGCTTTCATTTTTGATGACAAATGTAAATCGTATTCCTCAAGTTTTATCTGTCATTCTTTCAGGACGTCAAAATCTCCAAGTCAGGTGCAGCTTCATTAAGAAAATTAATTTTTTCAAGGATTTTATCAAAGGATTGTATTGCATTACGACATAGTCATAGTACCTAAGTTTCAATGCTGTGTGGGGGTAACAACATGAGCATTTTTTTTGACTGTGTTGTGCCTACCTCTTGCTTTTTCACATGATAAGTTTTTAAAGTTGTAAACCGTAAGCCAATTTTCATTTCTTCGCAGGGAACAAAAATGTCGGCGCCAGATCCGCCCTACGGCGCATCGGGTCCTCCCTTGTCCGCCCATCAGCTTCTAGAGCACACTAGTGTGGAAGAGGTGGCTATGCAATACAAATTTCCTGCACATGTACAAAATGCATCACAGATTTCATCAATTTGGAGTGTAAGAATGCTTGTCATGCTAATTTAAGATCGGGGCCAAGTTTTGTCATGCAGAGACCGCATTGGTTTTGGTACGTGCCTGTGCGGGAAATCTACTGTGGATAGTGGCAGCTAGGTTGGACGCAGCGATCGGGGAAATCGGGGACATCGTCCGCGAGCAAGCCGTATGGATTGCAAATATGTCTGAGTCTGGAAAGAACTTGTGATGTAAGCCAGGCAATATTGGGCCGGCGCACTGTCATACATGGCCAAGCGTGACAAGTTTTTGAGCTGCTACGTGTACCGCGTATTCCGCATGGCAGACTGCGCTTTTGCATCACACACAAAGCGATCCTTTTGCACCTACACAGGACAGAGTTCCGCGTCATGTCAGACAAGCATGACAAATCTCGCAGTCTTCCAGACCCAGTAGACATATTTGCATTTTATAAGCCGACTCCTTTCTCGAGTCGTTTCCGTCTCCGTATGCACTGCAAGAAAACTTGCGACAGAAGTTCTTGCTGCGCAGAGACAGACAGGCGCGCGGCGATGACATTTTGATTCTTTCCGAGGCCTGTTTAGTCGTCCAGTGATCACGCGCCTCCGCCTGTAGAATACGCCTTCGCAGATGCCGCCTCATCCTGATTGCATCAACGCGATTAGATACTTGCAGACCAAACAAGAACGAAGCGAGCATTTTCATATAAGGGGTGTTTTTGTCATCTGTGTAATAATATTGCAACAAAAATCGCAGGAACAAGTTTTCGCAAAAATGCATACGGGAGACCAGGACTACACGACCAACCTGCAACTGCGCGCGGGCGTCAGGTCTATCCGAAGCTTTTGGGAGGACGCGCTCGCGCTGGGTGGGAAAGCCGACGAGTTGCAGGAGTCGCTGGAAACCATCTGCGCCGCGTCCCGGAAGGGAGAAGCAGCGGCCGTAGTTCCCGAGGTGATTAGTAAATGGCTCAGCGAAACCGCGAGTCCAGTCGTGGACGACTTGAAGAAATATGAGGCGGAACGGCTCTACGTCTCCCTCATTTGTTTGCCGCACAAGGTCAAGGTGCGTAATCCTGTCGGTGCCCCCGTGGCGGTATTTGCATGACAGAAGTTGTTACAGCCGAGTCGCAGCAAACCTCGTAGAACCCAGCCGCCTCATAACTTTCATGCAGGATCTCCCTCAAGGTCAAGGTCAAGGGTGAGGCCCCGTGTCAATCCTGTAGTCTTCGTTGTTGTGGATGTTCTTCGACGTCAGTCTTCAAATGAGGGGGAATTGTCCAGCCGCATAAACGAAAATACAATAACAAAACTACTCGGCGCAAAAACGTCCCCAACTACGACCCACGCGCAAGATGAGAACTCTGCAAGGCAACTGCATATCTTTTGGGACCCGCGCATGACAAATTTCCCTTTGTTTTTGTAGCGTAGTGCGCGTTTGGCTTTGGTTGCAGGGATAGCCGCATTACAAAGCCATCCGCTTATCCTGTCATCCGCATTACAAATTATGCTAAAAAAACCCGACGGCTGAGATTGCCTCTTATGGGGATGCGCATGACTACAAATGCGTCTCCCGTAGATTCTAATCTGCATGGCAATGCTTGGGGGGGATTTTTTTCCTCAGGATAAGAGCCGAGCCGTTCCTCCTGAGAAGGCTGCACGAGTATGAGCGCGCTGCCGCGAGGCGCTTTGGGGCCCGGCAATGTCGTCACGGGCCGAAAATTATGCGGGGCAAGTGCAAAAACAAACGCGAGTGCGTCAGGGTCAGTGAGTTTGAAAAAAGTTGCAGTCCGGAATGAATAAAGCTGAGAAAGTTGCTTGCCTGCGACGGCTCGACTCAGTCCTTTCCGGGACTTTAAGGTAGCGCACGATAATAGAGACTTGCACTACAAAGAGTAGTAGTAGCTGAAAACGCAAGATAGTCAATCACATGAAAATAACTCGGCAGGTGTTAATATACGCATGACCAGCACTTACAGCTTAAGAAATTGCGCCGGTTTTTCCGTTGGCGAACGCCATACCTTCGGCGCCTTTCTGAACCCAGAGACACACAAAGAAAGATTTGCACTCCATAGGAACTCCGGGGGATTGGCAGTGCTGGCACTGCGGCACATATCGCGACAGGTCGGAGACGCACTGCGGAACCATCGAGCAGCTGCGGCAGGGCCGTGGGTGCAAGAATATCTGACAGCAAAGTCCGCCCATAAACAGTAGAAAAACGCTGCTTGCGTGGCGCAAACGCTTGCCGTGTTGTTTGCATGGCGCAGGCAAGTAGCTTTTTGATGGCCGGCAAAGCCAGACCATGAGTGAGGCGAAAGCCTGCCGCGCAAAGTTGAGACGTCTGTGACGAAGCAAAGGAACCAGACACCAAAAGAGTTCCTGGCGTTCTTGAATAGAAGATAAAAGCCCCAGTATTGTCGCTTACAGGGCTGCGCCACAATCACAAGCGTTTCTAGTTCTCTATGGGCGCGCTTTCCTGCAGGATAGAGAAGCCGAGATACTTTGAGCCGCCGTTCTATGGATGTGTCAGGTTTGAAATCAACAAAGTTGAAATGATTTCTCATGCATAAAATGCGACACAAAGACTGACTCTATTGCAGAGGACGCAAAGGAAGCAGATTATAGTGCTGGCAAGGGTCATAAATTGGGTTGCTGGCTAGCATCACATGGGGGAGCCCTCTTGCCCTAAACAGCATGACAGACTTGCCTCAGAGGCCAGGAAAATTTGCCATGCGCCGATTGCAAAGTGGGGGTCCAAGTGGTATAGATTTTATGCATGACAAACTATTTCAACTTTGACGATTTCAAACCTGACACCCCCATACGTTCGTCCTGAATTCCCGGACCGCCATGATCGCACTATCATATGCAAAAGCGTGCGCGCGGCCCCATATATATTCAAGCTATGGGATCAGCATAGACAAGTCGAGGAGCGCTTTCGCGGTTCGAGGATGACAAGTGTGGGCGCGCACTGTAATCATGCCCAGCTAGGCCAACTGCGTCACAAAGAACTTTCTCTATTGATCAGCGCATGACCACCCAGAAATTCATCCGTACTGCGACCCTGACCCAATTTGCCTGCCTTGCGGTGCCGCATGAGAAGAAAGTGATTGGGGAACACTGCAAATACGTGCGACCACAAGAAAAATCTGGGGCCGCGGATTACCACGCTTATTTTGCACTGGATACGCGCACCACTTTGCCGAGGACGTTCCGGCGCCGGATCTGGAGTATTACGCCCCACCACCACGACCGCCGCTCTCCGCGTCCACACCTACCACAGCAACCACTGTGAGCACGGCGACGAACGGGCTACCGCCACCAGTATCCTGGGGGAAAGCGTTTCCGCCCAAGAGTCAAAGCGGGAACTACGCTAGACAAGCCGCCGCGTTTTGGCTGTTGCGTGTGACAAGTTTGGAGCCGTTGCGAAATCGTCTTTGGGTAGCGTAGCAGCATGACAAATTTAGAGGAGCCCTATCTTGATTAGAGCATGGCAAACTCCTACACAGCATGATTGGTGAATGCTCCGCATGGGGATGCCCTTGAGAAAAATTTGGTGCTTGCAAATTTGCAGAGCGAGGCCGTGGTGGAGATGTTTTTCCTCAGGATAGCCAGGGTTCGTCCGCGGCCGGGAGCAGGACATGTTGGCCCTCGTTCCTCCTTCGCGCCAACTTCTAAACGCGGCCACAAATGATCTATCGCACGAAGAAACTGCTTCACCGTAAAATTGTGACGCATAGAAAAATGGAACGCAGAAACAGGAGTATTCATTTCTATATATGTCTCTTGCTATAGAGTGAGGCAAGACATTGGATACCTAGCCTTGCTGCTTATTTCCCTTCCTAGGATAGTACGCGCATGTCAAGTTTTCTTTACGTGTAACGAACTAGCGATGCAGAATTTGTAAAATCACTCGAGTAAACGCGAAGCAGCTTTTTCTCAGGATATACTCCATCTTCGCAGAAACTTCTTCCCCGCGGGGGCAGTACCAGCCTGCACGTGGGCCTTGCGTCAACTAGCGCGGCACCGAAAGCCTCCGCGGCTTGTACTGCCACACCTCGACGTGCTACCACGCCAGCGGTTGCGGTTGCAAAGGTCTTGCGGTGGCCCGAGTATAATCCTGGTGCGATTATGGAAGGCTCTAGCACTGCTGCAAAAAGCGAGGGGCGAAAAGGTATACGTTGATAAGTATGTCTTTCTCAGTGCTGAGCAAGCTACGTATGTCGATGAGGACACCGATCATAACAGCGTGGTTTGATGTGTGTAAGTAGAAATTAATATTTCTTCAGTTAATTTTTCATGTAAGTCCAATGAATGTACTACATGCAGGCTCCGAAACGTGTTTCACCAGTGCGGGGGCTGCTGCCAGAGGACAAGACAAAGACTTCTTCAACTCGTTTCACGGAACCTATGGCGTTCTCAAATGTTACATTGTTCTCAATTGTTACATAAATTTGTAATGCAAGAACGGCGAAAGTGAAAGGGACAAGATTGCGCCTTTTGCATTACAGATTTGGCACAGATTTACATGCTGTTTAGCCCTTCGGATATTTGTCATGCGAAGCAGCTTAATCGTGGCGATCTTGGTGGTAAATTTGCATGACAAATCATGTAACAGGTGGTAAATTTGCATGACAAATCGTAGCAGCTTGGCCACATTTGTCATGCAGTTTTTCGTTTTGGTCATACTCTCTGGTTTTTTCCTCTCGTGGCAATTTGTACCTGGTGTCCCTGTTTGTCATGCAAATCCTACCATCTACGCTGTTTCTGGCCTCTTGCATGTTGGTCCTTGGACGTTGGTGCCACGATCGCAACTCCTTTTCCAGGACCTTAGTTTCCCGCCTGCTACAACCTCGTGCTTCCACTTTTTTGGATGGTGTTTTACTGGGGGTAGAACTGTGTCATAGTTCCTGCTTCAAACCCTTTTACTTTTTAATTTGGTTCCCTCGGTGCTGAGACAGGGAGTTTGCACAGAGTTATTTCTACCTAGATAACAACCAACTCACGTCGCAGCCGTCCCAGGAGTTTCGGTTGTTGTCTCTCGGTAGAAATCACGCTGTTCAAAAAATTTCTGTTTTGGAGTTTACCGGGTACGCGGTTAAGAGTTTGTCGACGTAATTTACAAAGGGACGCCCTGCCCTTAGTTTCCCAACATGACAAATCATGTAACAGCTGAGAATGTAACAGTTGAGAACGCCATAGAACCCTGGAGGCGGGCGGGGAGCAGAGACACCGGATTTTTGGCTTGGCGCGGCACATAGAGACGCCCGTTTTCGTGAGTTGCGACAGCGAACACAGTATGTTATACGGGTTCAACAATAATTTTTGTGCGGAGGACGAGCAGGACCTTAACATCAGCAAAAACACCAGTACAACTACCAGCCTCCTGCCCGAGCGCGAGACCGAGGTGAAAAGGATGCAACACTTCTCCGCAATACAGAGGGCGGAAGACGCCGAGACGAACTGCCAGCCGAAAATAACCCGCAATCAGGACCATCAAAACGCGAAGCTGCAGAACAAGTACCTGAGTCATTTTGTCACGAAGGAGACGTGTGAGTTTTTCCACGCCATTCCCTTTGAGCAGGCGAAAGAAAGGCTCCGTTCCATTTTGACCGAGGTCAAAACGACTATCGCGACTGCGGAACAGCTTGCGAAAGCGGCCACACAATCGCGGCTGGATCTTGCGCAGGCGGGCCCGGACATCAAAATTGCGGCGCTACAAACGTCAAAGGCGGTGATGAAAAAACAGTTGGACGGCATGCAGTGGCTGGCGCCGAAGCTGGGTGTAGTCCTAAAAGCGGCGGGCAAAGCGCTGGACTTTCTCACCTTCATTGTCGACGCGGAAACAGGCACTGGGAGTAGTACAACAAGCACAGGAGGAGGAGTTGTTGCAGCTGCACCCACGAAAAATTTGCTATCGCAGCAGAGCTGCAAGAACCATCAGCAATTGCAGGTGCACACGACGTCGATCAAGGTCGCGAGTAGAGCTTGGCTCAGGGGAACCGCGCGGCCGCAACTGCAGGAGCTGGCAGCGGCGTGGGAGATGAAAGTGAAAGACCAGGTCGAAGGTATCCTGAGTAAAAACGTCCCCAGACCAGAGTTGTAATGCAGATTTGCAAAGATAGGAAGACTTGTAATGCGCATCCCCATGAGAGCCATTGATTTCCAATCGTGTTTTGGAATTTGTGATGCTGTGAACAGGATGCGCAGATGAATCTGTGACGCAACTGCACTTGCTAACCTGCACTACACTGCGGAGTGCAACTTGTCATGCGTGACTCACAAAACTCCTAGGTTTGTGCTGCGAAATCCCCATCCTGACTCTGGTGTGGGGACGTTTTTACTCAGGATAGAAGGAGAAGAATCTGCGCTGCGAGAGCTGCTCCGAGACGAGCAGGAGCTGGTGGACCGGCCCGCCCAGGGGAATAAATCAGCGTGGTCGTTATGGGATTTGGGAAAACTTCAAGTTGCGATTGTGTATATCAAGCACGGACGAGAACGAGCAGGAGCACGACTTTGACTAAAGAGACTTGCGTTATAATTTGTTCTAATTCGTATGTTTATGTTTTGATTTTTTGGTACGATCATGCTGTGAAACTGTGACGCTGTTCCAACGTTAATGTACGCAATGCTGGAGCATCAACTTCAATATCAGTTTGAATCTGGCAACGGAAATTTGTGTACTTCTGCTACTACTTCGCCTGCTAGACGATATTTCCTTGTTTTTCACCCTCCATACCCGCAACGAGACGACGACCAAAGTTGGAAAAAATTGGCGACCAGCCGCACGCAACGAGACGGGCTACAACCGGGGGAGGCGGCCAGGGCGGTGTTTATCAATTTGGGAAACTTTTACAATGAGATATCAATTGCAAATATGTCTGGGTCTGGAAGAGTGCAGACATTTGTGAAGATGCAGTTTTTGCCTAGCCCAGATCGTCGGGCATGCGAGCCCTAGCATCACAAATTCCGAGCAGGTATCCCAATGCCTAATTCGCATGACAAATGCCCCCTTTCTGTAACAGGAAGTGGGGCCTTTTGCTGACCATGCATGACAGATTTTGCCATCTTCTAGAATTCGCATCGCAAATTCGAATCCATCCAGACCCAGACATATTTGCAATGCATATGAGAAATACGGTCACGATGAAATGATGTTCGAGCAGGACCGCCTGGATATGCTGTGCAAAAGTATCGTATTCGTATAAATGCAAGTCTTGCATTACAGATCTCTCTTTTAAGGTAAATCAGCATTGCAAATTTTTTTTCTCATGCTGGGAAAATTTGTAATGCATTTATACGAGTACGAGTGCGATACTTTTGCGGTTCATACTGGACGTGCAGCAGCAGCTCTCCAAGCTCCCGGGCGTGATCTTTGCCGACGTCAAAGGCTACCGGCGCCGGCCGCCGAAAGAGAACCAGTGCTACTTCGTGGCGGTCCTGGACAGCGAGCCGGCAAGGAAGCGGGCTTTGGGTTTGGGCACGCTGGCTTTGCGGTCGCAACGGGGAAGGGGAATACAGATCATCCGCTACCTGGTGAAGCCTCATTGGGAAGTCGAAGGCTGCGACCCCCCGCCGAGGAGGGCGAGAAACACGGGCAGGTCAGTCGAACGTATATCCTGAGTAAAAATGTGCCCACACCAGAGTTGTTATGCAAATCTGCATGCCAAAAAAGTTTCTCGTGCTGATCCCCATGAAAGGCGTTTTCTACTCGTGTTTTGGGGTTTGTGATGCTATAATCAGCATGATATGCTAGATCTGTGATGCTGCTGAACTAGAACTAAACAGGATTACATTACAAGGACAAACCTGTCATGCGAAACAGCCAAAGCTGGTTGATTTGTCTAGCAGATTTACCACCTTGACTCTGGTGTGGGGACGTTTTTACTCAGGATAACGTAATGATGAACATCATCGAGAAAGGAACAATATCAAAAGTAAAAATGTCTGGGTCTGGAAACTTGTGATGCTGGGTGGCGTCTCATGATGAGGCTACAAATGCTGGCTCAGCATGACAAGTTTCTGAGCTCCTAGGTGTTGCCTATTCTGCATGACAAACTGCGCTTCTGCATCACAGAAAAACGGAGCTCTTGGGTAACGTGCATGACAGATTTAAGAGTCATGCCAGACAAGCATGACAAACATGAATTCTTCCAGACCCAGACATTTTTACAGTTGATAAACAACTACTCCGGTCGTCGTGGCCGCCGCCGCTCTGGGTCGACAAGTCGCCACCGAAAGCAGGACCGCGCGCCAAGTCGCAGTCCAAGAAGAAGCACCAACCGAACAAACGCAAACCGCATGAAGAGTCGTCGAAGGGCAAGCAAAAGCAGATTTCGACGTGACGACGGTCAAAGAGAAAGTAGAGACGACGTGCTGTCCTCTCGTCGAGATCAGGGTGCTGGACGCAAGAGCGTGACGCGGAGTCGCCGACACGCGGATCGAGATGAGCGAGAAGGAGGTCGAAATAGCGCCAGAACGTCTACCCCTGCTCGTAACACCTCCTCCGCTGCACGACCGTCATCGACCGCTATATGACGATCTCAAATGTTACATTCTCAGCTGTTACATGATTTGTCATGCAAAATGAGCACCAACGTCCACACAGTGAAGCTGCCTCGCATGACAAATGTTGGAAGGGCTAATCAGCAGGGGAATCTGTGCCGAATTTGTAATGCAAGAGTTGCAAGATCCGGCCTTTTCCTGTTGCCATTCTTGCATCGCAAAGTCATGTAACAGTTGAGAATGTAACAATTGAGAACGCCATACGCCAACAATCTGGTCCGTCGAGACGATCGGCGGGAAGATAGAAGCGGACGGTCTAGAGGTAAGTAAATCCATTCTTTTACAGTCCTCTTGTTGATCTTGATGTACTTTTTACTTTGCTGCTTCACAAGCGCGTCTTACAGGCTTGATAGATTTCTGGTCTGCATAGTAGGTACTTGTGACTGGTTGCCCGCGAGGACACCAGCTCCGGTGGGGATGATTATCTCTAGAAGAATTTGAATGCAACTCCCTCCTACCTTTTTTCAAAAATCTCTTCACCCAACAGCACGCTCCCGAACCCGGTCCGCAGACAGGAAACAAAATGAACCTCCTTGGCGCTGCCCGCGCTGCAACCAGAAGAACGATGGGCGGCAGGCCTTCTGCTACGCGGATTGCGGTTTTGAGTACAAAAAACCAGAAGTAGATGAATCAAACCGCAAAAATTATACAAGAACTCCGAGGAATGGCGGACTTGCAAAAGGATGGGGTCACGTGATTGACACCTCGTCCCACATAGAAGTGCAACAACAGCCCCCGCTGCAGTCCTCTACCGGCGACATTCGGGATTTGAGTCCGTCGGAAAAACCTCGGGCCGTTTTTTTGGAGTTTTTCCTTCCCCCGCGAGCCGTATGAGAGTGCACAACTCCCCCTCCCCGTCATTTGTATAGCATGAACAGCAATACAAACACCAGCACACGTTGAGCCTACGCATGACAAACTTGCTTGCCTAGCTTAGTACTCCTGTTTGGGCTTCCGGAATTGGTCATGCAAGCAGTGCCATAGGGTAGCGACTGGAATTGGGATTTTGCATGACAAATGAGGGGGAGGGGGGGGGTTGTGCACTGTCATAAGCCGAGGATCACCAAGGACTGAAGGACTACCTGTTCCGGTTTGCCAAGACGGAAGATTTTCAATTGGAAAATTACGCGGCGGTGAAAGTATGAGAGTGCACATCTCCCCCTCCCCCTCATTTGTGATGCAAAATACCAAATCCACCCTTTGCCTGTTGGCACTTTTCGCATGACAAGTTGTGAAAGCTCAAACAGGACTACAATCCTCGGTAAATGTGTCATGCAAATCCTGCATTCTATCTTGGTCTTGCCGACACTTGTATTGCTGTTTGTGCAAGGCAAATCAGGGGGAGGGGAATCGTGCACTCTCATACAAAGATGGCCGGATGCAGAACGCGGTGGCCGTATTCGATCACGAGGAGGCAGTGACTCGTCTCGCAGGGAAGAAGCAGCTTACCTGTAAAAGCAGTGTCTCCAGGGAAGAGTTCCGGGTCGCGGTCTACCCGTTTCGGCAAAGTAGCGTAAGCAGGGGCGGTATCGCGGTGAAGGGATGGAGAATCGATTTTGCGCAACAGCAGGCGATTGAAGAAGAACGAGCAAGAGGAATTTCTATGGAGATGCGAGACGGGGTCGTTGTCGAGCGGGAGGTAGATTACGAGCTGCTACAGCTACATGGAGTAGACGTGGCAGTATCGACATCAGTGCGACATGATAAGCGGCAAGAAGAGCGGTTTTTTTCATCGTCATCTCATGCGGACGTCGCGGGAGCGGCGGAAGGGCTTGCTGCTGGAGACGAGTCTAGCGAGCGGGATATGGAGCAAGCCTCTTCGAACAACAGCCGAAACGTGCAACAACACCTCCTACATGAACGCTACTGCAAGAACACCAGCTTTAAGCAGGCGCATGCTCCAGATCTTCCAAACCCCAAGGCGGACCTGCTCCACGCGACTGCGAGTAACAAGAAGGCCTCGTCTTTGGAAGAAAGAAAAAAGAGCATCGCCGCCAAGATTGCGGAGAAACGCAACCAAGCTCTACAGAGGACCAACAAGGTACTAGCGGCGGCTGCGGTGGAAACAAAGACGAAAAAAGAAGAGGAAACAACTTTTATGAGCAAGGGGGTGATGTTGCCAAGTTCTGGAGCAGGTTGCGCGACATTTTCAACATCCACCCGGAATGGACGGCTGCTTGTGGAAGAAGACAACTACACGATGAAAAGAGAGGACGATAAAAGCGCGATGAAACAAGGGCGACTGCATGCACGCGAACAAGATCATGGTGATCACCGCCACCAGAAGGATGTTCTTTCCCAGCGAAGAGGCAGAAGCAATAGTAGTGAGGAAAAGTCACAGGAAAATCTACCGCGCGTAACTACAGCCCGGCAGTACCGTCGCGACGAGGAAAGCGGTTTACAAGGCGGCGCGCTTTCGAAGCGGCGGAGGGTGGGGAAGAGCAGGATGAGATAGAGAAGATCGAGGAGTTTTTTTAAACTGAAAAAGCCGAATGTCGTTAGTTTCTACAGCTGTCTGCGACGCCAGCGACAGAATAAAAGAACAAGTCAAGTTCGACAAAGTATAGTTGCAAAATAATAATAAACGCACTTTCAGGCTGAAAGCAGATTTCTGCAGTGGCATGATTCATTTCGCAAAGGAGTCTTTTATTTAAGTACCAGTCTATAGTTGAGTTTTTCTTTTGGTCTTGACGACCACAACGACCACAACTCCGACTAAAGAAGCTATCGGGTAGCGCCTAGCGCTACAGCCTCAAACCATGCTGGCGCCAATGGCGAAAAAAAGAAACGGCAGCGCCCCTGGCCTTTTTCCCTCGACCAGCGGGAGCGAAAGCAGTGTAGGTAGAGAGAAGGCCGCGAGGCGCAAGGGGCGGTAGGGGGCGCACAGCGCACCCCCTGCCCGAGCCGCCACAAACAGGTCCGGCGGAGAGCGTGCCAGGACCCTTTTCGACGGCCCGGGAGGCTAGTCACAGGTGGAAAAAGAACGAAAAGAGCGCGCCGATGGCCGAACGGCTAGAAATACGGCCGGCGCCAAGCAAAGACAAAACAGGGCAGGCAAGGAGGCAGCGGGAAGGCAGAGAGGGCGCTGCGGGTGGTTCTCGCAAGAAACCAGACAACCCCCAAAAAAAGTAAGCAGGCCAAAGCCCGCGCCCGGGGAAGAGGGAAAAAACCCCGGAAACGAAAGGGGATGGAAGCGCCCGAACAGGCCGATGGGGCGAAATCAGGCAGGCCCGGCGAGGCCGAAGAGCCCCCGCGGCCGGCAGAGGGCACGCGACGAAGCCCGACCTGGAGAGCCACAGGCGGCAGGGAAAGGCGCAAACTGCCGCCAACCTCCTCGAAACAGGGGGCGAATGGCAAGGGGCGCCAGAATGCAGCACGACTTCGGCCCGGGGCAGCCAATCGGCAGCCGCCAAGCAGGCGCCGAACGAAGAACGTTCGGCAAGGGGAGACCGCAGCCCCAGGCCCCCCTGCCCGAGGCTCCTCGAAAGGCGGCCCGGGCGAGCTTTTACTGGTCTATGTGTTGTGTTTCCCTCGGGGTTTCTCGCTCCGGCTGCGTTAACGGGTTTTCTCACTAGTGTTTCCGCTTTCCCAAAGTCGGCTTTTTTGTCACTAGTGGCTCCACTAGTGAGTGCCTTCACTAGTGGCGCCTGTCACTAGTACCTCTCGCGCTTTTTTGTCACGCTAAAAACACTAGCAGGATTTCTACTAGTAGCTGTTTTTCTACTAGCAGCTTTCCACTAGTAGGATTCCTACTAGTAGCTTGCAACCCCGCGTCCGCCAGAATTTTTCCAATAGTATTATAGATAATTGTTGAGTTTTTCTTTTGGTCTTGACGACCACAACTCCGGCATATTTTTCGAACACGGAGACGGAATCGAATGAATCTTCAACGAAAAAAACTGTAATGCGAACACGACTTTTTGAAAATTTAAATTGCGGCCATCTACTTCCACCGACTGGGCTCTTCTTCTGCGGCAGCCTGCTTCGTCCGCCGTGGCTCTTGCAGAAGGACTCTCGTGGAGCAGTTGCAGTTTTCACTGTTTGTCGAATCTGTGGCGAAAAAAAGAGTTGGAGAACAGCCGTAGGGGTTCCTTCCAGATTCATCCAAGATGTGAACGAGGTTGCAGACGAAAAGGGGAAAAGCGCAACAAAGTTCTTGGGGCTGCGGCTTCAAGATGGATCTTAAACTTGATAAACGAGATCTCCGTGAAACAGTTGTATTCATCACAATCTACTATCATAGCTCCTGGGGGAAGTTAGGGCGACGTTAAGGTGAGGGATGGAAGTTTTAGTTCCAGATAGAAACTGATGATGAGGAGAAGGGCAAGCTCCAGGACCTTGCTCAGCAAAGGCGCACAGAGGGCCGCCAGCTAGGGTAACTGACGGCATGAAAGCAGCCTGTTTTTTTTTGTGAGTCGAGTATCCATTTATACTTTCTGACCAAATAAAGTGCTGACTTTCAGTCGGAGCGCACCAGGCCAAAGCGATTGTGCGAGCGGAGGCGTGGCACGAGTTTTGTTTTACGCAAAAAAAAATAGAACCAATTAACTCAAAAAAATACACTTTTGCTCTCGTTTTTTGTCGGCTACGCGACCTTATCTGAGACTGAGTTGCAGCACGACCAAGACGATATTCTAATACTACATTGACAACTGTTTCGCCACTAGAACGTGATCACATGACGTCCTCTTCGAGCAGCTCGATACACGCTGCAGCAGCAGCTTCAGGAGATGGAGAGCAACCTCCACTCATGGTCATGCTCGGCCCTTGGCGGTACATCCTGGACCTGAATGCCTCCGACGATGCCCCAGACCGACACAGACGAGTGCCAGTGCACTCCAATACATCCTCGAACACGTCGCCAGATATTTTCAACTCGCAACAGAAACAAGCCACGTCATCTTTCTCCGACCTCCAAATGCTCATTGGCGCGAAGATTTCGGACCAGCAGAAGAACCTGACCTCCTTACAAACTACCTTGCAGGGAATTCAGGGTTTGAATGCCGCTATGAACTGCAAAAGTATCGTACTCGTATAAATGCATTACAAATTTTCTCAGCATGAGAAATAAAATTTGTGATGCTGATTTACCTCAAGAGAAAGATTTGGAATGCAAGACTTGCATTTATACGAATACGCTACTTCTTTTGCACAGGATAGCCGCGGCGCAGATTAACGAGCAGGCGGTGGTGGACTCGTTGAACAGCCTGAAAACGATATCACAGTGAAAATTGCACCCACCCCCAAAGTCGCAAAAACTTGTTATGCGAAGTTTCCAAATGAAAATTTTTTGTCATGCATGAACGAAGTATGAATCTTTCTGATGCAGAGTCTAGGCGTGTATCGCATCACTTGTATGACAAGCGCCGCTCTTGCTGGCGTCTTTTGCAATACAAATTTTTGCTATTCACGATTGGAAAAAATCTGTGATACTGATAGATGCAAGAGTGCGAGTGTTTCGTTTGGATTTGGAATGAAAGGTTTGCAACACAAATGCTCCCAAGTTCGGGGATCTTGGGTGCATTTTTCACCTTGATAAACGAAGATTTTGGAAACGGGCAAGACCGCGGACGATTTGCTGCAGTTTTTGCAGTTCGTCCTGAGCTCCGAAGCAGAGGAAGAACAAAATGGCCACGTCGACGACACAAGAACCAGGGCCGTTCGCGAGGCGGGGAAGTGGCTGCGCGATTTTGCGGACCCTGCAATGGGGGATTTGGTGGAGTGGTTCAACACAAAACTAGAGCCACAACTGGACAACTACGTCTTTGGATACTCTTACGACTCGCAAATTATGTGTCCGGGTCTGGGCTGGTGAGGAAATTTGTGATGCTTGTATTGCAGTTTTGGGCAGTTCATCTGGAAAATTTTCACGTGTTGTCGTATGGCACCAAGAGCAAGATGAAGTACATATGCGCAGCTTCCTTTGTCGTGCGCTCTGAAATTCTGCTTCGAAAATATGTCACGCGTCGTGATTCATTTCAATTTCATCTGCACGTAGAAAAGATAAAGAAGCTTAGCGCCACCTCCATGAAATAAATCATGCTTATCGCAAGAAATCCGCTTGATATGCTGACAAAGATTTGCGATGCATAAGTCGCAGTGGCGTTCTCTCGGTATGGCGGAATGTACGAGAAGGAAAAGGCGGGGCCGTGACCACGAGGACCTCCGTATTGTCTTCTTCTCGTTTTGCACATCTACTATTCCTGTCAATTACCAGTAACTCTTAGTTGTTTTCGATGATACACTGAGCAGTTGACGTTAACGAAAAAAAGGAGCGTGCCTCCTGTGTGGTGCTATGCGTTTTTCATTGAATTGTATGCGTAACTGACCTCCTGCTTCATATGATACACCAGCCGGCGACTGGACCTGCCTCGTTTGCACGAGTGGCACCACAAACTTTGCAACCCGTATCAGTTGCTGCAAGTGTGGCTCCCAGAGAACACCGATGCGGGTACCCGGAACACAGCAGCTCCACGACCCGCTGCAGAGGGAGACGGCGGACCACAGCAGAACTTGGCTCGTCCGTGACTTGTCGGAAGACGAGCAAGCGCGGGCGGTTCTCTTCCAGTTTAGGACCCAGACGGGCGAGTACAGCCGCTGCGACATGAAACTGTTGGTGCGCAACGCGTTGCGGGCACTGCCGGAGGCGTATCTGCAATGCGTGCACGACTACGCGGTTACTACGTTCGGCGGTTATCCCATGGAAAAGCAGGCACCTGTTCCCGATAGTACTCTACAAGGAAATATAAAGGAAAATCAGGAAAAATCTCTGCGAGTCCTCGCGCATGACAAATTTGATGCCGTGTCAGGGTTGTGCGTAGATTCTAGCTTGCGTGGCCGCATTACTAAAGCCGCCTTTTTTTCCTGAAGATTCGAGCACCACAAAGGGTCCCGGTGCAAAAGAGCGTTTTAAGTAAACGTGGGGCCACGCATGAGACACATTCTGGGCATGCGGATTTGCATGACAAATGTTGGATGGGCACGTTTCTTCACAGAATACCTGCACGGTGCTGTTTGCGTCCACCGCGGCGGCGTCGGGGGTCATTGCTCTCCAGGAGATGATCTTCAGTATCCTGTGTAAAAACCGATAGCCATTAATATACGCTGAAGTCAAGATGCAATGTCTGCTAGAGCACAAACAAAGCAGAAGCTTTGCGATTTCCGCATGACAAGCCTCGAGAAGCACTGTACTTACTTAGTATGAAAGCCAGGAACCCAAAGCCAGTTTTTATCAGATCCTGACCAGCGCATGACTAACAACTGCTCCCAGTCCCAGACGTAAGAATAAGGGGCATTCACCATAGTTCCATGAAAAGCCGCAGAAGAGATTTTGACTTGTTTGGCATACAAATATCCACGTGAGGCCTTCGGGTGTTGGATATCGGTTTATTTTACACTGGATGTTCGGCTGTGCTACTCTTCGGGCCAACAACTCCGGTTACTGGCAGCAAGAGATAACAAAAGCGGTGTTTTCAGCGATTGGGGGCCCGACTAGCAGTGTAGAGCAGGAGAAGAACAGCGACGCTCTGGTAGCGACTCTCTCGCAAGGAGCTGCGAGTCACGTAGCGGCCCCAGCAGTGCGGCCGCGTCTCCTTTCGCATGACTCTTCTGCGACTTCAGTGCTGCCATCTTCTTCTTCAACAACCACCGCAGCAGCTGCGACACAAAAACTACAGAAGCCGGCTGTAATATCGCGGGGCGCCACTACTACAGATGACGAGCAGAAAAATTGTTCTGCCAGCAACGCCAACGCCAAACCCGAAAGCGAACAAACTGTCCCGCAGCACGCCAAAACCACAGATCCCACGGGTGGCTGGAGGTGCCCAACTTGCAACGCGCTCAACTTGCCCTTCGCCAGTCGATGTACTCGAGGCTGCAAGTCGAAAGCGCTCGTCCAGCTGGCGCCGGCACTGGCTGCCAAAAAGGCGGCAGCACGTGTTGTTGCGGAGACAACTTCTACTACTTTGTGCGGGGGAACAAGCACGAACTACCTGGGTGCCGGAGCAGCAGGCGGTCTCGATCACAAGCCCCAGGTTGGTCGTGCAGAAAGCGCTGACGATGCTGGATTTTCTGCACACCAGGAAGAAGAAATTTCTGCTGCAGATGAAAACAACGACCAAACCGAAACACCAAAAACTGTCCAGGCGGATAATGGTACTGATGCAAGGGTCGCAGATATCAAGAAGCGGTTGGCGACAAAAGTGCGGGTAGAAGGGTGCGCGTCCGCTGCAAGCGAAGGTTCGAAACAGCGCAGCGGGAGAAACGGTTGGATGCCGCCGGAATCGGAGGACGAGGGCGACTTGGTCGACGACACAGCGCAGGGCTGCAGTGGCATTGAAGAAATGTCTTCTCGCCGCCGGGGGGACCAGCTCGACTGCGATGAGAGTCTGCAAGGAGGTGCGAAGCGGCAAAAGACCGGACCGGCGCGGGTTTCGCAAGAGCAGGAGCATCTTCGCGGGGGCAGCAGACAGGACAAACTGGTCGCGCTGGCGCTGCTCGCGAAGGGTGCGCGGGGGATGAAGAGGTGAGGACGTGGCGAGGACCACGGAAAGAGGTATTACAACACTTGTGGTCATCTTACCTGCATGTGTAGCCTAGGAAAAACAACGAACCAATAATGGCGAAGAGCTGCAAAAGGCGACGTCCGTGTTGAATGCAAGCTAGACCAGACTGAAAAAGAAAATGAAAGACGAAGATGGCTGTCAGTCGCATCCGTGATTGATCCGTATCTACCAATCCCAAGCGGCCGCTCGCTAGGAAGTGCGCATCTGTTCGTCTTCAAAACGCATTTTTCTATAAATGAAGCCAGTCGACTCTCGTTTTCGAACTCGGGCTCATTTTCTGGTCGTGCAACTTGTTTGGTGATCTGATGACAAAAAAAGAGCTGCTCCGCGGTCAGTTTTGAAGTAGTGTTTTGGCGAATGGGTCTTCCGGCGCACAAAATTTACAGAGGAGCCCATGAAAGGTTCGCTGCCTCGCTTGATCACAGTAGCCTCTGTGTGGCCGCCTATTTTCTTGATTGATTTCATTACCGGTGGAGCCTTGACCAAAAGCTCCTCTCTTCTGCGAAGTTCCGCCGCGTCACAATATTAGCAGCAAGATCACAGTTTCTTTATTTGACAACGACAAGTAGTAGAACTCGAAGAGAAGCACTACTGCTAAAAACGGATGTTTGGTTTTAATTTATGTACGCCTTTTACATTCCACTTTGCGGTTACGATGAAGTATATGCTTGTTCTTTCAGGATCGAAAAAATTTGTGCAAAAGGCTTGAAGAAAAGAGAACAACAAAAAGATGACGGGAGCTGTTGCAACCGCGTCAGCAGATTACCCTGTCACTGTCTGGCTGCCGGACTGGGACGATAGAAATGTTATCCTGTACACATTGACGGCAGACGGGGAACGCAAGCGAACCGAGCCGAGCAGCGCGCCCGCGGATGCGCATAGCTTGGTGCAATTGAAGGACTACCTCGCGAAAAAGTTGTCGGAACTGAAGGGACTCATTGAGAAAGCCGACAGGGAGATCCAGATACAACCCTGTCCAAGCTCGTCCTCGTGTGTGGACGAGAACAGCGACACCGACGCCATGAATGCGAAAATTCAACTTGGCTACGATACACAAAAAACGCTGCAGAGTTTCGGCATGCACACAAAAGACGTCTACGAGCTGATGGACCATATTGTAGACCACGAATTTTGCGCCCGTTCGGTTGCGACATACGTTCAAACTGACGCGAGCAGCGCGATAAAGGGGCTGGAGAAAAAGTGGGAAAAGTCCCTCGAGCCGAGGGTCAAGGACTACATCGAACATTACCACCGAAAAATCGAGCGCGTGTTGGACAAGGCGGGGTGGCGCAAGGGCTGCGGCAAGGGGCGCGAGCCCTTGCCCGAAACAGTGGAGCACGTGGCGGAAGCAAGGCAGCAGGGGGCGGCGCCTACCCCCCAGATATTGACGGCAGCGCGTGAGGGGGCAGGAAATGTAGATAGTAATGGCTACGGCATCGAAGTAGAAAAGGGCGCGGCGGTCTGTGGTGGTGATATGACCTCCTCCTCCACCCAGGCCGGGTCTGGGAGCGTCATGGGCGTGGCAGCGAGCTTCTGTGGGACGAGGGGCTCGGTCGAGTCTTCCTCCATTGGAGGGCCCGAAAAGTCAGAACCAGAGGCGCACCCCCAGGAGCCGTCGAGCCCCCGCAACAGTGATCGTTTAGGACCAGGCGCCGAGGTTGCCGCGCGGCGCCCAAAAGAGGGCGCAGGGAGCTCGGTTGGCTTACCGCCAGGTAGAAGAAGCGCTAGGCGCCAACCTTCTAGTCGTCGTGCGACCCGCAGGTCTTCGCACAGTCGCGCAGCCAAGAGCCGTAGAAGAGACTGCCGGGCGCCAGGATACTCAAAGAACAGGCGACGCCGTCGAAGCGTGTCCTCGTCCTCGGAGCCCATTCGGCCGCGGGGCCGTCGGCGTGATCGCTCGCAATCGGCGACAGGAAAGAAGAAACGCAGGCCGTCGGTCGATTACGATTCCCGCACACCCCGCAGAAATAGACCACCCCCGCGGGAAAGTCGTGCTCGGAGGCGGTCGTCAATCCGACGACGACGCAGTCGAAGACGCTCGCGCCGGGACCGAGATTCGCGAGGGAGAGACCGTACGAAACCATCGCCGGCGGGCAAGGGACGTTGCCGCAGAGAATCGTGGGAAAAGTCTTCGTCTCGAAGAAGCAGCGAGGCGTGTGATGCCTCGCGGCCCTCAAACTCTGTGTCGCACCGGAGCGTTTCTGCTGGGTCACGCAGCCCGGCGGAGAGCCGAAGGAGTGCATCGAACCAGAATCACGATGATCATGGTGAAGATCATGATGATGGTCATGTGATTGTTGATTCTTCTCCCGTGGCGCCAGGTATAATTGTGGCGAAGGAGCCTGCCTCGCCATCCCGACGAAAGAGTCTAAGTGCGCGCTCGCAGATTGCGAATCGAACACAAGTGGCGGCTGATACAGACGACCTGGTGGACGGCGTCCACATGGTTTCGAGCACGGCCGGCGGAAGTCCGTCTGCAGACGGTTCGGCAGGGAGCGCTGTGCCCCTGAAAAAACTACAGGGGCCTCCGCCGATTAGAATCCCTGAGAAGCCGGCGAAGACCAAGAACCCCATATTAGTCATGGAGGACAAATGGCCGTCAGAACAAGATTGCGGGGTAGCAGAAGATGGTATAGATTGTGTTTCTTTGGCTTTGCCAGATCAAGAGGTCGAGCACAGAAGGGCGACGAGAGATCGTCGCCTAGAAACTCATCGAAGTACCACTTAGTTTCATTTTGCTTCTTACGCCGAATTATCAATTATGTGCTCGTAAATCAGGCAAATGCACAGAAGATAGCACTTTCCTAGAGTAATACAAAACCACTTTTTTTCGAACCGTCGACAGTGGCAAATTCCGTGGCACAGAAGGTCGATGGGTTGATGTCCTCGGAGCTCCGGGAATTTGAGCGCGACATGAAAGCATGTGGTGTTTCCATGAGCCCGGGCGAGGAACGGGAGGTGGTGATAGCGCGAATGCTGTTGCAGGAGTTCTTCGTAAACTTGGGAAAGGACGAGCAAGCACGTGCAGTGGAGGCGTTCTACCGTCGGGCGCAAGATTTTACGATGAAGGCGCATCACGTTCTTGCAGCCCTCGGCGCAGGCAACATGGAGGCGAAAGAAAGGAATGGCCTGGCCGTCGAGTCGGGACAGGATGGGATTTGGGCCAGTAGCTGGAAGCGCCATTTGAAGTCTCGTGATTCGATGAAGCGAATTGCGGACGAGATCCAGAAAATTATTGAGTTGCAGTGAGGGAATATCCCGTCGCTCTTCGGACCTCGCCATGGTTGCTTTTGCTTGATGAGAGCCAAACTTTATCCACATACTTACACAGGTGTTGTCCGCTCTTTGTCGTACATCCAAAAAGAAAAAATGTTATTAGCGACAACTTCAGCTACTTGAATAGCAGCACTCCTGTGACAATTCTTTAGTACCCTTCTGCGCATCTGTCGGAAAGGTGAAAAACCTGTGATGCATTTTGCAACGAAGGTGAACTGAAGATCAGAGAAGTTGAAAGAACCAAATTTCCATCTCATTCGCTCGTAGTAGAAAAGAAAGAGGTAAGTATTACCTTACAGCTTATTGTTTCCTCCCTCGTCATTGTCATCGATAATCGAGATTTCGATTTGTTCTTGGCGTTGATTGCTTACTTGTCGTAGTCTTTCCACACGAAGATAGAGATCATGATCTGCTGTCGTCAGGCTTCCACCACTGTCGCCTGGCCGCTGACAACGCAAACATTCAATCATCCCACTGCGCGTCAGGATCCTCTTCGTCGCTTACTCATTCGATCACAGCGGTCCTACTTCATCTCGTGGTCATATCAGTTCATTCTTCGGTGGTGGAACTGGAACCGCGATCAAATTTGTGGAGGTATAAAACAAAGCCTCTCACACTTGTCGCCGTGAGCAGACAGCTCCATGGCCAACCATCCATCGTGATCGTCAGCAGGTGCTTTTTGTTGTGATTTTGTCTATCATAGTCAGTGAGGTTTTTGCACTAGCAGCAGTCTTTAATGTCCAAGATTGATTATGAGCACGAGAAACTCAAACTACTCGTTCCAGTCGTGTAGTCAGCCCGGCCTTTGTTGTGAGTGTGATTGTGAGCCTTCAGAGTCTGTCAGTCAGAACAAAACAGAAATAGAACTAGCAAGAAGCATCAACCCGCCGTTCCCTGGCATAGATCGATCTACATCAACATCATCATGGCAAGTACTTCTACCAACGCGGCTAGTTCATCTGCAGCGGTGTCCGGCATACATCAGAAAAGGCATAATTACAAGCTGCGCGTGCGCATTGAGGTTGATGAGGTCTCCAAGTTTCTGGAGTACGGCCCGGACAGAGACTCCTTCGAGAGGGACCATGACGAAATTCGAGCGTCAATTACGAGTTTTCTCGGGCGCGGCACCTTTTTCCAATACGTTCAGGACCCTCTCCGCCGCGAGTGTGCGACAGTGGTTCTTGCGCAAGAGGCGCAAAGGGCCGTGGTACTAAAGAAATGTTCGTCCGCCTCTCCCACCGGTCTCCTGGGCCACAGGTTGGCGCTGGTTCGCGTATCGGCTGCTGAGGACGTTCTACCTGACTGTGGTGCAACCGCAGGCACAGCAGCAGAGGATGCAGGTGCGTTCGGTGGTGCCAACAAGGGGTTTAAAAGGGCAGCACCTCCTCCTCCGGACGTAATATTGGGACGAAACTCCGCCTTAGCGGGTAAGGTTCGACGCAAAACTGACGCGGGTCATTGCGACGTCCAACCACAGAACTGCTCTGAAGCTTCGCGAAAAGTGTCTGAGCACGACAAGCTGACGCTTCCTGTTGTTAGCGTTCGTGACGAAGCAGCAGCAGACCCGTTGCGCTGCACCGATCGCGATTGCGATAACGGAATCCACCAGACTTCCAAGACGCGAGCACACGGTGGGGAGCTTGCCGACGGCCGCGCGGAAGTAGACGATCATGGTAAGGAAGGAGGGCAGAGGCATAGTGATGGCATTTTTTCCTGCACTGTATCATGAAGATACTTATTCCGATAAAAATCCTACATATCAGATTTTCCAAATAGCCCAACAATTGACTTTTCTGCTTCCAGGTCAACACCGGAGTCTAATTCCTGTGGATGCTCAGCTCCACGCAGGTCGAAACCCCACGAATGTGCTGCGACATTTGCTGGAGCTCGATTACACAGCGCTCAAAGCACAATGTCGTGAAGTCCACGATATCTCTGTCTCCTGCGACGAGCCGCAGGAGAAGCTGATCAGCAAAATAGTGCTGTCTCTGTGTTCCCAAGACTGCGACCGTTCGGCGATGGTGCGGTTTCTGGCGGCAAAAGCCGCCACGGAGTGCCGTCAGCTTGCCGCTTTCTGTCCGCGATTCTGCAGCGCAGCCGTGAATTCTGCCGAGCGCCGAGACCTGGATGAGCAGTGCAGAGCTGCAAGGAAGAGGCTCGAGAAAATGATGACCGTGCGCGAGCACTTGCTTCATGACGGCAGGACCGCATTGATGGCCCAGACGAGACAGGATGCTGTGGCGGGTCCGTGAAGCCGTCGCCACATTGAGCGAAGCTGCTTCATGTCCTCATTCCGTGACCCTAACCGCCTTCTGGTTCTGTTGCGGCGAGCCGAGCCGGACCATCGTGTGAAGGAAGAAGATCCTCCGTTCTGAACTGAGAAGGCAACCGAGAATCACATCGTGCAAGGAGAACCAATTCCCTCCTCATGCAGGCCTGTAAGAAAGTGAAAGTACCGGGTCCGACCTCAAGTGCAGGATAGGTGAAATAATATGTATTTGTATCTGTGGAGATGCACTAGTTTTAGCTGTGCATAGAAATAGTTAAAAAAGATGCTGAGATGTAGTACCTTGTAGGACGACCGGTTTCTCGGCGTCTCTGTGGCAGGAGGAGCACCGGGAGTGTCCTCTTTGTGTCAGGGAAGAGTGTCTTTGGATCCTGCAGTTCGCATTTGGTCACGATGTGGGATCACTTCTGTGTCTGAGTCTGGTCCTCTGTCTCGTTGTGGCTATTACTACAAGTGGAAGGGGCGGTTCCTGGTAAACAATGTTGATCTTGATCTTCAGTAGCCATTCTCAAGAATGGAGGCGGCATACCCGCCTGTCTTGACGGGGAGCAAATGCACCACTGATCACCATCTTGGGATAAGATGAACACCTTGATGGCCCGGATCCCGAACAGGATGGCTGTGTATGTAGAAACATCAGCTGGCCAGCGATTGAAGATCACGAGTTAGGAGGTCGATTGTAATACTCTCGATGGATTGTTGTTGATGGTTTCGGAGTAATCCGGATCACGCAGAAGTGATGGCGTCCTACCCACAGCTTCGTGAGGTTCAGGATCTTCCAGTTGTAGGGTTCGCAATTTACTCGATGACTTGTTGCATCATGCCACTGATCCCACGCCTCGCTCGCTGATACAAATAAAAAAAAAACAGAAAAAGCAAGTACATGCCTATGGTATAGTGTGTCCGCTACAAATAATCATAAGCACGAAGTATCTTGCACCAGTAAAAGCATGAGTCCTGGTTGGTGACCTGTATCTCTCGAGCGGCAAACACATACTCTTCGTTCTTCGTCAGTGAGATTGTTCTTATCGTAAGGTTATTTTTACAACACTTGTTATTTGCAACGAAACAAATTTATCGATATCGCCGTGAAGGTGAGCCCTCAAATTCGCACTTGTGCAGTGATAGTGCAGATGGCGAGTAGTAGTGCCACAGAATTCTGCGTCACAATCCGGCAGCGCGGGGGCCGGAGAAATGACGACGTCATAGTTTTTCGCTGCGTCGGATCAGACCACCAGCGGGAGCTTGTCAAGGAGCCGCCAAGCTCGGCGTTCACCATGCGCGAAGCGGAGACATTGTGCAAGTCCCTTATCAAGGACGCCGGTGACTGTGTGCGCGACTGCGAGAGGTACCTTAATGCTCGCAGCGACGAGCTTGTGCCATTGGAGTTCCTGTCCGTCGCCGACCTCGAGAAGCGGCTCCGCGCGCTCGACGACCTATCCTGAGTAAAAACGTCCCCACACCAGAGTTGTAATGCAGATTTGCAAAGACAGGAAGACTTGTAATGCGCATCCCCATGAGAGCCATTTCGATTTCCAATCGTGTTCTGGAATTTGTGATGCTGTGAACAGGATGAGCAGATGAATCTGTGATGCGGCTGCACTTGCTAACCTGCACTACACTGCAGAGCGCAACTTGTCATGCGTGACTCACAAAGCTCGAGCTCCTGGGTTTGTGTTGCAAAATCCCCATCCTGACTCTGGTGTGGGTACGTTTTTACTCAGGATACGAGCTCCGCGGTACGGTGTTGGAGAACGGTAGAAAGGCCGAGAACTTCGTGAAATTCTATGGCGTTCTCAAATGTTACATTCTCAACTGTTGCATGATTTGCCATGCAAAATTCCAATCAGAGTCGACACAATCAAGCTGCTTCGCATGACAAATCGCCGAAGGGCCAAATAGGCTGAAAATCTGTACCAAATCTGTCATGCAAAAGGCGCAAGCTTCCCCCTTGTAGTTTTGCCATTCTTGCATCACAAATTCATGTAACAGTTGAGAGTGTAACGTTTGCGAACGCCATGAATTCCTTCGCTTTATCGTGGACGACAAGGACGCCGACGTGTGGGCGGGCATGAAGCCGTGGCTGAATGACGAGGCAAAGTCTGGCCTGGACACGATAAAAACACACTGGACGGGAGTCGTGAGCACGAAGTGCAACGAGTTGCGCGAGCGATACGACGATCTTCTTGAAAAAAAGATCACGCCATCTTCTCTTTTTGGCCGCGGGCCGAGCACAACCACAAACGGCGGCGGTAAGTAGAGTTTCAATTCTACCATGATGCTAACATAAGGACAAACGGCAGAGCGTGCAAGCGTTCTTTCTGTACGAAGAGTATTTTCATCACATTCATACTCATGGCTGTGACTTTTGCGTATAAGAGTGAGACTGCTGACGCTACATAAATCGTGGGGCTTGATGCAGCCTCACCGAATCTCATACATAGATACTTTGCTGGAGTGAAAACACATAACTCAATAAACGCAGATCTTCAACGTCATCAAGAGCGGCCCACAACCAAGGGCGAGCACACGATGGATGCGACAGGGCAAGGGGGAAGCGGTTCGGGGGTGGTCCTGGCCTGGGGCGCCACGCGCGACGGGCGACAAGAGAAAGGAAAACCGGTTTCCAGTGTCGGCCCTGCGCATCGGGCGGACCCGTCGGGAACGCAGTACGGCGTGCAAGGCAAAGGTGGCGGGCTTCCCATCGGCGCGTCAGTTTCTTGCGGAGCACTCGGAGCGCCACAGTCCTCGCAGGCAGCTGGATCGGGCGTAAAGCCAACCGGATCCACGAACCGCCAGAATAGACCTATTCGTATTCATTCTTGTTTCCTAAACAGAAAAGTACTTAACTGAAACTGGTTGCTGCTCACGGCGCTGGTGTCGTGATTTTTGCTATTGCATCTTGTCATTGAAGGGCGTTTACTACATTTTTGCTTTTTAGTACGAGTACGTGAATAAAATTTTGACTGAACGACCTGCCGACAGCTGGTGACTGGCAGTGCCCGAGATGTGGCGAGAACGTGTTTGCCAGCAACGTGTCTTGTTTTCGGCGCGAGTGCGGCTGTTCGGAGCGCGATCTGACCAATGCTGCTGTTCGCCCCCTCCAGGTTCGCGATGGAGTTGTAAGATCTTTGACACAGGAGGAGGCTAGCCGGGCGGTGAAGTTGTGGTTTGCGCTGAAAAATGACATACAGGAAAGGAATATCCACGCTTATCTGAGGAAGTTCCTTCGTAAGCTGTCTACCTCGGCAATGAGTTTTCCTCTCGGCATCGTAGATTACGGGCTGAACAGGAATGATAGCCAAGAGCCGGTCCAACTGCCTCGTACTGCTGGTGCGGTCGGTGTCTTGCTTTTCGAGTCACGCGAGGCGGCCCAGGAGCTTGCGCGGCAAAAAGTCGTGCAGATTGCGTGTCCGGACGGTTGGGGGCAGCACGGACCACTGTTCGCCGAAATTTTCGAGTGCGGGGGCGGGGCAGTGACAGCCGGATCAAAGATGGAAGGCGACGATGCGGTTGGTGGTAAAAATAAAATAGATGTGGATTTTTTGTATTGCGAGGACGTTATTTCTACGCTGACTTCGAATCGTTGAAACTACCAAAGATTTCTGTCTGATGCAGTGTTGATACAACCCACGGTCACGGCTCTTTTTGTTTTCCCTCCGAACTCCTGTCCAAGAAGCTCGAGTCGCATAGAATGTGCTTTTCTTGTTGTAAGGTGATACGAGTAGAAATTACGTGGGCGACGTCGATGATCAGAGTAGACGTGACGCGGACATGGAGTGGCCGGGCGATCGCGACACCAAGCAACGTGTGGAGAAGCGCCCGAGTGCAGGAGCCGAGGCCGAAAAGCAGACCGAGGTCGACATCGACGAGGCATTCACCCGGCCAGATTCCAAACCCCCCAAGCGGCAGAAGCTCGACGAGGGCGGAAGCCCCACATCAACAAATAAAGACGGCACGATAAATCAGAAAATGCAATCTGCAGTTGCAGATGCAGCAACGGGAAGTAGTAGCAAAGCCCATGCTGTTTCACACGGCCCGGTCGCCAAATTAGAGGAAGCACCAGGTGGTGGTCCGCTACGAGCAGTTCCCGTGCGCGGAGTAGGGAAGCTTCAGGCTGCGTCAGGCGTGAACGAAGAGGATCGCAACAAAGCTGCACCACCCAAGGTAGACACACAGAAGAACGAACCTGGCAGCAGCAAAGCATCCTTAGGGCTGGCGAAACTTGGTAAAGAATACAGATGAAATGCACTTCATTTTTCGTTAGAGACGTAAAGGGGAAAGGAGCCCGCTGTTGCACGGCTTCGACGAGCTCCTCCGCGTATCGGTCGGAAAAACGATATAGTTTATTTGACTGGCTTGCACGTATTTATTGCCAACTTGTCGACAACGATACTATACTATTTTGCACAGGTACAGCGGAAAAGGAAATGCGGAAGAAGGTAGATGAGGTTCTAGCCCGCCAGGGTCGCACGCTCAAGACCTACTGCAAACAACTTGGGATTAAGGTAAAAGAGAACGAATGGAAGGAGCAACTGGTGATCAAGGTGCTGCTGAAAGAGTTCGGAAATGCGCGAGTGGAAAAGTATCGCACTGTTGTGCGATATTTGTACGCAAAAGCAGCCGCCGCGGCTCTAAACGTCAATACTGCATCTCCTTCCATTGACGGAAAAGGGGAGGACGCCTGGAAGGACGGCCTGAAAGCGTTTGATCTGATCTGGAAGGTTGCGGACGAGATTCGGAACAAGAAACTTCCAGTGACCAGCGGCCCGTCCAGCAGCAGTAGCAGCAGCAGTGCTAAGACGTGAGGAGATATTGGCTCTACAACTATGATTCAAAGAACTTCCATCTCATGGCTTTTGCCGTTCCGAATCGCTTTGCTCATCACATCGTGGATCCGTTAAAGGTGGACGTAGCGTACCTAGCAGATAGACTGAAAAATAGCTGCGGCTGCACTGAAGACTCTTCAAGTAGAGAGTCGTGATTTCTTCCTATTCCACTACCCTTTTACCGCCTGACGGGTTCTGGCTTGATCCATGACAAGCGGACGATCTCTCAAATGATATGAACATAGTGGAAGACCACCCATTGCGCCCTGCTCCAGATCCGGCGAATAATGTGTATCACCTCGACATTCGTCGCGCAGCATATTTAGATCCACCTCTTCGTTGAAGTACGGCTTGTTTTCACAGGATGGTCGACAGCAGGAATTTCAGGAGCAATGCGGCTGGTTCGGGTGCTCCCGCAGCCCTCATAGTGCATCCATTTTGCCCGCGCAATGATTTCCACTGAAACTTCTGGTACAGAAAATCAGTGAGAAAAAGTATCGCCTGATACTCAGCCTCAGGTGTCACTTTATATATTTACACACAACAATTAAGGCTCGCTACATGTCTCCTCGTATACGTACACTACTTAGATGAGATTGGAATGTCCCCTGACCCTTCTCGCCACACCAACTTCACGTGAGCTGTTATCGGTCGATTCTTTTTTCTTTCTCTTTTCTCGAGTCAATTGTTTCGTCTTGCTTGACAAATTCCAACTGCTTTAAGATTGTAAGTACGTGGCAAGAGCAAATAAACGAAAAAATGAGCGTGGATTCGATGATATGGATCACACTGGCCCCGGTCACCGAAAACGCTAAAGCCCCAGCGGAAACTTGGGAAACCTGGACAGATGACCACTTTTATGATACTTTCAAGATAAATGCGTCGCTCGCTGCGTTTTCGGCATGAAAGCGAATTGCGCAACTCCCCATGGCAAGATCTCTATGAAACTTGTACTTGCGACGATTTGTATTGACGACAAGCAGCAAGGGGATCAATCCTGAGTTTGATGCCATGCATGACATGATGCCCCGATCATGCCGAGCACGGCGGTAGCAGGCAGGAGAATTTTGGGTGCTCAGAAGCACGAATGATTCTTGCTGTCGGTTCACTTGGTGTTGTTCATTCCAGACCTAGCAGCAGTGCGACAGCGTTTTTGTTAAGTACTGATACATGGGAAGCAGAGCAGGGTATTCATTCGTTTGCGGATGGCGAAGAGCCACCAAGATACCAGCGCGATTTGAATCGGCCACGGTGCGCTGTCGTGCGGTGTCGAGATGCGGACGAGAAAGACCGGCTGCTTCGTACCTTGAGGAATCCGCGTTGCAGGTTACTTGCGTCGAAGCGCTGCACTGCGACCGACTACAAGGAGCGGCCCGTGAGTGATGAGGAGAATCATGGAGGGGGCGGCGCGACAGGTAGCTCCGCGGCATCGTCGTCGCGCGGCGCCAAAACGAAACGGGAGGCCGCAGCGGAAGCCGGGGGTTCGGGCGACACAAAGAAAAGCAAGAAGGCACCGAAAGCGGACAAAAACGTGGCTGGTCAGGTAGAGGATGCGGTCGTGCAGGAGGGGAAGGAGAAGGCTAGCAGCAGCTCTAGTAGAAAGGCAGGGGAAGAGCTGCCCGAAAACGAGAAGATGAATAAAGGCGAGCATGGTACTGCATTTCTTTTGTTTAGGAGCCTATGACAGGTGCTTGTATGTGGTGGGGCAAATAAAGTATCATTCCCCGAACCTGACTTTGAGTTTTCACGTTGAATCCGAAATGATGACGTTCATGTGGTTGGTAAACAACAACTCGTAGTAGCGATCTCTCTGTAAAAAGATCTTCGTCTTGCAACGGTTCCACAAAAATTTCTTTCAAACATACAAGGTGAAGGTTCGCAAAAGTCCGTACCTCTGCAGAGCGTCGACTCGTTATTGGACCTGAGTCAAAAGCACGCGAAGGTAAAGCTGGCGGAGTTGTTGGGTGTCGATGTTGGCAACCTCAAGCTGGAAGGATGGGACAGGCGCGAGGAGCTAATCATCGCCAGGATCCTGCGGAACGCGTTCCCCGCCTCCGATGCCCCCGTCATCAAGCAGCGCATATCGGAAAGGTCAGAGGAGGAGCTCCGAAAGGTCTCGAGCCTCATTGGGCAGCTCGACGACCTGGCAGCAGAGTCGCCGGAAGCGGACCGGGTCCGCGAGGAGTGCGAGAAGGTGCGGCAGAATGTGGAAAAATTTCTGCGGGTGCGGGGGCGCTACGCGGAGAAAGAAGGCAAAGCAGATTTGGTACAGGGCAGCGCAGAACAGTAAATGCCATTGGTTTATACTTGGATCTGCTAGAAGTGGATGTTGCAGCGAGCGCGCCGCTGCTGATCGAGGGAATTATTGGCACCAGGGACGAGCATGCAGAAAATGGGGTCTGTGCCTGCAAGAATGCTGCGGCTTTTTTCACCAAAGTAGAAGCGACACTCCTCGAGCTGGTTCCTGTGTCGATGTGAACTTTTTCTTGTCTCGCCGATTTTACCGATGCCGCAACTTGTGGTTTCTAACTCAGCTGAACTTAGCTGGCTGCTGATCCACTTGAGCTCTTTTCACCCTCCATGCAATTGCGTAGAAAAACGAGGAGATCCCATTTTCATATTCATCACAACTTGTCTTTCGAGAGACGTCCTTTTGTTCGAGGACAGCACACACCCAGGTCAATATGGTAGACGTTTTTTTTCCGCTTTCGCTTTTTTCAGTCTTCGTTTGCTGCAATTCATGCTGCGAACTACTTAGTGCGATTTCCATTTTTCGCTTGAATCTGCATGAAAGCTTCTGGATCTTATCAGGACTTGTTAGATTGGCTTTATTTGTTGATGTTGCGATTTGACTTTATATTTCTTTTTCTGTAGGGTATGTCTATGTTCTATGTAGGCGAACAACTTGAATTTGAGACATTCACAACCGCTTGCTTTGCGGACAATTGAAGTTCTGGTTCTGGAACACTCTTAAGTTCAGTACGTATTAGCATCGTATCGAGTTTTTGTCGTTTTTGTCCATCTCAAATAGCGTGTCGCTTAGCCACCTCACTGAAGCTGGCGAGGTAGTTCTTCGAAAGACACTGAAGATGAGCGTCACAAGAAAAGAGTCTAATTCTCCTCCTTCCACCAGGGAAAGGCAAATCCTGGAATTTTGGGTTCCGGAAAGCGAAGGTGATCAGACGCAGGTGACTTTGTATACGGCCTCAAAATCTGAGTGCAGATACCGGGCTCGGACAACCAGGCAAGACGAACTGCCAGTCGGGGCTCGGACGCTCGAGGAGATGGTTAAATTAGCGGAAAACTCGATCGAGGCGTTCAGCCGCGCGACAGCAGACCTGAGGCTGGAAAGCGGGCGCGATGGCGCACAGCATGCGGGAGATACGGCGGACGATGCGTTGCAGTTGCTGGAGTATGTGATCCAAGCAGAAATTGCTTGGGAAGCAAACGGGGAAATAAGGAAGTGTATGATTACTCAACACTACCGCGAGCGAGTTTCCGCTGCACGCGAGGGCTTCAATGCTGCGGTACAGGAATTCACGAGAGTATGAAAGTGCACAACTCCCCCTTCCCCTCATTTGTCATGCAAAATAGAAATACCCAATCCAGATCCACCCTTTGCCTCTTTGCACTGTTTGCATCACAAGTTCTGGTAGCCCAAATAGCACTACAACCCTGTGCAAATTTGTCATGCAAAACCGGCATGCTTGCTGATGCTTGTACTGCCGTTCATGCTATACAAATGAGGGGAAGGGGGGGCTGTGCATTGTTATAGAGAGCCAAGGAAGACCAAGACGCCCGGAATAACCCCATTGTTGGCCGGGCGAGAGCATCAAGAGCGAGTTCTTCGGGTTACTCCCTTTCATCCGACAATAGAGAAGCTGCGAAGGTCCAGGGGGCCGCGTATGGTCCGGAGTCGAAAATAAACGGCCTCGCGCCGTCGAGCTCGTCTACATTTCGAAGAACAAGGACAGAGCGTGGTCGAGACCGTAGAGGAAGAAGTGCAGACTCGGATGGAAATAAAGTAGCGACCAGCTCGTGGGATAGGAAAACAGCCGATGATCGAGATAGGAAAACAGCCGACCGAGGTGAAGGAGGGCGCGAGCGAGATCGAAGGAGCAGTGGGAGATCACGCAGTGCCCGACGCAGAAAGCGAAGTAGCAGAGCGCGCAGTAGACGCGCCTCCAAGTCGAAGACCGATCGAAAAGCCGCATCACGGTCACGGTCACGGGATCGAGCGGTGTGGAAGCGGTCGGTCGAGGCCCCTCAACAGGGGACTGGGTTGCTGACGGGAGCGGATGGGAGTGGTAAGTGTATTTTACTTTCTACCTTTTTTGTCGAGTAGCGATGGAGATAAAGCAAAAACGTCATCCAGTTTTAGAAAACTCGCTGGGACATCTTTTGATCCTCCTCTACATGATTATTACAGGTGCACCAAAAGCAAAACAACTTTCTTCTTCATCAAGTTCGTTGCGGCGTTCGTACAACACGTCAGCCAAGAAAAGCGAACGGTTTTTGTCGGAGGCGGAACAGGAGCGTGCAGTCTTCATCAACTGGCCCATGCATTACGAGCACGCCGCCGTCTCACCCGCGGCGGAGGCCGATCACGACTGTATTCGGGAGGAGCTGTTTCGCCGGGTCGGAGGAGAGCATCGCGTCGTAGACTACTATTGCCAGGACGAGCACGCTGTGGTTGCGGTGTTCGCTGACGCAGCGGACGTGGAAAAAGTACTTGAGGCGTCGCAGCGCCTGAGTTTATTGGATCCAGAGTACCAGGCCGACGCTTTTTCTTACAACCGTGATCGAGCCGCGTCTTCTGCACCTGTTCCGAAGCACGATGCTGGGGCACGGCAATCTGGCTCGTCCGTTCAGCAAGCCGCTGGAGCTGTTTCCGTTTCATCTGGTTGTGACGTGAAGGAGAAGGAAAAGGAGCAGGACGAGCAGGAGAAAGCAAGAGCAACCGGCAGCAGCAGTGCGCTAGTAGGAGCCTCTGCCTCCCAGCTAGTTGCCAGAGGCGCTGCCGCGGGAGCCAGTAGCAAAGGCGAAGCTGAAGAAGAGCCACTGGCAAAGCGCAAGAAGACCGCTGAGAAGAAAGGCGGAGCCCTAGTAACCAAACGGAATAAGGCAGCTGGGGCGGGGCCTGCGAGTGGAAAAAACGAAGAAAACAACCCGTCCTCCTCGGCTTTAGGGCGTAGCAAAAGCAAATCGACGCGGGCGGGCGCTTCGTCGTCAGGCAGCGGCGTGCTATGTATAGTGATACAACTCTATGTAATACTAATTTCTTCTGCAGTAATTATAGAGGCCTTGAGCTACTAGTATTACAAATGCGGATTTCATCTCCTCCTCGTGGCAAGATCTGCATAATATAAAATGAACCAAAAATTATGTCTCGAAAACGAATAGGCGCCGGCGCGGCATCGAGGCAGACGGGTACGTTAACGGAAGACCTGGCGCAGCAAGTACGGTTGAAAGTTGAGGAATTCGTTTTCACCGTTGGCGTAAAGAAGTTGAAAGCCATATAACCTGCTCAGGTGTTACAATCTGAAGCGTTGCAATAGAATATGGAATTTGTGTTGCAAAATCCGCAACATCTGGCCTACCCCCAAAGGAGCGCGCATGACAAGTTTCGGAGCCCCAAACCCCATGAGATTCTGACGAAATTTGTATTGCGAAAAGCCCAAGTCTCTGTATTGTAAAGAGGCTGTTCATGCAAGACAAATTCCAGATTGTATTGTAACGTTTGAGATTGTAACATCTGAGCAAGCCATAAGCCAAGTGTGCGGAGCTGGGCGTTCGATTGCCGGAACGCACGTCACTTTTACGCGTGCGCTATCAAAATGAAAAATCCCCCGTCCCCATATTAAAACGGAAATTTGTGATGCTGATTTGTGGTCAAACATCGTCTTTGTCTTGCATATAGGGTCATAGGAGCCATTTTACGCATTCCAGAGCAAATCTGTCATGCGCTTTCGATATCAAATGCAAAAATGTCTGGGTCTGGAAGAATGCAACTTGTAATGCGTATTTCAGAACACAGAAAAGTCTCTCATGCATACGTAGCAAAAGCAGCCACTTTTTGTCAGCAAAATAGGGGACTTGTCATGCGGATTCGGCATTGCGGAAGGTTCTCGAAACCTGTGATGCTAGAGCTTCCATGCCAGACCTTCTGTGTCATGCAAAAACAGCATGAATCTTCCTTTCCAGACCCAGACATTTTTACATTTGATATTCGACTATTGCGAACCTGTACCTGTTTGCCATGCGCAATTGCTAGCCTTCTGCATACCCAAACAGGCCAAGAAAATGCACCCACGCACCTTCTGCAAGACAGATCTGATTTGTGTACGCAAATCCAGCATCAGAAACTTCGTTTCGATATGGGGAGGGGGGACTTTTCCTCTCAATATGCGCGCGTACGCGCTGCAGAAATGGAGTAAAACCTTGAAGACAACTGATCGGCCATCTCTACTCACGCTCGACGAGTTGCGTCGGCGAATCATGGAGATTGGGAAAACCTTGATTGGGCGTCTAAGTGACCTCGAGGCACTTGAGGAGGCGGGGGCAGAAGATGCGCGGCTGGAAACTGCCCGCGCGGAGTTGAAGGCGGTGTGGGAAAAATTTGATACCATTAAAAAGGTGACGGATTCATACATCGAGGCAGAAAATCTGCCCAGAGAGGAGAACGAGGAGGGTTCTCAAAACTGAAAAACTTTTGTACAACTACTGCAGGAAAAGGGAGCAACAAGAACGTAAGCACGCTTGTGTACAACTGGTCGCGACTCATCATGAAAAGTGTGAAGCTCCCCCTGACCGCTCGGACTCGCGCCCCTGCGGCCTTTAATTTCGCAGCGAGCAACCAAGTAGCACTAGCCGGCGTGGCGCGGATTATCGATCCCGCAGTAATTCAAACGTGCACACGCGGCCAGGCTAATTTTCGTCTTCAGTTCGTTGGATGCTTTGCACTACTACCACAAAGTGGCAATTTTTGTCCTTATAATTTTTTTTTTGAAGAATGGTAAATGTCAGGCTACGCATGCAAAGTATGACTTTCTTCGGCAACAAGCAATAAAGTATGATTTTCTTCGGCACCGAGGCGCACAACTAAACCGGTATACAGTGGCAGTCAGGCCGACCTAAGTCACAGCCGAGCGAGGACCACGCCCTGACTACGGGAAAAAATAGAAAGAAATTTTTTGTATTTCCAATTCCGACTTAGCGCAGCACAAGACGAATTTAGACTTGTTACCTAATAGCATTAGCATTTTCTTTGTTTTCGTAGAAACACAGCAGTAGAAACACAGCATCTGTCATAATGAGTGTCCGTTCCCAAGAAGGGCCTCCGAATGGTGTGGGGGATGGGAGTAGGGAGGACGACGAGGGGCATGAATCTGAGGACCCCGACTCATGTCAAGAACATACAGAGGACGATCCGGAGGCGGAAAGCAGGTACCTCCAACTGTATATAAAGATTCCGGACGTCGAGCCCGAGCTGCAGGAAAAATACGCCGCGCCCTTCAATGCCGGCAGCCGCGCCGAAACCGCTTGGCAAGAGTTGTACGACGACGCCTCTTACCAGGTGCAAAAGTGTCTGGCTCTGGAAGATTGCCAGGTTTGTCATGCATTTTTCGCATAACCTTTACCTTAACCCGTGAAGATGCCTGTAATGCATGACCTAGCATCACAGATTTTCAAAGGGCCTTCTGATGCGTATTCCGCATGAGAAACGCCCCCTCCGTGTAGCACAAACTGAACTCCTCTTGCTGGCCATGCGATACAGATTACAGTGGTTGAGGGGTAAAAAAGGTCATGCAATACAGATTTTTTTTACCTTCCAAACGTATTATTGTCACAAATTGCAACCTTCCAGACCCAGACAGTTTTGCATTTGATACCTCTGAGGAATTGGACAGATTGCTGGGCGAGGAAAGCGGTCTCGAATCTATCTACAAAGGCACCCGTCTATCCTGTGCAAAAGTATCGCACTCGTAGTAATTGCAATTATGCATGACAAATCTCTTTCTCAACGTAAATTAGCACTACAAATTGAATTTGTAATGCTGGGCTAATTTGTAATGCAGTTTATACTAGTACGACTACAATACTTTCGCAATGCATACCGTCGGGCCCCCGAGGTGGTGGAGGCGTTCACGAAGGATGAGAAGGGCCGCGACTTCCTGGCAGCCGCGCTGCGGAGGCGTCCCGCCGCCCTATACCTAGGCGAAAAAGTGAAGGCCACCGTCCACGCCCTGCCGCTGGATTTTGACGCGCTTGAGCCGCTGCGGCGTTGCGGGTACGCTGCTGACGACAGTGAGTCCGCGGTCTCCACCCTCGAGCGCGCCGTGCTACGCGGCAGCTCCTCCTCCTCGTCTTCTTTATCGCGCGACGCCGGCGCGTTCCCGGAAGATGACGGCGGCCGAGAGGCACTTGGCTGCCTCGCCCGGGCTGCCGAAGAGCAGCTGCAGGCGTTCCGCGAGGCGTTAGAGCAGTGCGCACAGCAATTCGGTGCGCCGGGTGCGACAGATTTCCTACCCTCATTTGCCGCGAAGATGGAAGAGAGAGTGCTGGAAATGCAAGAAGAAATTGCAATCCACGAGTCCCGGACCAAGCACGCTCTATCCCAGGTCCCGAAGGTGGAGCCCCCGCCGGGCGACGCAGGTAAGCGGTCAGCGTGGCTTTTGTTAGAGATTCGCCGCGCTCCCTACTTAAGTAGCGACTTTAATACTTCGTATTGCTTCAGCATACCAGATCCTTCCCACTTCGTTCATTCCCCGGGTCGCATGCTTTGATATCGGAAACAAAAAAAGAATGAGAAAGAGATAAAAGGAGCAACTCATCTAACAGCGCAGTGTCGTACAGCCGCAGCTAGGAGCATATAAAAGCATTCAATTTGATGATCACAGGTCGCACCTCAAGTTCCAAGTTAGCTCCGCGAGGCGGGAGAGAGCAGTCGGACGATGAAGTAGAAAAACGAGCTGCTCGTTCGGAACAGCAAACGGGTCGTGATGAAGAGCGGAAGACGACGAAGAATATTACCGTGAGTGCTCCTATCGCCGCTCCGGCCACAAGAGGGACGTCCATCAGCAACGCCAACAAGCCAACTACCTCTACTTCCAAACAGGCGGCGCTACCAGAGTCTTCACCAGCAAACCGCCTCAACAGCGGTCTTCCGCTGGCAGGGTCATCTACTTCAGGCACAATTCTTGCGGGGGCTTCCTCTACCCGACCGATGAAGCGACATCAAGCGCTTGGTGAGAGTGGGAGTGGAGCGGAAATGATCGCAGTAGACGAATTTGACGCACCAGCTTCCAAAACGAAAAAGTCCAGGCGTGTGGACGGGCAGGAAGATAAAGACCCTCTGCCGAAGGAGCTCTCGACGAAGCTTCCAGAAGATGAAAACAGAGCCACCTCCGCCTTGAGTTCGACAGTATTGGAAAAGAAGAAAAAGGACGCGGAAAAAGAAAAACAAGCCAGCTCAAGAAGTAGTGCAGCTACAAGAACAGGTTTGCGTTGTATAATTTGCGTCTTTTGCTGCAACATGAGTGCTTGTTCATCGACTATAGGTTTTCTGTTGTCGGAGTCGGTGTAAGTAAGTATCTACATCTAGTGCTCAACATGCCACAGAAAAAGAGACGCGGAACCGCAAAGTTCAAAATGCGCTTAATTTGCGAATTGATGTTTTTACACCAGGTCCTCACGATCATGCCCTCGATCGTCCGACGGGAGCCACAAGCAACTCTCGAGGAGGAGATCACGACGACAAACCCCCGCCCCGAAGACCCGCGGCGCTCTCGAACGACTGCAAATCCAAGGTCGAAGAGGTGCTCATGTTGTCCAGCAACGAAGCGAGAGAACGTTGCGCGAAACATGCCGTGGAGATTGTTTTTGGAGAGCGCACGGAGATATGTATGGCCCGCCTTCTGAAGCACGAGTTTTCATCCTCGAAGCCCAAAGAAGGCGCTATGAAATGCAAATATGTCTGGGTCTGGAGGAATGCAAGACGTGTCATGCAGATTTTCATTTTCCATGCCACATCCACATGAAGTTTGGAATGCAGGACTTAGAGTGACAGGGTCTTCGACGTCTCTATCATGCCTATCCTGCATGACAAACTGCCTCTAAACTTGTTCAAAAGTGTACAGCTTTTGGTAGTCATGCACCACAAATTTTTGTACGATCCAGACTTAGCAATAGCATGAAAAGTTCGCGTCCTCCCAAGACCCAGACATATTTGCAATGCATAAGCGCGAAGCAAGTGCAACAACCTCCGCGGGTTCACAGCTACCTTCTGCAGCGGGCGCGAGCTATGGTGCATCAGGAGCTGCGGGCGAGAAACGGTGGCCCGCCGACCGATTCGGCGCCCGCGGCCGCCCTCGATCCGAAGGCCTACGCAGAGCGGGTTCGCAATGCCGGATCCTTCGAAAAGAAGGCGGCTCAGTGGAAGCTGGTCTACGATTCTTTGTGCAGCCTCGATAGCCCGGAGGCTGGTGCTTCTCGCAGGAGCACAACAAAGGCGAAGCCTTTAGGCCTTCAAGGCGCCGGTGACCAAAGCACGAATAAAGCTGGAGGCTAGCGGAGATGTTCCGGCTTGCGCATCTTGTTCTGTCGTGGCCTTATTTTCATCCTGACCGGCGCAGCCGCTGCAAGATCTTTGGAAAGTGTGAAGAGCTGTAGTGTCAGAAAGACAACAGGAACAGGATGAAAAAGGTCAATATCCCGCCACTGATTCAGATTTTAGTGGTGGGTGGCCGCAAGGATCATTGGATGGGGTTCTGCTTGAATCAAAGAAGGTTTAGGCTACATCTTCATATTGCGACGCGTTGTAATAAGTTGGGCATTTCAGGCACCACTGCTTTTGTCCGTTAAGTGTCCAACATTTCAATTCCAGGCTTGAGTTTGTTTTCTAACGAAGCTCTGATGTTCATGTTGCAGCTAATGCAAATTATGTTCGTTCTCGCATCATGCCATGGCATGCTTTGTTTTTGGTCCTGAAAATGTAGAAAGGTGAGTGCTTGCTCGAATGCAACTGGTTTCTGCGTGCGCGGCGTATCAGACTTATTCTTGCCTATAATCTTCTGCCGACAGTGGACAGGAATGAACCCGCAGGAGGAGCTTAGCTGCTACACGTTTATGGTGCTACGTCAAGATGCCGACGTTACAAACATAGACATACAAAGCACATAACTTGTACACAAAATCGATTTAAACATTGTTTGCGTTCTGATTACAAGGTCTTTATTCGAATTCCCGCACTGTGACGAGCTCGAGAACTAGGTGTAGAAGATATCATACAAATACAATTTTCTTCTGTCGTGTGACTTGTTTTTGCTTCAGCTTAAGTTAAAAAATAAAAATGCCGTGACACAGTAGAAACCGATCTGCGTCTTTCTAGGTTCAAAAATGACGACAGACAGACGAGACGACGATGCGGAGCGGTACGCGATGTACGACTACGAAGACAAGGAGTATTCTATTTAAAACGTACCCACCCCATAGTTGTAATGCGAATCTGCATGCTGAAAATGTTTCTCATGCGGAGCCCCATGAGAAGCATTTTCTAATCGTGTTTTGCAACTTGTCATGCTCCAATCAGCATGGTATGCTAGATCTGTGATGCTGCTGAGCTAGCTCAAACAGCACTACACTACGAATCCAAATTTGTCATGCAAAACAGCCAAAACTTGTGGATTTGTCTAGCCGATTCCCCATCTTGACTATGGTGTGGGGACGTTTTTACTCAGGATAAGGAAGCAATCACCGTTAAGGTTCCCCGGCTTTGTCCCGCCTCGTCCTCTGCCGGCTCCGGTGAAAATCCCGCCGTGGATGACCGCGTCTTTGACGTTTATTGGAAGGCCACGAAGTACCAACCGCGGGGTAAGATTGCCCTTTCCGCCAACCGTGTGCGGGAGAACGCGATTAGCATGGGCGCCCTGTTGAAAAAATTCGAAGTCGCTATAACGCAGTTCGACAATGCTGTGTGGGTTTTCAAAAATTGCAATTCGTCGGCCAACCATGGCGCGCCGGAAGATGTGGAGAAAACGTTGGAGTGGTTTGGCGACTGGGCCTTGGACCTCAAGCAGTTTGTCGGGTACATCCTGGAGGAGGATGGGAAGAACTCGCACCAAAGCCTCAGTGAAGCGGATTACAACCAGGCCCGCGGTATGGATTGCAAAAATGTCTGGGTCTGGGAACTTGTGATGCTGAGTGGCGAATCACGAGGACGTCACAAGTGACGGCTCACCATGACAAACTGCGTTTTTGCATGACAGAAAAGTGGAGCTTTTGGATAGCGTGCATGACACACTTGAGAGTCAGGGTCATGCTAAGCTGAGCATGACAAACTTGCGCGCTTCCAGACCCAGACATTTTTGCATTTGATACGCGAGTTGAAGCTCATGTTTGAGGAAGCGGCCAGGGACAAAGAGTGGTTAGCGCTCAAGGCCCGGCGGAAAGCAGGTGTCGTGGTGGACGACGACGGCGCTGTGGAAAAAGCTTCCGGCGGCGAGGCCAGCGCGGGTGCGGGTGCGGGGCAGCCAGGATCTTCATCCGACGACGGTGTTCTAGAAGTACCCGCAGCAACAAGACACGGCACGGGCGGTTGCGAGATCAGAGGTGTGTCAACTAGCTCTACATATTTCTTGCTGTGCAAATCCAAATGCAAAAAAGAAGACCATCTTCTAGGAGTCGTCGCGTGAAGAAATCAATGTACTATCAGTTCCTGCTTTTTCCTCGTTTCTTTCTCTTCAACGTGGTAACCCAGCCCTCAACTTTACGTGCCTGCAAAATCGAAGGGCCTGCAGGAAAATTTATCTATATCCTTCCACAAAGGCCAAGATAACACTTGGCACGCAGAGTGAGTGACTCTCCTGTCACTCCGCACACAGCAGTACTGGGTGCCCGTCCACTCATTAGAATGAGAAAAGATAATGTTTATCCCGGACACGCACAAATATGATGATGATGATGATGATGTAAGTTTCTCATTCGTCATCTTGAAGGTGCGTCTACTTCGAGCCAGTGTAGAAGTGGTCCGAAGGGGGAACAACAAGACACGAAAGCTGTAGGAGAAGGCTCAACTGAAGTGAAAGGTCGTTGTGGTTTTCCAGTACGAAAATTTTCGCTCGAGAACGAGCCATCTTTGCGAGAGAAAGACCCTGGGCGCCGCGAGAAGGAGGGCCGTTGTTCCCATCCGCGTAAGAAGACGGCGAGCAACACTAGGCACCACCAGAGGGGGCACGGTAGGTGGAACAAGAGCAGGGACTACACCAGAGACCCCCGTGGTCGGGACGACCGCTACGCCGCCGACCGCCGGCGCCGATCGTCTGGTCGAGGAGATAGAAATCGTGACTTCCATCATGGCGGCTCATCGAGGAGGCGAAGCGCCGGAAGGGGCAGGTCTCGCTCACGAGAGGACCGGGATAAAGACAGAGACCGGAATAGAGATCGCGACCGGGACAAAGATCGAGATTGGAACAAAGGTCGCGGCCGGGAGAAGGGTCGTCGACACTGGGGTTCGAAAGATCGGGATTGGCGATCGCGAGACCGTTACCCCGACCAGGGTCGCCGGGATGAGCGAGACAGAGATTGGCGAGACGACCGAGGCTGGGGCCGTGACGCGGGTGACGCAAGGAATCGGGATCGCGACAGACGAGGGTGTGATGATGACAAAACCGGCGGGGCCAAGCCTCGGGACCATCAAAGCCGCTGTGGTAAACCAAGTCCGCGCGACAAGCGGAAGCGGTCCCGTGAGGAGCGCCAGCCTTCCTCGAAAGCAGCCGTCGCGGCAGGAGGTCCTGGCCGCTTACTTACTATGTTATCTTCTGCAGTCGCTACTTGTACTTCTGCTGCAGCCTTGTTTTCTGATGTTTCACTGTTCTGCCGGGTCGTTCTTTTTACGTAAGATGAAAAAAATACCGGAGACCTGTAGTTGCTTTGCAAGCTAGATAAGGATCGCCACTGTTAAATTGACGCTTTTGTCCCTCACCATGAACAGTTCGAGATCGCGATCGTGGCCAGGAGACGGAGCGATGCTGGAAGCTGACGCTTACGAGCCTGTGCATTCTCCCCCCTGGGAAGGCAGAGCGAGCAGTTTACGTGAGACTCCCAAAGGACTACTTCGCCGCCAGTACTTCATCCAGCGATGCCCGCGACCTACGCATCAGGGAACACGAGTGCATCTGGCGGGAGCTGTCATCTCGCACTACGGACGCCGAGCGCGCGATCAAGGAGTATTTCTGTGTGTGCGACAAATATGTCGTCGTCGTGTTCAACACCCCTGCGGACGCACTGCGAGTCCTAGAAGCCCCTGTGACGCGCGTCGTGCTATCCGATAACATCTCGGTGGCGGACGTGGCTCCTTACAGTCGCGACAGAGCCCGTGGGAACAAGTTGCCCAGCGAACCAAAGCCGGCTCTGCCACGGCCCGCTGCTGTGTCCTCGTCCCCTAGTACTACATCGACCGCAGTGGTAGTACAGGGGGCCGTACCGAAGTCTGCGGCACGGGTAGTAGCGACTGCGAAAGGCGACCTCCCGGCTGCGAATAAACCACAGGACGCCGCATCTTCGGTAGTCATTCCGGTTGCTACTGGTTGCACGGCACCTAGTTGTACGGGACCACCAGCATCTTTAACCGGTGCCGCGAGTAGACCTCGTCCTGTCGACCACGGCCGCGCCCCTGTATTGAATGAAAGCGAAGGCGGTGGGCGTGTAACGCGGCAAAAGCAAAAGCTAAAAAGGCCGAGATCGCCCGAAGGGGCCGTGCCGCTTTGCGACGAGCAGCCGCACCAGGGCCAAGAAGAGACTGCAAGAACTTGTCACGAAACTACGAGGCTGGACGCGCACGCGACTGCGGCAAGAGCTGGTGAGCAGCCCACGAAAAGGGCAGAACGCACCCTCGCAACATTTATATTTGGCGACAAACGACCTGTAGAGGAAGCACAGCGCGTTGATCAACTAAAAAAGACGAGCCCAACTAGAACAGTTCCCAACAAAAAACCGTCATGCGAGAGGATAAACTACGATGAACTCGGTCTCGGGCAGGCATGCAGCAGCACCGAAAGAACGGCGGACACGCTGAATGCGCCTGCACCGGCTTGCGAGAAAGTAACGCCACTTGTCCCCACAGCAGCTTGTGCAGCTTCAGTGGGCATCAAAGTCGCAGGCCAGCGCGCTGCTCTTCAAGAGGAGGTGGAGGTTCCGCAGAAGTCACAACGCGGGAATAACAATAAAGCGAAGGCGATGAAAACTGCTGCCGGACCGCCCCTACTTGCAGGTGGAGGTGCGAAAAGGCCCGCACTAGCAGAAAAGCAGAGTGCTGTCGTTCAGCATCCTGCGCCGAAGCGGAGAAAGGCAGGTAACAAAGGCTCCGCGGTGGCCGTCCAGCAGAACAAGAAAGCAGCCGAGGGCGGGGAGGTGCCTACTACTGCAGCATCAGCCTCGGCCGTTAGTCTACAAATGCCAACTGATTCCGGGATCGCACGGAATAAGGCGAATTTGTCCTCGGCGACATCATCGTCCACCTCCGCTCAAGTTCTCGGTAAGGATGAGATTATTTCTTTGTACATGCAAAAGTAAGAGAAGTCATTACTATTGGTTTGCAATTGGTGTCAACATCATGCTGCAATGCCGCAAGAGTGTGGTCTTCAGGTTCAAAATGAGTTGCAGAACCAAGCCAAAAAACCAACATAAAAATTTTACATGAGGACGATTTCACAACAACTACGACAGGAAAAATACAAGCACCAGGAACATCAACATTAGCAAAACCACCCCCACCCCCAGCCATTCCCACGGGCCCGGATGTCCAGCAGAAGGTCGACGAGTGGTTGGGCTTTTCGTTGGCGAGAATTCAGACCGTTTGCAGGGGCCTCGGCGTATCTCTGGTCGAGGGTGAGCTGAGGGTTTCCCTCATCGCCAAAGCGCTGCGCAAGTGGGAAGCGGCGGACCAGAAATGCCGCGCGGGCGTGTTGTACTGCCTGCACCACCACGCCGCGCAACTCGCAAGCAGAATCAGCGGGCAGTGGGGCGAGGTGAAACTGCGCGAGGACCACGCGGAAAAACTTGTGCAGGCGAAACAATTGAAGGCACAGTATGAGAACGCATGGAAAGTGATCAATGATTTCAGAAGCTATAGTTCCTCATCTGCAAAAGCAAAGCCAGGACAAAATCAAAAGTAGAAGCAAAGGACGGGTCCTCTTGAGCGTTTATATCCAGGGCTGCGTAGAGTGCTAGTGCCCTATCGAGTATTGATGCGTATTTTTGCTATTCTCTTCTCCAGAATTTCCATTTCAATTTTTCTTCTCATTCCTGATTACGATTCGCTGGGGCTGTTTGATTTATTGTCTGCAATAAAAGCTGTACTTAGCTGTGTACAGTATCAGCAAGTTCCCGACCATATCAGAACAATGAGGCACTTGCGTACGCGAAACAATCCATGTGGGTCCGTTGTGGCGATAAAATCTTGGTGGTTCTTCATCATTGCAGCGCCAGTTGGTTGGGCATGAAGCAGGACCTTCGTTTATATAATCATTGGCTGGCAGATCTGGATCCGTGGTGACCGTGTGTGATCGTTCCGCTTTTCTAGTGTCGTGCGGCGAACCTTAAGAAGTAGTCTGGCAGAGGCATACACGTATTTACGAATTCTATAAGCATATTGATCATGTGGCCGCAGGTTCTCGATCATCTCGAGGCAGATGACTGGTAGACTAGACGACATGACATTGGTTCGCCTCAAGTAAGAAGTTATTAGCAACAGCGACGCATCAGAACAAACAAAGATCAAGATGTAAGACTCAAAATGTTGGTTTCGCTTGCACTTCCTTCTCCCAACTGAAATTGTTTCTTGCTCGACCGATATTACATCACTTACAACCTAAGTTATACATAAGTCTCTTGAATTTTCGTCCGGTGAGGTTGAATCCACAAATAAACAATGAGTAGCTCATCTTCCGCGGCGGCTGAAGACAGGCGGCCGCAGCGTTGTGAAGTGCAGCTTTTCATCCACGTTGAACCACGACCTCCTGGAGCGAAAATCCACGACCTGCGGGAGCTGTACGACCCCCCGAAGCATACGCGCAGCTGGGAAGTGTGGCATGCCGCACACGAGCTGGTGGTCGACGAGGTAGAGCAGGTGCTTGGCGAACAACTGGCGGAAAATGCTGAATCCGGGCCCCATTCGGCGCCGGAATTTCTCCGCGTCTTCCTGCACGGCAGCGACCCGGCCGACTACCTGCGACAGACGATCCGGCGGCACGGGATTGCCGTGATTGACAAAAGCACCGGCGCTCGGCTCACCGTCCACGCGCTGCCGCAGGGCCGGGGGGTGATGTCAATGTTGGATTCCCTTAACGACGCCAGCAACGGTGCGGAAGACGCACTTGACGCACTGGAGGAGGAAATCGATGCGGTCGCCGAGGGTGTTCTTGGCCAGCATGTAGAAGAGGAAATCCGGGCGCGAGTCGAAAGTCCACTAGAATCCGCCCGGAAGGCGGTCGCAGCCTTCGGCCAGGAGGTCCGGAAAGCGCAGGTCCGCCTTGCCGGGAGGGACGATGAGCTCAGAAATGAAATGCTCTGGGTGCGGAAGTTGAGGGACAAATTGGAGGAAGTGGCTGGCGACCACAACGAATGCGTCAAGCGAATGGACCTGGCTAGAGAAGTATCCGTGGGAATTGGATGTGAACTGCCTTCGTCTTAGTTATGAGTAGTGTATTCAGGAGACGCGGCTTGCATTTGCAATGCCAATGCAAAATAAATATGCGGGGTGAGTGTCATTGTCATAAAAATGGTCCTCAAGCCAGAATCTACTTCACCCTATCCATGCATTAGGATGCAGAATACATTGCCAGCCCAAGAACTCCAAGTACAAGTTCGAGTTCCTATTGAAGGCGAAGATGTAGATTTTGCACAGCATAGATTGCGCTTGACGACATGAAGCGAGAAGCCGCACAAATTGCAGCCGCAAAGTCCTCGTCAAAACGACCAGCAGACGCATCAGCGGGGGGTGCGAGCGGAAAGACCACGAAGAAGGCGAAACAGTTGAACAACGATAAATCCTCCGCGAGCTGCTGCCAGTCTGTGGCAACAGGAAATAAAGCTGCGCAGAGCTCGTCTTCTAGTAGCAGCGCACCAAGCTCCGGCGGGGCGATCGGAGTAGCGGTAGCTGCGCAAGCAAAAAAAGAGCTGGGAATAGGTAATTAAAGTATTCTAGTCCTACGCCTTGTAGCTTCTGATCCTACAAGAATGGCGCATCACGCGCATGACGTTTGAAAATGAAAACCGAAACTACTGGACAAACGCCACCTAGGTCACAAAGCGAAGCTGGAACGGGTCTTGTCGATGACGCTCAAGGAGGCGAAAGAGGCCATTAAGGCGAATAGCCTCGCCGCGCCGGAAGGGGAAACGCGGGGGCGCGCGGCCGAGGCGGTAGCGCGCGTGTTGGCGTTCGAGTTCCCCGGGGAGGACGCGTTGCAACAGGTGCGAGACTACTATGGGACTCTCAGTTGTTACATTCTCAACTGTTACATGAATTTGTAATGCAAGCATAGCGAAAGTCAAAGGGGGAGGATTGCATCTCTAGCATTGCAAATTCCGCACAGATTTCAATGCTGTTGAGCCCTTCGGGAATTTGTCATGCGAAGTCGCTGCGCCGTGTGGATGTTGGTGTTGGTTTTGCATGACAAATTCATGATATAGCAGTTGAAAATGTAACGTTTGAGAACTCCATAACTACCTCGCGGAGAAGCTCCGGGGATTGTGGGCGCAGATTGCCGCCTATCAAATGTAAAAATGTCTGGGTCTGGAAGAAAAAGAATGCAAGATTTGTGATGCAGGTTTTCCATGATCCATGAGGTCTGGAATGCGAGACCCAGCATGACAGATTTTTTGAGGTCTCTATCATGCGTTTCTTGCATGAGAAACTCCCGCTCAACTTGGTCGAAAGCGGACAGCTTTTGGTACTCACGCAACACAGATTTTTGCATCATTCAGATTTAGCATGACAAGTTCTAACCTTCCAGACCCAGACATTTTTGCGCTTGATACCGCCGCGTGCGTGGACCTGAGCGCAGAAAAAGACGCCGGCCGGCAGGCCCTCGAGAACGAGGCGAGGAGGGTGGAAGTAATCCACGTCCGGCTGTGTCAGATGAACGAGGGTCGTCGGAGCCACCAAAACTAGGCAGGTGGTGAAGCATTTTTAACGTCGCTGCGCATGGAGGTGTAACATTGAATGGTCCGGCGTTTGTTCTGCGCATTTCTTTCTTGCACCAGCACCAGCTCGTCTGATCGCCGCAGCAGGATCTGTGAAAGGGCTGGAGACCTAGAACGGCAAGAGTCAGAGTGAAAAAGCGCACGAGCTGCCAAACAAAGGGTCGTAATCCCATTCAGATTTTTGTGTTGGTCGTGAAGGTGGACTCCGGTTTGATAAAACAAAGAAGACTTAAGCTACATCTTCATAAACACACGTTGCAGATTCAGCAGCACTGGTGCAGCTACTGCTTCTGACCATGACGGGTCGAACACTTCCCAGGTTCGATTTTGCTTCCTATACGTGATAAAATACGATGCTGCCACAAAAACAAAGTGTATTCGCCTTCGCCTTCGTTGTTATGCATCTTTTCGGAAGTAGGACTGAAACAGTTTACTCGAGGTCGGCTAGAAGTGAGCTCTATGTGAGAGAAAAACAACATGAGCAAGTCGAGCATGAGAAACCCTTTGCAAGGGACAATGCGCAGAGCGAGTCTCTTCGGTAGCGTCTACAAGTAGACAGACTGACAAAGAGAAAATAAACTCAATCTTAAAAATACAAGCAAAGCACCAGGAAGATGGTGTGCGTGTCCTTTTGGTCCTAGTAGGTCTGGGCGTCGCAACAATGGTACTATCGTCGCGTGCGCAGCTCTCTGCGCTTGCTGTTGTACTACCTGTCGCTGCGGCGGCGCAGATATTCGGAAGAGTCGCACCAACGAACGCTGTGGCGAAGGTCGTGACAACCACCCTACGTGCAGCCGGTTATTTATCCGGTAGTGCAGCAGCACACAGAACAAGTACTAGCAGCAGAGCACAGGCTGCTGGTGCTGCTCTAGATGAACACCAGCTGTCGGGTACAATTCTTGCGCAAGAACTTCGACAACACGATGCTGATCCGGAAGAGAAACTTCTTCCCACGACGAGTTTGGAATTTGTGGTCCAGGATTTTTGTAGCGACGAGCAAGAAAATGAAAATGAAAACAAGAACGAGCTTTCTTTCCATCAGAACCAAAACGCCGATGTCGTGGGACGAGCGTCTGTTTCGCCACTACACCCGCCCTCGTTCGAAGGCCAGGAGGATGAACATGTCGCGGCCAACTATCATCTTTTCTCCGGAGCAGATGAACCTGCGCACAAGATGATGAACCTTGTCCCCTGGCCGGCGAATTTCGAGGCAAACAGCGCCCAGCTCCCCGTGCAGTGCGAGCAGCCGGACTGGTTGTTACGGAAGGACCAACTGGTGCTGCCCGTGAACGAGGAGAGGAGCTTCTTGTCGAGCGTGAATGAAGCAACAAGCACACCAACATCAAAAGCCAGCGCAACAACTAAAGTTTCGGCCACTCTGGTGATGACGCTGTTTCTCGGGCCGGACGGGCCGAACGACTGGAAAAGAACTCCGCCAAGTGGGCAAACTACGCATGTAGCGGCAAATAAAAATCTTTACGCCGCTGCGGACTGGCTGCGGGCGCTCTTTGCCGCGAACGTGCAGGTCCTTCGTCGGTTCTATCCTGTGCAAAAGTATCGCACTCGTATCAATGCATTATACAAATTTCCTCAGCATGAGAAATTTGTAATGCGGATTTGCCTTGAGAAGAAGATTTGTAATGCAAGACATTGACATGCATTTATACGAATACGATACTGTTGCACAGGATAGGTTCGGCCACGGGCTGATCTTGCGCACGGACTTCACTCCGGGGGACTTCGACGGGAAAACGCATTTAAAGTCCTGGGAGGTCGACAGCGAGGACTGCAAGAAGAAAAATTTATCCCCAGCGGACTGTGCCAAGCAGTACCAGCGACTCAATTCCTTCTTCGAGAGGCCGCTCATGGTAGCAGACTACCTAAACTTACGAAAAGCTGGAAGTGGATCTGCTGGAGATTCGGATTCCAGTTCCACCGCCCCTGAAGATCAACAGTTCCGCTTCACCCACGTGTTCACGCTGGATGCGGACGCCGCGTTCGTCAGCATGAGTATCGACTCGGTCCGGTTGGCGGCGTGGAATTTGGCGCGGGCGGGAAAAGACGTGTTTGCCGCCAATGAAGACTGGCAGGAAGAGAAGAACAAAGCGGGGTGGGACCAGGACCAGCTCTGCCGCGGGGTGAACAACGGGTTGTTGTTCGCGGCGAACACGGCCTTTTCCCGAACGTTCTTCCGAGATCTATGGGATCATGATTCTCAAATGTTACATTCTCAACTGTTACGTGAATTTGTAATGCAAGAATGGCAAAAGTCAAAGAATGAAGGGAGGTTGCTCCTGTAGCATGACAAATACCGCACAGATTTAGGGGCTGTTTAGCCTTCGTAAAATTTGTCATGCGACGTAGCGTCCCTGTGTGGATGCTGGTGCTCATTTTGCATAACAAAAAATCATGTAACAGTTGAGAGTGTAACGTTTGAGAGTCCCATAATACATCTTCGCGGCGCACCAGCGCGGCCCGCGCGCGCAGGCCTGGGAGATCGAGCCAACGATCAGCCTCGTCTGCGCCTCGAACGACCAAGAGTGCGTGCAGAACGCGATTCCCCGGCTGCGACAGCACTTTCTCACGACGCGTGGCCAGTTTTGGAACCGGGGCCGGTTCGCGAACGACGAAAGCGCGCCGCTTGTGAACGCGACAGCGACCGCTGGTGGAGCAGGGGAAACAACGCACATCGTGCACTACATGAACGCCGACGGGAACATGAAGATTGCGGAAGAGGATTTCTGCGACCCCGGGTTTTTAGTAAAGCCGATCCAGGAGGAAACGAAAGTCGCTTTGGGAGTGTGCAGCAGCAGGAAGACCACGAGTCAAGGAGGAGAGGAAAGTGCAGAGGAAGTTGTACAACAACTAGATTGGCAGCCGCCAGCACAGTCGTGCGTCGGCCAAGGAACTAGTAAGCCACTTGGTTCCGGCAGTTCTGTGGGGGAGAGCATGAGTGGTCCTCACAGTCACGAAACGTCGAAGCAGCAACGTCGCCTCCGCGTCGAGGAAATCCGAGTGGACGAGGAAGCTGACACAATTCGATATGACTTGCTCAAACGTTACAATCTCAAACGTTACATAAAGAATCTGGAATTTGTTGCATGATGACCATGACAGACTCGCACAGCGTTCCAACTTTTGCAATACAAATTTCGCGAGATTGTCTTGGGGTTTAGGGGTCCGGAACTTGTCATGTGCAATCCTATGAGACTTGGCTAGATCATGCAATCTTGCATCACAGATTTCCATATTCTATTCGTAACGTTTGAGATTGTAACACCTGAGCGGGTTATATTCGAGCGGGTGGTCCTCCGGATTTTTACCTCCAAACAAGCCCTGCTGAAGAGGAGACGACAGCTGTGGAGCTTGTTGACACGAGTGAAAGAAGTTTTTCCCCGACGACGGAACAAGGGGAAGCGGTGCCTGCTGCAAGCGGTACAACTGGTAGTGCAGCTGTCATCGCTGCAGCTGTTGGGCATGATGAAGATGAAATGCGTGCTGGGACATTGTCCGTGTTCGTCACGTCCTCTTCGTCTTCACACGACGAGCGCCAGCCTTTGTCCACCACCCTGGACGATGACTTCCTCACCGCAACCCCCCCTTTTTGCAACGGTTGCTGCATCGGTCCGGCCTCGGAAGCCCCGTATCAAAAGTAAAAATGTCTGGGTCTGGAAACTTGTGATGCTGGGTGGCGTCTCATGATGAGGCTACAAATGCTGGCTCAGCATGACAGGTTTCTGCGCTCCTAGGTGTTGCCTACTCTGCATGACAAACGGCGCTTCTGCATCACAGAAAAGCGGAGCTCTTGGGTAACGTGCATGACAGATTTAAGAGTCATGCCAGACAAGCATGACAAACATGAATTCTTCCAGACCCAGACATTTTTGCACTTGATACCCCGGCGAACGTAACCAACATCGGAGATCTCTCCTACCACGCGCGTTGCCTCGATGTGCACAAGTGCGCGGCGGCGGAGGTTCCTGGCGGAGCTGGTGCTCTTGGTGGTACGACGAATCCAGATGAGCAGCATGATCAGCGCAGGAGGACCAAGTACGCCTTCGTCCTTACCCACAAGGGGGTTCTGCCCCAGCCGGAGAGGAATACCACGGAATATCAAATGCAAAAGCATCGTACTCGTAAGTATAAATGCATTACAAATTTCCTCAGCATGAGAAACAAAATCTGTCATGCGGATTTACCTTAATAAACGAATTTGTAATGCGTGACTGCAATTACTACGAGTGCGATACTTTTGCACAGGACACGGAATGGATTGACCTCATGTTCCCAAACCTTCGCAGCATGGAGCTGGCCCGGCAGGGAATACTGAGACAAGGAAAATCAGCGACGAAAGATATCGAAATCGACATTCTCCTCCTCGTTGCGCTGAACCGCGGCATGACGATCGGGGTTGACGCAAAGTGGTGGGAGAAAACTGTATCTTACCTGCAAACCGAACTGCGCCGCATCGCACCAACTACGGTCGTGAAGCGCGTGCCGTGGACGGTGTATGCGTTGCAAATATGTCTGGGCGTGGAAGGATGCAACTTGTGATGCGCATTTCACAACACATAAAAATCTGTCATGCATAAGAAGCAAAAGCTGCCCACTTTTTGTCACCAAAATTGGGCATTTGTCATGCGGATCCGGCATTGCGGAAGCTCCTCGAAACCTGTGATGCTAGAGCTTCCATGCCAGACCTTCTGTGTCATGCAAAAGCAGCATGACCCTTCCATACCCAGACATATTTTCATTCAATACGGTGCCGGAGGATGCGAAGTTTGACCGGAAGGAAAGCTGGTGCGGCGAGGTCGATTTTATCCGGCTCAATATGAACTGCAAAAGTATCGTACTCGTATGAATGCATTACAAATTTCCTCCGCATGAGAAATAAAATTTGTAATGCGGATTTACGATAAGAAAAAAATTTGTAATGCAAGACTTGCATTTATACGAGTACGATACTTTTGCAGTGGATACTCAACGCGTTCAGCGAGACGGACTACGACGCCGTCGTCTACTATGGGAGTGTCAGGATCGAAATTGACAAAGTTGAAAAAATAACTTGTAATGCATAAAATGCATGACGCGACTTACGTGTGTTGCAGCAGAGCAGGCAAGTGAGGCCGATCGTAAGCCCGTTTGGGGTTAGAGCTCGGGCCGCTAAAGTAGCATGAGAAAATCTCTCTTTTTTGCATAAACAGCATGACAAACTGGATTTAGGCACCACCAAAATTTGTCATGCGCCACTTGAAAACGGGGTTTCAACTGGCATCCAATTTATGCATGGCAAATCATTTCAACTTTGTCGATTTCGATCCTGACAGTTCCATATCTACTACGACCGCGATGTGGAGCTGCAGGACACGGGCGGAGAAAACCTGCTGGCGCTGTTCGAGTGTGTGGCGAAGCAGGACGTGTTTTTGACGGCCACGGGTGGGCTGAACGAGCCAATAAACGTCGGCTTTTTCGCGATGAAGCCGAACCGAAAACTGCTAGACGTCGCCCTGGAGTTTTCCAAACTTGCCGACTACAGCGACGACACCGGGTGGGCGGGCAGTGGCTGGAGTCCGGCGCGCATGTTTTTGGTGAAGGGGAATGAAGAGGAAAGCCGTGGTGGAATCGGTGAAGGCGAGCGCGGAGAAGCTTCTGGAGGTGCTAGTCTTTACCTACCTGCTTCGTCTTCGACGGGGGCAATAATATCTTCTTCTTCGGGCATAAGAAGTACAGATACTGATTATACAGCAGGAGACGCCGACCGCACTGGTAGTACCACATCAACTCAGCAAGAAGACAACCTTCATCTGCTGCGCGAAGGAGCCCCCGGCACCGTGGAAACAAGCGAAAATGACGGGAGCAGTATCATGGGCGGAGGGAAAGATACAATGAATACCACTTCGCCTTCGCGCGTTAGGAACACGGATTCGAATACTGTGATGTTGTCCGCGGAAGGCGGTAGCAGTAGTACTGATGCTCATGCTACAGGAACAAGAGCCTCTCGTCCCGGCACCTTCCTGTTCGAGGAGGACGAGCAAGATTTTCTGCGTCAACAGCAGGCGACGACCTCGATGGGCACTAGAACCACGACACGGCACGGCTTTGATTCCTTATCAGGCAAAAGCGAAGACCAAGACCACCACCTCGAGCACACGACCAGCAGGTCCTCGTTGTATAAGCGCGTTCTCCTCGACCCAAGTCTAGTCACCGCGATCCGTCAAGACCGAGACAAATACGAAGCATTTCTGAAAAAGAAGTACTTCGTCGGGGGCGAGTGCGGACAGGGCTATTTTCTCACGCTCCTCTACCACCTGAGCAATCCCGTCGTGAAAACCGCCTATGAAAAAGCGGGTTTCCCCATCGAAAATATAAAACCCTTCTCGGTCGATCGCTGCCAGTGGAACTACCAAACCAACAACGGGCACGTCTGCGAGAAAATCCAGTCCAGTTGCGACAAAGTGATCGCGCACCACAAGCCAGGAAAGGAATTCTACGCCCCAGGCCAGGACGTTTCGAAGGCGGGCGACCAATACGGGCAATGCCTCAAACGCGGCTACAAGCGGTTGGCGGCGGGCAGAGCAGCGGCGGGGAGTTTCCTTTCATCTACGTCTCGCAGAAGTAGTGCTTTTTTGGAAGATGACAGCGTATGCATTGCAAATATGTCTCGGTCTGGAAAGTTGCAACTTGTAATGCTAATTCTGGATCGTGAAAAAATCTGTGTTGCATGAATGCCGAAAGTTGTCCGCTTTTGACCAAGTCGAGAGGAAGTGTCTCATGCAGGATAGGCATGACAGGGATCTCACAGAATCTGTCATGCTAGGTCCTGCATTCCAGACGACACGAATCATGGCAAATCTGCATCACAAGTTTCGGAATCTTCCAGACCCAGACATATTTGCATTTGATACAGCGGGATGTTGAACAAAATCGCGCTGAACGTGTTTTACTACGTGGAGAACCCGGACGACAAAAACTCGCTATGACCTGCTCAAACGTTACAACCTCAAACGTTACAATAGAATTTGGGTTTTGTATTGCATGATGAGCATGACAGACTCGGACAGCATTTCCCTTTCTGCAATACAAATTTCGCCAGATTGTAGTGCGGATTGGCACTCCAGAACTTGTCATGCGCAATCCTAGGAGAGTTGGCTAGGTCAGTGTTTGCTGTCCCCCGGGCTGAGGTCACTGTTGTGGGTTTCTGGCGACTTGTGTGGTGCAGGAAATTTTGCCACCACCACTGTCTGGGCCCCGTCTGTTCTGAGGCTGTGCAGGTCGGGTTACCTGGTCGGGTTGGTTGTCGGGTCGATTCTCTCTATGCCCCTGCCCCTTGATGCCTGCCACTGGGCGGATTGGGAGCGTTTTCACGGCGTCAGCCCGTTTCTAAGAGCTGAAACTATATGACGCGTGCTGTCTGCTCTTAGACATTATGGGGAGGATTCCTCTTCTCTGTTCCCCCCAGGGCATTGCCTCATCGTTGGCGCTATCGTGTGACAGCTCTTAGTTGCCGTGGTGCTTTCGGTGGGATGGACGTCCGGTGTTGCTTCGACACTCTTGTGTTGTTGCATTTGTGAATGCGAGGGCAGTGGTGGACTGAGGTTGCTGGAGTCCTCCGTAAGGACGGCTCCAAGTTAATTTCTGACTACTCCGCTTCCTTGTGCCTCTGCTTTAGTACTATTTTTAGTGCTTTAGCTAATAGGCGTCCCCCTCGAATCTCACCTCCAGGACTTCGGGGACCCCACTTTTCCAAGGTTCTTGGTTGTGGATGGTTCCTCGAGGTCTTTGTGTCGTCTGGGTATTCTTTGGTGCACTTCTTGCAACACAAATTCCAGATTCTATTGCAACGTTTGAGATTGTAACACCTGAGCAGGTTATCCTCGCGGAAGCACTTTCTGAAGTCCTTTCCCTTGAACCTCGAGACCTGGCTGCTGCACCTCCGGTCGAGCAGAGTGGAGCCGCGGGTGTATTGAGAGGAAAAATCCCCCCTCCCCATATTGAAAAGGTATGGCTCCGGAAATTTGTGTTGCTGATTTGAGGTCACAAATCACGTCTGTCTTGCAAGAAGACAAGGGCAGAAGCTTCCGCCATATTATGGAAGCGGTTTGTCATGCCGTTGGGCCTAAAGGGAGGCCGTTTGCCATGCTGAGCAACTAGACCCATACGCCCCCAGCTAGCCTGCGGATCTGGCCGCCATGCCTTTCTGCAACACAAATCTGATTTGTGTATCCAAATCCAGCATCAGAAATTTCGTTTTGATATGGGGAGGGGGGATTTTTCCTTTTGATAGGGTGATTCAAGTAACCGATGCGACAGTGCGGACGTGGATCCCCGATGTACTATCCAAGAAAAAAAGTGTGCAAGTGTAACTCTGTAGGAAGAGCAGCATCACAGATTTGTTTTGCATTACAGAAAAACCTGTCATGCCTGGCTAGTACTGGTGAAAATACGCACGCAGCATGGCTATCAGATGCACTTGCAGCATGACAAGTGTAACGGTCTTGCGTTTTTTGCATCACAAATATACTCTCACACAGCTTTTTTCTTGCATATGTACCCGAGCAGTTTTACCGATTGCCATATAGCCAAGCAAAGTCGGATTTTGTCCGCTACGCGCTCCTGTATTACCATGGGGGGATCTACCTGGACGGGGACTTCATCGTGCAACGGGATTTGCACGAGAACATCTTGGAAGCCCTGTCCGGAGCAACGACATTTGGTGGCGTCGCAGGAATAAACAGCGGAGGTGGAAATCAAATTCAAAATACCAGAAAACAGTCGTTCTTTCCCATCGAGCTGTTGTCCTACAACTCCGCCGGGCAGAACTGCAAGGGGATGAGGCCGCCGAATTTCAAGCCGACCTTTTCTTTATGAACTGCAAAAGTATCGTACTCGTATAAATACATGACAAATTCCCTCAGCATGAAAAAAAAATTTGTAATGCGGGTTTACCTTGAGAAAAAAACTTGTGATGCACGATTGCAATACGAGTACAGCACGATACTTTTGCACAGGATATTCTTCCAATTTTCTTGGTGCGACGAAGGGGAGTTTGTACATGATATCAAATGGAAAAATGTCTGGGTCTGGAAGAGGAGAAGTTTTTCATGCACATTTTCCATGATCCATGATGTCTCTGTTGTATGCAATAGCATCACAGATTTTTTGAGCGCCTATCGATGCGCGTCCTGCATGACAAATGCCTTCTCCGCGTAGCCACATTTGACTCCTCTTGCTGCTCATGCAATACAGATTTTTTGAGCATCCAAATGCAGCATCACAAGTTTGGCTCTTCCAGACCCAGACATATTTGCAATCCATACATGAAACGGGTCTACGACCTGCAGAAGCAAACGCTGACAACCCCCTGCGAAACCCCGGAAAAAAACGTGTGCTGCTCCGGCCTAGATCGGAAGAAGCAGTGCCACATCGGTTGGGGCGGGCTGGGCGAGGGAATCTCCACCGGCGGGGAGATCGCGTTAGCTGCGGCTGATCAGGAAGTTTTGGAACAGTCGGGGGTGGGAAAGGAGATTCGGGAAAACCCGCTGGGGCTCATCTATAGAAAAGACAAGACGAGTGCTGATCCTGACGGGAGTAGTAGTGCCACGACCGGCCTGGTGAAGATATCGAGTTCCACAACTTCCACTTCAAGTACACTTTCGCGAAATAGTCCGGTCACCAACGGTATACAGCAATTTCTAACGACGACTACCGGGATGCCGGGTAGACGTAGCAGCTCTAGCGGTGCAATAAATTACCGAGAGGTTTATGATAGTGACCAAACAGCAATATCGGAGAATGAAGATTCCGAAATGCAGTTCAAAATCCAGGGCATTGTCGCCTGTTTCCAAAACGAGACAGAATTCGCCGCGTTGAACCCGCAGTTGCTCGGCGGTAACATGTATCAAGTGCAAAAATTTCTGGGTCTGGAAACTTGTAATACTGCGTTGGGAATAGTGAATGCCCTGCAATGCACAGCCAAGCATGAGAAGTATCTGCGCTTCTTTGTGTTGCGTCTTTCGCATGACAAACTGCGGTTTTGCATGAAGGGCAAGAAAAGGGTCTCTTCTTGGACACGCATCACAAACTTTTTGGTCATGCCAGAAAAGCATGACAAATCTCGCAATCTTCCAGACCCAGACACTTTTTCATTTGATAACATGACGGATGAAAACAGTGAGGAACGAATCGCCTTTTTCCGAGACGTGCACGCGACGGTTAAGTCCGAGCAAGAGGTGCGGAACGCGCTAGGCCGGACCGCGTACCACATGTTCGCCTCCAACGGCCTGCCGGAGTGGCTATTGTGAGGAAAAATCCCCCCTCCCCATACCAAAAAGGGGCACTACTGAAAATTTGTGATGCTGATTTGTGACCGCAAATCGTCCCTGTATTGCAAGAGGGCAAAGCCAGAGAATCGGCCGCGTTGCCCAAGCACTTTGTAATGTTGTATCGCCTACAGATGATATGCCTGCCTTGCTAGGTGCCTACAGCAAAACGCCCCTACTCAGGGGCTGCATCTGCCTGCAGTCCTCGACTGCTAGACAGATTGGATTTGTGTACACAAATCCCGCATCACAGATTTCGGCTTTGATATGGGGAGGGGGGATTTTTCACTTTGATAGTGGCACGAGAAAAGTTGCGAGGCGTTCGCTACGGACCATTCCACGGTGTTGGGAAAGATCTACAGCTCGGCACTGATGCTGCAACAAGAAGACCACGGCGAGGAAACAACATCAAGTCGAAATAATGCCACTGCCAGCACGACGACGACTTTGTCCAAAATCTGCACTAGAGACGTGATGTCTGAAGCCGTGGTTGCAAAGTCGGTTACGCTGCACCCGGAAATGTCTTTCCCATTGGTGCAGAAGATGCCGGACGAGGAGGCGGAAAACAAGCAGGGGTCCTCGGAAGTAGGAGCAGGTCATACTACTGCTCCTGCACACAGTGTCGCCGCGTTTGTGGAAGTGGTCGTGGGTGGGCAAGAAGATGAGGAGGAAATGACAACAGATAGTCCTCTATCCCACGAAAAAACTGTTTCACTGTGAACTTGTGATGCATAGAATGGAAAACAGAACTATTTGTCTTGCTACGCCTGCAAGGCATTGGGTTCTTAAGCGTGTTTTCCCTTTGAAAGCGCGCACGGCAAATTTTCTGTGTCATGTGTAGCAAACTTGTGATGCGGATCTTGCAAGACCATCACAGTGAAACGGTTTTTTCGTGGGATATCCTCGTGCGCGACAGAACAGTGGAGAAATCGAGACTGATCTTCATACTGCATCTCTGCCTGCTCCTTCTGCTGCAGCTCCCCCTGCTGCAGCTTCTACCGATGAACCGCAACCGCAGATCAAGATCATGCACCAAAAGTCAATAACGATAACCCCGGCCGAGACAAGTTTTCTACAAGAGAAAGTGAAAAGCACCGCGCCGGAACTGGAAGTAGGACCGCGGCCAGCATCCGGACCAGACACGACGGAGAAACCGCGTCTCCTCCGACGGGCGCTGGACGTGGCGGAGGACGTGGATGGCTTATTTTTCGAGGGTAGTACGAAGATGACATCATCGTCCCGTCAATCCGAGAGAATAAAGTCGATTGACCGTGCTGGCAGCGAGCAGGAGGGGACGGAACTGTTGGATTGAAGTGGTGGTGAAGTAGAAAATAGAACTCCCTTGTCGTTCTAGTTCTTTCCACCTGTAGGATTTAATATGATGCGTTTCGATTTGGTTTTGGATTTAAAAGAGTGAGAGACAGGAGCAGCGGCGCGCCGAACGCTGGCGGACGAAGATAGTCAACTAAAGAATAACAGAAATTGATTCGGAACCAACTTCTACGAAGCTTATTCAGATGAATTTCTCTTTGAACAAGTAGTACTTAAGCGAACCAATAACGTCCAAAGATCGTAGTTCCGTGTGTGTTGATGAGTTGCATCCTCCCTTACGCTAGTGGTCAACATGTCCTCGAAGAGAACTACAGGCCATGAGAAAGATACGTGCGCTGGGCGCTCCTGCCGCCAACCAGGTACCTTAGCTAATACATTTAGGTCATCACATTCTAGGTTACGCAGTCAGCACGCGGGCGCGCAACCTCGTGAGGACCGGGATGGGGGGACCACCATCTGTGGCCCCATCTTTGTACAAAAGGCTCCGACAACAATCGGAGCCTGTCCGTGACCAAGCCCAAGCGGTGGTCAGCGAGAGCGAGCGGGGAGGCGGCCACCCTCCCGCGGCCGCCACGCGCGCGCCCGCCAAAGCCACGTACCGCAATCCCGGCTTTCCTCACTGCCGATTTCACAACACTGCCGTGGCGGGCGGTGAAGCAGCTCGCACTCATGATGCAGCTGGGCACGCGCATGGACACAAACTGCGCCATTCTGCCGGAGGACCTCCGCTACGAGCCCGGCCGCCTGCTGGTCTATATTCGCAAGGACAAGGTGCGTAGCATGGAGAAGCGCACTGTGGCCATCGGTTGCAACTGTGCGCAGGAGGGTAGCAACGTCGACCGGCAGTGGTGCCTCCTCCACAACGACGCGCTGCGACCGGTGCCCCTGCCCATTCTGCTGAGCGAGTGGGGCGACGGGCATGGCAACGCAAAGCAGAAGAAGTTCCTTCAGCTCATGGGCTGGACGCAGCAGAGCTTCCGCCGCTACCAAGCGCTTGCAGCCCGGCACTACATTGAAAGGCGAATGCTGACCTTCGACCTGACCGGCTGGATGCGGGGCCGGGGCTGGGGCAAGCTCAGCACCTTCCTGCGGTACTCCGGTGACTTCAGCACCTGGAAACATTACTTTGCGGACCGCGCGAAGTGCATGCCGGTGTTCGGCGCCATCCGGCCGCATGCCGTTGCATTGGCGAAGCAGCTGGCCGCCGACCTGCGGTTTTCCGGCGACGTCGTCTTCAAGGATGCAGCAGGCGGGAGCGATCAGGAGTACAGCGGGTCGGAAGGTGAGCCGGGGAAGCCGGCGAAGCAGGCACAGGAGGGGCGAAAGCGCAGCAGTGTGTTGTGCGAGGAAGCGCTGGACCCAGTGGAAGACGAGCCGTTCTTCAGCAAGCGCGGGAAGTCAGCGGTGCCGAAGCCGCACTACCTTAGAGTGCCGCATGGATTGCCGCCAGGAGTTGCGCCAGCCCTCCAGTTGGCAAGCGCGCCAGCACCCTCCACGTCCCGGCCCATGAAGACCAAGGCCGCGACGCACAGCAGCAGCTCCACCGCTGGAGCCAAACCCGTGGTCAACATGTCCTCGAACAGAACTACAGGCCATGAGAAAGATGAAGTGAAGCTGAGTGCCGGGCGGTCCTCCTCCTCGTCCGCAGTCGTTATGAGTGTGACGCAGTTTGTTCTTTTGTGTAGAGCTAGAGCCAGACATTACACTTAGAAAACACGAAACAAGAACATGCAGCAGGCACAGTCGTTGACGCGGCCCTCAACACTGCCGGCAATTGTGATTGTATCAACTGTGATTTTCAAGCCACCTAGTAAGTAGCGGGAGCACGTAACTGCCCCAGTGGGACCGGGAAGATAGCGCGCGTCTAGCAGACTGGCCTTGGGCCTGCTGTCGACGGCTAGACGAAGCGGCGGATCCCCGCTGGGTGGCAGTGATGTTGATGTGAGGTTTGCTGCGAGATGAGATCAGAGAAGGCTCGTAGTTAGAAATAGCTTCGGTCTGGGCGAGTGAAACGTTATCCAGAATGTGCCCCTAAGACCCTAGCGAGAATTTTCTTACCGTGACTCCCCTCGGGATTGAGAACGTTAGCCCAGGGTAGAGTCTCGCGCTGCACTAAGTATAGTAGTGCCGTGGCCCTCCTTATATGAATATAGTGCCCGCTCGTGTAGTTAGTATTCCGCGTATCGCCCTCCCATAATTTAGGTTTTGTATGAAAGTAGCGACACCTGTGCGGATCAGGTGCAGTAGAGATGCTCGGCACGTAGCGCGACCGGGGGAGGTAGTTTGGTTAGTTTACTAGTAAGGTGAAAGGTGCAATAATTAATCGACTCTCAGTTTTTTAAGATGTAAAAAACCTCACAGCTCGCAGTTCTGAAAAACAGAAAAGTAAAAGAAAAGAAGCCGTGGAAAAAGTTCCTTATGAACTTGGGCAAAAAAACGTAGCTTAAGCAGCAGGAGTTTGTATGCGCTGCACCCAGCCCCGCCGAGTTACATAATCGCCCCAGAGGGTTAAGGAAAAGGCTAGCTTCGTCCACTAGTTGTAGGAAACTGATACAAATAGGTAGCTTAGTGGGCATGTGCTCCTGCCCGGATTGGCGTCCACACTGGCATTTGGTAGTCGCGTGCCCGTGGTGCATAGCGTTGCGTCGTTCCCTGCCCCGGTCTAGTGAGCCACATGCGAAGAGGCCACCGCCAACCACCACCCCCCGAAGTGAAGTGAAAACAATTTGAATTTGAATTTGAACATCATGTGTATCTTTACCCCCGCCGACTTCTACCGGTCGGCCGCCTACGGCTGACCCAGTCAAATTCAGTATCAGTTGACCCACAGTTCAGGCACCCTGTAGAGCGCAGAAGTAGTGCTGTTTTTCCCACATCTCTGTCTCGGTTTTTCGCACTTTTGATCGCCTTCTGCGCGATTGATCTTACGACGGTATGAGGTGACCCCGAATTGCGCACAGCTCTCTACGATTTAACTGTCTGCCCGTCTCTGATATAGAATAATCAACGCCGTACCGTCCTAAATGCACAGCCACAAGTTTTGTCTGTCTTAGTTTTATTTCGCAGTCTTCAATCGTGTAGTAGTTCAAAAATGTCGACTGCGTCAGCCTCGTCTACAACTAGCGAACAGCTCCAGAAGGAGCGACACCGCCGGGAGTTAGTTAATGTCTTTCGGAACTGCTCGTGGTTTGACGAGCGGTACATCCTGGCTTACCAGGCGACCGCGCTTCCTCTGACTAAGAGGCAGAAGACGTCCCTGCACCAGCTCCAGCAGCTGGAGCTGGATAGAACAAGAGCGCAAAGAATAGGTAACGCCCTAACTACAATTTTATTACTGGGCCTGTGGTTTCCTGCAGAGCAGTGCGGCAGATGCCTCTGCGCGGTCCCTGGCTGGTCGGGGGCCGTTCACGGCGTCAACACAGCCCGACCGCCCTGTAGCCGGGGCTCGTGATACGGCACTTACCGTTAGCGCGCGCCCGACGCCCAGCTGCACAACTCCCCCCGGGCTCAGTTGCGCCGCGTTTTTAGGTGGTCGACGCACTCGGCGATAGGGTAAGTCATGCGGCGACCGGGGAATATACCAAATCACCTCGTGCGCACGCACGTCACACCCAAAAACAGCTTCCCGCGAGGAAATTTCGAAACTTTAGGGTGCTGCCACGCGCAGCGCAAATCGCGGGAAAGCAGCTTTGCGCGACCCGCAAGTGCGGGGTCTGTGTTCGCGCGATGAGCGCCGTTGTGCCTGATCTCAGCGCGAGGTCATCGACCACGTGCACACTGATTCGTAAGTCAGCTCGTACGAACATCTATTTCTTCTCCTTATCGATCTGTAGCAAAAATTAACATCATGTGTATCTTTACCCCCGCGGACTTCTACCGGTCAGCCGCCTACGGCAGCATTGGCTTCGCCCTTTTCGCCGGCGCGCAATCCCAAGCTGTTGGGTATAGTGAGGCGGTTATGAAGTGCAAAAGTATCGTACTCGTATGAATGCATTACAAATTTCCTCAGCATGAGAAATCAAATTTGTAATGCAGATTTGCCTTGGGAACAAGATTTGTAATGCAAGAGTTGCATTTATACGAGTGCGATACTCTTACTGAGGATAGCGGTGACCGGGAACACAAATTGCGCCTATCAACTGCAAAAATGTCTGATTCTGGAAAGTTGTGATGCTAATGTCCGAATGATACCCAACTACCTCTATTAGGGAGCCGCGCATGACAAGTTTCTGAGCGGCTATGTCTAGCGTGAACCGCATGACAAATGGCCTTTTGGCATGACAAACAGGTGGCACTGTAGCGCACCAAGCATGACAGACCTTTCTGTCTTGTCGGCCAAGCATGACAGACTTGCATTCTTCCAGACCCAGACATATTTGCAATACATAGCGCCACTGCGCACACGATTCTGTCCGGCATGGCGGTGCCGGCGTTGATTCTGGGCTACATGTGCTACCACGTGTCCGTTTCGCTCGATGCGGTACTAAAAATGTCCTACGGGGACATGATCACGAGTCAGTCGGCCTACTTTACGAAAATGAACGCGAAGGCGGCGATCGTGAAGTCTTATCCACGGATCATCAAGATTCTGTTCGTCACGATGACCCTGATGACCTTTTTGTTCGTGGTCATCGGCTTTCAGAACTGCGGCAACGCCGGCGAGTGCTACAACTCCGCGACTGGGGAAGGGTCGGAAACTGCGCCGATGCCGACGTGGCTGGTGGCGCTGGACGGGTGTGCCATTCCAGGATCGTATCCTGAGTAAAAACGTACCCACACCAGAGTTGTAATGCAAATCTGCATGCTGAAAATGTTTCTCATGCGGAGCCCCATGAGAAGCATTTTCTAGTCGTGTTTTGCAATTTGTCATGCTCCAATCAGAGTGGTATGCTAGATCTGTGATGCTGCTGAGCTAGCTCAAACAGCACTACACTACGAATCCAAATTTGTCATGCAAAACAGCCAAAACTTGTGGATTTGTCTAGCCGATTCCCCATCTTGACCACGTTGTGGGTACGTTTTTACTCAGGATAGATCGGGCAACATGTTTTACATGGACATGTTTATCGCCGCGTCTTTATCCTGAGTAAAAACGTACCCACACCAGAGTCAGGATGGGGATTTTGCAACACAAACCTAGGAGTTTTGTGAGTCACGCATGACAAGTTGCACTCTGTAGTGTGGTGCAGGTTAGCAAGTGCAGCCGCGTCACAGATTCATCTGCTCATCCTGTTCACAGCATCACAAATTCCAAAACACGGCTGGAAATGGCTCTCATGCGGATGCGCATTACAAGTCTTCCTGTCTTCGCAAATCTGCATTACAACTCTGGCGTGGGTACGTTTTTACTCAGGATAGTCTTTCTGCTTCTGGCTGATGATGAGCGGACGGCGATCGAGGCAAGAGCAAGTGATGCCACCGCATTTGTATTATCCCCCGCCGTATCAACTGCAAAAGTGTCTGGGTCTGGAACATTGCTAGGTTTGTCATGCATCTTCTGGATCACCGACAACTGGTCCCTAATGTACGCAAAAGCATTTTTACAGGTTTTGCGCAGGCTTCCTGATGTCTAAACCGCATTAGAAATTCCCTATTTGCGTAGCAAGAACTGGGAAGCTTTGGGTGCTTATGCAACACAAATTTTTGCATTTGCCTGTTCCAGAAATCGCATTACAAGGTCTAATTCTTGCAGACCCAGACATTTTTGCAATCCATACGCCGTCCGGGGGCGGTTTCGATGTTGCAAACTCGGTCGGATTCCTGGACACGCTTGCACCTTGAAAATAGATGAAAAATCCTGCGATCAGAGTTTCTTCACTCTTAAAAAGAAGACGTTTCGATGGAAAAAGACGCTCTTGATTCCGGTCATACGACCTGGTGACCACGACTCCAGGGTGGGTCATTTGTTTTCATTTCCCGTTCACCTCTGTTGTTCTTCTTCTTCGCCTCCTAAGCAGGAGTTCATCAACAAAAAATCACAAACAAAACACGAGAAGACCGACGAAGACTGAGCGCTACATCGTGCTGCAAAGCGGGCATTTAGCTGTAGGGCAGTAGTTGCGAATGATGTGAACAGAAGATCTCACGGGCAGCTCTCAACGCGACCCCTCCGAGGTATAAAGCCATGGATGAGGAGTGAAGACCTGGAGTTATTGAGGGCGGATTTTCAATGTTCAATATCAATTTGCGAGGTCTATTCAAAAGAGAGACGCAAAAGCAAAAGTATCGTGTAGCGTGATAGCAGTGTCAAGAAGGATGATGAGATCAGGACCGGACGATTTCTCTTCCGGTTGGTAGAAGTTGATTGCACACAGGAGGAAAGGCCCCTGCCTAAAATTCGAACCACGTCCACCGCACCCACGGCAATATGACGGTCGCGGTCGAGGCAGAAGAGCTCCTTCGGGACCTGTCCCGCACGCAGATCTCCGAGTTGCATGACCGGTATGACAGGTGTGAGGAGCAGCTGGCCGAAATGCGGGAGAAGGCGAGGGATAGCATGGTAGCGAGGAAAAAGTACATCGAGGTAAGTACGCGAATACTAAGTAGAAAGAAGACAGAGTAGCTTTTTGTCGTGCAGAACTACTTTTTTTTACCTCAATCACAGTTTATCTTTTCGTACAAAAGCTGTAATTGTACTTGCTTATGTGCGATCATTTTTTCCATTTGTCGGCTAAGAGGCAAAGAAGTTTCCCACTACACGCAATTTATCAGAACCTGAGCGACCGGCTTCTGGATAAGAGCGAAAAGCTCACGGAGCTGCGAGCGGCGCAGACTGCTGGGGGCGGGTTGGCAGGTATAATAGATAGAGCGGTCGCGGTTTTTGTCATGCTGAATGCCAACTTGCAATTGCATTTTGCTTGTCCTGCAAAAATAATGCGTACGTTCTTACACGCAATCCGAGTTGTATCAAAAAATTTCAATTTCTCGTCATATCCCAGAAGCCTCCGAGAACAACAACAAGCACCTGAACGACCTGACCCGCGCGGCCTCCATGCAGACCCTCCTCCGCAGTGAAATCCTGCGCTACGAGCGCACCACCGACACGGCCGACGCGCATTCCCGGGAGAACTTGCGGCTCGTGCGGGAACTGTTCCAACACAGTCTGAGTCTGCACGACCAGCTGAAGAACGAACTGGAAAGAGCGGCGGAGAAAGAGGAGCAATGGAAGCAAGAAAAACTATTTCTGGAGCAGGAATTCGAGAAACAGAAGGAAAACAACCGGAAATTGGTCAAAGAGCTGCAGAATGCTTGCGAGGAAGTGGCGGACCTGGAGAAGAAATCGTGTGAGACCGGGGAGGAGATGCACGAGAAATTCACGAAGTTTTCCGAGCAGAACGTGCATATGCTGTGCAAAAGTATCGTACTCGGACCAATCGCAGTCCTGCATGACAGATCTGCTTTCTTACCTAATTTTGCATTTACAAATTCCAGGTTTCATCTTGAAGAAATTTGTCATGCGATTTATACTAGTGCGACGCTTTTGCAATGCATAGTGCAGCAACTGGAGCAATTGGAAGAAAAGTATGTGCAGAAACTGACCGACTTGAATGAGGATTGGCAGTTGGAAATGAAAAAAGAAAAGCAGGACCGCGCGCGGGAAGTCAGTGAAATTCTAAGTGAAAAACAGCAAAAAATCGCCGAACAGGAGGCGCACTGGACCCGGGAATTTCATACTCTGCAGACAAAACTGCAAAGTCAAAAGAAGGACCACGCGAGAACCCGGGAGGAACTGAAAAGCAGTAAGGAAAGGGAGAAAGAGCTGAAGAAGCAAGTCGAAGAGCTGAAGCAGATAGGAAACACGCTTGAGGAAAAATTATCAACAGCTCGAAAAGAGTCGCAGTTGTTCAAAAAACACGCACAAGACTGGCGGAACCGCGTGGAGAGTTTACAAGCTGTCGGGGGGTACGGGAAACGTGGGGAGCGGAACGCGGATCAGTTTTTACTGGTGCAGAAGCAAGTCAGGGATTTGCGGGAGGAGTTGCACTTGCATCAAGCAGTCAGAGACATTACCCTACAGGAATACCAGCTGAAATCGATTCGGGATGCGGCTACGGCGGTGCCGGCGTACCCTGCCTTGGGGGTGGAACCATCAGCATGTGCAGCTGGCTTTAGTACCACCACTTCTGCCAACGATAATTTATTCAATATCGCCGATAGTACCACGACGCCAATCGTCGCCGCGGCACCGACGTCGCCTGTGACAGCACGGACGAATTTGCTCAAATCAGGACCGGTCTACGTGCCAGGGCAGCAGTCCCAGTCCTCGCAGATGATTACTACACCTGCGACCTCCGGAGCATTACCTTTACCGGTGCCGAGTGCTACAACTGCTGCTTCTGTCGGTGAGGCGACCGGGTATAGAGACCAGTTTTTGGACCCACTATTAACCTATTGCGCGAAGAACGAATTGCGGCAGGAAGAAGAGCAAGTCGTCGCATCATCTTCTGCTGCTGAACCACAAGAAGGGCGAGGGCCGACGACGACGAGCGGCAAAACATTAAAGCACGAAGACGAAACGTCGTCGCTCGAACACAAATTGAACGTTGTTTCCACAGGGAAGGAGGTTTTGGAGCTGCGCGAAAACATTCTGGAGCTGGAGATGCAGAAACTGAGGCAGGAAGTCGTGGAAATGAAGAGAACAGCAAATGCAAATAACAGCGGCGGCGTGCCGCAGCGTCCACCACTTGTGCCTCCTGTTGCTGAAGTGCTAGACGATCCGCTGCCAACAAGCAGGAGTGCACGACCCCCTGCCTCACCGAGTGGCGCTGCAAGGGATGAGCAACCAGGTGGACATTTGCTTCCAACAGGAAGTTCTTCAAAAACGACGTCGAAGCCGCCAGTAGACATATCCGGTTGGAAAGCCTACATGTCTCCACCCGGGTTTATCGGCTTCCCGAACTGCGATCCGTCAAAGTCCTCTGCTTCACCGGGACAAGACGACCCGACAAGTACTTCTGCGGATCCACAAGTTGCAGCTCTGCAGCGGGAGCTGGCTGCGAAAAATGCAGAGTTGCAAGCATTGCGCGAAGGAGCGTCGAAAGAACGGACAAAGGTGAAAGTCGGCACGGGCGCTTCCGCGCCATCCTCATCTAGACGCCCAGCAAGCAGTACTGGGAGTGCGGGTGCTGCTGTTTCACAGCCACTGTCCCGCATACCCGGAGCCACACAGCAAATGACGAGCGAGCTGTCCAATTTTCTGGGACATGATGTTCATGGGTCGTCCTCTCCGCGAGGATATATCCCTCGTGCAAGTTCGCCGCCAGCACTGAGCGCGACAACGCCGGCGACGACGATCCAACAGTCGCAGCTTTTCAGGCCGAACACCGGGACAACTACAACAGCGATCACGACGATGATTGGAAGGAAAGAAACCTACAACCTGGACACGCCGGCGCTCTTCCGTCCGCCGGGAAGAGGAGCAGGACCACATCAAACAGGTTCAAACCCAGTACAACCGACGTTGAGCAGTACTAGTAGACCCCCGGTCTGGGCGAGAAAGACCGCGAGCTCGCGCTCGAAGCAGACCTCAAAGCACTCGAACGTGGATCCATTAGACGTGGTCGTCGCCGCGGGGGGAGCTGCGAACAGTAGCAAGAAAACCACTGCTGCTGGTGCAGTGACTCAAAGTAGAACTGTTGCTCTTGGTGCAGCTCCCTCTCCGAATGGGACGACCGCTGGACAAGAACTTCAGCAGGTTTACTTCCCGCCCGGTCCCTCCGCCGTGGACGACCTCGCGTCCTCCGCGTCTGCGCAGGCAAGGCAAGGTTCGAAATTATCCTCTCCCGCCGGCCCGGGCACGAATGCCGCCCGCGCGGTGATGTACCGGCTGCAGGGCCCGGATGAGTTACTGCAGCAGCTGGACGGGGGGGGACGTGCTGGGACTACAACTACACGAAGTTTGTCTCCACGACAACACACTGCTCATCAACGTGGGAATTCCAATCCGCCACCGGCTGGAGGAACATCAAAGCCCAGACTATCTTCCACCATCGGACTGATGCCCATGCACCGGAACAGGTTCGTTGCTGCAGAAAACAGTAGCGGCTCCGCAATTGGAACCAAGATGCGACGCTCGTGGGAGGGGCCCGTTGCACCGTCTGCAACGAGCAGTCCCCGCCTGCAATACGACACGAAGCTCGGTGCAACCGTGATCGTTGCAGACATGCGGTCTAGCGGAACAATATCTGGTGCCAGTGCCTCCTCCCGCCCCCGTGCGGGAAGCCATGGCGCGAACATGGAGAAGCAGCCTGCGTTCGTCTCTCATTCCGCGCGGCTCATCCCTCGCACGTCAGCCACAATTGCGCAGCTGCAGGGGATAAACAGAAGGGCGCACAACAATAATCCGAATTCAAGCAGCCGATACAACAACTCTTCGGCCAGAGACGATGCTGGAGCTCCTGCTGCTGGCGGAGCAAGTACCTCATCTAGAGTACCGGCGGGGACGCACATTCGCCTGCCAGTGCCCCTGTCTGCCGCAACGACGCCGCTTGGTACTTCTATGGGCGCTGGTCAACATCTTTCAGCAGTGCCTACGTCTTATCCTGTGCACCAAACGTATCGTACTCGTATGGATGCAACTCTTGCATTACAAATCTCATTCTCAAAGCAAATCAGCATGACAAATTTCATTTCTCATGCGGAGGAACTTTGTAATGCAATTACCACTAGTACGATAGTACAAAACTTTTGCAATTCATACGTCTGCGCGAGAGTCCGCCCTCCGCGATTCGCTGAACGAAGAAAAGTGGAAGTATCGGGTGCAAAGGCAGGAGTTGCGACAATTGCAGGAGGAGCTGGCACGACGCGACCGCTTTCAGCACAGGCTTGGAAGGGAGGTGCAGCGGAGGCCGTATTGTTCCGAAGAGGACGAACTATCGTGAGAATGAGGAAGGATATTGTAGACTTTTGTGCGTCGAAATCTAAATCAATTTACCAAAAAGGGCAAGAACACGCAGCTCATTCGGTCAACGATTATGTCACCGTCACCAGGTGCTCGCTTTGACGCCTGTACATCGCAGAGGCACATACGTTGTATTTTTTTACGTTGTATTTTTTTCAAACTTCCGGAAGATGCAACCGACGGGCGTTCTTGAGGGATAGTGACGGAGTTGGGCTGCATGCTGGTGTGAGAAACAGGGTTTCATCACATGATTGGCCGCACCTGCAAATAGGTTGCGCACGATGAGAAGAAATACCTGAGAGAAAGTTTCACCCACTCTTTCTCATTATCCAAAACCGATTTACCTTGCAAAGAAATGCAAAGTGGATGAAAAAGAAATAGAATATCAAATATCATAATCAATTTTTATTTTTTGAGACAAGAAATCCATTGAAAACCAATCGCCTAGGGCAAACTTGCTAAGACGAACGAAGAACAGCTTGCGGGAGCGCGCTTCTTGCGTTTCACAGCTTCGGTTAGGTGCAGAAAAGTAGCGTTGCCACATGTAGTTGAGAACTTGATAGTCGGGTCTTACAGTGTCCGCGTGTAGTTAGTTCGTTTCATTGCCCATAGATGAAATTGAAAACAGATGAGGATTTGTACCAGGACAATCTGTCGGACCGCGCGGTTGGCTCATCCAGCAATTCCGAGCACATTTCCGGCAAAAGTTCAAAGACGACGTTGGTGCCCAGCGTCCAGACCAGCAAACCAACTCGGGACCTGATACTGCAAGAGCAGGATCATGATCCTAAACTTGGACCACAAGAAAACATGGAGAACACGACCCAGAAAAACGGCGTCGAAAAGCAGCGCAGCGAGGTGTTTTTTGCCTCCTCGTCCCGGAAGCGGCGACTATCCGACATCCCGGCGGTTGGCGTGAAAAAAACGCTGAGCAGGGGCAACACCGGGCACCTGTCGAGCAACCTCGACGTGCTGGCGTCTTTGCAGCAGAAGGCAGCGAAGCAAAATGAACAGGCGCGGGCCGTGGCGGAAAAGGCGAGATCGGAGAGTCGGCAGGCCATGGTGAGTAAGCAGAAACACCAACCGGAAGTTTTCTCACAGCCTCTACTCCATCCCCCGCGCCAGGTCGAAGTGGTGCCGTCCTCTGGTGGCGAGTCGCAAGTGGAGGTAGCAGGAGCTGTCGGCCCATCGAAGAACAAAATTTCCTCTGCGCCTACAAATAGGTCCACCCAGCCCGGGATGGCGTTTCAGCGGGACAGCCTGACCGCTCGGCAGAAGACGCTCGCCGCTGCACAAGTGGGAAAACAGTTGCAATCTCATCCGTTTTTCGATGCTGAGTTGCAGGACGCGCCGGAGGAGCCGATGGGCGACCACGTTATGTTTGGTCGAAGCTCCAACTCCTCCAGCAAAAAGAGCACCAGCAGACCGTCGAAAGGCACGGTTGGAGGGACGAAAGGGAAAACGAAAGAGAAACTGGTTGACAACCCGGCGAAAATGCGAACTTCCTCTTCCATTTACATAGACAGCCAGATCGCGGCCGCCCGGGCACAGAAAAAGCAGGAGATGGCCTTGCAGAAAATGTTGCGAGCCAGTAGTAACGGGCAGCAGGTGGAACAAGACGCGTTCGAACAGGATCTGTTTTTGCAGAGTCAACGCGCCAGCAAGGGGAAGGACCACGGTAGTAATGCGGTTTCAGCGACGGAGATCGAGATGAAGAACAGTCGTAAGACCAAGCGAAACACGACCACGAAGGCAAAAAAGCGCGCCTACTCGGAAAAGGCGCTGGAAAAAAAGATTCACAACGACTTGGAAAAGCGGGTTGCGCACTCGGTGACCGATTTCTCACCGAGTCCGCGGGCTGCAGGTTGGAACGTCAGTACCCACGTGCCCACGGAGGACGAACTCTTTCGGAGGAGAGTGCATGAGATCACGGTACAAGAATGAAAGTGTTTTGATCATTCATCCACCGACTGAATTTACTATGCATTTAGATTTGATTTCATTCTCTTTCTGCATGATCTCAAACTCAAAGCCTACTTAATTACATGTCTATCACCACAGGGCCTCGCGCGGCACACGAACCGGCAACTGTCTACCAAGCAACTGCAGAAGTCGCCCAGCCCGCCCCCCACCTGGCGAGAGGGTTTACGGAGCGAAAACCATGCGGCGTCTGTTCCCGCATGGTCGGGAAGCAGGAGGCTGGGGACATCAAATAAAAGCGCCTCTCCTTCACCCAGAAGCAAAACGGGGCCAAGGAAGAAGACGAGCAAAGACCATGCTAAAGCCACAGCTGGGTCGACGTCCTCGCACAGCAAACCGGTCCTCGAGCGGAGGTTCGCTGCGCCGCTGACAAGGGAGCCGCGGGGATCCCCATCACATCAGCATCAGGCGGCGGGGGGAGCGGAAAATGCAAATAATAATGCGGTGATCATGTCTGATAATAAAGTGAAAAACATCAAGCGGCAGTTGATAGAAATCAGGGAAGTAGAGTCGCTTTCCCCGGAGTTGAAGAGCCGAAGTAACCACACTACGACAGGGAGAAGCAAGAGCCCCCGAGGAGGTGGAACATCAAACAATCAGGCAGCGCCAGAACTCCTGAAAAGATCATCGCTTTCGCCACATCAACCGCTGGAAAAGTTTCCCGGCGTCCTCGAGTCCAGCTCCGCGACCAGCATGGCAGATGACCGACAGCACCTGCTCATCTGTCCCCCCGGTGAACCCCGTATCAGTCCGCCAGCGAAAAGCTTCTACGACGCCAGGACTTCCGCGATGATTCGGGAGATAGGCTCTACCAGCACGAGCACGCAGAATTTGAATTACAACGGACCACGACAATCGCAACTGCAGATGTTAAACTCATCATCTTCTCCTAGCGGTACAGGTACTACTATTGTCCAACCCGTCGTCACCCCACCGCAACAGCAGTTCATTCGCATGGAGGGCGTGGAAAGCCCGGGAGTTGTGCCGCCGGAAAAACGGAGATCGTCGCGAAACAAGTCCAGGTCCCCAGCAAGGTCGCCGCCGCGATCCCCGACGGCGAACTATGCTGTTCTTTCTGGAACGAATACACAGACGCAGCAGCAGCAGCGGAGGTCCTCGTCTGTGACCAACGCAAGCCCCGGCGGTGGCCAACAGCAAGATGCTGAGCAGGCTTCGTACCTCTCGAACCAAAGGAATCTGCTTTTGTCCCCGCAGCGCGCAATGGCGTTGATGGACATTAACAATCCAGCACTACAACAGCAGCAGATGCAGATCATGAACAACATGAACTTGAATTCCAACAATAATTACCAGAGGCAGCGAGCGGACACGGCGACGACTTTTTTCTCCTTAAATGGAGGGTTCAACAGCTCCACGAGTTACGTGACGCCCTTGTCCACAACTGGAAACACGTGGTTCGGAGGTGCTGGAAACAACAGTGTGGGAACGTCGGCACCGCCACAGCCGGTGGCAACGCCGGCTGCTGGATCAGGCCCGAATGTCCAGCCCTCACCTCCTTCGATGGGCGGCAACATGATGAACAACCGGGTCCGCGCTCCCAGTGACGAGAGGGTGAGGACGGGGTTGCTGCAAGCCCCACCAATTACCGGGACGTTTTCCACGGCTGCGTTGCCACTACCGGCGTCCGCGGTCAAAGAGCAGAAGTTTCATCATGCGCAGCACCTCCCGGGTGGCAATAAAAGCCCTATTTCCCCTGCCAGTTCCTCTCGGCCGGAGTCCCCGCGGAGGTTGAACGCGTTGCAACCACCATCGTTGCTGGAATTAGTCCCCGGGAATCAACAAAGCCCGGCCGTTGCACCTCCTCAGTTCTTACCGCAAACGGTGCTTCCTCAACAGGTAGAACTACCACAACAGCCGCACTTAGCTGCTGTCCTAGCATCACAAAATAAGTCTTCTACTTCGCCGAGTGATTCGATGCCGAGGCAGACATCGCCGCCGCTGCGAGCAGCGAAAAGAGAAGACAATCAGTCGCCGCGAGGGCTTGCTGGGGGCAAGCAGTTCATGCAGCAAACGAAGGCGAGCCAAGCGCAGATTAGGGTACAGGTTTTATAGGGGCTTGTTTTGTGTCAATTTTCTGTTTCTCCCGTGTGTGGTTAATGTGTGCTGGGCAGTTGTTCTTGGTGGACGTCGTGTAGACCGCTTCTGTTTCCGGTTCGTCCTTGATCTTGATTGTGTTGCACCATAAATTTTCGTCAGGCATCAACTCCGCCTGCGCCAATCCTTACCCAGCCTGGTTCGCAGCAGCAGCCTAGCCCAAGTAGGCAGAGTAGAGCTGGAACGAGAAAGGAGGAGAGTCAAGCCGAAACAAAGTCGAGATCTCTCACCGCGGCGGCGGAACAACAGAACAAGAAAAAAAAACAGTTCATCTCCACATCCCGCTCCTTATCCGCCCGCGACGATTTTTTGCCACCACCGCGCGCGAGGTCAAGGTCGCCCTCGCCAATACTACCCGAACCGCTGACCGCAGAGGAGATGCAAAAGCGGAAGGAAAAGAAGCTGGAATTAAAACAAAAGCAAGCCGCCGCGACCGCGAGACTGGCCAGCCGCGGTTCGCCGCGAGTGCGAAAGACGAAACGGGTTTTGGCAGAAAGGGAAGAGTTGGAGGAGAAGAGAAGAGAATTGGAGGAAGCGGAGCTGTTAGTCGCGCAAGCGAAGGTAGAGGCAGTGAAAAGCGCATCGAAATTGCAAACGGCGTTCGGCAGAGTCGTGTCGGAACAAGACCAAGAGGACGATATGGTGAATAAAGCTGCAGCCGGACCTGGTGGTGGTCTACATCTTGGTGGTACCACTGCGGCGACCGCGAGTGGAAGCAGATCGCCATCGTCAACCCCAAAACGATTGAAGGTGACGTCAAGCGGTACACCTTCTGCAGAACACGCGAAAAGCAAGCCAGCCGCGGGACACCATCTTCAAGTGGGACATGTGTTAGCTGAGGTTGCAGCTACAGGAGCGGCTGCAGCTAGTAACATCAAGGTTGTCCATGTTCTCGACGCACCGCAAGGATTGTTACCAGTATTCGGGGGAGGAAGTACAAGCAAGGTGGAACATCTTTTGAAACCTGCTGCCACGGTTCCAGGGGCGGGTACAGCTACGAAGAATTCCTCCGGAAGCAAGAAAGCGTCGTCTCCACGAGGACAGGCCCCGCCTACGTCAGCAATTTCCACAGGTACGTCTCAGGAGCCCCACTACCGGAGCCCGCTCCAGCACGAGATCCGGAGGCATGTCAGCGCGTCGAGGAGCCGGAGCCGAAGCCCAGGTCGTGCGACGAGGACCCTAGTGACCGATCGGAAAGTGAACTCGCTGGACATCCGGCCGAGCAAGGACAGTCTGGCTGGTTCTACTTCTTCACAATTTGGACAACTTCCTCACGACGGCCAACATCATATACAACGGCATCCACATCACGATCACCCCCCTGGAACGAGCGGAGCTGCAATGGTCCAGCCGCCGGGCGCAGGACTGCATCACCAGCAACCATCAACAACAACTCGAGACCACCGTGTTGTCGTCATTCCCCCACCTCCACCTGCAACGACAGTCCAGCCCATTTCGCAATTCCGCATCTCCAGATCGAACTCCCCGGTGGAGAGAAATCGTGATCAACCAGAAAACATAAACAACAATAAGACCCCATCAGTCACTGATCAGGCGATTGAGTTTCCGATTTTCAAAAACGTGCAGAAGGTCGAATCCCCCCAGTGGCCGCATTCCCCGCAGCCCGTCCTGCGCGACCACGTGGTTTCCAGCGTGAAGGACTTCCGGGCCAAGGCGAGTATCACCAGCTGCACATCGGGGCCACGCTCCCGGAGCAGAAGCCCTTCGCAAAAAAGCAGTCCGAGCTCGCCGCCGGTGGTGATCCCAGGGTCGACCGTGGTGGCGAAGGGAAGTGTCGGGGTGCACGGGCATCATGGTGGTCCTCTTGTTCACCGCGGCGCACCGGTATGTGATGACTTTTGTCGTGTTTTTATACATGATGAACATGAAAAATCTTCTTGTCTAATATGCGGCTGTGACTCTGCATTTTCATAATTTCACTCTTTCACTTTGGGTTTACCACCCACCAACTTTTGTTTGTTACAAACCACACGACCAGGCAGCGGAGCGTAGCGACGTACTGCACCAGCACCCAGGTCGTGAACACCTTCAAGCACGTGAAGATCATCTACTTCACAATGTGCGTCATTCCGTGGCGTCGACATCCGGGCGGACCGATTCCCTCCCCGCGAACACGACTTTCCTTCCGATTGGGCCGGAGGAATCGTGGTCGATTCGGGACGAAGTAAGTCTGCTGAACGAGATCGAGGGCGTGCTGGATTCGAACAAGTCCCGCATAGAAGAGATGCTGGCCGACCCAAACAAGGCAGCGGAGTACACGCTGCGGAACGGAAATTTGGTGCGCGACCCGGAAGCAGAGGATAAAATCATCGACGTGCGCGCGAGTCCGACTAGTGCGAGGATGCACGTGACGATTAAGCGGAAAGGGGACGAGGAGCAGCGTGTTGAGACAGCACACTACCTTCATCCTCCAGCTGCGTTGACGTCGTCGCGTCCGCAGTCCGGGCGGTCCTCGAGATTGCCGTCTGCCCGCGCTTCGTCCGCTCTCGACGAGGAGGCGGCCTCGCTGCAGGAACAGTGTGCCTTGCAAATATGTCTGGGTCTGGAAGATTGTGACACTTCTTATGCTAGTTTGGCATGACTCCGAACTCTGTATTGCGTGGCCACGAGGACCTCCTCTTGTCTATCATGCAAAAACGAGGTTTCTCATGCGGGATACGCAACACAGAGCCACGAGAAAATCTTTTAATGCTCCTTGGCGGTGCATTACAGTGCGCTTCCTGTTCACTGACATGCATTACAAGTTTCCAGACCCAGACATATTTGCACTTGATAAGCAGAAGCAGATCGCGATCTCGGCGCTGCGGAACATTCGGGCGACACTGAGTCGGGCCCGGGGGTCGAACCCGAAAGTAGAGCAAAATCACAGCGTACAGTCAGGCACTTCCGCTGGTGCGGCTGCATATGGTTCATCTGTTAGGCGAAACGCATCGAATAGTACGAATTCGCAGCACTACAACGTGGTAGGTGGAGGAGCCGGTGGACATCATCTTCACCAGTTGCATTCATCGGGAGGAGCTGCAGCAGGTGGACCACTTCTGCACCCACATATTAGCCAGGATATCTCTGTGTCCGCCATGGAATCGCCAATTGTCAACATCGGAGGAGGTGGACATCTCCATCATGGAGCAGTCGTGCCACCACAACACCACCTCCAGTCCACTTCCGCCGACAACGACGCGGACAACGTCTTCCGCCACGAATTTTCGAAGCGGTTAGAGCTCCACTCGAACTTGATCAAGTCTCTCCGCAGTTCGCTCGGGTTCGCGGAATCGGATCACAGTGTGTCCGCGGAAGACGGGGAGTGGTCGAACGCGGTCACATATGAGAGTGCACAACTCCCCCTCCCCCTCATTTGTGATGCAAAAACCCAAATCCACATCTTGTCTGTAAGCACAGTGAGCATGACAAATTTTGGAACCACAAACAGCACTACAATCGTCCGTGTGTAGATTTGTCATGCGCAGGCCCCATTTGAGCTGGTGTCTGTATTGCTGCTCATACCATACAAATGAGGGGGAGGGGGAGTTGTGCAATCTCATATCACACCCCGCGTGTTTCCCGAGCAAGCATCGTCTACTTCCGGAGGTGGCGTTTTTCCGGTCACGACTGGTGGACCTGCAAATTCCGGCGGGCCGCTGCTTTCCCCCCGGCACCATGGCAAGATAAAGGTGGTCGCGGTCGCACACGAAGCTGCGGTGGCTTCCGCGCCCGTCGTGCCGCTCTCCGCGACCGCGACGGCACGACAAAGCTCGGCTTCGGATACAAATGTTGCCAGAAACAAGCAGCTTCCGACAACTAGTACCCCCGGTGGATCCGGAGTCACGAATATCCGTCCGATTATGTTGGACGTGAAGTCTACTTCCGTGGGAGATGAACAGCACCTCCAGGGTAGTAAGAACAACACCACCTCCTTCTACCCGCAGGCCCCGCTGACGGCACGGACCTCCTCCGATGCGGCGGTAGTGACCGATGCAGAGGGGGTTCTTCCTGGAAATCATGCTGGGGGCGTGTATTTACCCACGCCGGGTGGATCGGCTGCTGGTGCTGTTGGGGCAGCAGGAGTTCCAGCAGCAGGAGCGGGATCTTCGTCAGCTGCAGCGATCAACATGGTCCCCACGACCGGGGGTGCATCTTCGAGTGCCTCCCCGCACAGTTCTTCGCAGCAGCAAATATCTCTACAAGTTCATCATCCCACTGAAGTAGGCCAGATGAACGTTGTTGACGACGAAGCCGCCGCGGGGACCGGAGGGACGGTGGTGGAGGAGGCAGGGCCCTCTTCCAACACGGCAGCCTCGCCGAAACAGCAACAGGAACGGTTTCTGTTCTACGAACCCGAGAAGATTGCGCAGCGAATGGCTTATTTGGAGGACCTATGGATTGCAAATATGTCTGGGTCTGGAAGAATACAAACTTGCGATGCGCATTTCAGAACACAGAAAAATGTCTCATGCATAGGTAGCAAAAGCTGCCCACTTTCTGTCATCAAAATAGGGGATTTGTCATGCGGATTTGGCATTGCGGAAGCTTCTCGAAACCTGTGATGCTGGAGCTTCCATGCCAGACCTTCTGTGTCATGCAAAAACAGCATGACTCTTCCAGACCCAGACACTTTTGCATTTGATAGGGCCGAGTCAGCCGGTTCTGCAACGGGGAGGACATTTCGCCGAGAAAGCCGGCGACGCACTGGGAAGAAGAAGAGGGGGAGGACATTATAGACGGTGCTGGCGGCATTCTTGATGCAGGTAACAAGAATAGGACCAGTAATCATAGTGAAGGTCTTGTTGATCTTGTCCCACCACCTCTTTTTCAGTCGCAGAACAAAGAGGTTTTTACTAGTGCCGCTGCCGAATCCGGCTCAGTCCCACGACAAGGGGGTTTCGGATCTAGCATCACCACAATCGCCGGCGACAGCGCAGCGCACAGTGCAACGACCGCCGACTGCACGGAAGAATCGACAGCGATCATTCTACAGCGGCTAGCCGCACAGGAAGCATCCTCTTCCTCGTCTAGCGAGGTGTTGGATCATCACTACGGTCAGGCAGGGCCGCACGACCCACGACATGTCACCGGCATAATACCAACGTGTGACGGCGGCACTGGAACAGGTATGGAGGAGGGGAATCCTCAACTAGAAGGACGACAGTACTACAACTCTGAACAAGAAGAGCAACAAATGTTAAACCAGAACTGGCACCAGGCGCAGACTGCGCAGGAGGGACTGCCGGATACCCCCTGCTCCGCCTCGGTCGAGGAGATTTTGCGATCCGGGGCGGCCGGCCCAGACCCGGCGGTGCTATCAACTCTCCGGGAAATTCGGCAAGGCAACTTCACTCTGGAAGGCCATCTTCTCGTGGCACAGAATCTGCATCAAGGACCAATTGGTGTCCCACCATCGGCGCAAGGAGTAGACCGACAGCAAGTTGTTTCTCAGCCCGCGCCACAGGGCGCGACCCAGCCGCAGTTCCTCCCGCTGACCACGAACGACCTGATACCACGACCTGGAGTACATGTACAACCAGCAGCAGCGCCAACGACGACGACGCGCAATGTCTCTAGTTTTTCCCAGCGTTTCATCGATCCTTTGAATTCCCCTCCTTTGTCCAAAACCGGCGCTGCGCAGCAAAACTTTCAAATCGGCCCGCTCCCGCCAATAAACCCTGACCAGCTGTTCAGCCCTCGCGTGGCGCACTTACGGGCAACGTCGCCGCAAAGACTAAAGGTGGATGTGAAAAGCGCAGTCTCTTTGCCGCTGTCACCGAGACCGAAGTCACCAAGTAATGTGGTCAACGGTTTTGCGAGTCCGAAGAATTTGTTCGCTGGTCCTGGTTCAAATTCCGTCTCACCAGAAAAAGAAGCTTTAGATCCTGCGGGCAATGGCATTCGAAACCAGAATACAAATGTCGCGATGTCGGCGGCGCAGCTGCTCCGGATGCAGAAGGAGTGGGGACGATTGGCAGCCAGTACTAGTAGTTCCTCAACTATGCGGCGTGAGCAAGTGGTGCAGGAGGTCGAGGTAGCAGCAAACCAGGGATCTTCACAGCAGAAAATAAATGCCAGGGCGAACTCCCTTCCCATCGATTCCCCGAGAACGGTGATAAAAAAGGTCGGAAAGGCAGCGGAGGCGGCGAGTGCCCAGATTCAGGAACGAATGATCAAGGCCGGAGCTGCTACGACTTCTCCGATCATGCTGAGCCCGCGGAGCAACAGCAACTCCCGGAGCCCGGTGAGGGACGCGGCAGAAGATGCAGAGAACAAGGAGAACCAAAACTACCGCAGCCGAAGCGAGGGGGGACAGCACGGACGAACGGAGAATAATTCTTTATCGCATAACTTCTACACCGCCTCCACTAAAGCGAAAACAACTCTGCAACAGCTCGTCTTTGTCGGCCCGCCGGCGCAGCAGCGGGGGTTGAGCCCTCCTAGTAGGCTGGATTTTTCCGGGATGCAAACGTCGCCCCAATTGCGGACCCGCGCGCGTCCAGGGACGATGGTGGCAAGTAGTACTAGGAACAGCAGCACGGCTACTAGTACCAGGCCGGCGATCAGTGGTGCTGGAAATGGGGTTGTAGGTGGTAATGGAAACGCTGCTACAGCTACTTTTCCGCCGACGAGCGACGGGCCGGCTCCTGCACTGGCCGCTCCGCAGCAGAGAACTGGGGCGAGGGTAGCAGTGATGCAGAGCACCATGCCAGCTTTGCAACGCAGGGCGAACATCCCCGTCGCTGCACCCCCAAGTGCTGGACTACAGAAGCGTGGGCTTGCAATGACGGCGCCCGGAATTATGACGAGCAGTGGAGCTGCAGTGTCTGGTGGTGCTGCACAGGGAAACAAGACGCGGACTCGGATTATTCGTGCCACAGGGACCCGACGCTCGTCGGAACTGGACCCGGTCCCGGAAATGGACGAAGTTTAAAGCGAAAAAGCACGATGAACAAGTTGAACTTTTGTACTGAACAAAGAAAAAATTCAAAATGCTGAATGAGACAGAATCTGAATCTAAAACCAATGCGGTAGTATCATGTGGTGAATACCAACAATGTGAATGTAAACGAATCAATAGTACAATGCTTCAAATGCAACTTTTACATCATTTCAGAACGCACTGCAAACATCGAATATACAACAAATGAACCGGCATTAATTATCTGAGTTTTTGATTTAGTTTTTTTGGGTACAACAGCCATCTTCTATCAAGATGCTACCCTGAAATTGGCTTCAGCTAGTGGTGCCCTACTTTCTTTTAAGACCTTTTACACTGCATGGTATGTAATTGTTTCACATGTATTAAAAACGCAGAAATGTTTCACATGTAATTTCGCAATCGCAAGTCATAGACCTGGCGAAACAAGACGAAATATGGTGCTCTTTAAAACAACAGCACAAAACTTGTGTTTGTACGATAAACCATGAACATGTGCTGCTTGAATTTTTACAGTCCCACGACAAAGACTAAAACAAGGAATGGGCAACGAGATCATATCTCGTAGAAACAGCACGACGAGGACGAGGTCCTCGTCTTGTGTGAGAAACTGCTACAACAAGTACAAGAAACTATTTTGGAACGACCCTACGTACCACCAGAGAGCGTGAGTCCTCGTCGCAAATGTGAGCGTGATGAACTCTCGGAGCGCTATCAAACTGCAAGGGAGGGAATCAAAAAGCAAAAGAACTGAGAGACAATTGACTCGAGGAAACAGGAGCGAAAATTGCATCATCAAAAATGCTACTTCTGTCGTGGTTCGTTTTTGTCGTGACAGGACCCTATTCGAATTTATTTTCGGTAAAAACTAGTAATAGATTTTCATTTTTCTTCTCTTTTGGCGTACCTTACCAACTCAAGTGTATTGACTGATTTTTTTGCAGCATGCTTACTCTCGTCCCAACTCAAGAAAAACATGGAAAATAAAGCCTTTCAACCTGTTCTTACAAGTTCGTTTTTGCACCATCTTCGTTCTTCCTTTTCTGCAGCACAACAACGACCCGGCTTTTTTTCATCGCTCAACGTCCACGACATCGACGCAACTTTGTGCACCTGCTCCAGGATCACCTCCTCTCTCAGCGTGGTCTCTTTCCAGTCTCCTCAATTACGGATGGGGGTACTTGTTCCTACAGTTGGCAGCCCCGGGTTAGAAGAAGTAGCACCAGGAGTAGCAAGACTCGTGGGTGACCACGACTGGCCGCGTTGTAGTACCAGCACGTGAGCAGGCGGCCAACACGGTTGCGTGACAAAAAACCTCATATACGACGTCTCCCTCATCTCGATAGAATCCTCCACCGTCAGTGCAAGTAGCCATGGGCAAAAAGAAGAAGGAAGAGCAGACCAAGGACGGCGAGCCGCCGTTGCAAATCGGCGAATCCTACCGCGGGCTGCCGAGAGAGGTGAATGACCAGCTGCTCCGCGAGGCCGTCCCAACCGCCGAGGAGCTGAGGCAGCACGGCACGGCGTTCGCGGATACGAAGCGAGAGCAGGTCCGCGCGGAGCACGGACTCAAGTCCGTGTCCGATGAGAATCGAAAATATGAACTGCAAAAGTATCGTACTAGTAGTAATTGCAATACAAATTAGCTCAGCATGACAAATGGAATTTGTCATGCTGTTTTGCCTTCGGATGGAGATTTGTAATGCAAGACTTGCATTTATACGAGTTTAACGCTGGACCAGGCGGTGTCAAATTGAATTCAAAACGAATTCAAAATGAATTCAAAAAGTGGGCACTTTTGAAATGAGCCACATTCCGCGATGCCCTGGACTCTCAGCGGTTGCTGCCCCAGCAGCTTTTGGCGACCTGGTAGCGCCGCTGCCTGCTGGCTCATTGGCTCGGGGGACGGGCTCAACCCGAAGGGCTGCTCCGCACCGTACTAGGAGTGTTGCTGAATGATGACCGAGGGCCAGAGCGATGCGCTCTGGTTCACTTTCCGGCATACGCCCGCATCGCCTGCGAAGGGCGACGGCGCTCTGTCGTGGCTTACTATTTCGCGCCACTTTTGTGTAGCGCCTGTCTGACACTGGTGGCGGTTTAGTCATTCCCGCGGCCGGCGCTATTATTGGCTTTGGCACTCCGGGCAGGAACACTACAACAGGCCCGCACGGGCGCAGAAGGGGGCTGCGCTTGTTTGCGGCGCTAATTTGGGATCGGCGCAACAATTCTAAAGTTCATCGGGGAGTGGATCTCAATTTCAAAGTCCATCCGATCGACCGGCCCCAATTCAAACTCCATCCGGACGACCGGCCCCAATTCAAAACCCATCCGGACGATCGGCCCCAATTCAAACTCCATCGGGGCCATCGGGGCAAATTCAAAACTCATCCGAATTCTGTCCGAATTCCGTCCGAATTTTGTCCCCTACTTGGGTTCTTGATTCGGACGGATTCTGACAGAATTCGGATGGATTTTGAATTGGTGGGGGATGGGATTTTGTGGTCCGGGCCACCAGAGTTGTGCCTCCAGTCGACTTCACCTACCGAGACCAGCCTGGGCGATCTTGGGTGGCTGACCGCATTGGGAATCGCGGCCGGGGATGGCCTCGCCCCTGGCGGCATTTTGTCCACTAGCGTCACATGCAATATGCACAGGCTGACTTGCTTGAGCGCTCGCCGGGCCAAGCCGCGACCCCGACACCGAGGCCAGCCATGCTCCTAACCGCATGCGCCGGCCCCCGACGGTTTCCGGCATTTTTCCGTGGTTGGGCAGGGTCTTCTCTTATTACACCGGCAGCACCCCCCTGGCGCCGAGCCGGGTTTCAAGTCTCGCAAGTTAAGGCATGATAACAAACTTCGGCCGCCGGTCGAACCAAAGCGCGTTCGCCCCATTTCCCGGAAGCTCCTTCGCATGGTTGGATCCAGTTGCCGTTTCGCGCCTGGTCCGCTGGACCAAGCACAGGGCGCAGCGTTCGTGTGAAAGCGGCTACAGGCCGTTTTCTATGGCTGTCGCGCGCCGCATTTGTTTCGCCCGATTCGCCCCCTCGGAGGGGCGTTTTTTTGAAAATGCCAACTTTTTGAATCCAGTTTGAATTCCGTTTGAATCACGATTACACTCCGAGCGGTCTAGAGTTAATACGAGTACGATACTTTTGCACAGGATAGAAAACGCGACACTGCGATGTACTACCAGCCGATGCCCTATGGATGTGTCAGGATCGAAATTAATCGACAAAGTCGAAAAATTTGTGATGCATAAAATGTAGAGCACTGAAGGCCGGTATTGGGGAGAAGGCATCTGAGACCGATTGTAAGCCTGTTTAGGCGTATACAATGTGCTGCCAGAGTAGCATGACAGGAGCAGCCTTCTTTGCCCAAACAGCATGACAGACTGGATTTGGGTGCTCCCGAAATTTCTCATGCGCCACTTGGAAACTGAGGCTCCAACTGGCATCGATTTTGTGCATCACAAGTTTTTCGATTTTGCGAATTTCGATTCTGACGCTTCCATATGCCCGGGGAGGACGGCGCGGTTAAGCCGGTGCCGACGCAGGGAGAAAAAGTGGACCCCAGTACGGAGAAGGGAAAAGCGGCACCGCCAGCGAAAGCCCCGTCAGGGACGAACAAGATAACACCAAAGCCCCTCGATCTCCAAGCGGACTCCGTGCAAGCCCCGTTGGAACCAGAAACTCCCATGGCGGACCGGATCAACGCACACAAATCCGTGTCCCGGGCGACCACGCCGAAGGGGGAACACAAAAAAATCTCCGAAACCGCTCTGGATTCCATCTCCCAGCAGCAGCATTCCGGCGCGAAAAAAGGGGTTTTGAAGAAAGAGGAGTCCAAGGGAGCCAGTTCCGATCACGGTACCTCAGAGAACAAAACGGGGACCGGGGGCAGTTCCAGTTTCCGTGCTATCAAGGAGCGGACCGCAAGACTGAAGGAAGCCCGGAAGCAAGCCAGGATAAACACAGGGCTGACGGCCAAGGGAAGGTACGACCGGGTCATGCACCAGAGAAACGAAGGGAGAAGCTTTCGGAAGGTAAGATTTAGTAACTTTTGTATAGAGGTGTACACTTTTACGAATACTACCCATATCGAAATAGGCAGTACCTCGGCAAAACATTTGTAAACCACAAAATAATGCCAACATCAGGGAATGCCTATTCTGTCCGAGACCATTGAGTTCACCCTCGAGCGCATGAAGGACCACTACAAAGAGCAGGAAGATGCGGGAAAGATGACGAAACGCGCCCTCCGGGAGCGGCAGAAGGGCATCAAGAAGGAGAAGATTGACAAGAACAGCCTGGAAAAGATGTTCATGACGTTTCTCGCGGTCTTCAAGGCCATCGTCTTCCACCATGTGTTTCTACGCATGGCAAAAGTATCGTGCTAAGTAGTAATTGCATCACAAGTTGTTGGGTCGGCATGACAAATAAAATTTCTGATGCGAATTTAGCTTTAAGAAAGAGATTTGTATTGCATCTCTGCAATTCCAATTTACAACTAGAACTACTGCGAGCACGATCCTTAATTTGCAATGCATAGTTTCCGAACATAAATAACAACCTCGGCATGCGGATGATCTTCGAGCGGATTCTGCCCTGCATCGAATTCCCCCTCCACTGGCTCGCGGTGTTCTGCGAACCGCAGTTGGGGTACAGCATGGGACAGATGTGTCCCTACAACCCCGGCTACGACGAATCCGCCGACGCAATCGACCCCATCGAGGGCATCCCGAAGGGCGAGCCGCTCGTGGACACGTTTCCCTTCGCGGCGCCGGTCTTTGGCGTGCTGTTTCCGTATCTCTGCGTGTTCTGGGTGTGGCGGAGGGCGATTCCTTATGTTCGATTGCGGATTTTGTCGAACAAGTATCAAACTGAAAAATGCCGCCACCCCCGAACTTGGGAGCATTTGTATTGCAAACCTTTCCAAATGAAGCAGTCGCGTTCTTGTATCTATCAGCATCACAGATTTTCAATCGTGAAGAGCAAAAATTTGTATTGCAAAAGACCCCAGCAAGAGTGGCGCTTGTCATGCAAGTGATGCGATACATGACTAGACTCTGCATCAGAAAGATTCATACTTCTTTCATGCATGACAAAAAGTTTTCATTTGGAAACTTCGCGTCACAAGTTTTTGCGACTTTGGGCGTGGGGGCATTTTTCACTGTAATAACAAACACCTGGTGATCGGAATGCTTCTCTGCCGGTCGGTTCTTATATCAAATGCAAAAATGTTTGGGTCTGGAAGAATGGGCGATTTGTCATGCAGCTTTTCCATGACCCATGAGGTCTGGAATGCAGGGCCTAGCGTGACAGATTCTGCGCGATCTCCCTCATGCCTATCCTGCATGAGAAACTCCCTCCCGACTTGGTCAAAACTGGACGACGTTTGGGAATCATGCAACACAGATTTTTGCATGCTTCAGATTTAGCATGACAAGTTGGATTCTTCCAGACCCAGACATTTTTACATTTGATATCTCACCGTGAAGCGCAATCCGGCCTCGGTGCAAGTCGGTATGGGCGTGGATGGCGACGACGCGATGCTGACCACGTTCTCCTTAACCTCCTGGCTGATAATAGGACTGCCATTAGTGTATTTGATCGACATATCCCACGAAAAAACTGTTTCACTGTGATGGTTTTGCAAGATCCGCATCACAAGTTTGCTACACATGACACAGGAAATTTGCCATGCGCGCATTTTCCATAGGGGAAAACACGCTTGAAACTCCAATGTTCTATGCAGGTGTAGCAAGACAGATACTTCTGTGCTCCATTCTATGCATCACAAGTTCACAGTGAAACAGTTTTTTCTTGCGATGCGACACCATCATCTTCCTCTGCTTCTTCCCCTTCCGCGAGCCGCCGAACTTCTATGCAATGCAAAAGCATCGTACTAGTACAAATTGCATCACAAATTAGCCCAGCATTACAAATTGAATTTGTAATGCTAATTTGCCTTGAGAAAGAGATTTGTAATGCATATAATGCAATTAGAATTACTACCGGTACGATACTTTTGCACAGGATAACTTCCTCGCCGCGACCAAATTCTTCAAGGCGCAACTGATGATGATCTGCGGGAGCCCAAGTTTCATCCTGTTCGACGTGATCCTGATCACGAGCGAGGGCCCGGGAGGCCCAAGAGAAAAGACCTTCGCGATACTGGGACTCTTGGTCAGCATCTGCACGCTGTGGTATTTTATTTTATTCGGCAGTTCCTCTTTCGAATTCGAAGTTGCATCACCATGATCGGCAGCATTGCATGTTTCGTATACAGCTTTTCCCACCACTTCTGTCCATGCCGCTGGTCGTAATTGCCACAATCGAAACACCAGTACGGAAATGCTTAAAAACTTGAATTTTTCCTATCAGGTTCACCATCCTCCGCGTTTCTCAAGTTGCGTACCGCAACCTCATCACTATGTGGGAGGTCATCCTGCTCACCTCCCGCATGGGCAAGGGCACCGGGGGCGACTCCATATCCGCGGTGAGCAAAGCGAAGCAGGCGGACATCGCAGCCGCGGCAGCGAGGATATTCCCGCCCTTTTTCATCGTCATGGCGCAAATGAAAATCTGCAGTCTGGAACACGAGAAATACGTGATCAACGAAAACGAGTTGGCGCAGTTGGGCCACTGTCTGTTCAACAACATTTACATCAAGCACCTGGTGATTCCCTCGACCTGCTGCAAGAACCTCGTGAAAGCGGGCTACACGCTGTTCGACGCCATCGAGCATTGCGTGATAAAGATGGACAACTGCGTGCTGGAATCCTTCAACTGGTTCCCCATCATATGAAAGTGCACAATAACCGAAACCCCCCTTCCCCTCCGTGCTCGTTTGTCATGCGGAAGACTGAGTTCGTCTTCGTTGTAAGTGTAACCAATAGATGGCCGGCGCCGGTTTTGGCACTCTACACAACATGTTGACCATTCATTATTCCATGCAGTCCTAGTAGGACTGCGGTCGATCAACATGTGCGGCTGCAGCTTGTGCTTGTTACTAGGCCTGAATGAAGGGGACGTGGGGGAGCTGTGAAATCTCATACGTCAAAGACATTCTGTACAAGCCAAACCTCGTTTTCACGATGGACCGATACAGGTACGAATGCTGATAAAGAAGCTCTTCATGTTGCTGTCAATGGCATTGCAATGCAGAGGCTTTTGGATATTTTTCATTTCTTGTTTAAATCCGACCTCGGTCTTCGAAATAGCATGACAGGAGAGCAATGCATCGGCCCAAACCACCACCATAAAAATCAATACACTCAACACCACAGGTACGGCCACGAAAAGCTGAACCTCCAGTACGAGATGTCTTTCACGGATTCCTGCTACTACCTCGCCGCTGGCGAGCGGATGCAGCAGCCTTGGACTGATTTGGAGGCCATAGTGTTCTGCCGAATGATGCCGTACAACAAAAACTTGGTCCATCTTGACCTCTCCTCGAACCTGCTGAAGGACTACGGCTTCATGGCGCTGGCGGAATTATCCTGTGCAAAAGTATCGTACTCGTATTGCAATCATGCATTACAAATCTTTTTCTCATAGGTAAATCAGCATTACAAATTTTATTTCTCATGCTGAGGAAATTTGTAATGCGTTTATACGAGTACGATACTTTTGCAATTTATAGGAATTCCTTTTCTGCAACTCCCAGCTGAAACTTTTGAACATCTCCAACAACGACCTGGACGGGTTGCAAGACCGGACGCTGGACACGCTACTGGACGCCGTGGTTTCGCACCCAAGGTTAGAGTCCGTGCAGTTCTCCGCGAATACGATACAGCTTCCGATTCGCGACTTCGAGGACGTCGAGGTGCTGAAGTGGGACGCCTACTATCCTGTGCAAAAGTATCGTACTCGTATTGCAATCATGCATTACAAATCTTTTTCTTAAGGTAAATCAGCATTACCATTTACAAATTTTATTTCTCATGCTGAGGAGATTTGTAATTGTAATGCATTTATACGAGTGCGATACTTTTTTAGTGTATACCTACAATGTGTACACGATCAACGTGAACCAGATCGTGGGGCGCGTGGTGGAGTTAGTCTTAGAAAACCAGCTTTCCTTCGATAATTTCCCTCCCCATTGCCGGTTCGACCACTACTGCACCATCATCCAAAACGCTTTAGCGAACGACATGGCGCTGGCGAGACAGGTGTCCTGTAGCCTCCACCCGAAGTTGCGGCGATTCGTCGCGGAGCGGTGTGCGAAGAAGTTGGGGCACCCCTTGGGGAACGACCCCGAGGACTTGCTGGACCTATACGTGAAGGACAGTCGGAAAGTGAAGCAACTGACGAAGAAGGAGAAGGCGAGCCGCGACGATTTGTACCTGCCGCCGAAGGACCGGATCGTGATCAGCGTTTTAGGGTCGCTAGAGGGGATGGCGATGGCCATGACGCTGCGGTTCTCGCGGCACTTGCGAGAGATTTTTTTGGAGGGAAACCGGGTCTCGGACCGCGGGGCGGAGATGTTTTTTCGTCTTCTCTGCGAGCCGGGGAATGTCGTAGAAATGCTGTCGCTAGCCAATAACGACATTGGGTACGCGAGGAATAACTATGTCAAGGGCAGAGCGGTAAAGTGGCTCCAGCGAGTGCTCCAGCTGCCAGAAGCGAACCCGATGCTGCAGCAGATAGATTTGTACCAAAACGACGCCTTTGTCGCGTTTGAGCGGGAGATTCGGGTGTGGGTCATGGCGCGGCCGCAGTCAGACGAAATTATGCCGCTGGAGTGCAACGTGAAGAGGGGGATGCGCGGCTGAATACTTACGTCAAAAAGTAGTTGGTCCTTCCTCGTTCCCAAATTTGCTGCTGCTGTCTGCAATATAGCAGAACTGCTGGGAGGTCTACTGCTTGAAAGTTCTTGAACCGCTGCCGTCTCAAAGAAACCTCTGATAGCTATGTCATGATTTGGCGGTGGTCTCACCGCTCGTCCAGTTGCAAAAATTCGCACAGCAAGAAGAATCAAAACGAAGGTTTGTTTTCCGTGCCTGTGTCAACATAAATGTTCTTGACATCGCACTGGAAACTATTAACTGGACGGTCGGACTGCGTTGTATCCGTAGCTGCACCCGTTTACGGCATTTCGTCCTGCAAATGATCCAGACTGTTTTGCCCGATATGGATATTCGTAGAAATCAAGTACTCGTCGTGTAGTGAGAATTTCTGCATTTCATCGTGATCGCTGAATAAAGAAATCGCACTCGTCACATCGGCGTCTCAAATCAAAGTTAGGTCGTCGTGTGATCCTCGTAGATACTGTGTATGCTGGTTTGTCGATGTGCTTATGTGTCTGGGTCTGGGTGGTCAAAGCCAAGATTGCTTTTGCGATGTTCGTTGATGATCTTCTCATTGTGAAATACCTTCGTTTTTGCTGTTGACACTGGCTTGCACGTCGTTTCCTGATGGGTAAGAACCTGAATCTACTCTATCACCACTTACAACATCGTGCCGAACAACACTCGCCTATTGCAAGTGCGACAAAGAATCGTCCAGGTTTTTTTTTGGGGGCTGAAGCGTGTATGTGCTGGGAAGCAGGAGGGTAAACAATAGTTAGCCACTCTAGTCTTTCTACTATTTTCCTTGTGCCTGATTGTGCCTGGGACCAAGCTATCAAGTTTTTGTGCGTAAGAAGTAGTTCTCGCCTTCTTGCGCCTTCATCTTCTACTTCGTTTCGATCTACAACCCTTCATCACTCACACTCACAACCTATCGGAAAGAAGCAACAACACAAGATGTCGTACGGTATTCGCGAGCGGGACCCAGTCCCGCAGTTCCGGAACAACATTTCCTACTTTTCGATGAAATTTGAAGCCCCGAAAAACGACGTCTGCGTGGGTTCCGCGTACGGCTCGGGGACCTGGTATCCCGATTTCGGGGGGTTTCCGGGGGCCCCGGAGCAAAATCGATGGATCACACCGGCAGAATCGTGGTTTGAACACAACTGTTTGAAGCACAAAAGGGAGCTGAAACGAAGAGCGACAATAGCCGCAATTCAGTACGCCAAGCCTACGAGGAAAAGTGAGGCGAGTCAGACAGAGTATTTGATAAAGTAAATGCTTGCTTTTTGCTATTCGTCGAACAAGGAACAAATCTTTCTTCGTTTAATTACAAGTTAGCAGGTTATGTCGCCACAGTGTGTCGATCAACGAGAATCAGGAAAGCGGTAGCCCGAGAAGCCGAGAGGCCGAAAGGCTGAATAACGACCGACAGGCCAAGGGGCCGAAAGGCAGAGAAGGGGCCGAAAGGCCGAGAAGGGGCCGAAAGGCCGAGAAGGGGCCGAAAGGCCGAGAAAGGGCCGAAAGGCCGAGAAGGGGGCGAAAGGCCGAGAAGGGGCCGAAAGGCCGAGAAGCCTCTCTTTCTCCGATTTCCTTTTTCTCGGTTTCTCTTTCTCGGTTATCCTTTCCTCGGCTTCCCTTTTTTCGGTTTCGCTTTCTCGGCTTCTCTTTCTTGGTTTCTCTTGTCGCGGTTTCTCTTTCTCCGATTTCTTTTTTCTCGGTTTCTCTTTCGTCGGTTCGGTTTCTCTCGCCCTGGTTTCTCTTTTCCCGGTTGCCCTTTCGCCGGTTTCTCTTTTCGCGATTTCCCTTTTCCCGGTTTCTCTTCTCCCATTCCCGGTTTTCCTTTTCCCGGTTTCTCTTTTCTCGGTTTCGTTTTTCTTTTCCCGGCTTTTGTTTGCATTTCCCGTCTTCTCTTTTCTCGGCCTCTCGGCTCCTCGGCCTTTCGGCTCCTCGGCCTTTCGGCTCCTCGGCCTTTCGGCTCCTCGGCCTTTCGGCTCCTCGGCCTCTCGGCTCCTCGGCCTTTCGGCTCCTCGGCCTTTCGGCTCCTCGGCCTTTCGGCTCCTCGGCCTTTCGGCTCCTCGGCCTTTCGGCTCCTCGGCCT